CAGCTACTACTGCAGTAAATTACAACGCTGCCACCACCAGCACCACGGAGCCTAACACTTTCAAACAGGCTCTAAAGCACCCACAGAAAAACTGTTGGCTGGAAGCCTCCTTCAATGAGCTACAACAGCTATTGACTACTAAGACCTTCTACTTCGTTGACCGTTCTAAGGCATTAAAGAACCCTATAACAAGCCGATGGGTCTTTAAAGCTAAAAAGAACTCACAGAGTCAAGTTGTTAAATACAAGGCTCGGCTGGTAGTCAGAGGCTTCCAACAAGTCCCTGGAGTTGACTTTACAGAGACTTTTGCTACCACAGCTACTCCTCCTACCTGGAGAGTTCTGTTAGCCATAGCAGCTGTGGAAGACTTAGAAATAGAGCAAATCGACTTCGTGGGAGCTTTTCTAAATGCTGGTGTGGACTTTGATATATATATGGAAGTCCCAGAAGGCTTGTATGAATACAGCCTCAGCAGCAAGAGTGCAAGAGCATTGCTGAAACAACACGGTTGGGATCCTACTAAGGACCAAGTTATACTACTAAAGAAGTCTCTATACGGCTTAAAACAAGCTCCCTATCTGTGGCAGCAGAAGGTAGCTACATTAGTTAAAGGCCTCGGCTACAAGCCTTTAACTTCTGACTCAGCCACTTACTTCAACGAGCAAGACGGTATCTTCATCGTTAGCCACGTGGATGACTGCCTCCTGATTGGACCTTCTAAACAGAAGATCCAAGCTCTAAAGCAAAGTCTAGCTAAAGCCTATGACATAGAAGACTTAGGTGCTGCTAAGTTCTTCTTAGGTGTCCAGATCGAACGCAACAGAGCCAAACGACTATTGTGGATTCACCAAGGAGCTTATATCAAAGAGGCTATCAAACACTTCAAGCTTAGCACTCACGGTCCGAAGATACCACTCTCTCCAGGACTCACAGGTCCTGAATCACCCTCTCCACCACTGAACAAAGCCGATCAGAAGCTCTACCAGCGCCTTATAGGCACTACTACTTACGCTATGACTCAGACTCGAGTTGATATAGCACACGCAGTTCAGTGGCTCTCTCGGCACTTACAACAGCCTACAGTTGCTCATCTGAAGGCAGCAAAAAAGCTGTTGAGCTACCTCTATAGCACTATCGACAATGCTATACAGTACGGCGCTATAGGAGATATAACACCTATAGGCTACACTGACAGTGATTTTGCTGGCTGTAAAACTACTGCTCGATCTACTTACGGCTACGTGTTCTTGATTAGTGGAGGCCCAGTAAGCTGGAAATCCAAGAGAGCCTCTACAGTAGCCTACAGCACTCTTGAAGCCGAATACACGGCACTCATCGAAGGCAACCGTGAGGCATTGTGGCTCAGAGGTTTATTCAGCGAAATTCAGCGTCCTCTTCAAAACCCTACTCCTCTGAAGTCAGACAACCAAGGGGCTATAGACACGGCTCATAACTCCAAGCACCACAGCCGTACTAAACATACGCTCCTCAAATTCCAAGGCGTGAGAGAGAGCGTTACAGAGGGAAACATCACCGTATCCTTTGTTCCAACAGAGGATATGGCTGCTGACGGCCTCACAAAAGCTCTGCCAGCTCCCAAGTTCGAGCGGTTCTTACAACTGCTGAACTACTCTAAGCTCTACAACATAGGGGTATAGAGGGGGCTCTTGTGGCACTAAGTACAGCCACAGAGGGGGTGTTAACGTGTGGCTAGTACTGTGCCTTGTAACTGCCTTGTACTACCTTGTAGTATAGAAGGCTAGTTGAACTATTCCTTCTACGGAATCAGTTGACTCAGTCCCCACAGAATGTACTAGAATACAAGAGGCTTTGCCACTGTATTCTAGAGTCTTATAACTTAGCTAGCATTTCTTCCAGACTGATTTGTCATCACAGGATTCAACAGAAGCTTCTAGATGCTTAGTGTCCATGTATATAGAGACCTCTCCTCTCCTTCAGTTCGTCACTCCTTAAGCAAGCAAGCAAGCACAAGTCAAGCAATACAATATAGTCTTTTCTCACAGTGCAGAGTCCACTGTAATCTTCTGTCTTGAGAGCAGAGTCCTCTCTAAGACCTCTTTTACAACATCCTTTTATTGTACTTGCAACTACGCTGCTTCCTTCAGCATTGCTGTCGTACTTCCTACCGCTTCCGCTCCGCTCTGCTACAAGTGCATAGTTCACTGTAGCAACCTTGTACTGGTGCTATCATTATAGGCCAGTCAGGGCACCGCAGGAAACACTACTATTCTAGCTTAAAATTCCAAAATAAGAATATTATATAGTAGTTCTCTTTACTTAGTATTACTAAATACGTTTTATATACAAATATTCAATATTTTAACTATACTACCAAAGTTAAAACTATATTTCGTACTAAATCTCTACGAAAATTAGTTAACTACCTTAGATTCAACCGATTCCTAGTACTAATATAAAAACTAATTCTACTAAAAGCGAAGAAAGGGAGGCATCTCTACGATGCTAACGAATATTTTAATATACATTTAATCTACTTTATTAGTATTAACTGCTATAAAGGGGGGTTTAATTAGCAATCTATTACTTATAAGTACTGGTTTTACAAACGTTAACAATTACTATATTAGTATTTTTAGTAATATTATTTCCTTAATGACTATTATACCCTATTAACTGGCCGTCTAACTAATTAATTAGAATTATAGTAAAATAGGAGATATAAATAATTTAAAACTCGAATTGCATAGAGAGTACCCCCTCAAGAAGATCGATATAGCCTTAATTAACGGTAGGCGGTACGAAAATAATTAAAACTTATAATCTTTGAGTTTTACAACTTCTAATAATTAGCGTATTGCGAATATAATTTTAATTCTATAAACGTAAAGCGTACTTATACTTAATATATCGCGAGAACTTAGTAGCTCAATAGAAAATTTAAAAATCTTATAAACAACTTATAGATATAAAGAGCTCGACCTTAGGACGTAGAGGGGAGTTAGATATTAAATTGAAGTCTTTTAATATACGTCCATTCATATTACAAAATATTTAACAATATAAAATACTTATAATAATAACTAGATTTATTACGGTCATAAATATCAATTTAATTAATCGACTAATATTTTAAACAACGATTTATACGATTTATACGATTAATATATGAATAAATCCAATCTTTTCATAAACGGTATAGCTAATTACATATAAAACGCACTAGAAATGCCAGTATACTGCACACTATATATAGATATTTATATAATATATACAATTAATATATAGATAAATCCAATCTTTTAGTAAGCAGTATAGCTAATTACATATAAAAGGCACCATAAATGCTAGCATACTATACACTATATACTACATATAAATATTTATACGATATATACAATTTATATATAAATAAATCCAATTATTACAATAATTATACAAATCTAACACTAATTACATACTCCAATTAATATTTATCTAGTATAATCAGAAGTAGTGAGAGCAAGCCAGTACTATAGTTATAGAAATGAAATTCAATATAAATATTTCGATTTATGTCAAATATATTAAAACCACTTTTTAATATATTATTTGCACACTATTATAAATCCTTCTAATATATATATTAATTAATTGCTAATAATTAGGTCATTCTATACAATAAGTTGGGTATTATCAAAATCAATATTACAATTATAATATTAAAAATACAATTAATATATATATTAGCTAACCTTTATTAACTTTGTAATTTTATTATTACTAGCCTACATAACAGTTATTCAAAATAGAGCTTATCGAACTAATTTATACTACTAAAGTAACTACCTATATAAAATATAACTAGAAGGATTTTACTATAGAAATTAAACTTCGCTTTCTAACCTTATTATCTATTGCACGTTGTATACATGATAGTGCCCTTATTATATACTCAATATAAAGCTTATCCAACTCATCTATAGGGGAGACGAAAACTTATTAAACTGATATATACCACTAAAGTAACTACCTATATAAAAGATAGCTAGAAGGACTTTACTATAGGAATTAAACTTCGCTAACAATTTAGGAAAACCAATACTAAATATTATTAATAATATTTACATTACAATTTTTATGATTTTAGTAAGTTAATATAATAGCTGTATATAACTCTTATGTATAAAGAGTTGACTTAGTTAGCTTTAATTCTATACGCGTATTTACATATTACCAAAAGAGGTAATGATTATACGATCACGGACTTAAGAAACTATACCGTTCTAAGCAGTAGATGTGCGGGGCTGGAGGTGACTAGGGGTGCGGTACGTATCGTTTTCCAAGTCCGTTACGCGACACCGGTTACAGGGCCCCCTGGTCGAATTGGTACTTCTCGATGTCCTGAGTGCCTTCTCTAGCGCAATATGCAGTGTGATCAACTGCATATCAACAACAGGGATCATTTTTGTATGGGAAACGGATACCATGGTCGAAAATTGGAACGCGCCCATGAACTGACACCGATGGCACCTTCTCCAGCGGGAGCCAGGAACATGGGGAAGTGGAAGGCACAACCTCAACACCTCGAGCCTGGTGCTCTGGCAAACATACGGCAAGAACGCATCAAGAGGCAACACGGTATCGATTGACAGTTAGACGGGCCTACGGACAGCCTCCGAATTCGACAACGATCGTCTGGAGGCCCGTCTTCTATGTATACTTCCTCCTCCAAGACCAGGGCGGCGCCGAGCACGACGGCTCCGAACACACCGGCTTCGAGTAGATCATCACCCCCGGCTGCTTCGAGCAGGTACAACCACAACACTCAAACAAGGGGGTGAGGTATGATGTCTGATCTCAAAAAGACATTGATGACCTCAAGTAGGATCCCCCGCTTTCATTCCCTTTGGACATCAACACAACGATCCCAACAACGATTCCGGAAGTCAGACGCACAACACGTCGCGTGAGTACAGATACCTGCCCACGCTCACCGCTACCGCGACAACAAAAAAAGAAAAGGATGTCTCTGTCGGATCTTCCCGTCCTCTACGCCATCACATCGCATGTGCAATGCTCATCAAGATGGGTAATCAGTTTTCACCCGAAGCTTTAAGCCATGTCTTGACTTTGGCAAGATAACCACCACGAACGCCATCGACAGCAGCAACTTCTGTAGTATGAGCGACATCCGGCTGTCTTCCAACATCATCACCGCAATCTTCGGTGTTTTCGCGCGCACTCAGAATGGCGGCAGGGGCGTCGATAGCGGACCGGATCAACGCCTTCCCGGCACCTATTTTCTCTTCTTCCGGGGCCTCTGTCGATCTTCCTTTGCTCTCCTTGATGTTGCTCTCCTGGATGATGATTGGGTCATTCTTTTTCTGAACGACATGGGAGCTGGAGGGCAGAGTCAGGGTATCGGATCTTTAGTCCGATGCATCGTCGTCGCTGTTGCCGCCATCATCGTCACTATCACCGCCATCGTCCTCCTCCTCCTCCTCCTCCTCCTCCTCCTCCTCCTCCTCCTCCTCATCCTCATCATCGCTGTCATCATGACCGTCGCTGTCTCCGCCACTTTCACTGGCCAATTCCGAGTGCTGGTTGTCATCCCCCATCAATGCATTGAAAGGTGCGCCATGCATAGGCGCCACCATGAAGCTACTATGGGTATGATTGATCGGAACCGACTGGGGCTCCTGAAGCGCGTATTGTTGAAGGAAGGCCGGATGTATGGGTGCAGATGCAGATACAGCCCGTGACCCAGGAAGGTTGGGGGCCGTTTGAGTATTCCGAAGTGGAAGTGGTGTTGAATCTCTCGACCTTGCTTCCGCTGTGGACCTGTAGGATGAGAGTTTTCTGATCTTGCCTGCTCCTGAGGGTCCCGCCTGAATGCCTTCGTCCTCTTCTAAGCCCTCTAGGCCTGCGTCAGCGACTTCAAAGGGCCGCTTTCTGTTCTCAACGTCTTTTCCCATGGTCTGCTGCTGCTCCTGTTGCTGTTGCTGTTGCTGTTGCTGTTGCCATGCCATAAAAGCAGGATGGACAAGAGGTGCAGGAGTCGATCCGAGGTCCTCCACCACCGCTGAGGATATTTTGACGGCCTCTGATGCACGCGTCAAAGCGCTCGATGTAAAGTTCAACAATTCATCCAGCTGTACCATTGAAGGTGAGCGGCCGCCACTCTGTGCATCCTCTACCCAGCCGCGGATGTAACTGAAGGACCGTTCCGCGGCCTTGAGCTCGGCGGCGAAATACTCTTGTTGGGACCACTGCTCCAGCTCTTGACACCTTGCCACTACGCTTGGCGGGAAAGGTGTGGCCTTGCTGGTGTTGCTGGTTGAAGGTTGAGACTGTATCGGCTTTTCTTTCTGCGACCTCGGGGGTCTCGGTTTCCTCTCCTTAGGAACAGGGGCGGGCTTGTCGTTCGAGTCCTCAATTCCGGCCATCTGCTTCACTTCAGGCGGTACTCCCGGCTCCCTGACAACGATATGGTCATGAGCATCGTCCTCGGCCGCGTTCCAAAAGCCGTCCAAAGGCCAAGAATCCGCCAGCTTGCGGTTGGCCAGGTACCATCTCCCTATCCGCTCCTGCATGGTTTTCGGGACCTGGTAGAGGCGAGGGTAGACGGAAATAAAACCAGCCATTTCGCGCTGGGTTAGATCCACATCCTCTGGGTCGATCCTCGGCTTCCGACTAAACTTTCTCGTGACGGCGAGCGCAGGATACTGCTCTGAAGGCGGCATGAATGGGAAATAGACAAATCCTTGGTGATGGATTCTATCCGCCTCTGCACGACTCGGGCGTGTCATGGCGAATGATTGCTGGTGCTCGTGGTAGTGAAGGTAAGTTTGCTGAGGGGTCGCGAATTGTCAGATAATGTTGAGGGACGAGGTGGCAACGACAAAAACGGTAAGTACGTGATTTTCTTTTCTCTCAGCCAGTCGCGTTCAAGTTAGTTTGGTGGACTTGAAAGCAGTTGAGGCGCGTTGAAGGTGGTTGGGTGACACGTCGAAAGAAGGACGCGATTCTTGGGTTGTTTTGGTTTTTTTTTTTCTGGCAAGGAAAAAAGTTAAACCGCGACCGGGGCACAAGAGATGTTGGGCAGCGAGTTTCAAGTTTGCCTCTCTTGCTAATCGAACGAGGAAGGTGTTCTTTCTCCTAGACTTGGTCGCCTCTATCAACTTCAATCAGTCGTGTTACGGGTGACTGTTTGTTTGGATGGCCGAACCTTGGTGCACCACGGTCCAGGTCCGATGGCCTATCCGAATTTGAATGGGACGAAACAAACGCCAAGGTGAAGACTCTTTGGCCGGTGTGGTCTGCAGGCAAATGGATAGGATCAGTCTAGAGATGATGTTCCTCTTGTCTGATGATGAGCCGGAACGAAGACGGGACTGCCGACGGGGAGAGTTGTATGGCGGTCTGGAAGACTTGACGTACTAGGTGGCGAACTAACGATAACCATGGGCAGACAAGGTGTAACGCCGTAAGTCAATCCATCCTCACTTCGGCTTCAACAGAGAGTAATATGGAATTGTTAACATTGTACAAGTCGGTTGACGTCTATGTGCGAGAGTCCTTGGATCGTCGACGGTTACGTGTACTCGGTTATCGCCTCGTTTGTTCGTTAATCGCGGCGAGTCCTGTTGATTGGAATGGCCCTTATCTTTCGTACGCGCTCCGTTCAGCGTGCTATCAATCACAAAGCGCAGAGAAAGTCAACAGGTAAGACGAGCTTTTCGCATGTCGTCGTTTTCACGATGCGGGTTTGAGAGAGTTCGACGCATGTGATGTCGGGAAAACTCCCGGTGGCCCGTGGGTACGGCATCCATGCATGAGCCCCTGAGGCTCAAGGTCCCGGTCCTCAACACCAACTAGCCGGTATCTCAACCCCAACCATCTGATTTTCATTCGCGAGAGTTTGATTTTGTGCAAGACAACATCACGTGTCCATGGATCTCACATCTTCCCCTTGGTTTGATGTTTTCATTTTCTTTTGGTCGAGTGTCTTCACAGACCACACAGCCTGCAACACTTCAACCACCGTTACCTGTCCCAAGATTGGTCAATAGCCCATTCAAGAGTTCCACTGCATTGGAACCTCAACTGGAAATATCGACTAATGATACATTATCATTCGACGCCCTTTCCCTTGGGCCTGAACAGTATTTCTGTCCAGACCCGTCTTCACATTCGAGATCATGGTTACACAATCTCTGGGGTTGCATTCGCTTACACTTTATTTAGCATGCCTTTCTCATTGGTGTAACCACCGTTTTGAAACGAAAGGTCGGCATAGTTCTGTAAAGACGGGAACCCTTTTACCTCCTCGTTGTCGGGAGCCCAAGTGGCCATCCCGCGGCCATCGCACCGGTGCTTATGTATCAGGGCTCCAAAAGAAAAGGAAGATGGAGTCGACTCTGTGACCTTCTCTCCCGGTATTTCGGTTGACATGCATGTCTATCGATGGCACGGTTCCGGTAAGCATCACCATCCTCCACCAGCGTATATCGCAGTCCCGAGATTTGTCCCTGTGCGTAACTTTATGCTCGCCAATACACGGAAATCCAGACACTTGGTGGCTTATCTTGATACGTCGTATCTGACAAGCCTCGAAACAGAAATGGACACGACTTTTTCCTGCAGGTCCTTTGGAATTTCCAGCCGATTCTGCAAGCTAAATGCTGACGGCGTTTTGTTACTCCATAATAAGTGCGAGCTCTTTGAGTTCATCGGATTCAAAAAAGTTGAATTTGGGCTTGAGCACAAACCAAGAGAGTTGTGAGATTTTGCGTTGACTTGGGGCCTATATAACCCCCGCGTCATCTTCGGGCTCTTGAATCGCGAAGCACCACGCCAATTCGTTCCCTCTCTCTCAACCCAAACCCTTCATTCCATCCATGGCTCGGTCGCTTCTGTTCTTGTTGCTTGCCGCGTCGTCACTCGTTGGTGCGACTTGTAAGGATGATGTACACAAGTTGCAGCAGACCGGCAAAGCTAACCTAGAGGTTCGGCTTGCCAAGTCCACAACATGCACAGAAGAGAATCTTCAGGTTCGCCGGGAATGGTAAGAGCAATCCAGAAGGCGAACTCTCCTCTCTTCGACGGCAGCGACACTAGCCTGAGCGGCAACGGTCTTAAGATTGATAACAACGAAGATACCGACTACTACCCAGCTGGACCCGGAGGAGGGTGTATCTATTCCGGTCCATTTGTCAAGTGAGCACATTCCAACTTCGTCTCATCCACTGTTTTCTGGTGTCGCAAAAACTCGACCTATAACTCACGAGTGTCTCCCTTTCCCTCGCTCCATTACTAATCCAATGATAAACTCAGCATGACCGTCCGCCTAGGCCCTCTCTCTCCCCAAGCCAGACCCGCTCCGGCCGCCAACCCCCTCCCCAACGGCATGGGCGACAACCCGCGCTGCGTCCGCCGCGACATCACCAACTATCTTTCCTCGCGCTTCACCCGCACCGAAGACATGGTGACCCTGATCGCCGACTCCTCCGACATCCTCACCTTCCAAGACCGCATGCAAGCCGTGACCGCGCGCCCCTGGGAGGTCGCGGACACTTACAAACCAGCCGAGCACGGCGGGATGCCGCTGATGGGCGTCCATGCCGGCGGGCATCAAACCATTGGCGGTGACCCCGGAGGTGACTTCTTCACTAGTCCTAATGATCCGGCGTTTTTCAATCACCACGCGGGGATTGATCGCACTTGGGCTATCTGGCAGTGGCTGGACTTGGAGAATCGGACGGAGCAGATCGGCGGAGGCACTTCTATGTTTGACCCCGTGAACAGTCCAAGGCAGAAGTTGGATAATTTGGTGGATTTGGGGGTGGTGGGGGATAGGGTGTGGAGGATTAGGGATTTGGTTAGTACTGTTGATGGGCCGTTTTGTTATACTTATGAGTAGGTGGAAGAAGTGAGTGATGAAAGATCATGAGAGATGTTATGCTCTTGTTCCTTCCTTCTTGGAAAGGCAGCAATCTGCATTCAGGTTGGAACAGCAGGTGCGACATAACCCCTTTCATTATTCGTTCGGCGTCATCGCTCTTTCCACACTTGTCGAACATTGCTTTATCACTTGATGGTACGCACATTGCACATCCCTTACGACGGGAGCGACGCTAGAGTGCAAGCAAATTCGTCAGCCAAGCTGGGACAACGATGTCAACAAATTCATATTGATTCATCTTCTGAAAGGGGAAACAGCCCACTTCATACCAAATCTCATGTTCAACACACCATGAACGTGGCGCAGTCAGTCTCAAGCTTGCCGAGGTCTTCGGGGTTCTTTTTCCTTATCTCACTTGCCGCCCTCATGATGGTTCAACAGTATCACTAGAGGCAAGGTCCTCTCGAGTTTCCCACGCTCTGTTTGTGTCGTACTTGGTCGCCGACCAAACGGGTATGTCAAAAACTCTTGGCTTTTCTGCGAAACTCGACATTTCGGTTTTGGCCACATCGGTTGACGCGGTATTCAATGTCATAGGGCCCTGAAACTATCCTCCCGTCCGGACCCCCAAAGGAGGAGGAGCCAAGTTAAGGAAACAGGAACACGAGACACAATGCAGGGAGCTTCTCTGTGAAAGTCTAATTTTGGCCTGTGCCCGCGTAGCAGGCATCCTGATTCAGCGTGTCACAGCATCCGTTGCTTCTATATTCTCCTCCTTTCAGAGTGCAAAAAACGTTCAAGCGGCCCGGAGAGACGAAAGAAATGGGCCTGGATTGTGTTACTCGCCAGCCCTACGAGCCCGGCACCTCTTGAGACAGGCGGGTAGACCCAGCCCAAGTTCTGCAGGGAAACACCCCAAGGATCTGAAGCACTGAGGGATCCCTATCAGCCAGTGCCTGTCTCGTGCTCCGTCAGGAGGGAGTCTCGATATTGAATTGAGACACGGAAATAAGCAACCGTATGGGGTATTTGGGACTTCTTCAACGTTGCCAACTCTGGGCTTACCATAGCAGTTGAGGCCGGCGATGTCAATTTGGAGTTAATTGGCCCTAATGAGATATCTTGCGATCCAATGGCATCATGTCTTGTTTCTGAAGTCGGCCCTTGTTGTTTCGTGGCGCCCCGATGTGGCTGGCTCGGCTTCGGCTGTCCCCCCACAGGACCGAGGGTAGTTACTGCAACTACGGGAGCGAAAAGGCAGTGGGTTAGTTAAGGTCACCGCCACTCCGGATAAATATTCCTCTCCCGTCCATTGAGTTTGGGCCCCTGAGAGCTTTTACGTTGAACAAAAGGCGGCCCAGTGGAAGCACCGCTAGAAGGTTCATGGGCTTTGCGTCGCCTCCTTCCCGTCGGCTCGTCGCGTTACACAACATTAGTACCTTCCTGCTTACCTGGAGCCAAGCGGCCCAAGCCCCCCTCCGCCTCATTTTGTGTACTGTCTCTCCTGACTTTCGCCCGCAAGATACATCTCCAAACAGCCAGAGGCCGTCCCGAGTCTATACCGCCGTTGAAACCCGGAGCGTCAAACACACGGCCGGGGACCATCGGGCTCCTCTCTCCTGGCCTCACTCACGGGATCATCCTTTCTCGACCAATGGGAGCTTACTCGGTCGCTCTAATTGGAATATCCGGCTGCCTGGGGCATTCTCATGTTACACCTTGTTATCGAGGTAGTACTTTAACGTGCCAGACCGGTTTCGACCTTGGCGCTCGAGCTCTGAATGGCCCAAGGAGCTCAGACACTATACAAGACGACAGCTTGTTGACGTGAGCATTCACCATGTAACTACCCGTGAAACATTCTGGCACTGCTACTGGCTAGATCTCAGGCTAACGCTCGGTAGCAGATCTACTCAAGGGTACCACCGGACAAGTAGGATGGGATGACTTACATGCGAATCTAGACGCCACGACGATGCCGTTTGTCGACGGGCAACAAAACGAGAACGGGCGTGGGGTTGGCCCATAGGGCTGCATATCCCGGAGCTGGGATCTTGTCGAAGGATGAGATGTGTTCACTCTCTGGCAGACACCAGAGTGGCTAGGTACTGTAGCCTGGTGTTGTTGCGGCGATCTATCATGGACGTCGTGTCACTTACACCAGGGGGGACTAGTTCTCACCACTTGACCGGAGCCTTTCGCTCCATGGGGGCAGCTGAGCGTCGTATGAACACATGAGGCTCGCCTTCTCATATAAGTATTGCTCTCTCGGCGAACCCTTCTCTCTTGCCACTCACCGATTCCTCACCATAATCAAGCATATCACAAGATACAATATCAATGCCATCAAGACAATAACAATATATCATCATAACATCACAATGTCTAGCATATCACAGTTCCTCATGTACTCTTCACGCAGTGTCTCCCCCTCCCCTCAGGCCGAGCCTAAGCCTCGGCAGGTTTGGACTCCAGAGGAAGATAGGTTACTCGCTGAAGCCGTGGCAAAGGGTAAGAAAAGCCTCATGAACTCCAGTTGCATCTTTCACCTTTTATCACTTTACTAACCTTTCCTTTTTCCCCCATCCAAAAGAAACACCGGCCAATGGTTCAATCAACTGGTGCAAAGTCGCCCCCCACCTCTCCCGGCGAAACAACAAGGACTGCCGAAAACGCTGGCACTACAACGTAGCTCATAACATCCGCAAGGGCACCTGGACACGAGAGGAAGATCAGAGACTGCGCGAGGCCTTTGATATTTACGGTCCGCGCTGGAGCAAGGTTGCTCAGGTGGTTGGTTCACGCAACGGAGACCAGTGTTGGAAGCGCTGGTATGATTGTCTGGATCCAAAGATTGATAGAAGTCCGTGGACGCCGGAGGAGGTGAGAACATTAATATTCCCCTTTGTAATGTATCTTGACTAACTAACAAAATGCCCCCAGGATATCCTTCTCCTCCAAATCGTCTCCCAACAAGGCCGTAACTGGACCGAGATCGTCAACACTCACTTCCCCAATCGCACCTCTCTGGCCGCCAAAAACCGCTATAGCATTCTCCGCCGCAGACAGGAATCCGCTTCTTCTTCTGCTTCTTCACCTGCTTCCTCCCGCTCCAGGTCTTCAACCCCCTACTCCAAACCCACGGCCACGGGTAATAGGGGCGGCAGGGCAACCAAAGCAACAGCAACCCCAAGCCCCATGATTATGACAAGTCAACCACAATACTTATCACCAACACCACCCATCTCAAGCCAACTCACTCCCGAGCTCGGGCAATGCTTCACTTCCTCTCCTTTATCGCTATCAGACACGGAGTCTACTTCTACCCAAGGTTTCGGTCTAGGTCTTCTCCTTCCTTCATCAGCGATGTCGATGGCGACGTCTTCATTCCCGACGACGGCGGCGGCGGCGGACGCAGCTGGATTTGATTTGCTTTCGTTTGGCAATAACGGGTATAACTTCTCTCAGGACTGCGCATGGACTTCTTACGCTCCTGAGATGATGGTATCAGCGGCGCCTATGGGGATGGGATATGCCTCTGTCTCTGGCTCGGATGCGTCACCTTCCCCATCAGTATCTACGACCTCTTCGTTCTCGTCAGCATCATCGCCACCATCGTTGTCGCTGAACGGTCTTTACATGCCTGTGGTTAACCACGGGGGGTTGGACTTCAACTACCCACCTGCGGCAACGCAGGCGCAAGCGCAACAACAGTTTGAGTTCATTGTCCAAACACCCACGCCGACAGGGACAGGAACCCCGGTGGCGTATGCGAGTTGGTGACCTCACTGTAAACGGTTGTATGTGATGATAAAATCTTGTCTATTATCTGTGTCGAATATCGGAGATTTTGCCTTTTGGGGATTTGGCGTTCAAATGATGTTGAGAGCAGGCTTTGCCTTTTTGTTTGTTATTTTTTGATGTAGACCATCACTCGGCAGACCTGGCGTCAGGAAGGGATTACCTAAACAACACAACGGGTTTGTGTACTGGATACATATATAGGAGTACTTGGAACTTGATATTAATTTCTATCTTGCTGTGGAGCCCCAAGTTCTGCGTTGAGTGCCGGGGATTTTGTGCGTGTAAGAATGTTGAGAGCGTTTAAGTGGTGTTGAGGGTAGGCCTTTGCATTTTGCTTTCTTAGTTCTTTGATGTAGACCATCAATCATTCGGCAGAAATGGTGTTGAGAGCTCGCCCAAGATTTCCTTTTTCTTCTATTCGTTTCTCTCCTTTCTCCTTTTGTTCTTTTCTGCTTTCTTTCCCTTTTCCCCCCCCTCTCTCTTGTGCAGACCATCCCTCAGCGGAACCGGCATCAAGGAGGGATAAACGGCAAACACGACGGAGATGTGAACTGTGTACAAAGAAGAGCACTAGTAGAACTTCATTTTAGTACTTGATTGCGCTATGAAGCCCAAGTTGATATGACAACGCTGGCTTTCGTCGATGTTATACAAGATGATCCCTTGACAATGTTACATGAACGGACACGATGCCCTTGCCAGCCCCTTCTCCAGACGCTTTCTTATATCATCATTGCTCTTCCTTCCCAAATCTGCCTCATCCCCCCAATATGTGCACGGAAAATTGGTCAGCTCCTCATCCTCAAACGCTTGGACGGCAATGTCTATCGCGGTCTTCGTCCCAGGCGGATCCAGGTTTCGCGACAAGAGACGCTCTACTAAACGCGCACGCTTGGCACCTAAGGTGTTCTCTCGTCCTCCTCCATTCCCACCACTTTCATCCTCCTTTGAGTTTTCAACCTCCTTTGAGTCCGGGTCTCCGTATATTTCTAGGTACAACGGGTCCCTCGCATCGGCCAGTTCTTTCTCGATGAATTCGAACAGAAGCATTGACCGGGCAGTAACCCAAAAGCGGTTCACAGCGTCAAGGCATCGACTGCCATGTACGCCAATGGTGACCTCGGCCTTCAACAGTTCAAGGACATCGCGAAAGTTCACCATGACCTTGCTGCCACCCGGCCCTTCGAGCAGCTTCCCGGGAACCAATTCCTTGAGCTTGAAGTCGACGGCCTGTATTCCCTCCATAATTGCCTTCGCGCGGTCACGGCCGCCTTTGATGATAGATTTGTGATTGTTGCTTGAGCCATGCCCCTTGACCTGCACGACCCGTTTCTCCTCACCGGTGGTAGTGTTCTCCATGAATCTTTGCAGATTCTCTAGGCGTCCGATGCCCTCGATTCTGTATTTTTGAACGTACAGACGATTGAATGTCGAGAGCGGAAACCCTGTGCCAAAACAATCTAGGGCATTCTTTAAGGCTCGGTCGTAGTGGGCACCGCCTTCCGGTGTCTTTGCCTCCTCAGTCAACAAATCGTCAAAAAATCCCTTCAAGAAAAGAAATGCCCGAGGGGACTTTTTCATGTATCCTTCATGAACCAACATATTGTGCAAGTGTACCAGGAGTACAGGCTCATAGAAACCAAAGTACAGGACTCTGGAGATATAGTTGGAACTCGTCAGGGTCTGCACAAGAACTTCAGTGCAATGGAAGGGGGAGCAACCCCACAGGAAGTTCGAACCCGCGCCTTGGTCCTGTCTTGTTGCTTGAAAATTTATGGCAGCGGAGCAAACTTTAGCCGCCTGCTTTAGGAAATTGAGCGGCTCCTCATCAACCTGGGGCTCTCCGGTTTGTTCGTTAATCCACAACAAGCCATCCAGCAACTTGAGCTGCTCATCAATCCACAACAAGCCATCCAGCAAGTGGAAAGAAGTCGAAAAGCCGGGTCCAACGAGGTTGGTAGAGTCATCAAGCTTGACACCCAAGAACAGCGCCAAATCACGCGCGGGACAGAAGACATCGGCAGAAGGCGGTTGGACAAAAATATTCCCCCGGATGGGGTCATGCAGCCAGCCCCTTGACACAGTAAAAGAATCCACCATGTGTTGTAGTATGAAGACTGTGGTAGGCACAATGCTGTGTCGAGTTGAGTCACCGGTAGGCGAGGGCTTTTTCATAGCAAGTTTGGCGATGCTGGACAAAAAGGCTTCATGCTGATATGAACCTGATCCACCCAAGTTGTCTCCGGATGGGCCTTTCGGGTCCCAGACGACCTTTTTCCAATCTCCGTCGAATTCTTTGGACCTCAGGATAGGAACAATGTATTCGTCGACAAGCGAGTAAAGAAGCTTGATGGTATATAGATGACGCCACTGTAGGTATTCTTCTTTCGTAAGCCCCATTAGGTCAACGCTGGGATCCCAGTTCTGGAGAAGCTTTGCCATGCGCTCGGTGGGCTTTCCGGTTTGTGTGGCGTGAAAGTCGGAAAGGAACTCAAAAAGTGATTCGAACGTGTATATCATGAACTGTTCCTTCATGTCCACACTTTGATTTTCAACCTTTTCTGAACATGAGCCGTCACCACGAACTCGGTAAACGGACGCAGAAAACGGTTGAACATAATCCTCAGGATTTTTATAACCCGTAAAATATTCGATCATGCTGATGTAACCTAATCCTTCAGGAGTATTGTCGTGATGGTATTTGACAATGAGATTCATGGCCGCAATGCCAACTGCCCCGGCCACGGTGCTGTTGAGGCCGTCGAAGATAACCTCTTTCCAGGTATCGTGGAGAAATTTTCTGAGGCGCACGAACTCCTTGAACAGGTCGTAAACTGCCATTCCCCAAGCGTTCCCGTAGGAATTGAAACGGCCGTTTAAATAGCAAGGGTCGTCGATGTCATAGCGACTTAATGGCAAGTCATCAGGCGGGAGAGTGGCTTTGATCTTGTTGAATCTGGCTTCATTTTCTGGTCTCTTTGACTTGTTACGACGCCCGGGCTTGATGGGGAATTTGTCGGGGACCAGACGATCAATATCTTCTTCGCTCTCCGGTATGTCATATTTCAAAATGGACGAGACACTTGGATCTCCAGGGGAAGTTAACATCCAAGAAAAGCCTCTGAGGGCGTTAAAGGCCTTCCAGAAAGCGCGGATATCAGACCCAAGGGTTCGAGAATGCTCCATGTCCTCGGCGCGTGGGCGCCTGGCTGCGAGCGCCTGCCATGTAGTAAAAGCAGTGACTCTTGTGTCGATTATATTCACAAACAAGGCCAGAATAGACGGGGGGATAACATCCATATGGAGGCCAATGAACCTGCAAAAGTTGTAGAGTCTGACTTGGTTGAAAAATCCAGCTCGGGCTGGATCAGCAAGTAACTCTTTCGGCCAATTCTGCCCTGGTGGACCAGCGCTGAAAACTTCCAACAATGTCAGGTTAAGATCATGTTGCCGAGTCGTATCCCAAGACTTGATGATTGAATGAACAGTGCGGACAATCCAACAGAGAAGAAGTTTCGAATTGCGCTTGTAAGCTAGATACGATTTGGGCGGTGCGTACAGTATATCCTCGGTGGGCGGCATCGTGGCGATGATAAACTTGATGGTCTAAACTTGAAGAATGGCTGCTGCGTAGGATCAGATGTTGCAAACGTAGAATGAGAGGTTTGGTGAGTCGCGGAAGTGATCAGGACAGGCGTTCGTGAGATACATATCCCGAAACCTTGGGTTCAAAAGGAAGAAACATGTGGTTCTGCGTGTTCCGGCTTGCCAGAGAGCAACATAAACCCTTGCCCTATGCGAGAAGGTGAATTGGTTGTGCATGGAGGGCCGTGACTGCTCGGAAATCGAACCGACATGTAAAGGGGTTCTCATGAGAAGGAACAACCGCTTTGACCCAACTTTGACCGTCTTGAAATTGGGTGTCATGATCCGGGGGTAGTTATGATCCGTCGAAGTCTCATGAATCACATGGCCGCATATCGTTTTAGCCACTTTTGAACAGCAAGAACGAACAAGCTGGAGAATTTTCTGCAGGGACCAAGAGGAAAGAAGCGCCCATTGATCGTCCCATCCCAGAGATCGATACAGCAGGTGCCACCTGTACGATGTTATGGTTACGATGTTATGGTCGACTCAAGTGCCACTGCCGGTGCCCGGTGGAAGCCAACCGACGTGGAAACTTGACAAGAACGTATTCGCACCATTCTTCTCATGTATACCGGGAGCGTTACGCTGCAGGAGAGAGGCAACTGGCAGGGGAAAGTCACAGGAAGCGGCTCAACAGCAATGTTCCCCATTGATGAGACCGGCAAGAAGCACCAACCTAAACTTTATGCCTGTCAGAAAGGGAGGAAAAGATATGAGCGAAACTCAAAAAGACTCCAGACTAAGCGTGCTGTCGACAAATAGTACTGAAAATGACAAAATGGTGCAAAGATGCGAGAAGCCCAAAGAGATTTAGAATGCGGAAATAATCATGTCTCCTTCATCCTTGCGCCATGCCTTAATCAATCTTGAAAATAACGAGCTTTTACATGCCATCCCGGAAAACAAAAAGAAAAACAACATGCGACCATAACCAAGTACCCAAAAAACATCCATCACATACCGTTGCCAGATAATTCCATTAAACCCATAGACGCTGATCCCCATCCTCAAAATAGGCCGTGTCTTCCATCATATGTGTGTCGTTTGCTTCGTGTAGGCGAAGAGCCAGCTCTTCAAGCGTTACCGTGTGTCTTTGGCTCACGCTGCGGCGAGTAGAGTCTGAACTGGGCAAAGATGACGAAGTCTTCCAGCATAGTACCGAGCGAGCCCAGAAGCCAAGGGAGGGCTCTGACAACATAGTCTCTCTCCTGAGAGTAGGCGATCACGCTTGCTCCATAGGTGAAGTTGCCCGTGAGCGAGAGCAGGAAGAACAACAGGGCGAGGCCCTCGCAAGACTTCTCACGGTAATTCTTGATGATTTGAGGGATTCGAGCGCTATGGCATTGGTTAGCTTCCTGAAGCCCAATGGTCACACCGAGTCAATGGGCCGAAACAACAGGGTTAGATACGTACCACAAGTAGCATGCGGCGCTGAAATAGCCCAGGATCATGCCAATAACGGCCTGTGGCTGTCTCGAAACCGTGTTGTCTCCACCATCAGGTAACCCATCCTCAACATCCCACGCGCCCATCTTGTAGCTGATGAACCAACCTGCAGCACCAACGACCCAGACAGCTACCAAGCTGAGGGCATTGTGCAGCCATGGGTTGCTGTCAGGAGTATCGTCTTCACCCGTAACGATCCTGGTCAATGGGTCGAGAGTGCTCTCCCTGTGGCGCATCGAGTGTCGACGGTGAGAGCCCGGCAATCCAGAAGAATCGCTGCGCGACCGACGTGGGTGCTGATGATGGTGTTGGTCATGGTCCAGCAATGGGTCGTGCTCAGAAGGATCCTCTACAGCCGTTGTGTCGGTCTCGTGTGTCTCGGTAGAGGAATGTCGTGCACCTCGGGCGTGTCTCTCGCTGCGGGTGCGGCGGCGTGCGTTGACAGCGTTGTAGTAGCTGCATTGACCAATGAGGACCAGGTCGGCGAAACAAAAGTACAAGGCAAGTGCTACAGCGGTTGGTGCCAGACTTGTCCAGAGTGCGCCTGTTTCGAACAAGAGAGGAAGTCAGCAGCCGAATTAATTGGAGATACTACCTCTAGGACATGTATCGGAGGTAGGTGCGGTAGGTTCCTTGGTTGCCACTTACCAAAGAGATTCGCTATATCGCCCAACAGCCATATAATGAGGAAGTTCATGGACAGGCCATCAGCGCTCTTGGCTTTGTAGTTTGTAATCAGTTGCGGCAGCTGGGATTGAGGACAACGGTCAGCATTATGATTTCGATTGGCAATGGCAGGCCGAAAAAAGGGAAAGCAGCAAGTAGATGCTCACCAAGAGACATATCCAGGCCGTCAAGCTGACACTTCCAAACACTCCCGAGAGTGCCTCGCCCACATCGGGCGCTTTGGAGAGGGCTTCCATGTCGCCCGCGGGTACGGAAATCGGCGAGACCTCAAAAGATGAAGGCGACAGAAATGGAAAGTTGGATGGACGGCGAGATGCTGTTTGTTTCCCAGGCCTGGTAGAGTCCTGCTCAAGTACCGAAACGGAAGGAGGCTAACCCGCCGAATGCAGTCGATGTTGGTTTCTTGTTTGGTTGAAGGCACTGGAAGAATAGTCAAAGGATGGCAATAGGATAGGAACCTGAAGTATGAACCGTTGCAAAAGAAAAAGAGTCAGAGACAATTCGAGTCAGCAGGTCTCGTTATCAAGAGGCGGTTGACTCGAGAGATAAGGGAAAGATCATCTGTGTGGCCGATACCGAAAATGGCATAACTAGCCATCCAAGTGCCATTCAAAAAGTATCACGAGTGTCACGGTATGATCCGTGCTGCGGGATTGTAGTACCAAGATACGCCGTCCTGCGCAAGCGTAGCATTCAGTTCGCCGCTTTTCAGCAGCTTTTGCTCTGTTTTTTTTTTCTCTCGTCGCTGTTGTGGTTGGAGGACCTTTCTTTTCGAGACCTTGACGGGAGGCACAATTGCATCACAAGGAACCCTGATCTATCCCCTGCAGTATCGCCGAGATCGCCTTCAGCTCTGGCCCATCCTGGCGCTGTGATGGAGAAATATGGGGAAAATGGGGTCTTTGACAGCTCCGGTAGCCTGAGATGGGCCAATCATTCCAGCCGCCGTCCAACCAGTGACGAGCCATTGAAAACCTGGAACCTCTTTGTGGGAGTCCCCTCACTCTCTTGTCGCCGGCACGAGTGGAGACTTTTGTCATCATGCCAAGGCCAGCACCTCAACCTTCGACTCCCTCGAGTTGCAAGTCGAGCCTGCATCCGAACTGCGACTGCTGCACTGCATGCACGGGCTTTCCCGTCAGTATCTGGAACTCGAATCATGAACACCAGGTGCTCGTAGAGGAAGAAGAACAACACCAAGAGGGAGAAACGTGAGAGAGTCTCGAGAGAAACAAGCACTGACAACACTCACAAGCCACTTCAAACGGCACAGTGTGATAGGCTCACGTGGGATTTATCGCCCGCGTTCATTCGCTGCAGCGTCCCCGTAGCAACCTTCGCGTGTTTAGAGGAGTCTTTTGATCGGCTATGGCCCAAGCTGATGGCGTCGGTACCGATATGACGCCTCTGGGTCCCTGGGAAAAGGCGGTATCAAAGCTTATCGCCATCGGACCCCAGGGCGGTGCAGCTGATCGACTGGGAGACATCAAGTGAGCTGAGCGCGTGTTTGGAACTTGACTTGGAAAAGACAACCTTCCGGAACATCATCAACTTTCCCGTTTTCAGGGAATTTATCCAGGATTTGTTTGTCTGCTGTGATCATATCACCAATCGTTTCCTTGCCAGCAGTGTTGCGAATCTTGTACGGCGCATCACCGTCTCCTATCCAGCAGTAACACAAACGACACCACCATGAAGCTATCATCAGTTACAATAGGCACCTCCGCCTTCTTAGCCGGAGGCGCTTCAGCATGGGGAGGTACGGAAAACAACCAATTCTCCTTCCTTTCCCTTTCTCCCCCATATAAGCGAACAATCGCAGGAACTGAACCACCACTAACACACACCGCCCAACAACACCAGGCTTCGGACACATCACCGTCGCCTACCTCGCCAGCAACTTCGTCTCCAACTCCACCGCGTCCTACTTCCACACCCTCCTGCGCAACGACACCGCCGATTACCTCGCCAACGTAGCCACCTGGGCCGACTCGATCCGGTACACCAAATGGGGCCGATGGACCGGCCCCTTGCACTACATCGACGCGAAGGACTCACCTCCCGATTCATGCGGCATCGTCTACGAGCGCGACTGCAAGCCCGAGGGATGCGTGGTCAGCGCCATCCAGAACTACACCTCTCGCTTGCTAGACCAATCGCTACACGTGGTCGAGCGCGCGCAGGCGGCCAAGTTCGTGATCCATTTTGTGGGCGACATCCACCAGCCGCTGCACACGGAGGACGTGGAGAAGGGCGGCAACGGGATATCCGTGTTCTTTGATGAGAGGCGGTTTAACTTGCACCACGTTTGGGACTCGAGCATTGCGGAGAAGATCGTCACGCACAAGAAGCATGGTGTGGGCAGGAGGCCGTTCCCGGCGGCCAAGAAGTGGGCGGATGCGCTGGCGGAGGAGATCAGGAGTGGTCAGTATAAGGCGAATAGTAGTGAGTGGGTGAAGGGGTTGGAGCTGAAGGAGGCGAGCGAGATTGCGCTGGAGTGGGCGGTTGAGGGGAATGCGCATGTTTGCACTGTTGGTAAGTTTTGTCCTCTGTTTCTTCGTGTCTCTTTTTGTCTGCCAGGGAACCGTCAGTTAACACTGCTTCCTTCACTAGTCCTCCCCGAAGGCCCCGAAGCCATCCGCGACCAGGAGCTCGGCGGCGCCTACTTTGAAGCCGCCGCCCCCGTCGTCGAGTTGCAGATCGCAAAGGCCGGTTATCGTCTGGCTGCCTGGCTCGATCTTATCGTCGCGGCTATTGGCAAGAACGAGACAATAAGCCCACCAACCCTACCAAGCCGGCCGGACGTTGTTATTGCGGAACAAAAGCCCATGATGATGTTGGGCGACCTATAGAACAGGCCTGGTGGAAGGCGTTTCTTGTGGACCTTGGCGTTGGAAGAGTATGAATCATGATCGTAATGAGCGTTTCGCATATGCATCTTTGCAGCGGTTCGTTTGGTTGAAGTTATCGGGTTTGGGAAGGGGCATTTCTGTGATGTTTTGGGTACAGAATTAGGATATGGATCAGGGCGCCAGGCACTGGATGGGTTTGTCAAGCCCTGGTAATGGTTAATGTCTTGTTTTGAGAGACCCTTGGGCGGCAAAGGCGGCAAATATGCTGTTTACCTCGAAACGCATGTCTATGTCTGCAATTATTTGCATCACGTAGGTCCAAGGTATGCTAGGTGGTCTTCATCACATGTATGTGCGTATGTAAAGTGTACATTAACGTGCCTGAGATACCCCTCAAGCGTCAATTTGGTCTTTACATGTCGGATGTCAACCGTCTTGGGGAGATTCCCCTCTGTGGCATGGGAAAAAAAAAAAAAAAAGCTAACCTGCCCTCATTCTCTGATTTAACATCACTGAGGAACATTCTTGAGATCCCTCATGTACATATTGGTCAACATTGCCTACTCTCCTGCCAAGTCGGCCCAATATCGTGTTGGACCTGGGTAGCCATGTTTCGTTCTGATAATCCTTTCGTTCAGCCAAGCGATTAACTCCACTTGAAAAGGGACATGAAGGCCTTACAACAGCATTCATGTTGTATCAACTCCTACGCATGGAGCTGAGTTTACGATATCTTGGGTATCAGAAAGTTCACAAAGAGTGCCGCTTCTTCAAAGACAACCACCAACAGCATGAAAAACCGAATCGGGTATTCCGTCAAAGCTAGAAACCGGGGAGGAAAGATCGCCGTCCCGCCGGTGGTTGATGTTATCATCACGTCTGTGGTTAGTTAGAGAAGCAACATCCATGTGCCAACATGGCGTTTGAAACAGTCGGGGGTTGATTGGGTGCACTGCACAACATCGGCTCGGCATCGGGATCACAACTCCAAAGTCTCCAGGAGTATCTTTAAGTTGGGTTCCGGGTGCTCATTCATCATGACAAATAGAGTGAACATGATGAGAAACGGCTTGCTCCCACGTGAGAAATTGTAAATTCCCACTCGACTCGAGCGTGTAGTATTGAAACGCCATGGTAGAAGAGATTGAGGGTTTTAGAAGTGAAGTGTATTGGGCATCCTCCGGGGGGATGACATGTCTCAGGATGAGCATGGGCCGAGTCACATCCTTGTTGCGAATCGGTCTTGGATAGATATTGTACAGATTTGGAGGTTCAGCAGTATGTTTCGAATCGCGAGGCCGATGGCAGCCTGATGTGTAATTGTCAGCAGCACAGACAGTGATTGTAAGTTTTGAAGTGAAGAGAAGGATGAAAGTGTCGATCTCCTTCCTGATATCGAGGCTTCTGGAAATTGGACATGACCTCAACTATGTATGACATGGGATGCCTTGTTGACATTGTGAGGGTTTCCCACTTGGCGAAGATGAAAGTGCCGTCTTAACCGTACTGTCGGGTGAGAAGCACGCCTGGGCGCTACCTCAGACATCATGCGGCTCATCGTTTCCAATGAAGAAACAAGCATATGAAAATGGTGCGGTCTGAAAGTTGGTCTTGACCTGGAGGGGTCCCGTTTGAGTGGACGAGAAGGGAATTTCGTTCTGTGTTGAAGACACTTGATGTGGGGAATATCATGCTCGATCCTGCGGTGGATTTACTTACAAGTATGTTCCTCTTCAGTTCGGCCTCGTGCTACAATATGTTATGATAGGAGCGAATGGAGGACAACGAACAATGGGCACGAGTGGTTGTGCCTGTAGACGGACGGGGATCAAGCGGAGTCCGGATGGGAGCCAGGGGATCGATGTCCATGTTCTAAAATCGGGATTAAGGCCCTGATCGGCAAACTGCACGCCCGGCTCGTGCAGAGGGTTTTCAACGAGTTTTAGAGGCTTGGTTACAATGCAAATGGATAACCTCTTCTTTTACCAAAGTCGCTTTCCTTCTTTCGTCGACGCCCGTGCCTTTTTTCTTCTAGCGCCTTGGCTAAGCTTGGAATTGTCGTCTCTGCACGCGCATTCGCCAAGACACAATGTACCGATTGATCCACCCTATCCACCTCCAAGCCAAGCACCAATAGCAATCTGAGTTTCGTCTGCACGCCAACTCTTATTGACGGTTTTTTGGTGTTTCCAACAATGGTCCCCAGACCACCCTCGTAAGAGCTCGTGCAGACACCGCGTGCAGACACCGCGTGCAGACGACGATACTTCCTCTCCACCCCACCCGACTCCACACCTCTCAAGTATTCTTCGCAAAGGCTACATGGCTAGTATAGAATTGATGCGTGGCTAGTATAAACCCACTTTTCTGGGTGTGCAGCCAATCTCTGGCTCCCAACCGCGCCCGCCAACTTCAAATCGCTAAGTGCATTCACGCGCGCCCTCTTTCGTGCTTCAATTGAGTTGAAGCTATCGCTATCTCCTTCGCTGTCGCTATCGCTGTCACTGTCAATCGCTGTCACTGTCAATCGCTGTCACTGTCAATCGCTATCACTATCAATCGCTATCACTGTCAATGGGATCGTCAGTAGTGTACTTCGTTTGCGGCTTCCCTGTGATCTACTACGACGCTTTCGCTTCTTAGTCTGTTGTTCCTCAGAATCTCAGATGGATCGTAGACCTGCTCTCCCTTGTCTAGTTTGTCGAGAAGCGCATCCCACTTATCCAATTCTTCGTCAAGATGGTAGCAAGACGGCGACACAAATTCCAACAACTCTGAAGCTAATTGACTAAATTAGAGACTCTGAATGACTTCAAAATAACGCGGATTTGGTGATGCGCCTTGTAAGTTTTCACACGGCTGACACAGCTGAGATATGGTTGCGCGGCTAGAAAAGTGGGTTTATACTAGCCACGCATCAATTCTATACTAGCCATGTAGCCTTTGCGAGTATTCTTTTACGTCTGCACTCGCCGGGCGTGCAGTTTGCCGATCAGGGCCTAAGCTCTCGTTCCTGCATGAGGAGGCGTCCACAAGGGATGCTAGCCCAGAAACAGTGGGGCATCTCTAGTGGACAAGCGCCAAGGGGGCCTGTTAACGACAACTTCAAGCGCTGTAGACATTGGGCGTGGTTAGCACAGTCAATTCAGGTCGATGAGGCTGATCTCATTGGAACTCACCCTGATCTCCGGACTGGGTGCCTTATGAGATGAAGCAGTTGGACGGTATGACGTCGATGTTTACTCGGTTGCTCAGACCACAGAATACTGGCGGTTCTCTGGGGAGTAAAGTGTTGCTTGAAGGTCCGCTCATCGTACCTGTAGAGTATGACATAGAGTTAAGGATCATTATGTTTCATTTACCAATAGAGTAGTCCAATATTCTGCGGACGGGGTCAAAGATATGAAATGGCGATGATCAGTCCGGCACGGAGTTTCTGTACCGGCGACCAAAAAGAAGCCGAATGCCGGGCAAGGCCGGCAACAAGACGGAGGTAGAAATATCGGATATCGGCTGCAATCCGGGTGGGCCAAGAGAAAACACTGCAGGTTCGTTCTGTCTCGTTGGGTGTTTTTTTTTTTGTTTCGTGCGAGTCCCTCCACCGGTTCCTCGCGATGCAGGAGCTTCCACCAGGAGTTTTGGGCTGGTCTTGGCCCAATACAGAACCCGTTATTGATGCGCATTCGGGCGTAATGGAGGGTTTCTTTTAGACAAACATCGGTGCCTTGTGTTGTGTTGATACTGCATGTGCCTGACAGAAATGTTGGGAACTCCTTGTCCAGGTATCAACGGGTTGTGCTAGCACGGCTAGGGACGGAGAAGGGTGAAGAAGTGGAAGAGGTCAAAGTTGAAGTTGTTGCGGGCAGTCTCTCGCCTTGCGGAAAGTGGGGCTAGAGTGCACTAGCGCTTCATCCCGAGACGCCAAATGCTGGATCGCCCTTTACCGGCTCATGTGATTGGCTGAAAGTAACAGGACCCTCGTCGCTTCTGGCACACAAGTCGCTTCATCAACACCTATCAACCTCACCTCTTCTCTTTCCACTGCACACTCTCTCTTTGCTTTTCTCCCCAAACATTCGTCGACATTACTCCGAGTCCGTCATTTGCAATTGAAATGATTGAGTTGACGGCTTCGATGGCATTTGCTATCTGTTTTCCAGGCTTCTTTGATATGCGAATCCACTCTCTTAACTGCTGTTGACGGTGGCCGTTGGGGATCTCAATCAAGCGCGATCTCTGGCGTCAATATCACCATGGGACCTTCGGTCGTTCTAGGGAGCGGCTTTTGCGCCAAGTGCAAGACCCCATGGGGTATATCCTAGAGGTATCCATGGATGTCCATCCAGTCGGTTTGACCTTTGGCAGCCCCTTTCCATGCTACATTTCCTTGTGGTACCCTTGTATCACGTTTGAGATCGTAGAGACACACAACCCCCAAACCCCTCTCCGTCCGTTCCGACCTCCTGCCGGCGATCCATGATGCAGTATGGTCCTGGTTTCGCGGTCAGAGAACGGCTATAGAGAAAACTCGGTTGGCAGACTGGGGGAGGGCTATCCAAGACAGATGCCTACCCTGGCCGGCACCCTGTCGTGTTCTCGTGGAACAAACTTCTTAGCTAGCCAGGATATAAAAAACGATGACCATGGCTTGGTGCCTCAGCATGCCCAGCTTTCTATATTACTCCTCCACTTCTCCCTCCTCTTCCTTTCCATGCTCTATTTTTACTGGTGGTGGTAGCGTGTTTCTTTCATTCGTTCCTTTTCGACGCACGTTGTATATACCCAATTAGCCGACACCGGGTGTCAGTCATTCATTCTCTTCTTGCAGTCAGCTTTGATATTACGGTCTGGAACCATTTTCAACGCTTTACGTCTTACGCTTTACTTCGACTCCCGTGCGCTCCAGGAGCCTGGTTTTATCCTTCCGAAAATCCCTACCGAATTCGATCTTCCGCAGCGAAGCTTCAGTATCAACCGTCAACATGCTTATGAAGACTGCTCTCACTGCCCTCTTGGGCTTGGCCATGGTCGCCGACGCAGCCATTATTCCCAACACCGACTCCTCGTCACTCGAGCGAAGGGAAGGCAACAAATTCAACAAGAACCGTGCCCAGGGGCAGTTTAATGGTCAAAGGGGCGGCAACCGCAACTCTGGTGGAAATGGTGGCAACAATGCTAAGGCCGGTACTCAGAACGGGAATGCCAACAAGGGAGGCACCAATACCTGTCTCGCTGCGGGCGCCATTCAGACGGGTTCTGCATCAACGGGTCAGAGCGGTAGTGCGGCGGCGGATGGCCAGGTCAACTCCAAGACGTACGTTGAAAGCAATATCATGAGTTCTGCGATGTTCTTACTGACCTTCTAACAGCGATAATGCCAACTTCATCAACTTCTGTAATGGCCAGACCTTGACGAACGGTCTACAAATCAAGACTGGTTCCTGCAACGGCATTCGTACGTGGACTCCCTAGAGACATATCAAGACACCAACTAACAGTTTGCAGCCATGGGCAAGATTCCTTCCACCGACAAGATGATTTCCACCGTCGTCCTCAACCCCAAGAACAACGACAATCTCCAGGCCGGCAAGACCTTCACCGTCAAGGTCAAATTAAGTAACATCGCGCTGGGTTCCTTTACCAACGCTACCAGCACTTACTACTCAGCTCCTCAGGATCTCGACGGCTCTGGTAAGGTTATTGGTCACACCCACGTCACTGTTCAGAACACGGGCAACACATTGAACCCCACAGAACCGCTCGATGCCACGCAGTTCGTCTTCTTCAAGGGTATCAACGATGCCGGCGACGGACAGGGTACTCTGTCGACCGACGTGACGGGAGGTCTCCCCGCGGGCAACTATCGTATCTGCACCATGACCTCGGCGGCCAACCACCAGCCTGTTCTCATGCCTGTTGCGCAGAGAGGTTCCCAGGAGGATTGCCGGTACTTTACCGTTTCCAACAACGGCGGCGGCGGCGGCAACAACGGCGGTAACAACAACGACGCCAGCAACAAAAACAATGCCGGTAACAACAACAAGAACACGGGCAAAAACAAAGCCGCCACCGGCCAAGCCATCGCCGGCATCTCCGCTCCCGCCGTCACCAACTCGGGCAACGCCAGCCGTCCCTTCGCCGTCAACGGAAACACCTTTGTCAACAAGGCCGCCGCCGTCCAGCGCGCCTGCGCGATCCAGAACAACGCTTGCTCGGATGCCGTCAACAGCGGTAAGGCATCCGGTGTCACGATTCAGCAGTGTAACGCTCAGGAAACTGCTTGCAGGGCTGCTGGTGGTGCTTAAAGTGCGCAAGTGTCCAAGTGCTCTCAAGTGCTGTCAAGCAGGATGACCTATGGACCAAGCTACATCACCGAAGCGAAGCAAAGTTGAAGTTCGGCTTTTTTGGGTATTACAATCATGACGAGCAGTTGATTGATGATTGTTGATTGTTCCTTCAACGTGTTGTTGATAAGAAGGGACGGGGACGGGGACCAGGGAGTTCTAGTTTTCGTGTATGATATAAACGTTGGATACCATTATTTTCACACAAGCCTTTTTTCGCATGCGCATCATGAGAATGCAACGCAACATATTTCTTTTCCATGTCAATTTTTGGTTTACTGTCTTTTCTCTCCCGCCGTGAAAACAAGAAATTCCATAAAAAAAACACATACAACTGCATTTTCTCGTCTTCCGTTTTCTTTCTTTCATCCCACACACTCCGTCTCCGCCAGATGGAAGATCGCATCAAAGAAAGGTAAGAATTCGGGTTCGGATCTAGCCTTTTCCATGGGGAGCGTGTTACACCTGTCGTCTCATGTTCTCGAACCCGGGCCCTGGGTCGGTGTTTCGAACCACCGACCCCTCGTAATGCAACACGCGAATCCATGGCACGCGCTGAAACCGATGATCCGTTGGTACAACCCAAAAAAAAAATTTCCCTTTCTAAGGCCGGTGGGCTGGGAGGAGCCTTATTATGGAAGGTGTTAGGTCTTACCTTGAAAGTTCGAACAATGCTCGTTGTTGCCCTGTCCCTTGTGCATTGTGAGTGAGTCTTTGGGGGAAAGAACGGTCGAAAAGGGGGCCCCTGAAGGCGTGCATTGACCTCCTTCGGTTGGGGTTTCCCGTCCTTCGAAGACGATGATGCCCTTGGGGGTGAACCGAATGGCACAAGTCACTTTATCCATTCAAGAAGGTCACGTTCGGTTCGATTGCTGTCCGCGCGTACGGTCCCTGGGTTGCGCCTTGCGACGGACGAGCAAGCATTTACTTGTACATGCAACCCGTAGCGAGGTGTTCCTCGTTTTAGTGACAGGACCTGATGAGGTCATACACATACCGACAGGTCGCTTGACCCGTTTACCAATCCAGACTTCTTAAGCTAAGTTTGCCTGGGGGGGTAAAGTCGCTCCTAGAGGTACACAAAGGGCCATTGACTAAGTACCTAGGGAAGACAACTTCGGCTTAAAACCCACAGTCCTATCCAACAAAGAGGTCGGCCATATGTAGAATACTTCTTACAACAGGGGAGAACTAAAGAAGTGTACGTAGATGTGGAAAACAGACAAGAACAAGTGACGAGAAGCTATTTTCTTTCGAGTTCCTCGAAAACATAAGAGGGAAAACGAAACAAAAATGCTTCATTGTGTAAATAACCTCTAACCAACCAACCAACCAAGCATCCTATGCCAGCCCCAGCCAGTCACCATGCCACCCACCTAAGCCGAACCATGCCCACCCATATCGCACCTCAGATCATACCAGGTCAGACCAGACCATACAAACAAACAAGACAGATAAAAGACATCCAAATATGTCTACGTGTTGTGTCTTCAGCAACTTTCTTTCCCCTTCGCATATCATCCGTCCATCCATTTCATGCAACTAACTTAACTGACCGACCCCGTCGGTCAGCCAACTCTCGACATCAACATGAACAACAACAACTCTACCATTCAATACCAACCAATCAAATACCCCTAACGACAACAATCCCCCTTTTTCCAATTACAACAAAAGTATAAGGGCCCTTTTGCCCCACCCATGAGAAGACCGGACTGCCAAAGGTCTGTTTTTGTCCCTTATCCTCGGAAGCCGGTAAAAGTTCGACATAGATGGGGGTTTGGGTTAGGAAGAGAGATAGTCAACTTAGCCGCCCCAACTCGTCCTCAAGAACTTATCCACCGGAGTCCTTCCGGCGGAGAGGAAAAGGCACCACGAAAGAACTACCCGAAAATGTCAGAAACAAAATGACATTTAGCGGGTCTTCTTGCGCTCCCTTCTGGCCTCCAGGTCACCCTCCGCTAGCCACCTGCTGGCCTTGACGAGCTGGACGACGTTGATGATTTGCTTGAGCATCATGACGGGGAAGGAGACGATTGCGATGATCCAAGGGACGGTGGAGTCCTAAAGACGCAAACGGCAGGTTAGTCAACTGTTAAGCTACCTAGATTTCTAGAATGAAGTCGGGGAATCGTGGCTTACCATCTTGTTGGCACGCGCCAGCTCGAGAGCCGCGGCGCTGTAGGGGTTGGCCTGCTTGATCTCGGGAACCTGCTCCAAAAGGCCAGGAGAGAGGAGAGGGCTCGAGAAGGAGAGCAGGTAGAGGGCAATGAAGAAGACCTCATTGAGGGCGCAGCACAAGAAAAGAACGGTCTGTAGAGTTTATGTCACCAGATGTCAGCTACTACTTCTTCTCCCCAATCAAAAGCTCCGAGAATAGATAGACAAGAACGCACCCTGTTGGTATAGTAGAGATTAAGAATGAAGCTCCTCGACTTGTCGACGTTCTTGTGGCTCTCATCCGAGCCGCCCATGGCCAGAGTGGCGTACATGTGCATGTAGTGGCTGGCCATGTCGAGGGCGATCAGGCCCTGGAAGACAATGGACCACCGGGGGAAGGCGGAGGCGAGGAAGACGAGAAGGCAGGCCGTCGTGCAGCGGTCCGTGACCATGTCGAGCACGGCGCCGAAGCGGGTGGACTGGTCAAGGTAGCGGGCGGCATATCCGTCGAGAGCGTCGAGCAGACACGAGATGCTGTAGAGCAGCGAGCATGTTCGTGGGTGGAGGGGCATGTAGTAGAGCGAGGCCACGGCAAGGATGATACGGGAGTAACCTGTAAGTAGGTGGGCCAGACCCTGTTAGCAAGCCATTCACGATCTGATTATGCTTGGAGTTTACACAGGCGCAGGCCCAATGGGAACCCGAGAGAGAAAGGCCTGCCGCCGCGTAGACAAGAGGAAGCAGTGAGTGGAAGCATTCGCGAATCGTACCGATCAAGTTTGGTGCAAATAGGTAGATGTTCTCCCGTGGTTCGACATCCTTCCCACGGCTGACCTTCTCGGTGGCCGGCATGATTTCGTTCTAGGGGTTCCTGGGCTGAACACCAGGAGACACACTGCGCAATATTTTGAAGTTGTGGCAAGACTACTGTAGAGCTGCAGCTTGCTTGGCCGTTTGGTTTCTCGAGCTCGGCGCAATCAATTAAAAGGGTGTCCGAGGGTTCCGCTTGGTGTAGAAGTCAAGTAGAGAAACGGAAGGGTCAAAACTCGGGAATTCGGTGAATTAAAGAGTTATCGTGGGCCAGTTGTTCAAGTTGGCAGTAGCTGCGTGTTGTGCTTGGTGCGGAAAATCGGCGAACAGGGGGTTGTTGTGTGGACGAGATGAAGCGATTAGAAAAAGGAGGGAAGACGGGATAGGGGAAAAGAGTAAAGTTCTTGTGTAAAGTGAAGGTGAGGCAGCTGGTGGGATTCACAAGCTGAGAGAATGCAGTAACAGAACTGAAGATGCTATCGTAAGCTGAGGTGAGGCAGTGAACAACGTGGTCAGGAGAAAAGAGCCGGGTTCGGGTTCCAGTTGCGGTGCGTTGCCAGGCCGGAATTCTGGATTCTGGAAGCTGTAATACGTAGCTGGGTGGATGATGTGAAGTGATGGATGGATGAGGCGCTGGTGCCCCCGGGCCGGGTACTTGGACGTTAGCGAATGGGGCCAACTGGAGCGGACTGGAGCGGCCGACTGGAGCCCTCGGGCTTTTGATTCACCTCTGGAAGGGCCGTCGGCACGGCGCCCATTCTACTTGCCTGCCGCTTCTGCCCGCTATTTTGTTCGGTCACGGCGCCGAGAAACTGCCCTCAGTTGCTCAGTAAGACGTCAGTGATCCGTGCTTGAACATTCAGTGGTGGGACCTGCATTCGACTTGGCAAGAGGCGCTCGTTATCTCCTTATCTACCCCTGATGGAGATTATGCAGTCTTCCCGATCTGTTGTCACGACGGGTTGTGATGAGGCTATTCCCGTCACCACAGCGCTGGGACTCGCCCTATATTTCTGATGTTAAGCATCGTCCTTTGTCATTCAACGTCAGCTAGACCAATTCATATGTGCATTGTCTACTTCATAATGAGCAGTGTCCTGGAGCACTTGATGACTGAGCTTGTAAACCATTTACCATGCTTATGCTGTAATAGCCCCGCTGAACTCTAAAGTCTGTTTATACAAAACATGCTTTTCGCTTCCCCGACGAACTTCATAACTATTTCTTCTTGCCCTTACCTCCCTTACCACTTCCTCCTTTGCCACCACTTCCACCCTTACCACCACCCTTCCCGGACCCTCCTCCACTCGAACTACCAGCACGACCACCAGAGTGCATCACAGTGACCTTTCCGACAGGCACGCAGTTGAAAGCCTCTTCAACCTTCAGGCCCTTGATGAGGTCCCTCTCTCTCGGCCAAATCTTTTCCGGATCCGACGACGACTCATCAATCCAGCCCTGCTTGCTGGCCGCCAACCTCCACCGCTCAACAATCTCTTTAACTGCCTTGCCCTTCTTTGTATTTCCAGGCTGCAGCTTCGTCTTGTACTTGACCTTGTTCAGAGCATTCCACGGCGCGCAGATCGGTACCACCTCCAGAATCTCGTCGCCCGCAAGTGGGGTGCCCAAAAGCGTCTCGAGCGGCGCCATCTCCATCGCCATCTCGGACTCGTCCAGAGGCATGTCCTCGCCTTCCTCCATCATTAGACGACGGACCTCTTCGTGTTCGGCGATCTCCTTCTTCACGCGCTCCTGTTGCTGACGGCGACGCTCGCGAGCGGCAGCAGCCTCGGCTTCGGCCTTGGCTTTGGCAGCGGCTTCGGCTTCGGCCTTCTGACGGGCAGCCTTGACACCCATGAGCTCTTCCATAAGGGCACGGTCCTCCTCATCTTGGTCCTTGTACTTGGCCGCAATCTTCTTTTGCTTGCCGCGCTGGCCACGCTTGGCGGGCGCCTTCTTCGCAGGCTGTTGCTTTTGAGGTGCCGTTGATGACGAGGGAGTGCCGGCCTGTGCTGCAGGTGATGGCTGGTATGAGTCTTCCTCATCCTCCTCTTGGCCCTCTTCCTCTTCGTTCTGTGCAGCGGGTTCCAGTTCCGCTGGGGACTTGTTGTCCTCATCGGAACCCTCTCCAGTAATCTCTAGGTCTGCCAGCTCTTCCGTTGGTGGCTCTGCGCCTTGGGCAGCATCGCTTTCAACGGAATCGTCTTGTCCAGGACGCTGCGAGTGCAGGGGATTAACTCTCGCCTTTTGGTTTGCAGCATCCTCGTCCTCGTCATCACTCTCGGACTCTTCGTCGGCCACAGGCTTTTGCTCGTGGGGGCTCTCTGCACGTTCGGACTCGGCATCCAGAGAGTCGGCACGACCTCTCGTCTTGCCTTCTCCAAAGTCATAGACCCTATGGCGAGTATGCTTGGACTTGCTGTCGTCGGATACCCTGAAGAGCAGACCGAAACCAAGCGTCAGTAGCGCCGGAGGCAGGAGGTTACGCCTTCCCCGAACCATGAACGATCCTACCGGCAGGTATTCGCCAGTGGGCGCGCTTTTCGAGACCTGGTCGGCATTAACCCACCAGGCCCCCATGCCGGCCTTCGAATCCCAAGCACTAGAGCAGCACACTGACAAGTTGCCAGCCTGGGCAAGTGTCGATGGCGGAATGGGCGCATCAGGTGTCTTTGGGTTATTCTTGATGATAACGCTTGCAGCTCCGTGAACATCCGCGTGAACGTAGACGTCACCCTTCCTCAGATACCGCTTGTATAGCATCTCGTTCTGTTGCGCATCACGGCCTCCGAGAACGAGATAACCGTCTGAGGAAATAAACCAGGTGAACTTCTCGAACCACATTTGCTTCCTGATGGGTTGAAGGACTGGTTTCTCTTGCTTGAGACCCTTCCTGAGATCCTCGGCAATCTTCTGCTCGGCGTTTTTCAAGGCGATGACCGACTGTTGGACAGTCTTTTGCGCCTTGTCGGCAGCTGTCCGCTTCTGGTCGTAGTACTCTCTGGCGTTGTTCCAAACGCTAAGTGTCAGGTTGATATCGACTTCAAGGCGTTTGACTGGCGCCTTGTCCTTGGTTGTTTCAGCCCCGTCGGCATCGTCTTCATCATCGCTGTAATCGAACTCATCATCCTCTTTGTCGTCATCACCCTCTTCCTCTTCTTCTACGCCTTCTCCTAGCAGTAATGTGATGGTGTTCTCCTTCAGCTTCATCGGCAACTTGATGATTTCTGCAACCGGGTTGCCCTGCTTCTGCTCCTTTTCAATCAGTTTCGTGATGTCGACCCAGTCCATGCCTTCCTGTAGCAGGCCGTTTACGGCATCCATGGCTTCTTGGACACGTTCAATATTGGCTTGAATGGTCGCCGCCTTGCGGTAATTTAGCGTCTCCATCTCTTGCAGTCCTTCTATTCGCTTAGCTTGGTCCATACGGGCAGCTTCGAGCTTTCTCTTGGCAGCAGCCTCGCGCTCGCTGAGCTTGGACTCTAGCCTTTGTCCCTCGAGGGATGAGAAGAACTCATCAACTGTCTTGTTGTAGCCGACGAACGGCAAGATGCGATATGCCTTATTATCCTCGAACTGCTTGGGCAGGAACGGTTGGAAATCCTCGTAGAGGAGGTTTTTTGCCTTTTCGGCTGGTGGCGCATCGACGTCCACCTCTGCATCCTCAAACCCGGGCCTAGGCTTAGCGATGATGTAACCATTGGAAACAGAAGAATCGGTGACCTCGTCAAGAATTTCTCGTGCTTGCTGGAGGGTGTCGAATAGCTTGTCTAGGAGGGAATCGTCGTCCAGGATCTCGGCAGGCTTGGTGGCTGGGTCGAAGCTGGTAAGGCGGAAGACATGCTCGACGAGAATGGGCGGTAGCTCTGTGATGGTGGTCGCAAGGCCCCTTCGGAGCTCGTCGGCGCCCTTCTTCTTGATCTTCTTACCGGCAGCTTGATCAGCGGCTACCTTTTGGACTGTGCTCTGCAGCGCATCCCTCAGACGCTCCTTGGTCAGGGCAGGAACACCTCCAAAGTTCTGTCTGTTTTCAAGCGTGTAGGTCAGACCAATGCGCTGGGGTTCCTGGCCTTCGCCCTCGGGAACATTGCGGAGCAGAGCCAAGATCTTGAGGTCGGAATCGGTAAGAATGATGTTGCCGCTAGCAAAGAATTCGAGATAAAGTCGAAAGGCGCCATCGCTGAACTGGAACTCGATGATGCGGTCGGTGCCGATCTGCGAGACGGAGGTACAACGTCGAGTCTTGAGGTATTTGCGAAGCCTGGCGACGAATTGGCTGGGTGCTGGAGAGGCAGTGCGCACAAAGTCGGTCAAATGGCAGCGGAAGCCGGATTCGATTAGGAGCTGTTGCCTGTTGTCGGGTTTGGCGAACTTGAGGAGGAGGATCTTGGAGTTGAGGTCGTAGATGTTGGCCAGGCGCAGCGACACCAGAGCTTCGGAGAGCTCGTGGGCCACGACCCTGACGTCGAGAGAGGAGAATCGCTGCTTCATCTGGGCTTCTGTCGTTGGAGATACCCGATGTTGAGCTCGGTTCAGGTAGTAAAGATATCAAAAATGGTGATGGCGAGGTCAAATTTCTGAAAACAATTCATGCGACAAGATGTCATGGCGGGGTAGTGGGGTACATGGGTACTTTTGTTGTCCTCTTCCAGCAGTTCCGGGGGCAAGCAGTCACTCGCCGAGCGCCTTACGTCAGCACGGCAGTCCGTCCAAGCTCTTCCACTTTCATCGATGTTAGCAATGCGATGGCCAATCACAGTGGCCGCTGCTCACTGTTCTGTCCGCCGGTCCTCTGAAGGTGGTGATGTTGAGTTCGAGAAGGCATCATGATGATCCTTCCTTTCAAAATACAAAACTCGGAGACGGAAGAGGAAGGTCAGACCTCCACCGGGGGAGACTCGTCTGCTCCCCTCGGCAGAGTACGGCGACGTTGGTAGTCGCGGAAGCATTGATATGTGAGCGCGAAAGCAAAGGCACCGGCAACCATGCCCACGATGATGGAAAAGGCGATACGGTTTTGCCAATGCATCCTGAACTCGTCCTCTTCCGAGCAGTCGTGCTTCACGGATTTGATGTTTGTTCTGGGCTCGCGAGGTTAATAAGATACAGAATAGTAGGCGGCAGAGGAAGGAAACTCGATCTTCATCTCATCGGAACTCTCAAGGTTTCCATTCCAAATTGCGGTGTTGCGCATCACAGACCGCAGGTGAGGATTTCTTGAATATCTCCATGAGTCCGGTACACCGAAATGGCCATGTGCGGGCGATAAACCCGCAAGTACTTTGCTCGTTGGTCGATTTGGCTGAAAGTCCAGCCTCAAGGCTCGATTTTATCGAAACGCTCATCTCATCTACGGATTCATAAGAGGCATGTTGGTTCAATCGTTTTCAGCACGGGCTCACTCATTGTCACAGTTAGACACGCTCGGTACAACACCACAAAAGAGCATTGTCTGACCCAGACGGGACTACCTGGAGACACGGGGCAACACTCTGTCAAACAGCTCTAGATGACCCGTCTGAGATCCGGGTCAAGTCGAGTCGACACGATGATTTACGCGGTTTATTGCCTGCCGCCAGAGAAGGAGACAGAGACATGGCTTGGAAGGGAGGTTGGCCATCGTGAAAATCGCCCGCTGCTGTCGTAGCCTCACGAACATCAGCGGTTGGCTTGCTTGGCTTCAGAGGACGGATTGCTACGACAGGATGGCATCTGGTCAATATTCCGCTGATCTGTGGTTCCTGTGGACAGATACACCGAAAGTTGTCTCGTCGTTACCGTTTTCACAATCACAATGTGTTGGTGTTGTCAGTGTTCCTTGGTGTGTTAGCAGGTGGGCCGTCCACCAACACCTCAGTCGACCACCGCCGATGTGGCCCTTGGCTGCGCATGCGCTAGCCAGCAGCACCGCCAGTTGTTCACTTGTTCCTGGCATGCTGTCTGCACCACGCAGAACGCAGCAGCAGGGCAGATGTAGGGGACAAGCGGCACGGGACCGGGACTGCAAGGGGTAAAAGAAGATCAGTGCCGTGACGTGCGCAAGGCCCGCAGCTACAGCGTACACGGACGTATCGCGTAGAGCCTCCGAACCAAGAAATCTCGCGGGAAATCTGCGCCGTCTGGGTCCGGGGTGGGCACCGGTCGTCCTCCTGTCATTGCCCATTTTCCAGCTCCCCCCACCGCACATTGCGTATCCCGAGATCCGGTCCTCCGAGGCCGTGTTGCCAACATCGTACCCAGCGGCAGACGTCAAAAGAACAGCTGCTTCTGCCGACCTTCCATTCCGTCACAGGCTTCGACACGTGTAGATCGGAACGGAACCACCCTCCTCCATCCCGTCGGTGAGGCTCTGTGGACATGTGCCACCAACCATCACCAGGGAAGGGAAGGGAAGCTTCCGGACTGGCGGGTTAGCCCCATCTGAGGCTAGCGTCAGGAACGCGCGATCCCGAGGGGACGTTGCCGGGTCACCATCTGCAACAGCGACAGCTGTCCTGAGAGAAGAAGACGAATCCGCACTTCGGAGCATTACGATTCGCGTTGCCGTTACGGGACAAGCGAGCGACAGGAGAGGCTCCATCGAAGGGTGCATCGCGTCCTTTTCCTTCACGAGACAGCGTTACAACGTGCTGATCCAGAACCACAAAACCGAGGCGTCAGACGGCAGAAAGGAGAACGCTGCCGTCACGGCGCTGTTCAAACCATGAACGCCAGGCCGAATCAGATCTGCCGCCAAAGACTAGACACCAGTGGAAGCAAATCGATCGACCAGTCTCATTTTACAGGCAGTCTTACAGGCAGTCAAAAGCCCGGTTGTAAAATGTATCGCCTGTTGTTGACAGCTTGCGAACTTTCCACGTTCACGACGCCATTTGTCAGACAGTGAACACGTTGGTGGAACAGAACGCCGCGACTAGGTAAAACTGCGACGACTCCACGAGACCGACAACGCGGCGATGCCGTTTCCCGTTACTCATCGGCCTGCCACTGGCTTGAGCGTCTGGGTAGGCGGCTATCCAAATAAAAAAAAACCTAGCGGTTCATGGAGGGCTGAACCTCTTAAACAGCCCAATGGAAACGTCCCATGGTTACCTCACGTGCTTTTCCCTACGCGACAATAACCGCAGAGGGCAACACTGGAAACATTCTCATGGAACAAAAAAGAGGCTGGGAAAGGGATCGAGACTTTGTCGGAAACGCCAACTGATACCCACAGCTTCCATTGATCCACCATTCAGGTTTTTCGGCTTCTAGCCTGCAGCTCTACTGCAGGTCGCTGCTGCAGCCGAGGGTGGTCGCTGAAGGGTTCGAAACCGCTCATAATTTCCCAGCCACCTATCAAGGAGCTGAACCACGCCTTGTGTTGCAGCAGCTGTTGCAGCAAACCCGAGATCTTTCTGTGGTCCCCGACTGGCTCCCTCTGTCTCTCTGTTCGTTTGGTGGTGATGGTGCTGTGATGGTTATGATGGAATGGCGCTGGCCCGACCTTGCGGCCTGTTGTCGTGATGCCGATACGCACCGGGGCTGATGGCCCGGCCATGCCCTTTCCCATGTCTTCACTCTCCATTCCTCCCCCTCGCTCCCCTCCTTGACCTGGGGGGGCTTACCAACCGACATGAGTGGCGTGCAGATGCAGCGCTGAGCAGTGGACCAGTCGAGCCACTGCTCCGGTCCGTTGCCTGTCACAAATTGGAAAGGAATGGGAGCATCATTGGCATCCAATCTGCCTATCCATGACGACCTCTGGGCGACTATTGAGGGCTGGACCTGTCTACAGGCTCTACACAGCCGTCGCACAATCTCTGGAACAGGTCCTGTCCTGGCGTTTCACCTAGCAGGTCCTAGCAGTCGAGCTCTGCTAGTTGACTGCCAAGTCGATGATGGCTTCAGCGGAGCTGCTGAAAAAACAAGCGACAACCTCGGCAGAACTGGCGGTATATGAACGCGAAAACGGGACTTGGCAGGAGGCAACAAGTCATGTTCGGCGATCGAATGGGTCGGCCGCGACGATTGATCGAATCGAAGGCGATGTGGTGCTTGCCTGCTCCGCTCATGTTCAGCTCACCTCGAGCTCCCATCGTGGTCGTCTGGGAGCTTGGACCTAAGCTCGATTGGGTCTCAGGCCTCGCTGGCCGTAGCTGGCCGATCCCAGAAACGAGATTCGCGAGGGGGCTGGGGACTCGCTGGGGACTCGCTGGGGAAGGGGACCGGGCGGCCGAGCAAACAGAGACGAATCAGGAAGCAATCATACGGGCCCCTGGCGATGCACTAAGCCCCTTTTGCTTTCGATAAACAAGCTGTTCCCCACACCACATGTGCGTAAACAGATGAACGGCAGAACCGCAAACCCGTCAGAAAGGGCAAAAAGGAGAGAAAAAATGGTGGATATTCGCACAGCCGGGACCTGGAAATCCCACAATTCCTCCTGCCCATCCCATCTCCAAAGCTTTTATCAACCCTTCGGTACCTACAACTGCCCAGACATCACCGTCTGACCGTCCACTCTTCTGGCCGCTCGGCTTCTGTTTTGGCAGCCTGCACTGGCTTGATACTGGGTCAGTGGGTGCTGTAAGATGGTTATGATTCCATTCAGCGGCTTCCCTGTGTTATGAGATCCACGCTATCCGCGCAGCTGAAGCCTGGGGTTGAGTGAGGTTTATCCCCCAGGGGCAGTTCTGCCCAGCTTTGGCAGAAGATGAAGCTCTCTCGCCAGCGAGTCTCTCTGCCACACACCGCTCGCCAGCGATCCCATTGGAGGACCCCCCCCCCTTCTGGAGTGTTAGACCCCCTCTCCATTTCCCCAAGAAACTCTCCCCAACACATCAGACGCACATCGCCGTCGTCAACGCCCACGCGGGCCCAGCGAGCCTCCGTCTCCCTCCGTATCGCCCTGTTTTGCTTGTGATTCTCCCTACAAGGCCGGGCCAACCACCTCCCACAATCGGTAACGGTGGTCCCGTAATTCCCCCAGACGGACGCTCCGCTCATTATTTGAACCGGCCTTGCTCGTGGTAGCTTTGCCTGTCTTGATCTTCTCCTTACCATCTTCCCCAGTCAGCATCCGACCAGTCACAGCCAACCACAACAACTCCGGAATCCCCATCCTTTTCTCTACCCTCTTCGCAGAGGAATCGACTGAATCCGAGTCCAAGAAGACGGGTCGCACAGTGACCGCCTTCTTCACCTACGTCAATCGACTTCTTTTCATAGAGAAGCCAGAGACATTCTTTTCATCAATCTTTCGTATATCGAAAGGTTGATAGGAAAGACTGCCTCTTGCGCCGTAGAAAACCGCCAAACTGGATTTTGAGGCCCGTGTCCCCGTCCCTTTCAGCATCTTCCCGGCTACGTACCGGGAACCTGAAAAGGGCGTTCAAACTCATACGCACGTTCACGAGAAGGTTGAGGTCAAGGTCACCAAGCCGGCTCATGCTGCTGCTCACCATGGCCATGAGGATCACCACCATGCTCCCGTCCCTCCGGCTGTCCATGAGCTTCAGCCTCCCCGTGTAGAGCATCGCATCGTCGAGGAGGAGGTCCACATCACCGTTGAGGAGGAGGTTCACAAGGGAGACCACCACAAGGAGCATCACCACCATGAGCATCACCACCATCGCCCTGCCAGCACCCACTCGCACCACTCTCACCACTCGCATCACTCCCACAAGCCTCACCTGCCCCATATCCCTCACCTTCACCTTCACAAGGACGAGGGCCACCACCACCACCACCACGAGGAGGAGCACAAGGAGCACAAGCACCATCTCATTGACCACCTCACTGACAAGCTCCCCCATGTCCACCGCGCTCACTCGGTCAAGGACGAGGAACACCACAAGGACCACAAGCACCACGCCATTGACCACCTCACTGACAAGCTCCCTCACGTCCATCGTCCTCACTCCCACCACTCTTCTCACCACGATGTCGTCGAGGTGCACAAGACTGAGCATGTCCATACTCACACTCATGACCATGGCCATGGCCACGGCTCCCACGGCTCCCACGGCTCCCACGTTGGTCCGGTGATCGTTCCCGAGCCCAAGCACAACGACCACCACCACGCGCCGCACTATCCTCTGGAGCCTCAGGAGCACCATTCGCACACTCATGTGCACTCGCACACCAGGTGAGTTGATCGGTTTTTTTTTTTTTCTAGTGCAAGATCCGTTTCTGCGTTTTCACATCCCGTCACCGTTACTTTCCTTCCAGCCCCCGTTTTGAAACCGGACCCGCTCTTGGCCGGGGAGGGCTCAGGTGGGATTGCTGGCGTGTGTCTGCTTCCGCGGCGGTAACATTGAGCTGCAAACCAGTCCAGCTGGTAGACCCCTGGCAGAAGCGGCTGGGTCTCGCGCGAGTGCGTTGCAAATGGCCAGCTGGAGCGGTCTAGGGGCTGCCGAGCTCGTAAACCAACTGGTCTTGCTTGCTTTTTTGCTTCACCGCTCATGGTTACCTCCAGGCGCGGCAGACCCCCCCAGCCTCCTAAACATTCCCCTTTTTGTATTAGCTCCATGGTCCACTTACGATCAAGGGATGGAGCGGAAAAAACACTGTACCAAATCCCCTTTTCGGATCCCAGCCCTCTCAAGCCCTCTCATGTTCTGCTCGTCTCTACTGTCCTCTACGCGTATATCTAACCAGCAATTTCCTCCAGTGGTCACAACTTTTCTGAACCATCCTTCGAAAAGCCTCATCATCACCACTCCTCTTCTCATCATCAACAATCCTCCGACAGCGCCAGCGCTATCGACATTGCTGAGCATCAATACCGGTCCAAGTTCCAGCCCGCCTACCACAACGAAGGTCACCCAGTCGGTTCCACCCTCGAAGTCGCTAGCTACCGTCCCAGCCACAAGGAGTCCACCCACGTCGACGGCACTACTGTCGACTTCCCTGCACTCCCTGCACCCCCTAGATCCACTTCCTACAAGGAGAAGATCGTTGTCGACGAGACTACTCTCGACTTCCCCACCCACCGTCCGGCTCATAAGAAGGCACCCAGCCTCTACAGCGAGTCCACTGTCGACATCCAAGAAAACGAACTTTCTCTAGTCAAAGTTTCCAACAACAACACATCTTCCAAAATGGCTTTCTACGACGAGGACTGTAAGTACCCATCCATCATCCATCTTCATCCTTCCTTCAGACGCTTGACTTGTCTGTCTTCTCTCTTGGGGCAATAAGCTGACCATGTCTTCCTCCAACACAGCTCACGGCCACGCTGAGGCTGATGCTCAGCCCCGTGCCACCACCGGCACTGGCACCGGCTCTGCTTCCCAGACCGTCACCATCCCCTGCCACCACATCCGCCTCGGCGACATCCTCATCCTCCAGGGCCGCCCTTGCCAGGTCATCCGCATCTCCACCTCCGCTGCCACCGGCCAGCACCGTTACCTCGGTGTCGACCTCTTCACCAAGCAGCTCCACGAGGAGTCCAGCTTCGTCTCCAACCCTGCCCCCAGCGTCGTCGTCCAGACCATGCTCGGCCCCGTCTTCAAGCAGTACCGCGTCCTCGACATGCAGGATGGCTCCATCGTCGCCATGACCGAGACTGGCGATGTCAAGCAGAACCTCCCCGTCATCGACCAGAGCTCCCTCTGGAACCGCCTCCAGAAGGCTTTCGAGTCTGGCCGCGGCTCCGTCCGTGTCCTCGTCGTCTCCGACCACGGTCGCGAGATGGCCGTCGACATGAAGGTCGTCCACGGTTCCCGCCTCTAAATCGGGGGTTCCGTCATCCGTTCAATAATATGACTTTCCCCCTTCCTGGAATCGGACACACACGACAGAATGGTTGGGTTAATAAGGGCTGCTTGGATGTTATGATATGGTCTCTCTGATGTTGGGTCTGCTTTTTTACGCGCGTCTAGAAGATGGGTTGGATAATATGTATTGGTACCTCCCCATCCATGTATATGAAAAGTGTAATGGAAGGAGTCGTCAGTAATACAACCTTTAAACTCACGTCGTCTTGTTCCAATTGATTGTTTGTGAACGGCCATTGATTGAAGTGACTGTATTCTGGTTTTGCTGAAGGTCAGTTTACACCTTGGTTCACAGCTTCACCTAGCTTGGGATGTCAAACTAACATGGTGCATAGACTAGCGATGGCTTCGACTTCTGATTGGTAGAAGCTTGGTCGATCATTATCCTAACCAATCGTTGCTTGTTTCTTTTGTAAGTCGAACTATCGACACGCGTCAACGAATGGGAGAGCCAAAAGTCTTGATGGTGGGTTGTAGCCGGGGATGAAGCTGGGAGGTGCCCGGTCAGCCCGGTCTCCGGTCATCTCATCCTGAATCGTGTTGAAGGACAGGACAGACAGATCGAGGCAACCACCAGGAAAGCAAATGGTTCGCTCCTTCGGAAGGGAAAAAAGATTGCTGCGCCGTACGGCTGCAACTTGTACGCGGGTCATTGATAAGCAGCCCCTCACGGCATGCGACAACACGAGTCGACCACCTTCTCAATGAGGAGAAGCCTTGACCTCCTTCTCCACGCACCCCCGCGTTTGGAAGGGCGGCCTCGGGCCATCAAGGGACTCAGTCCGTGCCAACACCGGATGACTGTAATACAGGTCGAATCCCGAACCACTCATGATCATTCATCTCCCATCCTGCATCATTCATTCAAGCTGAGGTCCAATGGTGACAATCTGGAATCCGAACTCGAACAACACATCAGTCCACGCCAAGTAAGCAGTATCACTAGAGATCATCAGCCGCAGTCGCGATGGGTGCTTCACAGTCCAAGATCCCCTTTGAGGAGAAGGCCGTTATCAGCACGGACGATGAATACGTCCATGTTGAGAATGAGCTCACCGCTGAGAAGGAAACGATAACAAACATCGCCAAAAGCCGTAACCCCGAAGGTCTCTCCTTCGATACCGTCTCAAAATGGGAGAGTACACTTTTGGAAGACCCCAAGAACAGGTAGAATACCCGGAGACGTCCTCAACGGACATCACCCTTGCTGACATCTTGCGCTCGCCAGACTGGCCTTATCCGCCCTGAGCGCCGCCAACCCTCGTGATGTCCTCCTCTCACGCGCGGCCAAGATCGCAGAGCAGCAGGTGTTCAACATCAAGATCCCCTTCGAAGGTAGTCCCATCACCAACCAGCGGCAAAGCGGGCGGTGCTGGCTCTTCGCCAGCACGAACGTCTTCCGCGTCGCCCTGATGCAGAAGTACAACCTGGACCAATTCGAGCTCTCGCAAGCCTACCTCTTCTTTTGGGACAAGCTCGAGAAGAGCAACTGGTTCCTGGAGCAGATCATCTCCACGGCCGACCAAGACCTCGATTCTCGCTTGGTGCAACGCCTCCTCCACGAGCCCCTCAGCGACGGCGGCCAGTGGGACATGGTCTACAACCTCGTCCACAAATACGGCCTCGTCCCGCAGACGCTGTATCCCGATTCCTTCAATGCCAGCTCCAGCAGCGTCATCAACAGCATCATCTTCACCAAGCTGCGCGAATACGCCCTCGTCTTGCGCAAGCTCCTCTCCTCCTCCAACCCGGCCACGGCAACTCAACAACCCCTCAGCAGCATCAAAGCAAAGATGATGAAAGAAATCCACGCAATCCTCACCCTCACCCTCGGCCCCCCTCCCTCCGCCACCGAAGAATTCACCTGGTCCTTCGTCGACCGCACCGGCAAAGCGCGCACCGTCCGCTCCACCCCCAAAGCCTTCGCTCAGGACATCTACTCATCCCAATTCCGCATCACCTCCAGCACCATCAGCCGCATGGTCTCCCTCGTGCACGACCCACGCCACCCACCCCTCACGCTCATGACAGTCGACCGCCTCGGCAACGTCGTCGGCGGCCGCAACATCACGTACATCAACGTGGACATGGCCACCCTCAAGTCGGCGTGCGTGAGCATGCTCAAGGCGGGACTGCCCATATTTTTCGGTAGTGACGTGGGCAAGTTCAGCGATCGCGTAGCGGGGGTCATGGATCTGGATTTGATCGACTACGAGCTCGGGTTCAACGTGTCGTTGTTGGGCGCTGATAAGGCGGGTAGACTGCGGACGGGCGAGAGTCTGATGACGCATGCGATGGTGTTGACGGCGGTGCATGTGGATGAGGAAACAAACAAGACGGTCAGGTGGCGGGTGCAGAACTCGTGGGGGACGGGCGTGGGAGAGGAAGGGTGGTTTGTGATGAGTGATGGGTGGATGGATGAGTTTGTGTATCAGGCGGTGGTGGATGTGAATTTTTTGGGGAAGGAGGTGAAGGATGTGTTGGGGCAGGAGCCGGTGGTGTTGCCGTTGTGGGATCCTATGGGGTCTTTGGCTTGAGTTTTACCTCTAGTCAGTTGCTGGTGATCTGGACGTGATGTTATGGTGGTTTGATGAGTTTGATGAATGTTATGACTGATGGATCTTGAAGCTGGGATTTGCTGAGACAGATGAGTAGTGAAATTGACTACATATCAACCATTTACAATTCCAGTGGCAACATAGTTCGTTTCGTCTCGTTTCGTTTCCATATCTCTTTTGAAACTTTGTAGAACCCTTCTTTTCTCGCAAAGTACCTACTCAGTTACTCCTGCCTCCCTTCAATCCCATGTCAGGATCTTCACCGGGACCATATAAGCCCCAAGGTCAAACCTTCCAACAACTCCCAGTAGCCAACGTGGTAGGTGTGCTGGTAGCCAGAAAACGCGTGGTGTTTTCGTAGGCATGTAGCTGGCCTCGAGTTCAACTCCAGGCTTGGGCAGCCGAGCTTTTTGCTTTTCTGTTTCTTTTTCTTTTATGTAAATTTCAAGTAAACCCGAAGAGCAGTTCCATATCGTAGGTATATCACGTCCACTATCTATGTAGGACTTGCAGGCATCGGTAGGGATGGAAGAAGATGATATATCAGAGATAAAGAGAGGAAAAGAGGGGAGGGTATTTCGACGGTTAAACCATCATGTGAACGGTCTAATGAGTGGTTGTTGGGTTTTTGCTGTATCTTTTTGTACCTTCCTTCGGAGGTGAGGTAAACGGGATGAACGGGTTGAATTACTTTGGGTAGTGGTAGATAGAGGTGGTGTGTTCGAGGGGTGGTTGTTTTTTTTGCTATATTTTCTTCTTTCCTAACTTTTCTACTTTTCACTTTCTCGAGGTTTAGATAAGGGAATGTACCTTGCTACTTCCTCCCGGGATATCAATCACATCCTTTGTATCTATGCCCGAATCTGCTCTTGTGCCACGAGCAAGCTTGTATCCAGTCTTATAGAGTGATCAACTTTCAAATCAAACAACTACTTACCAAACATCAAGATGGGTTTACGAAGATCGTCGTTACCACGCCGCAGCCGTGCCTCTTATCATCAGCCTCACTTACCTCTACCAAACAACCCATCACGAGTGGTGCCAACTCACTCAGATCAACTGTGGCATGCTGCTTGGACAAAAGGTTTAAGGACGTTGTCACTGGTATATCCCGTTATGATAGGCGGTTAACGTTCTAAAGAATTTCTCGGCCGTCTCCGAAAGAGTGAAGTGCACGACAGGTTGTTTGCAGATACAGATCATGGTGATCTGAATCGCTGCTTGGACACTAGTCTCAGATGATGACCGAGCGGATGGAAAGCTTGTTTTCTCTGTGTTCTTCTTCTTGAACACTTCCTCACCGTTCCATGCAGATGATTGCTAAAATAGATTGAAGATAGAGTTTGGTATATGGCTTTCCCTCCTTGACTGGGCGTATGATGATCATCCTGTGAGGTTGTGTCGCCCAGTACTCTTAATGAATTGTAAGGCTCGATGAACAACCGATGTCTTTATTCGTTGTTTCTATCCGTACGCGTTTTCCGAGCAGTTTAAGTTGGTCCACACCCTGTCCAGGCAACGAAGACTGCCCATGTAAAGCCTCAGCTTAGAGTCCAGGCTCAAAGATTCGATGACTGCCTTGCTCGGCACCCGACCTGGGTAGCTACAGACAGGTGGGAACTTATCTTGCGCAACCTCGTAAAAGGAAGATCTCATCTCTTGTCAAGTCAATGAGAAGACTCATAGGAGACACGAGTGCATTCTTCATGGGATAATCGGGTTGGTGTAGAGAGAGTATGTTCTTTCCTAGGATACCCCAGCATGTTGATCTCTGTGTGATCACACGTATGGCTTTACAAGCCTTTTGACTGTTGACAACCGAGTTACACGGCACTCGTTGGACGTCCAGATCATCACTCAGGGATCCTAGATGATGGCAAGTAGCCGAATTTGCAGAGCGTAAGGGTCCTGATAGCTAGTCATGTCTCAGCCTCAAGCCGTATAAGTGTATTCTGGCATGGCGCAACTAATCAGCCTTCAGTATGAAAGACTAAATTACGTGTGATAGACTTAAGGCCAAGTTGCAAGGCATGCGATTACGGATGACCACCAGGATGTGATTCTTGGGATATAATCCAAGAATCAAGTCAACAACCATGCAAACCGTGATATTGGCTCATCTCAACTCAAGCGTCGCTTTGGTATATGTCGCGTGCCTGAAGAGCAGAACATGGCCGGAACGAATGCATGTGTTACCCCACTCGGGATACTTTGTGGAAAATGTGCATGATGGGCCCGGTTGCCGGCTGTTTGAATCAATCCTTCTTTATTCCGAGCAAGTGCCTGGTCGAGGCTATTGGGGATCATGGTGTGGTTGGGTTTAAATGGATGGCTGCCCAATGCCTCGCGCAAATGACTGACATCCGTTCGAGAAAACCTGAAACCGCTTCTGCAGTGTCCACTCGCGGGAGCACCGGTATGGGAAACGGGAACGACCGGGCCCTCAGTGTGTACTCATGTTTGTACCCACCGTAGTGGGATAAGATGTGGTTGTGAAGAGTTTTAAAGTTTCTGAGATGATCGGCATCGTTGAACTTGCTCGCTTGCTCAGATGCATGAGATGAACGCCCGGGAGGGAAGGGAAACTGAAGTTCTTGGAGGCCCAACCCCAAGAAAAGGAGGCTGTGACGGTGGTGTTGTGCAAACAGGCTCAAGGTGAAGGAGGGAGAATCGGGGGCGAAAAAGAGCTTGATATATGGAGGTTATGGTGTAACCGCTCCGTCATCCAAGGCTCACGGTAGGTTGATGAGCAAGTTAATGACTTTTATCTCTCCACATTGTGCGTGAAGAGAAGCTCGTATACTATGCCGTGCTCAGAAAATCGAAAGAGTTGATGTCGCGACTCACCGGGACTCGAGAAATGGCAACGTATAAATGACCCGTTAACACAGGGAACTTCCTTGGATGATGGTTTGGATGATGGAGGGACGAAGAGTGTAGAGAGATTCAAGTCGTGGCGCGCAAGCCATCATGGTGCGACGACGTCTCGTCTCAGTATGAATGGGATTTGAAATGGCCATTCAAGTTGTACTTAGTTGGCAATCTGGGGATTTGGTGTTTGCCCGACTCGAAGCGTTGTGTGATGAGAAGCAAGTGTGAAGACAGCTGACGATGCAGGCTGAAAAGACAGTTGGTGGTTTCTGAGGTTGGGACGTCATTTTTCCTGTTTCTTCACCTTGACGGCCTAGAAAGTGGATCCTTGTTTGTTAGTGCCATGGCCCCGCCACCTTATCCCTGCTAGCAATCACTAACCACTATCACCACCAACCGCAACCGCAACCTCAACCTCTATTTGATGCTTCATGGATATTGTGTTGAATAGCATTCTGGAGACTTGAAGAAATCCATAGGGTAGTGCACGAAGGGAATATCTCGCCTGATGGGCGAAAGTTACTCCTCGAACCAGTGGTCCATTGTCCACTGAGATAACCTGCCATCCCATCTCGACGACACGAGGTTCATCCGATGTCACTGCCCGGCACCCCGGCGCCCCGGAGACGGGACGGCGGGAATCCCCACCTCAATTGAAACCCAAAATCCACCTTTCCAGGAACTCCAAGGAACAGCTACGCGCTAGGGCATTGGTGTTGAAGCCCAAACCCCAAAAGTTGAATGTCGGTCAAGCCATCACGGGAATGTAGGCGAAGAGCCTTGCATTTACCGTTTAGTTCGGTCGACGGGGAGCTCAGGGTACAGGCGCTGTAAGACGCTCCGTGAGGGAACAATCCCATCTTTGAAAAGCTGCGGTCGATCGGCTTTCACTATCCAAATCTCATCTCACTCTCAAGATCCCCCTCACCCGTGATGTGCAGTATGTGGTGCAGAAAGTGGTGGCTCGGTACGAGGTAGCCACCGTAGCCTCATCAGGTACACAAGAATTCCAGGGTCCTGCTACCAGCCGAAGCTGTGAGGGAGTGGGGTGCTCGCCGGGGGAAATGAAGCAAGGTTGGCCTGACATGGGTTGCCTGGATGACCGTAAATAGTCGGCTCTAGTGAGCGAGAAAGTAGACAAAAGAAGATATAGTGTAAAAAGAGAAAACAAGTTGGGCGTCTCGTCTAGCCAACTCGTAACGGTCGAACCAGGCCGACACGCCACCGGTCTCGAGACTCGAAAGCACTGGGATTGGTAGTGCTACTGTATACAGCAAAGACTGTACTCCGTCTGTCCGTGGATCTCATCTGGCTCACCTGGACGGTACATGGATTTATATGTTTTGGATAAGGTCAAGGGTTGATTGCTCGCCCGAGTTCAGTGAACTTGTTTTAGACCTAGGAAAGGTGTCAAAGTCAGAAAGACCAAAATAGATGGAAAACTTCGGCCGAGGACATATCCGCCCGTTTCAACCTCCACCTCACTAGCCTCTTCGTCTGTCTGCCCAATCGTGTCGAAAAGGCATCCTCTCGCGGGTCCCTGGCGAACCGTCTGAGGCGAACGGGCAGTCACGGGTTTTGTGGACAAGAGTTCCATGGACATCCCTCGAGGTCTTCCCAACTTTCTCATTAGCTGATCCCGGCGTTTCCAACTGCGCACCCTGGCACGTCCTGGCCTGCCGGGCAACAACTTAGGTTGGCACCTATCCTGCACCCCCCTGCACACACCCCGCCATACGCAATTGCCCATCCACCCGCCTCGAGTCTCGGGCCCCGCCTGCCCTCACTCATCAGCAGCGCTGCCTACAACCTCTACGACACCACACCACCACCACCTGTTTTTCTTCTTACATCTCTGATTCTCTCCTCTCTTGGTCCAACGTGCCTGAGACGGGAAACAGCACACTCCCGAAACTAACGCCGCCACGAGCTTTTACTTGCAGAGACTCTGGCAACCTTGGCGCTCGAGTATCTCGCCCGTCCTTCTTCAGACATTGTCACTGTCTCACGTGGGCGTTCCGAGTATAGAACATATTTGTCACTGAGCCCTCCATCCCACCTGTTGACTCATCTATCCAGTCATCCGTCCCCGCGACTCAACACCATCTTCAACCGATCTTCGACATTCCATCCTTGATCGTCCCTCGTCTTTCATCCCTCGCTCGAACGCGCCGGTTGTCGCAATGGCCGACCAAGGCAGATACAGATATCCATCGGTAGCACCCCCAGTTGGGAGGCGGTCCCCTACAATGTACAATCCCGCACGCCTCTCCATGCCCATAACTGGTGCTGGAACATACCAGTCGCTATACGGAGGCGAGATCCCAGTTCTCCCTACAACTCACGAGACACTCCCTCTCCGATCGCCTGTTTCGGCCACTGCCGACTATCGTCCAAGCACCATTCCCATCGATTCCGGTAGCTATGCGGTCAGAAAGGAGCCCATTCCACGGAGCATGAGCGTGAAGGACCACGGCACCAGAAGCCACCGATCTGCCACTCTCGACGCAGCCTCTAAGCGCCCCGTTATCAAGCATGCGCCCGAATCCCCAGTTCCCAGTAGCATACGATCGGGGAGCCCATCACGCCCTGTCTACCGGGCCAGCGATGAGTTTTATACACAACCTGCTTCCTCCATAAACCGGTCACGAAGCGTTGCGCGCGCCCCATTCAGCGCCAACATGGATGATGCCGAATATCAACGTCTAAGGGAACGCACCGACCGGGAAAGAATGGAACATGAAAGGCTATATGGTTCTAGAGCTGCCGACCTGTATCGTGCGTCACGACCAACAGTGCTCTATTCCAACACCCCTCGAGCCGCTCCTGGGTACGACGAAGAAGCATTTGTCGAGTACACAAGGCCAGGTGAATTGGCTCGTTATGATCTCGATCATCCCCGTAGGAGCCGGCGTGAAAGCATCGACCACTACTATCGACCGGCAGTCAGCGTCTCATCTGATGTAGGACGTCCATACGATACCATTGACAAGCGGCTTTACGACCCACCACCGAGTGCCTTCGGTTATGACAAACCGGGCCGGGATGCTATTTCTGGACTGTATGACCATAATAGCGTTCGTCCCGCACCTTCGGAGGTTCTTTCTGATACGGCGGTGCGCCGACCTCCTGCGCTTCTTGACTCTCCGCTACCGCCAGGGTCTTCGGCAACAACAAAGCGCACTTCGCGCCGAGCTGCCTCTCGTCCGCGCCCAATTTCCCTCATTCAGGAAACGCCAAGCCGATCGGCCCACCCTGATGAGTATTACCGAGCTCGGGATGACGGCTACTACAAAGTTGATGATGTCTCACAGCGCGGATTCGGCATCCGACCTGCTGCGAAGGACCATGAAGAGCGACAAAGATCACCCCGTGAGAAACAATATTATGACGAACGGCGGGACCCACGTGAGCCCAGAAGGAGGTCAGACGAGGACTTGGAGGTTGTCAGACATAGGAACCACGACGACCGTGACCGACGAGACTATCATAAGCTACCTCCAACTCGAGAGTATCTTCCAGTTGACGACCGGGAAGCCAGGCGCGACAAGCATGTCCCCGTCAACGACATCTCAGCTGCAACCGCAATGACTGTGGCGTCAGCTATCAACGGCAGGGACGGTAGAGGTGATAGGGATATTGAGTCTCCGAGACGACGTTATGACGAAGACTATGAGCGCCGTGATCCTGATCCGCACCCCAGGACCAGCCGTCATGCTGAGGATTATGAGCGTAGGAGGGTTGATGATCCTGAGCCCCGCCGACTTCCCCCCAAGGATGACGACTATGATCGTCGGAGGAGTGATGTTCCTGAAACATACTCCCGGGTGAGCTGTAACGATGACGACTATGACCGGAGGAGAGCTGATGACCACGAACCCCGCCCACGAACTGGTCACAGGGATGAGGACTTTGATCGCAGGAGAGATGATGACCTTGAACACCGCAAACAAATCGATTACAAGGATCAAGGCCATGATCGCAGGCGAGATGATGACCTTGATCATCATAAACGAGCTGATTATAAGGACCAAGACTATGATCGCAGGAGAGACGATGAGCCTGAGTCCCACAAGCGAAACGATCATAGAGACGAAGACTATGACCGTAGGAGAGTGGATGATCTCGAACCTCATACACGGACTGCCCACAGAGATGAGGATCATGAGCGACGGAGAATCGACGACTCTGAGCCCCATCCACGAGACAGTCATAGAGATCGAGACTATGACCACAGCAGTGTCGATCCTCGCGACAGCCACAAACGAGACAGCCGCGATGAAGAACATTACGAACGCCGAAGGGAGGCCGACAATCCCGAGCCTCGGACTCGGCCTAGTCGTGAAGAAGACCATTACGATGACCGAAGGGTCGATGATTCTGAGCCGCGCGTCAAAGCTGGCCGCGATGACTATCGGAGAAGCCACGAGAGCTTCCAGATGGTCGACCTACCCGGCGGGTTCCCCAGCGAAAGAGACGAAAGGGAGACTGGCGACGAAACAGATGCTGAAAGCCGAGGCCGCCATAGACGTGACACAGAGGCGAAACTCAACGGGGAGCCTGCCTCCTCGCCACCACGAGAACACTCCAGGGAACACTCCAGAGAACACTCCAGAGAACGTGATGACAAGGATGATGAGACACACCCCCGACCACGTCCCTCGTCTACTTTTGATCCTAATGACACTGCCGGGCTGGAGGAGCTCAAGGCCGAGTTGGCTGCACAAGAGGCCAAGGAAAATGCCAGCGAGGGTGATCGTACCCCTAAGGAGCACTCGCCTGAGCGGAAGCCATCGCCCGTTGAGGAAGATTCTAAACCCAGCACTGAAGCCGATAACACAGCAATGGCCGGGAATGAAGAGGACGAGAGTAGAGGACGTGAACTGGTTCCTCACGGGCAGAAGCAAGTTCGCGTCGTGTCTCCTCCGAGAGAGAAGGAAGAGAAGAAGCCCATCAAAGGCATTCTCAAACAACCAAAGGCACAATTTCCAGAACATCCCAACACTGTCCGGGAGGGAGTTTCTCCTCACAAGGACGACAAGACCAAACAAAGCGTACCTCAGGGTGCCAAATGGACCAAGATCAACAGGAAGCTGGTCAACCCCGAGGCTCTAACTCTAGGCAAGGAGCGATTCGAGGTCCGAGATGACTTTGTCATTGTTCTTCGGGTCTTGGACAAGGCGGATATCCAGAAGTACGCCGACATTACTGCTCAGTTGAGAGGTGGGTTACTTCATTTCCCTAGTCTCCAGACTCGATTCTTTCACTCTTCATCTTCCTTTTAGCAAGTCAAGAGACACAAGAAATGCTGACAACCCTCTTCTTACAGAGAAACGAAGAAAGGAGTACGAAGATGAGCAGAATGGCAAGGCGCTGGTTCACCATGAGAGAAACGGGTCGTATGATAGAGATGAGGAAGAAAGCAAGCGCCGGCGTCACCACCGAAAGGACAAAGACGAGCTTGAAGACGATAGGAGAGAGTACAGACGCCATCGCGCGACGGATGAACAAGATGCCTTGTATGACGCGAGGCAACCGTCGAGGTCGCACCGCCGGGACTAAATTTTGGACATCTGGTTGGTGAGGCCATATAGAGGATATCGAAAAGGAAGTGTTTTGGAGACGATTAACGAGATATGAGCACTAGAGTTGATGATATGATTCTGCATATGGCCTTTTTGTATGAGAAAGGAAAAGCTGGCGGACTTTTGATCGATGGCATGACGATTTTTGGATCATTAGATGTACGGAAATATGTATGTGAAGTGGCTGAAGCTTGCTGCTATGTTCTGTCCGAAACCGAAAAGGCTAGCTGGCTAGACTCAAAATGCTCCCTGGCTAGACTAAACCCACTTTTTTGGGTTGTGCAGCCAATCTCTGGCTCCCGACCGCGCTCATCAACCTTACCATATCGCCAGCCAAATGCATTCGAAGCTATCACCATCTCCGTCGTTGTCACTCCGTCGCAATCGTTGTCAATGTCGTTGTCGATGTCAATGTCGTTATCGATGTCAATGTCATTGTCGATGTCAATGTCATTGTCGATGTCAATGTCATTGTCATTGTCTCTATTGCCATGGAACTCCCCCTAGTGCCAGGTACTTTTAGTAAGCTGAGCAGGAGGGCGTCTATAGGCGTAAAGGGCAAATTTCCAACATCCTCCCGCACCTTCCCCAGTACTTACACGGTTGGCGGAGGGCTTCACCTAACGTACAACAACCGGACTAGTATATACGATACCAATATCAACAGCTTCACTTCTTCGCAACTACCGATGTGATGTGTCTCGTGAAGTTTTTGCGCGGCTGGTAGAGGTACCTATGGCTGCACACCCCAAAAAAAAAGTGGGTTTAGTCTAGCCAGGGAGCATTTTGAGTCTAGCCAGCTAGCATTTGCGGTCCGAAACCTTTTGCTGCCTCTTCTTCGGCTGTCCGCATCCCGCTACGGGCCTCGACAGCAAAGCTGCTTGCTCATGAGGTAATCAAGTTACAAATCCACGATGCCTTTGTTTCAAAATGTCGACAAACCGCAAACCCATGACACTGAACATTATCTCTTTGTAGACATGATGCTCAAAACCAGCACTTTCCAGAGGTACTCTACCTCTGATATTGTACTACTGCTCCGCCCTACCGCATCCCATGCACCGTCTCTCTCGGCAGCATCAGAAAATGTTGGACGCGCAATCCCCCCTTACCTATCTTAAACTCAGCCAGCCATACATATCTTATAAGGTGACTGAATGGGAGAGACCCAGCAAAACAAAGGGCCATGCCCATCCACGTGTAGTCAAGAGTCACCCCGTTCAACAGCCTGTGATCGCCTCAGAAAGACAAACGTCATCACCCGCTAGTTCCCTGTAATGGAGGGGCAGGGATAGCTAGGCGGGCGCGCCGACGAGCCTGGGAAGGCGTCTCTGGGCGCCTGGGCGCGCGCGGCTTCACCTTCCTTCCATTCAGTTGATGGCAATTGATGGTGGCAGGTGAGAAAGTTCCATTGCGCCACTTACTTCCAAGAAATGCCAAGGCGTCATCGGAGGGGCGCCCGGGCTGCAGGCTGCGCGAAGCCCCAGTGCATTGCATCGATGCATCTTTTTTTTTTGTCTTTTGTCTTCCATCACCTCCAAAATCCTCACGTCTCGTCGTCGCAAATGACCTATGGAGCATTGGAGCGTGCTGCTCCGGGGCCATGACAGACAGTAAAGCGACAGAAACTCCGAAGAGAAACAAGTGACAGATGCAAGCGAGAACGGGAGTGCCGGAACTGAACACTGGCTGGGCTGTGCGTGGAATTCGAACCGGCAGCCCGCTTTTTAGCCTGGAGCCAAACAAGAACTGGCAACTTCCTGGACGGCGTCAGCAAAGACCCTGAATTTGGGTACAGCCACGAGACCAGTACCTTATCTCTTACACTATCACCTCATTGCCTTTTTCGTCACGTACTTTTTAGCTTCAACGTTCTAGCCCTTGCTGCCCCTCCTCAACGATCCCGTCACCTCGGTTCCAGGTACGGAAAAACTGGCCTGGGATAGACGGACGACAAACATCTACCTCTACCGTTACCCCTCCCGTCGTCACCTCCTTTCCCTTGTGCTGATCAAAGTCCTGACTCCCGTCACCTAACGAGAAAGAGTTGGAACCTTGCTTGTCCGTGTTGGTGTTGAGGTTGCCAACTTTTGGTTGTTCCTACCATTTATACCTTTACCTATATACTTGCTACCAATACACCGCCTTTCAGCCAAATAGACTTCGACTTTTCCGTCTTTCTCTCCGTCCAGTCCAGTCCAGACCGGCCTCCTTTTAAAAGCCAGCCCAGTGGTGAACACTTCTTACGCATAAGCACCGTTCGGAGTTTCCTCCCTCTCTCCAATTTCAGTCCAGTTCGAAGCAAACACTACTCAGTCTGTTGGTCGCCAAACCAGAACCAACCCATTCGGTAGGTATCTCACCTACAACCAAGTTCCTTTTCGGACACCGGCACAACAACAAGACTGCGCCGAGTATTACAAGAACGACAATCTCGTCAGGTGCACTTCCAAGCACCATACGCGCAATCAGCCAAGAGGTGCAACACTGCCTACAAGCCTGCGCGACCCCATATCTTACCTTGGCTGCCCCACCAAATCATACGTAAGGGACACCTACTACCAAGACTCTCCTCGCCGCAAGCATACCTACATACGACGACTCGTACCATATATAATCCAGAGAAGATCTCTTCTCTCTCGTTTCATAATACCGAGAGCCTCAAACTGACGAACGAGGTCTCTTGTAATAGCGCATACCAGTCGAAACAACACCCCTTCCAGCAAGCATGTCATCGAATCCCGCCGAAGTCAGCGAACTGTCACCACAGCAGCAGAACAAGGAAGCCCAGAGCAATGGCAATGGCAGCGCCGTAGAGCCCAGCAACGCTTTCTCCAGCGGTCTTCCTACCCGCCCAGCGGTCCCAGCTCCGCTTACAGCAAACGAAAGCCCGGCCGATGGACAACAGGATGATGCGGCGCTGGTATCTCCACGACACATGTTGACGGGAAAACAAGAACACTGTAGGTGGTTCTGCTGGTTCTGCCCTTTTGAAGAAGCTTCACCAACATAAAACTAGACCCGGGAGCGCATCTGATCCAAACGAGGCTTTCTTACTAACACATTTCATCCCTTGGGAAACAGATCTTAAGCGGGAACTCGTCTCGGAGCAGGTAAGATGGGAGATCTCGGAACTCAACTCGCCCACGGCATTGCGACGCTTTGGAGCCCCCTTCAGGTCCGATCTCGGGGAGATCTCGCCGCTGGACTCTGAGCTGCCGATTCTACGCTACATCTTCGTACACCATGTTCGCGAGTTCCCGTTTCTCGATAAGGCGAAGGAGAAGGAGTTTTGGCAGGATAAGCTGCAAGTGGTATGGCTACCCGTCCTTTCTGTCCTCCTAAGGGGGCATTGCGACTTGGGGAAAACGTACGTCAAGGGCTGGGCTTTTTGCTGACATCAACTTGGAAATATTATAGTTCCTCGAATCGTTTGCGAGCAAGAATATCTCATCATCGGAGGATCGCCTCGAAGAGACGAAGCGTAGGAAGCTTGCACTGAAAGCACAAAAGTTGGTCGAGTTGATGATGGTGTCGGGTGTCCGTACGTCCTCCGGATTCGAAGAGAGGATACGGTTCTCCGAGCTGGAAATCGTGGACGCAAACGCAATCGACACCGGGGTTCTCTCGTCCATGCCAGAGGGTAACTATTTGCATGGGTGGGATGTCAACATTGCCGGAGTTCGCATAACCTCGATCAAGCGAAATATCCGGTACCACAAGCATGCTGTATGTCTTGTCCTGTGGTTCACTTGAACTTGATGTGTTATGGTGAAGATCCCCAGACTGACATCAAGCAGGAATTCTTACTTCGGGTAAAACGAAAAGGAGAAAAGGAATATTTCGTCGGGAGGCGGTACGGGGACTTCAGCAAGCTTTATAAGGATCTTCGGCTTGAGTTGCCCGGCAAGGTCCTCCCGGTACTTCCCAAGAAGAACAAGACGAGCACGACTGCGACGGGCCTTTTTGGTGGTGGCGACGACTCGGAGGTTTCATCTATATCATCTGTTTCTACGCAGATGGTTAACAAAGATGCTCAACCGAACGGTGAGAGCGGGAGCGCGGGCGGCATTTCAAGGTTCCTTTCTGTGAGAGGTGAGTGGTCGTCTTGTAATGTGCTTACGGAAACATGCAGCTCACCCATTCTTAGAACATCGCCGTACAGGCTCATCGTCTTCTAGGCGATCATCTCCTCGTCGATCTGTGGATAATCACAGGTCGGACAGCCCAAGGAAGGAAGAGGTATGTGGCGCTTTCCAAACTGGACAAGGGTTCATAGCTGACACACTTGATAGAACGTTACGCTCTTCCGAGAGAGCCAAAGGATATCTCTCCGCGCGTTCCTGCGTACCCTGCTACAAAACCCACAGATTGCTCATACGAAAGCCATATCAGACTTTTTGACCCATGATCCTACAACCCTCAAAGATGAGGATTTTGAGGACATTGTGCGGCGGAAGAAGATGGATGAGAAGAGGGTAGAAGAGCAGAAGAAGTTCTACGAAATCGCCAGGAAGCGGGCGGCGGATCTGGATGTCTATATGGAACAGTAAGTCTCACGAGCATGAGTTGGTGGGTTCAAGTACTGACAACCATGGTTTCACAGGTTCCGACAAGATATCGTTGAACATAACGGGTTGACCAACCTGTTCAAGGAAATCAAAGAGAAGGAAACCATCCAGGATCTTAGCATTCAGTACCAGAAGTTTGCCGAGTGGCTACGGATAGAGGTCGCTGCCACGATATACCACCTGTTCCTCGCCGAAGACAACTCGCCCGAATTGTTTGCCCAGGCGAAAAAGATCCATTCTTTGATCCCATATACGATTATGAAGAACGTCATTCGGATCGCAAACCCCGCCGCCGTCATGTCCAACGTTCTCGATATCTTCCTGGCTCAACCATTCGGTACCAGGTCCTTGATGCAACGCATATTCTCCTTGACCCTGAACGACGGTATCAGGAGCGTCCAGAAATCCATAGACGCGCTCGCTGCCAAGATCGGTGACCCCGTGTTCGTGGACAAGCTTAAGCAGTTTACAGATGGCGACGAGGCCTTGAAACTTGCTATCAGGGAGGAGGCTGTCCAAGACGACGTCGACATTATCGTTGCAATCCTGCGATCAGAGCAGATTTACCCGGCCCTCAACGCCGACCAGGTTACGCGACTATACAACGCATATGTGGCTTTCAACAGTGCAGTTGAGAACGTGGATGAGGAGCTCAAGCAGGGCGCCCAGCTCTTCTCATACCTCAAGCAGCTCATGAAGCTCTATATCAGGCAGAGGGACAAGTCTATGATGCTCAATCTCATCGAGGAGCCTGTCACCCTGCAGTTGTTCAGGGATTTGTTCACAATCTTCTATGAGCCGCTTGTTAGGGTGTACAAGTCGGCGAATGTCTACAACAGCGTCACCGACTTTGCAGTTTTCGTCGATGATCTGATTCAGGTTGTTGAAAAATGCCGGGATCAGGATGCCTCAGCGGATCCTAACCAGACCGTGCAGGCGTTTATCGACTTGTGTCAGCGCCATGAACAGCACTTTTACAAGTTCGTTCATGAAGTTCACACACATGACAACGGCTTGTTCACTCAGTTGATGGGCTGGATTGAGGGCATCCTGGAGTTCCTCCGCCACGGACCTAAGAACGGCACGTTGGATATCAACGCATTGTTCGAGGGAGCGGTGGAAAGCGGCGCAATCGACCAGGACAAGGCGATAGACGAGATCAACAAGCTGATCGCGTGGCAGGAAGCTCGCAAGAAGTGGCATCAAGACAAGACTCGGCAGAAGATGGCGGCGGAAGGAGGTAGCATGGGCGGCGACGTGGTGCCCGGCGGGTTCAGCGCCAGCGACTTTGGCCTGGACCAGATGGACTTGCAGGACATGCAGTACGAAGACGACCTGTCGGACTCCGAGGCGGAACAGGAGGTCCAGGAGGAGATGGATCCCATCGATGCCGAGCGGAGAAGAAGGGCCAAGAAACAGGACCGTCTACGGCGGAACGCCGGAGAGCCCACGAAGCCGGAGGTTTCGGAGGTCCACAAGCTCAAGGACGAGTTTTTGGCCAAGCTGAGACAGGTACTTGCTCAGTAGTGCAGTGCAGTCTGTAGTGATCCGGCGTAGTAGGGCTCGCAGGCGAGTCAAACTCTAGGAGAAACATCTTTACTGCTGCAAGTCAAATGACAGACGTGATGATTATCGTCATCATCCTAAAGGAAACGTTGTGATGAGGGTGTCTCGGGATCAGGGACCTGGGAACTTGAGAAAGTCAACGAGGGTTCTCCGGCATGAGCCGGACGAACCGGACAGGGATGCCGCGCGGAATTCTGATACAGTACAGTACACGGATTTCACGGTATAGCATGACATCACTGGCCGACGACAGAAAGAGACGGAAGGAGATCATGATACCTCGCAGCTGGTAGCTTGAATGGGATGAAAGGATGGGTAGCATATGGTATCTTATACACTAACTATAGTAGTGTACATACCCTTTTTGATAATAATTGAAATTTCTCGTCATAGAACGAACTATCATTGGGATGCCCCGGATGACGGATGTCGACGTTCAGGGGTTTGTTTGATTTGGCTGTCCGTGAGTGGTTCATTTGCCATGCCGAGGATAAAGATTTGGCTCGGAAAGACGGCCCCACCATAGAGGTACCTGCACATGCTTGCGAACCCGGAGACGGCGCTCACGGCGACAACAACGTGACCTGTGTTTGGATATGAAATGGAAGACGTCGTCATGGGTTTGGAGCGCAAGAGACGAGAGGCTTCTAGAGCAACAACAACAACAACAACAAACAGAGATCGTGGGCATCATCCCGAGGCTAACACGCCATTGGCTCTGCGCGCGCGTTCGCGTTCAGTGGCAGGCAGTTCTTCGCTGCGGAGAGAGAACATCATTCAACTGAACAAAGGGCACCGATCACAAATAAGGGTTAGGGGTTTGTTAGTCGTTGAGGCTCGACAGGGCAGCTTCTGGAGGGGCACGGAAGAGAAGACGGCGACGGGCGGCGAACGGTTGACGGTGGAGACGTAGCGCGGGCCACATGCCGGCAACTCGGGTAATACATTATTCGTGATTGGTTGAGACCAGAGTCGAGGAAGTGCGGATCGGGTCTTGGAATTCATCGAAACCGAAACTGCATGGAGTCCGTTTGGGTCTGTCTGGCAGTGGCAGCCCACTTTGGGTGCGGTATTGGGGCACCACGGGCACTCTTTCAGTGAGAGAGACGGGGGAGGAATGGATGGATGCGGTGTCCGTTCGGCAAGCCAGGGAACTCGCTCTCAGTCCAACAGGCAAAAGTGCCACTGGGTCTTGAGTGAGTGGGTGAGGTGTGGAAGCCAATCGTCAAATATTTCCTACGGGTGACCCGACTCCCGAGCCCGTAGGGAAATTCGCAATTGCTAATCCAACCCGGACCACGTCCACCACCACCACTCCATTCCCGTCCTACCACTACCTATCCCCAAAAACCCGCCACCCCGTCCCGCCCGCCCTCCCCCTTCGACACCTCACCTACTCACCTACCGACTGTCAGTAGTAGTGAAGTGTTGTTGAACAATGTCCTCTTTGGCTTGGAGAAAGTTGGCTGCGGCGCCCACGGTGAGTGCTTTTCTTGTTCATCCATCTGGACCTCGGTGTTGTCTTCTGTCTGTTTTGCGCGCGCGCATTGGCACCCTTGCAGCCGAGGAACAAAAGCGGGGAGGAATAAGGTCGTGAGGAAGAGAGAGGATGAAGCTCTTCGGGATGTCCAGTCGCAGTAGTGTGCACATGGGACGAAGAGAGAGAGAGAGGAAGCGCAGCAGTCTACACCAAAGAGAAAGAAGAACATCGTCACTGACCAGAGTCTCGTCTTCAACAGCTCGCGCGTGCCGCCAGCAGAGTCCAGAACAGAGCCTTTTCCTCGACAAGGCCGGCCGGTGAGTCCGAAGCATCCCGTCCTCGCAACCCTCCGATCTCCTCTTCCGCCTTCCGCCGTCGCGCGAACTACGCTTCACGGATGCCGCAAAGGGTGTTGTTCATGTTCACCAAAGGCTAACCGACGACATCACAGCCCGCGTCATCGCTCCCGGTGGTCTCCGCGCTAAGGAGGCTTCTCCCCATCTCAGCAGCAAGTACGCTGTCGTCGTACGTGATATCCCATGCTATCCGGTCCCATGGAAAATCCCGCCGAAGAGGTGTTGACACGATTCCTCTCCCTTAGGACCACGAGTACGATGCCATCGTTGTCGGTGCCGGCGGTGCCGGTCTCCGTGCCGCTTTCGGTCTCGCCGAGGCCGGCTTCAACACTGCCTGCATTTCCAAGCTCTTCCCCACCAGATCTCACACCGTCGCTGCCCAGGGTGGTATCAACGCTGCGCTCGGCAACATGCACGAGGATGACTGGAGATGGCACATGTACGACACCGTCAAGGGCTCCGACTGGCTCGGTGACCAGGATGCTATTCACTACATGACCCGTGAGGCTCCCGCCTCCATCGTCGAGCTCGAGAACTACGGCTGCCCCTTCTCCCGTACCGAGGACGGCAAGATGTAAGTCTAACCCGGAAAACCGTGCTTTCCGGAGCGCCCGAGGATGATTGCTTACAGTCTACAGCTACCAGCGTGCTTTCGGTGGTCAGTCCAAGGACTTCGGCAAGGGCGGCCAGGCTTACCGCTGCTGCGCTGCTGCCGACCGTACCGGCCACGCTCTTCTCCACACCCTCTACGGCCAGTCTCTCCGCCACAACACCAACTACTTCATCGAGTACTTCGCCGTCGACCTGATCATGCAGGATGGTGAGTGCCGTGGTGTCCTCGCCTACAACCAGGAGGACGGCACCCTCCACCGTTTCCTCGCCAACAACACCGTTCTTGCCACCGGTGGTTACGGACGCGCCTACTTCTCCTGCACTTCCGCCCACACCTGCACTGGTGACGGTTCCGCCATGGTTGCCCGTGCCGGTCTCCCCAACCAGGATCTCGAGTTCGTCCAGTTCCACCCTACCGGTATCTACGGCGCCGGCTGCTTGATCACCGAGGGTGCTCGTGGTGAGGGTGGTTACCTCCTCAACTCCGAGGGTGAGCGTTTCATGGAGCGTTATGCCCCTACCGCCAAGGATCTCGCCTCCCGTGACGTCGTCTCCCGCTCCATGACCATGGAGATCCGCGAGGGCCGTGGTGTCGGCCCCGAGAAGGACCACATCTACCTCCAGCTCAGCCATCTCCCCGCCGAGATTCTCGCCGAGCGTCTCCCCGGTATCTCTGAGACCGCCGGTATCTTCGCTGGTGTCGATGTCACCAAGCAGCCCATCCCCGTCCTTCCCACCGTCCACTACAACATGGGTGGTATCCCCACTCGCTACACTGGTGAGGTTCTTACCGTCGATGAGCAGGGCAACGACAAGGTTGTCCCTGGTCTCTTCGCTTGCGGTGAGGCTGCTTCCGTCTCTGTCCACGGTGCTAACCGCCTTGGTGCCAACTCTCTTCTCGACTTGGTCGTCTTCGGCCGTGCCGTCTCCCACACCATCCGTGACAACTTCACTCCTGGCGCCAAGCTGAAGGCCCTTGAGGCCGATGCCGGTTCCGAGTCCATCGAGGTCCTCGACAAGATCCGCACTTCCGACGGCCCCAAGAGCACCGCCGAGATCCGCCTCGCCATGCAGAAGACCATGCAGCGCGACGTCTCCGTCTTCCGTACCCAGCAGTCCCTTGACGAGGGTGTTGAGAAGATCACCCAGGTCGACCAGATGTTCGACCAGGTCGGTATCAAGGACCGCTCCATGATCTGGAACTCTGATCTCGTCGAGACCCTCGAGCTCCGCAACTTGCTCACTTGCGCGTAAGTGACCCTCGCAATGTTTTCATTTCAAGTGAATAAGAAGATACTAACAGATTTGCAAAATACAGTACCCAGACCGCCGTCTCCGCCGCCAACCGCAAGGAGTCTCGTGGTGCCCACGCCCGTGAGGATTACCCCGAGCGTGACGACAAGAACTGGATGAAGCACACCCTCTCTTGGCAGAAGCAGCCCCACGGCAAGATCGAGCTCGGTTACCGCCGTGTTATTGACACGACCCTCGACGAGAAGGAGTGCCCTCCTGTTCCTCCTTTCAAGCGTGTCTACTAAAGAACTCGACGACTGCGCGATTTTATGATACGAAGTCGATAATGGAGTGATGTTTTTATGCTCAAGAAAAAGCGTTCTTTCCGAGTTATTACCCCACATGATGCCATTGTTCGGAGTCGGTCCGGTCGGTCGATGTTTTTCTATGATCACAGGTGGTGGTGCGACACGACGAAATCATCAACAAAAACGTCAACAAATCCGCTAAGAAAGCCTCCTGATACTTCGCTTAACGGGGTGCGAATATCAATGGGGCCCTTGGCTGGGTTGGTAGGCGGGTGGTTTTTCACGTGTTCTGCGATTGTCCATGTGTGCGTCCATTGTACAAGATTTTGGGAAGAATATTGCATATAGCCGGGTGGATGGAAGGAAGGTAGGAAATGACAAACGAGGGTTGGAAAAGAAGAACGGCCGAATAAAGGGTTCTAAAACGGGTGGTTAGGACTCAACGGTTGGACGAATACCCTGAACTTTGCTCTCGCACTGGTTTTGGATTATGGTTATCATACCTTATACGCAGTCGAGAGAGAGAGAGAGAGAGAGAGAGAGGTGGAAAGATCGAAAGGAAGGAGGAAAGAAGGGTGAGGTTGAAAGGATTGCATGTGGATGTAAGCAAACTTAACTACTGTAGTCTTGTTTGTAACTTTAACGGGCTTTTTTTTTTCTTTTGCGAAGAAGATCTGACTCGTTGCCTTACATGTGATTGACTTTTCTGCTAACGATTGATCGGCTTGATGATCTGATTCTCTCCGGCATGTACCCTTGTGGTTCGCCGACAGACTGTACTGATGCTCATGGGGAGGGTTGAGATACGATCACCCTTTGTTAGAATCAAAGCCTAGGTAGAGATCTGAGATACATCACTCTAACATGTAAGCTTTCTTTTAGAGAAGGTAATGCGGCAACCCTGTCGAAATATCAATCTCAAGAAGCTAACGCTGAACACATACAGACGTCAAAGTCATAGTAGCCCTAAACCGACAAACAATATTGACATGAACCCAACACCTGAACACCACGCGCTTAACCATTGTGCAATAGCTTCGTTACGCCTCTCGCCTTTCAGCACAATCCAAATTCTCCATCAACCCATCGACCTCTTCGGCAGACACTTCCGTTACCCTCCTCATTTCAACATGTCCTTCCCCTTGGGCTAAGTCCAATTCTCGACCGACCAACACCATCCTTCCTCAAACTGAAGCCTCAGCGGACTCGGGCACGATCTCAACCTTTTCGCAAGCAGTATACCAAATCGCCGCCTCGATGATCTTGCAAACAATTCGCAAATCTTTTTCATCTGTTGACGCCGCATGTCAGTAACTCCCGTCAACAACTTAACTTCGTCAATCCTTCACAAAGAAGGAACCGACGGATGAAACTCACCTCTAGGCGCATAAACCATAGTAAAAGTCTCCGGCACCGGACTCCTCACCGGCCACCACCCAGCCGCCGTCGCCCCCCACCATGACCCCTTTCCCCCTGCTTTTCCAGAAGTTCCCTTCCCGTTCCCGTTCCCCTTCCCACTCCCACTCCCACCACTTGATCTTCTAGTCGACCAAGCCATAGGATGTCTCTCCCCCCACCCCTTCTCCAACACCTCCTTGATATCATCCGGATGCAAGCTCATGTGCATGCTCCTGTCCGAGTGCGTATGGATATGGCAGATCTCGCCGTTGCCGCACACGTTGACCGGGTGACGCGAGAAGAGGGCGAAGCCGTGTTTTTCGAGACAAGATGTCGCGGTGACGAATTTTTCTGGGTGGCGGGCGGTGAGTCGTTCGAGGGAACTGCGGAGGGCGTTGTAAATGGGGAGGGGGCCGGCTTGGTTTAGTTGTCTCTGCGGGGCCAGGCCGGCGACGGAGGGGCGGGGGCCGGGGCGGTAGGGGAGGAGGCCTTGGCCTTGGCCTTGTTGGCCGGAGGCTGCTGCTTTGTCGTTGTTGTGTCCGGTGGTGGGATCATTGGTATTATTGCTGGCCATGTGCAGGATCCCCGCCGAGGGAAGCTGACTCGGATCCCTCTCAGGCGCCTGCAACGGGTCGCGGATGGTGAACAAGCGGTAAAACGTCAAGCGGGCGTATCCGGCAGGAGTGGGAGGGGTGCCGCCTGGCCCCAGCTTGAGGAAGTTGAGGTAGTCGTTGTGGATCAGCAACATGATGGGCACGGAGATGACGGTGGCTTCGAGCAGGGCGCGGTGCACGAAGTGCATCCCCAGGACGGTCAGGATGGAGACGGCGAGGAGGGCGGAGGCGTCGAGGGTTATGTAGAAGGGGTCTTGGCGGATTACCATGTTGACTTGGGAGGAGGTCGTCGTCACGGGCTCGTCGGAGGAGGAGGGGGAGGAGGTTGGTTGGGAGGAGGCGGAAGGCATCTTTTGGGTTTCGGAGGTTACTGTGAGAGACATGTTGGGTGAGTGGTGGTTGACGACGCGAGTTTGTTGCTGTTGTTGGTGGAATTGGATGTGTCTTAGGGATTCAAGGGACTTTGATCGTCCTCTTGGACGTTATCGACCACGACCTGTTGGGGGCCCTGCAAGAATGGTCGAGAGCTGCTGTGGTTCGCGAGAGCAACAGCGCGTTTTTGTATGACGAAGGATATGCGAGTGACCAAGCCGAAGGCTGCACACGTGCACAGACGGGTGTGCTGCGTATCTTCCTCAAATGTCAAGACGTGCAGCCGGGATGCAAGTCCTCTGCGCAGCCTGTCTTCTGCGAGTTGAAGTGGTGTTGAGGATGTCCAACCAGAATAACGTCTTCTATCACAACTCTGATGGATTCAGTGTGATAGCTATAGCAGCAGCTGTGAGATGAGATACCGGCGAGAACGTATCAGATGCCTAATAGCAACGATTACAGATAACCGAAGGAGTATCGCGGGGTAGGTTGTGAAGTTTTGAAGAAAGAAAAGATGACAGAAGATTCCATTGACAGCATGTAAAGGGGTACCGCATCCTACCTTTATGAAGGAAAAGGAAGGGCCAAGGAATCGACGATGTAGTCACCATCAACCATGTACTATGTAAGTCCCAACTGGACCAAGAATGATATGACTGCACGACTAGTTACACCGTACCTCTGGTGTGCCGTGTCCTACCAGCAGATGTAGATAACAAGCTGCCGACATCCGCCCCTCTTCAGACCTGCTGTTGCTTGTCACTTCGAAGAGAGGACATTTAACGAAGAGACCCCACCCTCTCATACTCGCGGTCTATGATGTATATGCTGCTCTAGGGCTGAGTAAGCTGCTGTTTGTCTTATGTTTGATATTGAGCTTTCATGGTATTTTGTTCGTACTCCCCGCTATCTCGAGTAGCAGAGCGTTCTTGACCTTGTATCAGACAAAGAGGCCCTTAAGCGATTTACTTCAAGATGGGATGGTCAAAAAAGCAACTTGCTTCAAAGAGAGCACCCAAACAAATTGCCGTCGGAACAACTGGTCCGAGTAGAAGAGCGGAAAGGTGATGTACCTCTCCCAAAGACCAACGATAAGGCTAACGAAAGCCCTTGTTTGCTTGATCTCGATGTAATGACGTCTGCGGCTCACGCAATTTGTATTTTCGACGTTCTGGATTGTGGATGCTCCAGAACATCGGACCTCCAACGGTTGCCTCGTGTCTCAGTTGGCATGGAATCTCTCATGGCTACGGCGGAACATTCCTAACTGTCCATCCCGCGTAGAGGTAGTGTGGTAGCATTGCAGACCAAACTGACAAGAGAAAAGAAACGTTTGTCGAAACTTCAAACGGCCAGACTTATAGGGCGACATTGTATTGAGATTTCAGAATGATAAACCTCCGCATTTCAGACTGAGGTCCGACTCTCTCAAATCTGAGGTTGAGGTGGGAGTGGTCAGGACTGTTCCCTCGTCCTTGGCTTCTCCTCAAACCTAGCCTATGAGCTGGCAAGAGACAATCGGCCTGGGTATGACAAGCACACCATCACGAAGTAGATTCCTAGATTCAACATCCGAAGCAGAAGTCGTACTGCGAGGAATGCGAGTGTCGTCGTCCGAAGGCTGAATTGAAGTCGTCGTTAGGTTATCGTTCTCCATTGACCGACGTCATCCGTGGACCCCGGCTCATGGACGACATGGGATTGGCTGGCTGCGATTGGACGGGACTGCTTCTACCCCACTTCAGGTGACACCCTGAAGTCCTTTGTTGTTTTTGAACCTTCGTTTCTCTCTTCACAAGTTCACACCATGGAGTTTCACACTCACCAATAGCAGCACAAACCACCAAAGTTCTGGCGTATCAATACCCAGTCGATATTAGAAGAAACACATCCTATCAACACTGCGAGATAGGGACAACATCATCTTATCATAGGTAGACTCCTTGTCCTCTTCCTTTTGATGGGCTGAGCCGTCGACCATGGCTTGGCAGTCCACGTCGTGGAACTCAAGGCCATCCTCTCAAGATCAGATGCTGGTGGTTGGGTGCGATTCGCGTGTCACGGCTCCGTTCTCCTGAAAAAAACGCGTTGCTCGGTAACGGACCCATGTCTTCGCCCGCGTCAACACAACCAATCAATGCGGGGTCTCCGCACGAAGAAGCCCAAGGTTGAAGCTGGAATGCAGGACCAGCCTCCTGGAACTCCATGTCGCTGGATGCACCTTTCGAGCAACGGAATGCGAATTTTGAGATTTGTTCAACACTTTCACAAGCTTGCATTTACAGGACATCTTGTTTGAGTTGTCAGTCAGCGATAATCGCTGAACGTTAGGTCGCCGTCTCGTTGTAGATTCCAGTCCACGATACCCGATAGAACCAGGCGTCTGCTGGTCTCACCTAGGCGCATTCCTTAGCCGACCTGCAGAGCTTCTTTTTATTCTCGAAGCCTTGTGGTTGAGCCAGGCATATGCACGCCTCTACGATTTGCGAAAGACGGTGCTAATTGTGAGAAAGCGTCTCTTCAAGCTATTGTTTGCTTTCCACCAAAAGCTCCAAACTGACTCTGTTATCCCATATAGAATCTCGGTCCTCATATTCCACCATGGGGCTATCAAACCTCAACCCGCTGCGGTCGCGCGATGCGAAACGTCCCAAACTGCCCATGTATAAGCAGCTGAACCCTACGAGCTCCTCATCACCCACGAAAGAACGTCACTCCGATGTCGAGGACACTTCAGACGATTACTCCTCCGATGATTCGTCCGATAGCTCTTCGCGAGCCAGACCTAGCCCCCGACGGTCCCGACATGCCTCCTCCTCAGCTTCCTCGAACTCCGGACTGATGGCGCAAAGGCAATCGCCCACCTCCCAGCGCCGCCCTCCCCGAAGATATTTCTACAGATTACCAAACAAGGTCATACGAGTGTTGTGTATTGCCCTGATCACGACCATTGTCGTCTTCATATTCGGTCTCGTACGCGCAAGTCAGGTGGAGAATAGGAGGATAGCGGAAGGGAAGGTCGAAAAGAAGCCACCACCTCCTCCGCCATGGGAAAACTTCAAGTTTCTTACTCGGTACTATGGTGGACTCAAGACATTGGTACCAGTTGAGGAAAATGTGCCCCAATACCCTAGGTTTGAAGACGAAGCTCCCTACAATGCGACTGCGCCGTTTGCGCAGCAGGAGCCGAACAAGTCTGGCAAGAGAGATACTGCAAAGGGCTCATCAGCGGCAACCAAGGCTATACCACCAAGCAAGTCATTCATGGACCATCCGGGTTCGGTTGTTCCAAACAGCCGTCAAGGATTCCAGGAGTGTTTCCTCGACGAACAGAAATTGATACGGATTCCCCCAATCCAATACTACGATGGCCGCCCTAGTGGATTCCCGGATAATGTTATCGGCTCTTACGAGCTTCTTTCTCTCCCCGAAGACATCTGCTTCGACCGATTCGGCAGGTATGGCCCGTACGGCTATGGCTATTCGGTCAAGACAGGAGGCCTCGGGGTTGGCGAGCATGGCGACCGAATTGGAGCTGATGAGGTCTGGAAATCGACCAAACAGGTGGATTGGAGCAGCAATATCGACTGGGCTGAAGCTCAACGGCGGTGCTTTAAAGCCAATGAAGGCCGTTACAAGCCACTTGAAGCACATAAGAACCCTCTCCAAGGCTTCTATATCCAGGAGCAAGACGGAAAATCAAAACTGAAGACCAGAGCCGACGTTCAAACTTCCGAGAGTACGACTACCACAAAGCCTGCCGAAGAGAAGGAAAAGGGGTCCGCCACACCTGAAGTACCCAAACCGAAGGGTGATATTCCCCGGTCCGCCCTGGTCATTAGAGCTTGGGACGAGATTGACTGGAACGCCGAAAATATTCTCAACATCCGTGCCCTTGTGGCGGAACTGTCTCTTGCCTCTGGCGGTCGCTACGATGTGCATCTCTTGGTACAGGTACGCAATGACGGAAAGAATCCCGTCTGGGCCGACGATGAGGCCTATCAAAAACGTATCAACGACACCATCCCCGCAGAATTCCGTGGGATGGTAACTTTGTGGTCTGAGACCCAAATGCTCGCCATCTACCAGGGTGTCCGCGACCTTTGGACCAAGGGCCCTGAACTGCCTGTCCATGGTTCGTATCGCGGCTTGCAGATGGCGATGCAGCACTTTGCCTACAAGCACCCGGAGTATGAACACTTCTGGCAATGGGAAATGGACATTCGCTACACCGGCCACTACTACGACCTGCTATCCAAGCTGGAGGCCTGGGCCAAAGAGCAGCCGCGCAAGGGCTTGTGGGAGCGCAACGCGCGATTCTACATGCCATACGTTCACGGCACCTGGGACGACTTCAAGCAGATGGCGCGCGTGCAAACCGAGCACGGCACCGTTGGCGCCGACAATATCTGGGACAACGCCATCAAGAAGGGCGGCAACAAGGACAAGCAAGAATCCCCCAACCAGGTGAAGACCAAGGGCGAGAAGAGCATATGGGGCCCGGAGCGGCCCAAGGACTCAAATGACTGGTTCGAGCACGACCAGGATCCCGTCCCGCCCACCAGCTACGAGCGCGACAAGTACGCCTGGGGCGTCGGCGAGGAAGCCGACCTGATCACGCTCAACCCCATCTTCAACCCCGAGGGCACCACGTGGGGGCTGGCCGACGACATCACGGGCTACAACGAAACAAACAACAATGGCAAACCGCCGCGGCGCGCCCAGATCATCACCGCGAGCCGCATGTCCCGCCGCCTGCTGCTGACCATGCACCGCGAGACGGCCTTCAAGAAGCACCACGCGTTTCCGGAGATGTGGCCGGCCACGGTCGCGCTGCACCACGGCTACAAGGCCGTCTTTGCCCCCCACCCGCTGTTCGTCGACCGCGAGTGGCCGACCGAGTACATGGCGCACATCCTCAACGGCGGGCGCAACGGGGCCTCGGGCGGGTCGAGGATGTCCGTGTTTGGTAATCGGGAGCATAACATGAGGGGTCTGACGTGGTTCTATAATGCTGGGTTCTCGGCTAACCTGTATAAGCGGTGGTTGGGGCTCAAGGTGAACAATGACGGCGGTGAGCAGTTCGAGTTGAGACCGAATAATAGCGCGGATGACCAGACGGTGTCGACGATGCGCGGCGGCGATGGGAGGATGTGTCTGCCGCCTATGCTGTTGCATCCAGTTAAGGATGTTGTGTTGCCGGTTGAGCAGGAGGCGGAGGAGGCCAAGGTTACGGTGCCGGAGTCGGATCCGTCTGCTTGAGTGTTTTGCTAGTTTATTTCCTAGAGCGGCGTTTTGGGGTGATACGTTTTGTGGCAACTGCATTTGGCACCCGGTATGGGGAGCCTTGAGTAGGTTGGTTATGACCTTTGTGAATATGACCTGAATGGCAATGCATCATGCAATAATGCTAGATATAGAATGGAACAATGGAAAACATCTCGTCGAATATCTTGAGATTTGAGATTGCAGGGTTCACATGTGTGAAGACACGCTAGATTTGGTCTTCGTCTAGACCTAGTAGGCAATTCCATTATCATATCATTTGTTTTCGTATCCCCATCCGGCTGACCCATTCCAAGCGCCCAAATATGAATGGTTCCCAAAGCAACTTGTAGAATAAAGCGGCTTAAATATTATAAAATAGTTGTTGTTATTGATGAGGGGGAAGTACTCCGATGAGGAGGCAGTTCTATCGGGTGAGTTTAGATAACCCGCTTGACCTAAATCAGGGGGATTCAGGGGTTAGCTTTGCCAATCCTGAGCCGTGCCTCCCAGCTGTCTTCTTCTCCTCCCTGCTGGAAAGTTTATAAGAGTCTTAACATACCTCAAAGAACCTCCTCAACCACCAGACCTGGAACAAGCTCTCGCCCACCACGACGCCGACGATAAACAGGTTCCACCACTTGACGCGGGCGTTGGTGCTCTCGGCCGTGTTACGGTGGGTGCGCTCGCGCACGACGATGTAGCTCTGTTCGTCCTTGACCATCTCCAGCATCTCCGACAGCTTGCGCACCTCGACCTCAAGCGGGTCCTGGGGCGCGTCCGCCTCGGAAACGTACACGATGCCGTGCACGTTGAACGAAACCTCCTTGGTGTTGGCGCCCCAGTGCTCGTTGCCGAAGCAGTACACGTACTTGCCGTCGTGCTTGGCCTCGAACGAGAAGTCGCCGTTGGATATGGACTTTTCAAAGGTCTCGTATTGGTTTAGGGGGTTGGTGATCTATGTATGTATGGACCCTTTGTTAGCTTCTCTGTTGCAAGCTTCTTGGTTCTTGTTCGGTGTCTGGTCTAAGGATTGAAGATCGATGACGATGGGAAGTAGATTGGCGGTCGGTCGGGCTACGTGGGAAAGGCTATGCTAAGGGGACGACGCACCCAGAAATCGATGTCGAGGTTGCCGGCGCTGCCAAACTCGCGGTCGCCGACCTGGAAGGTCACCGTCATCTTGTCATCGCGATGGAGGTTCTCGTGGAAGCATTCGCGGCCGTGGGCGGGAAGGACGATGTTGTGAGCGGCGGCGGCGCCGAACAAGCTGGCCGAGAGCAGCAGCTTAGCTGCTGTGAGGAAATGCATTGCGATCGATTTACGAATTGTCCGGGGATTGGCGATGAGCGAATGTGGAGTTTGGGGAGGATTCAAGCAAAGAAATGGAAGCTTCCGTTTCGGTTTCGCGAGACGTTTTGGGAGGACAACTTGGCGATTCACAATTACCCCTACCTCTCACAATTCTGGCAGCCGCAAGTCCAGGGCAGCAGAGTGGTGAGGTCGGGTCCCGCCAGTAGCACGGAAAGTACCTAGGTACACCCAGCCCGGCCCCCCCTTGTAGCTGCTGCCGCGAGCACCCAGGTGTTTGGCCTTGGCGTGCCCGGTGGACAATGAACTGAGGCTCTGGCCTATCAAAGTTGCCGGGCACCAGGGTCCAGGACTCCCAGGGGGATGACTGGCTTGTGAAGCTCGAGGCCGTCAACAGGACTGAATGCCAAATGGGCCAAAGGGCCCCTTGGAAACACACAAAGGGACTTGGTAGGCCGAGAAGAAGGGTCCCGTTTCTGTCAAAGGATTCGGTCCAATGTTCTTCCCTACAGGTAATCTTTCAGGAGGGCTGGAGGGGTACCAGCAAGGTACTTCGTCGCTTCTATGTGCTGCTCAGCCGAGTTGTTGTTGATGCAGGCGAAAAGGGGTTGGCGAGATAAGGTAGTGGTAGCTCGCGTGTACAGGGCGTAGAGTGGACCGTGCACGCTCTGACAGCGGGGATGCAAGAGAGCCAGCAGAGTCGTCTTGGGAATCCGCCGGGGGGGCAACCAGGCGGCCATGCCAGGTGGGCGACCCGTGTGAGGGTGAGAGCGGGCGGGCACGCTACTGGTGGTGTCGGACGGTCGCCCTACCCAAGAACAACTTTCAAAATCGGTGCCAGAGACCTGACGGCCGGAGACACATTCTCGCCCGCTTGCCTTCCTTCCACCACACACCGCCATCAATCCTACCACCATCCACATTTCAACACCATATTTCTGCTGCCACCGGTGACGCGCATCCCAAACATCGCCGTCCCCATTACTCGAGGACAAGCCTCCCATAGTAAGTACCCGTCATCGTTGTCGCATATCGTGATCCCCTTCTCTGGCCAGCGAATCAATCACGCCGTTGCAAGGCACCTCCGTGGTTCCCATCGGCGCTGCCTGCCACAGCTTTCCCATTCCGTGTCTGCCTGCCTCTACCTTCGCACTCGAACGCGTGCCTCCTGGCTGGTGAAGGACGTCGAGTGGCCAAATGGCGCCAACACAGCTCGTCACTCGTCGTAGCCCTGCGGGTTTACCTTGTCCATGGCATGCTGTTGTGTGCCTGAGGATAGCGAATGGCCAGACACTAGTTATCTGTCCTCACGCGGGCCGTCGTCATTAAATGCCCACCCGCCGTCCTCATTGTCATCAATCGCACTCTTTCTCTCAACACCACCATCCCGACGAGCATTCAACAGTTCATCTCGACAGCATCAAGGCTCCCTTTGCTTACGCTTTACCGCCCAAACAGATAATTTTCTACACTTGCAACTTTAGCGTCGCCTAATACACAACCGCCAAGATGGGTAACACACTCTCGATATTCGGAAAGCTCTTCGATGGGCTCTTCGGCAAGAAGGAGATGAGAATTTTGATGGTCGGTCTCGACGCTGCCGGAAAGACCACCATTCTCTACAAGCTCAAGCTCGGTGAGGTCGTCACGACCATCCCGACCATCGGTACGCTACGCGCCATCCTCCCCCCTTAGTGCACATTGGCGGCACAGACCCACTCCTTGCGAGAGCACGCAACACTGACACCATCCGTTCAAAGGCTTCAACGTCGAAACCGTCGAGTACAAGAACATTCAGTTTACCGTCTGGGATGTCGGCGGTCAGGACAAGATCAGGCCTCTGTGGAGACATTACTTCCAGAACACCCAGGGTATTATTTTTGTAGTCGACAGCAACGATCGCGACCGTGTTGTCGAGGCCCGCGAAGAACTCCAGCGCATGCTCAACGAGGATGAGCTCCGCGACGCCCTCCTGCTCGTCTTCGCCAACAAGCAGGATCTTCCTGTAAGCGCCACCCCTATCTACCCGAAACCTGCCACATTCAGCAGCAGCAGCAGCAGCCAGCTAACAATGTGTCTTTTAGAATGCCATGAACGCTGCCGAGATCACGGATAAGCTCGGCCTTTCCAGCTTGAGGCAACGCTCCTGGGTATGTTTTGAATTTCCCTGTCTCACATGATGCATGCCTTTGTTCCCTAACACTTTTTTTTTTCACGTAGTACATCCAAGCCACTTGCGCTACCACTGGTGACGGTCTGTTCGAGGGTCTCGACTGGCTGTCGACCGAGTTGAAGAAGAAGAGCCCTTAAAGTGCTGGCTACACTTAATGACAATGCCCTTACTCTGTCCGGGTCCAATATCCGCTCGGTTGATGCCACCATACACGCCCTTTCGCAACCGAACGAACTCACCAAACATGGCAACCAGTGGTTGACGACCGTCTTACGATAATCCATGAGACGGTCAAAAGGGGATAGCCAGCACTCGTTTTGCACTTGTGATCACTTTTCGGAAAGTCAGGAGCACGCTTGGTTCGGGATCTTGTACAGTTTGATGCATCGCAAGGAGACTGCCTGCTGCTTTCCCCATATTTGCGTACGTTTTATGCTAAGGGGGGTGCGGATACGGTTGCGGGGAAGGGGAAATACAGGCAAGGATGGAGTGTGATGATGGATGTGGGAGGAGTTCTATAAATACCAAGCTGCCACTTAACTTACCTTTAGTCCCTTTTTTCGTTAGAACCGCTCGGCGTCGATTGTTTTCTGGCCTATCCGCTCATCATTAACTCTTAATATGCTTTGGGTGAACCAACGTTCCGTACTCGATACGTCGCGTGCTTTTCCTTCTCTGTTATGGTCCCTGCTTCATGGAAGTTTCATCCGTAGGTCAAAATCAGGCTAACCAAATGCGTCAAGGATCTCTGTCTGTATAAAAAGGGGCAACGACTGGAAATCAATCATGAACATCCCAGACGTTCCTTGTTGACTCCGAACAGAGGAAGTGGACGTCACGAATGTGGCGATTAAGGAGGAACATCAAACTGGTGATCTCAACCCGTTTTACTACTTTTGACTGGAGTGCGGCAGCATACAGAGAACACACAATCACCTTTAATCAAGATAATTCAGCACGTATGAATTACTCACTAGATGTTCAAGACTTGATAGAGGTGCGAACGACCAAAACTCATTCACTGCTCTCTGTTCTGTCTGCCTGCTAGTCTAAGTAGTATACCCAAAAAGAAACTCGTCGTAAAACAAAAAAAGACGTGCAAAGCAACCCTCCCAAAAACTCCTGATATCATGCTCTTGCTGCTACTTGCCTGCCAGCCAACCTGCTACTGCCTGTCCATGTTTTGTTTCGTTTCTGTATGTATGTATGTACGTAGGTATCCTCGTTCCTTACATCCATCCTCTTCTTTTTCATGTAAGTCTCCCTCTTTCTTCTCTCTCTCTCCCAGACCTAGAAACACCCTTATTACACAGCATGCTCAGCCGCATCAAGATTATCAAGCGGGACATATCCATCATCATTATTCCTCCTCGCCGCACCGACTCCCAGGAAATCCCGGACCTTGGTAACAACCCCACCAAACAGACCCCATCCGGCACCGCGCTTCCTGAGACCTCCCTTAATCAAACCACCATTCTTGTCCATCTCAAACTCATAGAGCGCCTTATCCATCCACTTCGGTCTCGTCCAGAACTTGAGAAACAAACTGCTGACCACAACACTAACACTGCTAGCCGCCATAGCGGCGCCCGCGCCCATGGGATGCAGGTGGTACCCAAACGGCAAAAAGATGCCCATGGCGAACGGCAGGCCGATCAGGTTATACATGCACGCCCACGCCAGGTTCATCTTGATGCGGCGGAAGATGGTGCGGGCGAGGTGCAGCGCGGCAGGGATGTCCATCAGGTCATTAGGTCGCATGAGCACCACGTCGGCGGCCTCCATGGCCACGTCTGTGCCGGAGCTCATGGCGATGCCGACGTCTGCGGTGGCCAGGGCCGGAGAGTCGTTGATGCCGTCGCCGACCATGGCGACGACAGCGCCGTGGGATTGGAGTTGTTGGATGATGGCTTGTTTTTGGTCGGGCGAGGCGCCGGCGTAGACGTCCTCCGGGTCGATGCCGACGGCGGAGGCAACGGCGAGTGCGGTGCTGCGTTGGTCGCCGGTGACGATGGCGGTCTTGACGCCCATGCGGTGGAGGACGGCGATGGCGGCGGCGGCGCCGTCTTTGATGGTGTCGGAAAGACAGAGGTGGCCGGCGTACTTGCCGTCGATGCCGATGAAGATGTTGGTGGTGCCGGCTGGGGTGTTGGAGGGGGTGGACTTGGAGCGAGAGCTTGCGGCGGCTTCGTTGATTTCTTCGGCGGCCTCGATTGCGGACTCGGGGATCTCGATGTTGTTGTCCCGGAGGAAGCGAACGTTGCCCACGTGTACCCGGTAACGCGTCCTCTCCAGGGAAGTAGCTGGCTCAACCTCCGCGGTAATGCCCTGGCCCACGGCTACAGTGAAGTTGCCAATGGTACCATCAATGGTTCCTTCCACATCGAGACCAAGCTCTGTTTTGGCTGCGTTGAGGACCGCTTTGCCGACAGGGTGTTCACTACCCATTTCAGCCAGGCCCACGAGAGTCCACCACAGACGACGGCGCCAGTCATTGTCCTGCCATACCGAAACAATGTTGGTTTTGGCGACGCTCATCTTGCCATACGTGATGGTGCCGGTCTTGTCGAGAACCACCTGGGTGATCTTGGTAATGGTCTCGAGGGCAGCACCACCCTTGACCAGAATGCCGTTCTCCGCTCCAACACCCGTACCGACCATGACGGCGGTAGGGGTTGCGAGACCGAGAGCGCAAGGGCACGCGAACACAATGACAGAAATGCAGAGTTTGACGCACACCATGATCTTGCCACCACTTGCGTCCTCCAAGAAGATCTTCGGGGGAGTTGACAAGACATGGCTAAGAATCATCCAGGTAAAGAATGTCATCATACCAAGCAACAGGATCATCGGGACGAAGTAGCCAGCTATAGTGTCCGCCAGGCGCTGAATGGGAGCACGGGTCGTCTGAGCGTCTTGGACCAGCTTGACGATCTGGCTGAGCTGAGTGTCCCGGCCTGCACGAGTGACACGGAAGTCAACTCGCCCAGCCCCGTTGACCGTGCCACCGATTAGCATGCTTCCCTTCTTCTTCTGAACGGGCATGGCTTCTCCGGTAACCATACTTTCGTCGACATATGTCTCACCCCTGACAAGAACACCATCTGCGGGGATCTTGTCACCGGGACGAAGGAGAACGATGTCGCCAACCTGGATAAGTTCTGTAGGGATGACTTTCTCCTCCGCTGCATTGCCTTCACGCGGCTCTTGAGAGTCGGAGGAGTCTGCGTTGCGATCCCAACCCTCGGCAGCCTTTTGCGCCGCGATGGGGTCCGCATAGATGGTAGCCATCGATGGAGCCAAGGACATGAGGCGCGAGAGCGCTTTGGATGTCTGACCCTTGGCCCGGTTTTCGAGGAAACGGCCGAGGGTGATGAAGGTGATCAGCATGGTACTTGTGTCGAAGATGGTGCTCGGCCGGGTGTGCGGAGGAAATACGATCGAGACTGTCATCGCGACAATGCTGAAAAAGAAAGCGCATGAGGTACCGAGAACAACAAGGACATCCATGGTCGGCGATTTATGTTTTATTGACTTCCAAGCCGAAACATAGAAGCGCTTTCCGATGCCAAATTGAACCGGTATCGTGAGAACCAAGCAGACCACATCTCCAAGATATAAACCCGGAATTAGTCTGACTTTCCCAAAGTCAAGGAACTTCAGGAACATGGGGAAGATCATGCTGATAAAAAAGACCGGGACGGCGAAAGCAGCCGAGATCCTGAATGCCTGCTTCCATTCGTTGATCTCCCGCGTCTTGGCGAGTGACTCCAGCTGGGCATTGTTGTCATCATTGTCTGCCACAAGGGCATTGAAGCCGGCGCCTTCGACAGTTTCGACAATAGCTCGGAGTCCAGTAACATTAGGCATATGGGTGACAGTCAGTCTGGAGGTCGCAATGGCCAGTTTGGCGCTAGTAACACCAGGGAGCGTAAGAACCTCCTCTTCTAGCTTGTTAGCTGCGGCGGCGTCAAGGTTTCCATAGATCTTGAACTGTGCTGTCGAAGTGCCGCTAGAGTGATTAGGTTGATCAAACGTAGTTGTTAGAATCTTGGCGTCAAAACCTCGATCCTCGATGATTTCAACGATCTTATCAGCCGATAATAGTGATAGATCGTGCAAAATAACCGCTCGCTCAGCGAGAAGGCTGATGTTGAATTTCAGAACTCCGTTCACATCCTTGAATCCTTGTTCCACGGCTGAAGTGCAAGCGCCGCAAGTCATGCCCTCGATTGCTACCGTCGTGGTCGCGCTTGACGGTTTGGAGGATGTCGCCGCGCCGGAAACCGATTCTCTTTCGGGTTGCTTGTGAACACTCTCAACAACAGTCGCATCAAACCCGCGATCTTCAATGGCTTCGCAAATGGCTTCGGCGCTCAACAGTGTCGGGTCATGCTCGATAACGGCTCTCTCGGAGAGTAGGGAAATGCTAAAGTGCCGTACGCCAGATACGTCCTTGAATGCGCCTTCGACCGCTGATGTGCAAGCGCCGCATGTCATGCCCTCGATTGCGACAGTGGTGACCATTAACGGGGAATCGTCGGAAGCTTTCAGGTCTTGTTCGGGGTGGCTGGCGATCATAGGCGTCGGGAGGTCGGTGGCCAGCACCTCGGCGTCGAACCCTCGGTCTTCGATGATTTCTTTAACTTGGTCGGCAGTTATCCGGTCGGGGTCGTGCATAACCACGGCGCGTTCCATTACCAGGCTAACCGATACGCTACCCACTCCGTCGACGCCCTTGAAGCCAGATTCAACGGCCGAAGTACAGGCGCCGCATCTGCGCAAAGTCAGTCACCAAGTGTTCTACACACATCCGAGGAAGCCGAGACAAAGTCAAGTATTGCGCCAACTCACGTCATACCCTCAACCTTGAGGGTTGTGGTAGCCATGTGCCCAGATGGGACTTGTATATTTGCCGGTGCCATCTTGATGATGGGTGCGCAAGAGTTCGTACAGCGATGCCAGATGTTTTTGTTTTATCAAACAGGCCGCGCGGCGCAAATGACACGGAGAAAGCGAGATTTCGAAGCGGAGTGGATTTCGAAACGAGAGCCCCTGGGCTAAAACATCGAAGGAAGACACGCCACCACTTTGCGCAAAAGAGTTGAAAGGGTGGAATAGGCGCCAGCTTCCAGCGATGGCGTTGGCGATGGCGAGGTCGATCAGTTAATATGTAGATGAATGAGTACAGATAGGGACCGGTGACAATATCGAAGGCATAGCGGAGCTCCCGGTACCGTTACATATAAGATCAGATGGAGCAATGGCGCCAAACCTGCAGCAAGGAGCTGGGTGCGAGCGAGACTCGAAACTTGCACGGAGAGTGGAGGATGGAGGGGCGCAACCGGGGGGCTGCGAGAAAGGAACTCGGAACAAGAGGGAAGGGGTTGACGAAGTTTCCATCGACTGAAGGTTTGTCAGCCACTCACAGCGTACTTTCTGCGGTACCTAGAGGCCGCACACAGGGATCTCGCACCACTGCAGTTTCTCCCGCCCATGGCGTGAAACGGGATCTGAGAGTCCGCCAGGGCGGCAAGTCACAAAGTGGGGTGGAGTAAGATCCGAGAGACCGAGACTGCCCTTGGGAACTCATCAACTGGTACACATGATACAAAATCTTTGTACTATTCTTTCTTGTGGTTTGCGCCAGACAAGCGTCTATCATACCTGGAACCAACACCGACAAACAGTCCAACAATCTCGTATGATATTGTCCGAAAGCAACGGCCACAAAGGTATCACAAGGCATCATGCGAGAAAATATTGCATCTACGCAGTACAGATGTATGTATTGGACTGCTAGTGAGTCTCGGCCACCACTTCAGCCGTTGTCGCACATACGCTAGTGATCATGACTGCTTACCTTGCTTACTACGGCACACGCCGCCTATATAAGACACATAATCCAAATCGAGAGTCATGCTTCCCGTCTTGTGGCTTGCGTGCTCAGCTTGACCGAGAAACAGTTGTGGAGGGTATAACACAACAGGGGCTGAGAAAACGAGTGAGTTTGTGGCCTCGTATGATGGTCGAAAGGGCTGAGTAGAGGGCACAAGCTCAATGTTCATGCCGCATTCTACTATATTTTCCGGGATTCTTCTTGACGCTTCCAACAATCATTATTGATGAGAAATATCGTCACATGAGGTGTTGCTCGGATCGGCATTCGCGTTCAGTTCTACCTACAACCTTCTGCCTCCTTTACCAATGTCACAATATATGGCCCTCAACGACTGGATCTCCCAGGATTTGCCATGTGGATGTCCCGACCATACCGGTAGGAAAGCACAAGGAGAATTGCTGCCTCCAGCAACACCACAACACCACAACACGGGAAGGGTTTCGGTATCAGTGGAAGTACCTTCATCTCCAGACTATATGAACAATAAACATACCGTGCAATACACTACCTTTTGAACAAGAAGTCAAGTGTAATACCGCGGTTAACATCTTCAGATGAGATGAAAGATGTCGTGTCGTCACGGCGAATCTACCGGATCTCTTTTCCTAGATTTCTCCACTTCGACGGGTTGCCATCCCGATCATCCAGGGGACCCTTGCGCCTAGATTCACAAATGCTGGTCACCAGAAGGCGCCTGGTCGCTTTAAAACGTGACTTTGACGCAGCCAATTTGGCGCCAAAAGTGCCCCATCAGCACACCAGCCTCAAGAGCAAAAGGGAAAGAGACGGGAGACGTACAAGAACAGGGAAAGCTTCACGAACACCTCCGGCTACGAGCAAAACCATGTTGTTTACACAGTAAATGCTAAAATTAAACTGAGATCAACATATTAAGGATTATGAAACCCATAATCGCCCAGAAATTTGTGCTCTATAATCTCCATGGCTTGCTTGGCGAACTGCGTTGAAGCCGGAGGCAATTGCTCCTGCCAACCGAATGCGTGAAGTTCAGTTGATTGCCAGCGGGCTCGGCGCCGGCGGAGATACCCCGCTGGACGCAAGCCACACTTGCTCGTTGGAGCTTTCAGCCTTATGGCGGGTGTACCTACCCCGGGTTAACTCCACCAAAGGCTGCAGTCGCACATCGTTCACGACCTGTCAGTCAACGCCATCCATCCTATCTCGTGCCGTGCTACACCACGCCGTAACTGTACCCCGTAGCTAAGTTCAAGCCAGAATTATCCCCATTTACTACTTCATTGTCTTCGCTTCACTTTTATACATCATCGCATACCGAATCTCGGATCTCCAGTCTCTCGAACCACGAGCTACCGCTAACCCGGCCTGCCCCAACTCGCAATGGAGCAAGCCAAAGCTCTCAACGCTCTCGAGGTTCGTCCATCACCCGTCACGTCTGAGGGTGGTCAGATCAAGATTGGAGAGTTGTACCTAACACAAAATTCTGATTCCAGCCGTTCATCGTGCTCTCCAAATCTGCCACCTCCCCACGCGCTGCCGCAGACCTCGTGACCCGCGCGACCTCGGCCCCCAACACCTTCATCTTCACCGAGCTTCTCCAGACGCCTCAAATCCAGTCCCTCGCCAGCTCCGACGAGTTTTCTCCCTACCTCACGCTCCTCCAAGTTTTCAGTCATGGGACTTACGCGGACTACACTGCCAACGCCTCGACGCTTCCTACCCTCAACGATGACCAGAAGCTTAAGCTGCGTCAGTTATCTCTTCTCACACTGGTCGCCAACGATGGCATTGCCACCAGCCCTTCTGATGATGACGCAATGCATCAAGAACACGAACAGGCACAACCGCCGAACCTAAGCTATGCCTCCCTGATCCGACATCTGGAGCTCTCCAGCGCGCGAGAGCTGGAAGAGCTTGTGATCAGCGCCATCTACGCCGGCCTCATCGAAGGGCAGCTAGACCCGGCCAACGAGATGGTACAGATCAACAGCGTGGCCGCTCTGCGGGACGTGCCCCCACGGGGCGTGGGCGGCCTGCTCTCGAGCTTGCAGGGCTGGGCGGGTCGGTGCGAGGCGACGCTGCAGGAGCTGGAAGCAACGATGGCCAACCTGCGGGAGGAGGCGGACAGGCGGGCGACCGAGGAGCAGGAGTGGAACAACAAGATGTCGCAGTTGTTGGAAGATGAACAGAAGGGTGCGGTACCGTCCTCTTCTTCGTCCTCTTTGCCCTCTTCTTGGTTCAACAACAAACGCGGCGGTGGTGGTGATGGTGCCGGTGCCGGTGCCGGTGCAGGTGGTAGCTTTCGTGGTGGCGGCTACTCTCGCGGTGGTGGCTCGTCCCAGGGGTACCGGCCATCTCAAAGAGGAAACCACCATCAGCAGCAGAATCAATCACGTCAGCAGCAAAACCACCATCACCATCACCAAAGCAATCAGACCGGAACGAACAGCTTGCTGACGAGTGGTGGCGGCAGTTATCTCAGCTTCAGAGAGGAGCCATCAGCAGTATCGCCCTCAGCAGCGGCGGGGTTAATGGGCTCCTCGGCCTCATTTGCGGCACTGGGGGGCATGGAGACGGGCTCGGGCTCGGGCTCGGGGCCTCTTGGAAAGCGAGGGAGCAGCGATATGGATGACTCAGAAGAGAACATTGACGACGACACGATGGATCTGGATGACGAGGGAGATGATTCCAAGAGGGGTAGCAAGCGGAAGTTGACCGCATAGGAGGTTAAATTTCCCATGCACATCAGGACAAATCATGGAGTGCCAGGTGCCGGTTATTGTTTTAATTGCATTGACATGAAAGTCTGAGGCCATGAATGGTCTACGAAAATAAGGTATTAGTTCACCCAGTCAATGGCTGGAGAACGGGATAAACAGCTAGAAACATGGCATCATTACGATTCATATTCGGGGCCAAACAATAGAGAGCAAGCTTCACAACTTCCCGGTCAAATATTATCAATACAGATTCAATGGACATTGTGAGTGGTTAAAACCGCGAGTACATCAGATTCTTCCCAAAAAAAAATTCTCTGAGTGGCGGTTCTAGATGGTGACTACCAAGCCGCATGGGAAGTAAAACCCTTAAAATCACACAGGGCCATCGTACTCCCAAACCTGAGACTACCTAGGGACCTAGATGCTCTCCCTCCATGGTGTTAACCACGACCATCTCGTGTGACGTTCATCTTCCGCCTGTCCCACTCCCACAAAAACATTGACAAGCACAACAGCCTCTTCGCTCGATTGGACCAACCATCACTCAGATTCCTTACTCTCACCCAGCCTCCCATTCAACAGCACGTCTCTGCCAGCCAGCCACTCATTGCACATGTGTCACCACAATGAAACCTGTGAGAAGCGGACAAAAGGAAATTTGATTTTGTGAGCTGAGCAAAAAACGATCTCGCTCATAGTCTGTCTACGTAGTGTACCTAGCGTGCCTGGTTGGGGAGGGAGTTCCAACAAGGAAGCTGAGCATAAGTAGTGTAGTGTAGTGTAGGTATAAGCGGTTAGTGGTGATAGTACTAAGAAGTGTATCTATCCAGAACACACAAGAACACGGGACCCATCTTCTCTCCCTAAAATCCGACACACAACAACAGATAAACTGCCAGTCAAAAAATACTAGTAGCCCTCTCCAATAGCGGAACATAACCAAGAGGCGGGACCGTATATTTTGACTGTCATTGTAGCACACTCTCGCACAAGTTGGTGTTCCCTTTTGGGTTGTTCCCCAGAAATCCTCCGGGGGTAAAAAAAGCCAGACATTGAAACGCGTTTGTTTCTATACTCCGGGTAAAGGAGAAGCCAGACAACGAAACGCCTCGTTTCTCGTGGGTTGGTCGGATGCGAGTCTTCCATCACTGTCGTGCCTTTCTTTACCTCACGGATACCTCTAAGAAGCCCGACCATAAGACCCAAGCCGAGTTGGTTGCGCCGTTCGTCGTCGTTCCCGTTCTCATCGCACTCTACTCTTCTAGTAGAAGAGTTTTTGGTTCGATGTGAAAACAGTAAGCTTCATTGTGTCATAACGTTCGTAAGAGTAACAAACAAGAATCCCCGCTTTTGCCCGTCCAAAGGAATATCGCTTTTTTCCGTATCAAGAAAATCCGAAATAAGAAAAACTCTTTGTTCTTTCCCCGTGGTTCGTGGTGGAGAAGAGATATGGCGTTGTATAAACTCGCCCTCGTTTGGACTGAGGCAAAAAATGGTAGGTTAAAAAGGTGGTCAAAAAGAAGAGAAAAGATCTAAAACAGATTACCGACATCCACGCCTGGATTAAGAGTGTAACTGGCTGCAGACAAAATGATTACACGGCGTGGATTTGTCGAAACCGGGGAAAGCCAGTATCCCATTTTTCCGTGTCGTCCTAGCTCCCATGGGTATTATGGTAAAAAAGATTAAGCAAACCAAAACGCCGAAAAGAAAACTGCCAATCCATCACTGCGTGATTCCGTGCGTACCAGGTCATAGTCGTTTTCCCGGTACGAGAATGAACAGGACGCATAGCGCGGCGTCTATGACTGCAGTGACGGCGAGAACCACCATGGATCTCTGGGCGAGGAGTTTTCGGACGTATGGCTCCCGAACTCGGGAGAAATTGAAAGGGGTATATTCGCTCAGTCCGATGAGGGCGAGAATGGGGTCGAGTGAGTACTGATATGAACAGAGACAGTAAACTCCAATGGTGAAAGGCAGGATGACCTGTTAAACGTTAGCAAGATAACCGAAATATCAGCCAGATTTGGCTAGTCTGGTAACATACCCAACACCTTGTTAGGCGAGATTCGTTAAGGAAGATCAGGATGAAGGCAGTCCAGAAGCCACCGAACATGGCCACGAGACCAACCATGAGGCGCAGCATTAATGTAGGGGGAATGAGGTTTCCGAGGGCCTTCATCCTAAGGAAGCCGGGGAACGCGTCCCTCTCCATGGCCTGGAACACATAATCCTTGGCCACATCGAACACCTCCGGGTCATCGCGTCCATAATCCTCAATAGCAGTTGTGACATCCGAAGTGATGGAACCAGGAAGAGTAATCTCGCGTTCTGCGCCGGGAAGGAGGAAGGTGTAAAGAATCTTCTCGGCTGAGGCTCTGATATCGTCGCGCGCTACGGCATGCGCTGGGGAATTTGAGTCGGTAGTGAATTCGCGCTGGTTGCTGAGGTTGCTCGGACGACCACGGCGGTCGCTGCTGCTTTGCGGGGACTCCTGCGCGATCGATCGATCCTCGCGCAGGAAGGCAGACATTTGCGCGTCCTGATCCTTCTCCTTCTCCGACGCCCACATAGACGGTCCTGCGACGGGGTTCAAATCTCCCATGCTCTCAAGAATGGCGGATGATCGTTTGGAGCTTCGGTCGGGCTCAGGCGTGCCGACAAGAACGGAACGTCGCAATTCGCGAACATAGTGACGGCATAGTGACATGTGTTGGGCGACATCGAGCCTGTCTCGGGTCAGGAACTGCCATTGTCAACAAAGCACCGAGAAGTGATAACCAACCAGAAATCGAGGTAGTCGACAGAGCGCTGCTGGTCTCTCATATAAATGTAGAAGGAGAACAGATCGACGGGCGGGAGCGTCCGCCTGCTGAGGACCTCGAACAGGGTAGGGAGTCGGTTTCGATTAAGGTCGGGTTGAGGGGAGGGCGTGTGTGCTATGGGCTCCGCCATTTTGACGGGAGGTGAACGGGACCTGAAACTCGAGCTGAATCCGACGGCGGAGGAAGGCGATATGATAGTAGGAGGAGAGCGAAAGGGCGCCGGCGGAGTATGGGTGGAGAGCGGGGCAAGCAAGAAAGCTGTATTGAGCTCAAGGTTGTCCGAGGAGAGCAAGTTGTGGCGGGCAAGTGTTTCAATCAGTTGCGCGGTTCGGGAGCGATAATGGTTTGACGTCAATCGAGTATTTCGCGAGTCACGGTTGCCGGGTGCACGAGAAAAGAAGGAGTTTGATTAATCGGGGCTTTTTTGATTTCTTGGCGATTCTGGTCTCTTTTGTAGTAAAGAACGTGGTTTGCGCGCAGCGCTGTCGGATAGAGTGGTTTGATCCGGAGACGGCGATGGTTGGGTAGGTAACGAATGACGGGTTGGGAAGTTGGGTGTGGTTGACGAGGTCGGGTGCAAAGCAACGAGTGAATGGAATGACGGGAGGGTGTGTTTGACGAAGGGAACGGGACGGGGAGTTGGGACTTCTTGGGATGGGATGTGGTGAACAAACAGGCTTTGCGAGGCCCACCCGTCCCTATCAGGCACTGGAGACGAGATTGACAGGGCGACAGGCCAGCATGAGATCGCATGAAAGCATGGAACAGCCCAGCAATTGACTTCAAGGTGCACTCGCTGCATCTGCAGTCTCCCTGGCGAGCATGGCAGGGAGATTGCAGAAGTCACTCGGAAATTGAAAGTTTGGGGGACGGACGGGAAGCACTCCGCCAGCTGTCAGACGCTTGGCAAATGCCAGAAGTGGTGGGGGCTTGACTTTGCCAGCCGGCCTTCCGTTTAGGGTAAGGTAAGCGAGGCGAGTTGAGCCCAGGTCCGCACTTTCCAGATTTCGTGGAAAAATCCGGTGCAAAATTCATTGGGAGGTTTATCGTTTGCCGCAGCACCCATCGACTTCGACGACTCTCACCCGACCACCGAGTGTACGAGACATCGCCATCTCCAAAGTACGTAACTACGGCCCCTCATATTTTTGCCCGGTCAATTTCGAGTCAGCCGTCCCGTCAGCTCTCGAGACACGGTTGGGCTTCGCGAAACCCCTCCTTTGCTAACAAGCTGTTCAGAATGTCGTCCAAGAAGCCCACCGGTAAGACCCAGCGTTCGGCCATCGCCGACGTTGTCGCCCGCGAGTACACCATCCACATGCACAAGCGCGTAAGCAGTACCGAATAATCGACCCGACGAAGGAAGACGAAATATTGACCCTGGCGCAGATGCACGGTGTCACTTTCAAGAAGAGGGCTCCTCGCGCCATCAAGGAGATCAAGGAGTTCGCTTACAAGGCGATGGTACGTGCAGCGACGAACACCAACCCGATCCGGAGGAACTGGAGCTATGGAGACGACATTGGAGTTGGGGACACAGCGTGGTCAGTTTGAACGAACACCAAGACTGACATGACCGTGATTTCTAGGGTACCACCGATGTCCGCATCGACCCCCAGCTCAACAAGAAGGTCTGGGAGCAGGGTGTCAAGGGCGTTGCCTACCGTCTCCGCGTCCGCATCTCCCGCCGCCGTAACGACGAGGAGGGCGCCAAGGAGAAGCTCTACAGCTACGTCCAGGCCGTCAACGTGAAGAACCCCAAGGGTCTCCACACCGTTGTCGTTGAGGAGTAAATTTGGGTGTTCTGGCAAAACGAATTTTTGGCACGAAGGGACCGCGGTTCAGGTTCAGGGCGGCATTGGGCTTCCGGAGTTTTCGCATGGCATCTAGCTTCGCATTACGAATAAAGGGTTCGTAAAATGGAACACGGGACCTTCGATACCACCAAACCGCCTCCAGCAACGATGAGGGAAGACAATCGCAGTGTGAGGGCGTCGCAGATGGTCAGGCAGGGGCTTCATCATGAAAATGATACGCTCTACGGACGATATACTGTCCATTACAACCAATGCTTGATGTACTTCATAAAACCAGTCTGCAACCGGTAGCAGACGCGAGCAACAACGGGATACCCATTAAACAATCCCGCCCTGATAATGCAAATCCTGTTCCAGAGACCAATACGCCAGGGATTCCAACCTTCAGAATGAACCAATTTCTCCTAACCCAATGCTCTCCTAAACTGCACCTGCATTTCTCCTTCAGTCGTCGTCAATGTCCTTGTGACGGTCCATGACCTTGGTCTTGAACAAAGTCGGGTCCTTGTCCCAAAGCTCGGCCGCCTCGCCGTTGAGAGGGGAAGCGCTGTGATATGTGTTAGCTCTAACCTGGTAGATCTGAATGAGAGAGCATGTGAATTCCTTACTTGTTTGGCTCTCCGAGCAGGGATTGCAAACTCAGTAGGACGGTCTGAGTGTTGTAAGCAGCAGTCCACTTATCCTTGAGGATGTCGAGGCAGATGCGTCCAGAAAAGTCCACATTGGGATGGTAGATTGGAGTTCTGAACAGCACCGTGGGCGGCGCGTAAGGATAATTCGTAGGAAATTCGAAACTGAGCTTGAAGGTGAGGCCGGCGTAAGGGGTATCCTCAGGTCCCTCGATGGTAGCCCGCCACGAAAGGAGATTGCCGTCGGCAGAGGGGAAGGCAGACACGCCCGGCGCCGGCGATGTCATCAGCTGCATAAGCTCCGTCTGCAGTCTGCTTGTAGTTATGTACAGTCAGTAGCCAAAACACCAACATCGCGATTGTCTAACAACATGCGCAAGCTCAGTAGGAAGTAGACTGACCTCTTGACGGCATTTTGACCGGGATCGACGTTCTTCCTGGCGCCGAGGGTGGGCGCAGAGTTTTGAATATCTCCCATGTTTTGCTGTAGGATAATCCAATCTGTGACGGCGAGCTGAAAAGCAGTCGAACAAGACAACAGCGCAGGACAAAGAAGACCAATATACGGCCGATAATTGAGTTTAAAGTCAAAAAGGTACTAACGAAACAGGTTAATAAAGACGTCCACAAAACAAGGTGAAGGACATCGTACCTGCAACCAAGGAGGGGCGGCGCCAACCTTAGGAGATGTATGAAGGTTGAGATGGGAGATGGGAGGCGCAAAGAACAAAGTGTAGTTTGGCAGTTGACGCCAAGCTTGGAGGGACGGAACTGACGAGATGGAATCAAAGAATCAATGTTTACACGACTGCAGAACGGACCAGCCTCCAATGACCCCACAGCTGACCAGGTTACCGCGGCAGGGTCCCCAGCAACCGTGATGGGCCCGAGCGTTGCTGTCAGGGGAAAGTTTAAGGGCATACATTGAAGGTTCCCAGGCCGCAAGGCAGTCGCGGCGCGTGGAAACAGTGGACAGTTCGCGCTCCTTCAGGCGTTTCCTGGATCTCCTTTCTCAACCCAAACAAACCGGGGTACTGGACACATCACATTGTCAACACGCGCCTGCATTTGCACGTGAAGTGTCCATGGTGTTTGTACAACACCACCATAGCAGGTCAGGTTAGCTGCACGTCTGAATACGCGACTCTCTTCCTCTGACACGCTCTTGGCATCCACCGTTCTGTTGCTCATCAAAATGGTGAGTGCTTTCTGCCTCCACCTTTCCATCTCGATTGGCGCTTTTCCTATTTAGGAACTTTGTTTTGGTTTGATAATTCTAGCCGGCTCTCGCCACCTGCTTGCGCCAGGCATCAGCCTGACACTTATACAAACCAACCCAACCACCACTCTTGATGAAGCACAGACTTAGTTGTTGATTGCGCAACAACCGACGAAGAGCATTCCTTTAAACACTTCGAACTCTCTTCAGATCCCGCATACTTTTGTCTACCTCACTTGTACTCTAATCATCGTAATCGTAATTGCGTCCGTTATTGACGGCAAAATGCAACAGTCTCAACTGGACCCTCTTCCTTCAGATCTCCCTTTTCGCATCATCTCCAAGACCATCGGGCGGGGAGCATACGCCTCGTGAGTGCTTTTACCCCTAACCCATCATTTTGCAGCACTTTCACTGACAGAATGTCTCAGAATAAAAAAGGCGATACCCCTAGACGCACCGTCACCGGTATTTGCCGTCAAGCTCATCCACAAGGAGTATGCCGTAAGACATGGCAGGATATCGGCGAAGCAGATCGCCATGGAGGTATCGCTACACTCACACATTGGCCAGCATCCAAATGTGATCGAGTGGTTCGCTACTGGCGAAGACAGGATCTGGAGATGGATCGCCATGGAGTATGCTGAAGGAGGTGACCTTTTCGACAAGATTGAGGCAGATGTTGGCCTGGAGGAAGACATTGCTCACCTCTACTTTCAGCAACTGATAAGTGGTGTCAGTTTTATGCACTCGAAAGGCGTTGCCCATCGCGACCTCAAACCCGAGAACATCCTCCTCTCCGAGAGCGGCATCCTCAAAATCGCAGACTTTGGTATGGCCACTATGTTCGAATACAAGGGTGCACGAAAACAGAGCTCGACCATGTGCGGGAGCCCGCCGTACATCGCTCCGGAGGTTTTACATTGCGCCAGGCAGAGAGAACGAAGGGCACCGTCTTCCGAGCAGACCAAGTATTCGGCCGATCTCGTCGATATCTGGTCCTGTGGCGTCATCCTCTTCGTCCTCCTGGTCGGCAACACCCCTTGGGACGAGCCCACTAACGGTAACTGGGAGTTCAAAGAATATGTCCGCACAAGCGGCCGGAGCACCGACCCGCTCTGGCAACGGGTGCCCTCCGACGCCCTTTCGCTCCTCCGGGGCATGATGAACATCGAAGCCAACAAGCGCTTCTCCTTCACCCAGATCCGCCAACACCCCTGGTACACGCGACACAACCCGCTGCTGAACGCCGAAGGCATGGTTATTGACCCCATCGCGCTCGCCGCCCAAATGCTCGCCCGTCTCCGCATCGACCTCCGCGCCGCCGTCTTCCAGCTGCCACCCGCCTCCCAGCCAGAACCCGCCATCGAAAGCGACTGGTCCAGCAAGGTTCTGTCCGCAACGCAACCCGAGACCCCGATAAACGACGCCCTCTTCGACTGGGAGCGCCCGGCCCCGCGCACGCTCGGCTCCTGCGCCATCTCCTCCACCCAGCCGGTCGCGCGTAACGACGCCGCGGCCGTCAACCTGACCGCCACCGGGCCCCGCACAACCATGACCACCATGATGACGCCCACCAGCATCCCCAGCAGCACTGCTTCCAAGAGCAACAAACTCCCCTACTCCTCCGCCCTCGAGGCCCTAGCCGACGAGCCCACCATGAGCCAGTTCTCTGCCGCGCCCGGCGTGCCGCTTTCCCTGACGCAGCACGCCCGCCGCTTCCGCGACATCGTCCCCTCGTACTCGCTCACGCGCTTCTTCTCGCACGTGCCGCCCGCGCTGCTGGTGCAGATGCTTCGCGATGCGCTGCACCAGCTCAACGTGCCGCTGCCGCCGACTTCGCCGAATACCTCTTTTGAAGGTGATGTGGATCATATTGTCACGCTCAAGATCAAGACGGTGGATGGACGGAGGCAGAGTTTGCATGGGGATATTTTGGTTGATAGGTATCATTTGGTTCATGGGACGGGGACGTCGACGCAGTATGGTGGTGGGGGAGGGTATGGTGGTGGGATGGATGTGGATGAGGAGGAGGAATTGCCGGAGTTGTTGGAGGTGAGGTTTGTGAAGATTAAGGGGGATCCGTTGGAGTGGAGAAGGTTCTTCAAGAAGGTTGCTGTGCTTTGTCGGGATGGGATTTGGAGTAACAATGACTGAAGGAGGGAGAGAGAGGGGTCTGAATTATGAATGTGATGGGGGTTTGGATTACCTGCCTCACCTACACTTCTGGATCATGCTGGATTGGCTAAGCACTTGAGGAGAGAGAGAGCGATTCTTGCATTACAAACTTTGTTGCTTGGTGTTGTGGTATCGTATTATCTTTGTGGCATGTTAAGCGTTTTGTACATATGGATGAAGAAGAAGAGAGCTAGAGGCCAAGAGATTACCTATTGACTTGTACCCCTCTAAGGACTCCATAGACAGAAGAATGATTGATGATCAACAGTTTCCAAAATCCGTAATGCATTAACCAGTCCGTCAAACGAACGACTTTTGGTCTACCGTAGAAAGAATTCAGTCATGCTCATTATGTACATTATACCTCCATCACTGAAGAAACGAAAAGAAACCCAAATAACATGCCCGCCTGACGCCCGCTGCCTAACGTCTTGTGACTCCGTCGCAATGCCGCTGAATGATGTATGTATGGTGATGGTGTTGTTGGTGACGATACTGATGTTATGCGTAGATGAAGGTTGCTCTTATGTACTCCTCGATAGGTTACTGTGATTTGTTTTGAATGCTGTGATATTTCTCTGCTTTGGCGTTTTCTCGGTTTTTTCTTGGTCGATCATAAGTATGGTATGATGCCGATAACCCCCGGGCCATCTCTGAGACTGGGATATCAACTGAAACGTATAAACGGACTCCTTTCGTCGGCCGTACAGAAGGAGCGGACAGGCTGAATCCACCAGCTGCTAGTGCTGGTGCTAGTGCTGGTGCTGGTGCTGGTGCTGGTGCTGGTGTGGTTGTTGACGATGTTACTGCTCCTATTGTTGTGGCGGTAGTACTCCTCGTGGGGTATGTGAGAACTGCCACTGCTCGGAGTGGTGCTAAGATTTCTGACATCGATATTCGTCGCATGATCCCTTCGTTGCTCCATAATCCCAGAACAAGGGTAAAAGCTGTGCTCCCTCCGCTCAAACCGTCCACATCCGTGGGATCTGTTGTTGTCATGCTGTTGTCCCCCTATCCGAAACCGTTCCAAATCTGCCTCCGCCTCGCTCAAGTAGAGAGCACTCTCCGGACCCGTCCAGTCATCAACCAGCTTTGCAATCGTAAGAAACCCCTTGGTGTGCCCACCACACTCCCTAGCCCTGAATCCGCGACAGATGAACAGGTAACTGTGAATCAACTCGTGGAGGAATGTCGAAATGAGCAGTCGTCGACTGTACTTCGAGTGCTTGAGTATGGGCGCCGACAGCACTATGAGCGTTTCAAATCCCCTCGTAGTCGGATGTGCCCTTCGCAAAGCAGTCGTGCCAATAACCCGGCTGTCGTACCGTGTGCTTGACTCGTCTGACCAATCCCACCGTACCCGCTGGCTCAGACGGCCATTGAAGAAGATCTCGTTGGCGGCGGAGAAAATGCTCTCGAGAGAATCGTTGTCCAGCTCGTCTTCGGCGTTGATCCGTGGGTTGATGATGCTCCGGAGAATGCGCTCATGCTTTGAGTCGGGAAACTTGCGTCGGAAGTTGGCCATGTGAGCCCTGACCCTCTCGGCTGCTATATCATCCTCCAATAACTCTGTGCCACCCCCGGGACCTGCTGGAGTCGGTTCGGCTCGGATTGAGTGGCCTGATGCAGTTCTCTCCATGGCACAAGAGTTTGGTTCGGGAGACCGGGAGCGTGGTTGAGTTTGATGGCGGTGCGCATGGTGGTGGTGGTGATGGTCGTGCTGCTGCTGCTGATGGTATGGCGCTGTATGAAAGTGAACCTGATGCCGGTATTGCTGATCTTGTGTGCCCCGAGCGGTCATGAACCTTATATCCTCTCCACGTCCGTCCTGGGCCGGTTGTTGATGGTAATGATGATGTTGCGACCAACTCCCAACTGTGTATCCCACATTCTCCCTGTGCACATCTTGAGCGGATCTGTATCTCTTATATCTTGAACCGTCGTCATGGAAGTTGTCGTCGTCGAAATCGGCAGTCCGGCGCTTGACCGGGAAAGGAGGGACGGAATAGGGTCGGATCGGCGGGTACTCATCCCCGCCATACACCGGGAAGGCCATCGGACATGCTCGGCGGATGAAGAAGGTGAGACGAAAGTAAAGAGAGAAAAGTGTAATCTTCACTTTTGCTCGGTATAGGAAACCCAAAAGCAGAAAAGAAAAGTTCCCTCAAAAAAGAAAAGCTGAAGTGAAGCAAACAGGTGGTGTGACAAGGGGGAAATAAGGTGGTGTGGCATGTGTATAAAGTATATAATAAGAGGAGCTGAGCCGGTTTCGCCTTTCCCAGGGAGACTTGACTGGGAGTGCCGATTACACGAAACAACTCGAACCGGAACCGGGTTCGCAGGTACTGGATCGGTCGGTGGCACACACCAGACTGAGAATGAAGGCCGTAAAGGTACCCAACAAGAAGATCCAGCAGCCGATGTGGTCCATCCAGTGCCACTTGACACCAACGTAGCGAACGGCAACGAGAGCCGGACCCTTCGCGAGTTTGGACCTAACGAGATCCGCCGCCTCACTTGGCGTCGTCCAGTGGGTGGTCGTTCTTGGGACGGTCCCGGCCCCGTCCCGGGGGGGGATGGGCATCGAAAAAGCTCCAGAAATCCAGAGGGTCCTTCACCTGGTAAGCCCATCATTTTAGTGGTCCTCCATTGAACACGCGAGTCCCAAATGCACCTTGATGGGTGCCTAAAAACGAACTTGAACCGCATTGGCGTGGCCCATATCACTTTGAAGATCTGGATGCCACCTGACGTCCACTTGGGTATCTGGGGCGAGTAGGGATGATGATCATGATAAAGCCTTGAAAATAAAACATGCCAGCAAACACACAGCGAAGAAAAGTAAAAAGATCAAGAATGTTGAAAATGGGGTGTTCCCGTCAACAAAGCCAGCGGAAAAATCCAAGACACCGAGAAGACACCCAAGCAAAGTCTAGCAAGCAAGCAAGCAGCCCAGCCCAGCCCAGCCCAGCCCCAGACAATGGAACCTCGCAGTAGGGTAGCATCCGAACGGATACAGTGGCTGCCCTGCCCTGCCCTTCATCAGTAGCGACGTACAGGGCCACACTTCTTCCCTTGTGCATCATCATGCCTTCAACGCTGCTGTGTACGGCGTACGCGCATTTCAAAGCACGCCGTTCGTTCGGCAGCGATCAATTACCACACTGGCATGACAGCGTACAGCAAACACACTGCACAAATACCGGTACAGCGAACAGCGAACGAACAACGAAACAACAGAAAGGGTCAGCAGGTGTTTCGAGTTTTTCTCTTCTGTCCAATCCGCCCGGACATGGAAGCCTGGGGAAGAACTCAAGAGAAAGACAAGAAATTCAATGTTCCATCTTCCTTCCCCCTTCCCAGCCATCCTTCTTTCTTCTTCCGGCCATCTTGTAACACACAAACCCGAGCAAAGGGATAAGCGACCTCTCAACAGAACTTGTAGCAACTGCGGTGTCATCCAGCCCAAAGCGGTGTGCCGAGCTGAAAACTGAAGGGTGCTGTGACTTGTCAAAAACTGCCATTTAGATGAACCGCAGGGTCACGGTACAGTATCTTGATCCGCCTGTTGATACCAAGACGACGACATCCGCAACATCCGTCGACCTTTTTTGGTTTCTCTTGAATGCCGATGTCCGGCGCCCGGGGGTGCAACGGGGATCCGGACGGGTAACTTGGCAACTAACTAAAACTCTGGGGAATTCTGGCCATGGACAGCCAGCACTGGCTCCATCATGAATGGATTACCTATTCAGGTTATGCCGAGGGTATCGATCGCGATGTTGAAGTCACGGGAGACTGTTAGCAAGCAAAAAGTAGCCTGGATACCTAGTTAAAAGCAGGGGAAGCATCACAGAGAAGGACAGGTGTCCCATCGCTAAAACTGTTAGTTCCACTAGAGATTTGTCCGCCTCCAAAAGAGTTCCAGGGTGGTGTTGATAAGGGTAGTTTTGTGCACTGACGAGATGGGATCTACGGGGGCGCCGCGGGCACCGGGGGCACGGTAGATGCCGTTCACCCCCACAGTTCTGGTTGGCCCGGGCATCAGGCCAACGGGTCTTGGATGGCCCTGAATTGGAGTAAAAAGATGTGTACCGATGGCGCAGTTGTGCTCACCTAAGATCTCATAATATTTTTCAAATATTTGAATTTGTTGTGTTCAATTGTAAAAGGTGGCAGGATGGTTCCCTTCAGTTATAGCCAGACCTCCTTGCGATTGGTCCGGGCCAGCTTGCTATGACTTGCTTCTCGTTACCATTGGTCGCCTCGCTTTTGCCCATTATCGGCATTCTCTCCCTATCACACTTTCTCTTCTCTCAAACTCAACTTGGGGCTGACGACACTTCCGAGTACCGTACATAGTTCCTAGCCGACTTGCAAGGCGGTCGAAACACGATGATGAGACAAAATGGGCCGCCTTTAAACTCAAAATTGGTTCATCATGCCGGGTGGGTATCCAAGGAAAACGACTACACCACCCTTGCTGATCATCTTTATATTCATGACCCATTCTGAAGACTCTGGGAGACATGAAACGCAATACAGGACCAATGAATACATCGCTAACCCTGCTCGGGTATATTTCTTGCTATCCAGTCAAACGGTAAAGAACCCTTAAAGCTCCATCGCTGTCGTCAATGTTTCAATTCACCCCAGTCCATCTCTATAAGGGACTGACATTGTATTCAGCCTCGGTAGCCATCATGACCTTCGTTCCGATGATATTCCAAAGTGATTTACCCGCCAACATCGGCGGAGCACAGCATATCCATTTCCGAAACGAGTGTTATCCAAACAGATGGGGCGGGCGGGCGATCAGCTCAAAGAACCGTTACCGAGGCCGAGGTGTCTCGTAAACGCGACGTCGTCAGCGTGCCTCTGCAATGCGCGACGCATTGTTTCAGTGTAATCTCTCTCCTCCCGCTCTTTTGCCCGTGTCTCGTCGTCGACAGCCTCAACTTGCTCCTCGAACTGCTCAGCCGTAAAGCCTGGGCGCGCGCTAAAGTTCAACAACCCCAATCTCTCACCCGTCCAAAACAGCAGGTCATTGTCATTGATCTTCTGCTTGGCTTCGCCTACCCGCGTCGGGAGTAGTTTCCTGGCTATGTCCGAGGAGCCCGGCATCGAGGCGAAGATGGAGGGCCCCTGAGCCTGTTCGCTGTGTCCGATCCTACATCGGCGGACCTCGGTAAAGCAGTCTCTTTCAAACCACTTTATGTAGCCGGATCCGTCCGAGAAAACAATCCGGGTGCCATGGTTAGCGACCGAGAGGACCTTTGAGCCTGATGCTGACTGGCGATTCTGGTATGCAAAGTCGTCCAAGTCTCCCATCAAAGTTTTACCAGAGTCTGGTGGTGCTAGGCCATAAATCTCTAGGGATCCCTTCATGTTGTAATCTCCACCGGCGATCAAAGTTCTGCCGCCATGAAGACTCTTCGACCCCTCGACTTCTTGCAATGTGAGCTCTCCTTTTCGTCGTAGCTCACTGTCTCGCTTAGAGAACGGGAACGGGAGAGATGTCATGCTGCATAGTCTTGCTTTCGAGTTGATCGACCCTCTGATTCTTGACAAATTACGTCTGTCATAATGCAGGATGTGGGAGAATCGACCAGCAACGTATATATCGTCTGACAACTCCGCCTGTTGGCCGGGTTGCTGGAGATGTAGGATACTCAATGGTCCCGGTTGTGCGAGTGATGTCCAGGAGCCAACCGGCTCGTCGCTGAAGATGTTCCTGATCCCACGTTCGTACATGGCCTGTGCGCCGGTAAGTTTGAAGTCAACCTGGTCGTCTTCAGGGGCACTTCGAAACCGTTGCCGAGAACGATAATCGTGCAGGTGAAGTGCGAGATTTGTCCCAACGGTGAGTGGTACCGTAGGACTGGCCGCAGATAAAGTTGTAATAGACCACGGGAAGGATCCGTAGTCAACAACCGAGAGTCTCTGCAAGTCAACTTCGATAATGTCTGCTCCCCGGGAGATGCACAAATGCGCACTCGAGTTAGCCTACTGAAAAGTTGCACAATACGCTCAATTCAAACAAACGCGAGATGATGACGTACGATTTTGGACTGCAAAAAAGGCTCGATGAAGGCTGCTGTCAACGCTGACACATTCTGTGACGCCTGAGTCTACCCGTTGCGACCGCTTGCTGTTATCTGCCCCTGGCCCGTTTATCAGGAGAAGCCCGGGCGCACTCTTGGCCAGAATCGCTCCCTTTCGCCCTCTTGTTCCGTTGACGTCCCAGATACAGACACTGCCATCGTCTAGCGGCGAGACAGCAAGGAGTGTTTCATCAGAAGCTGGCCGGGTGTTCCCCTCGAAACCCTGCTCCATACGGGGATTGTCGGGCCGATATAGAGCAACACCTCTTGCCTCAACATATTCGGACTTGGCGCCATGGGCGTGGGGCAGCGGAAGCCAATTGATGGCAACAGGCGCATGACGCTGAATGTACTCCTCATACCAGGAGACCCTCTCGGTAGGAAAGCAAGGATCCCAGTTCGCCATGATCCGCATCTGCTCCTTCTTGCTGGACGCGCGAAAGCTCTTCAGGATTGTCGGCGTTGTCGGTGTCGCCCAGCTTCCACTGCCAGGAGTGTTGGTACTGCTGCTATCGGGAGAAGGATAAGCGTTTTGCCAAATTGTCCCCATTGCGCTCTCATCGTGCTGGATCTGAAATGTTCCGCCGAGCCCCTGGGTGGCTAGCCGGCCAAAGGCCCGTCGTCGTTCGAGGCTTTCGAGAAAGGAAGATTCTTGCAGGCATCGCGAACGCCAGAAGCTATTGTCTCGTGCAAGGTCTCGAAAAGCGCGGGATACCAGTTGCAGATTCGTAATGTGCGGTGCTTCGAGGACTAGGCGAGCAACAGAAAACTTGTCAGCTTATACCTCTTGGCCCGTGATTTAGGTGCTTGAAGCTAACTAGAGGGTCTTTGTGGGTTACCCCAGGATGGAAGACCGGAGAAACCGGAGAAATGGGATAGTGTAGGTGCCAGTTTAGACTTACACGACAGTATGTGGAGTTTGATCTCATTAGGAAAGCTCTCGAGGCTAGGCGCCTGCGGAGTAGCAGTAGCCGCCCTCATCTGATCTTGTCCATCTCCCATTGTCGGATTATTACGTGGGGTATCTTTGCTGTTGCTGTCGACTCGAGGACTCTGTCTGACTTGTGACACCTGTCCCAGCCACTCAGTCCAAGCTCCCCTGAGCTATGGGTTTGGCATCGAAATCGTGTTGTAAGCAATGCTGCTGGAAGCCTATTGTAGCTAAATCTCGCGTTGGGTATCGATAAGGACAGAGTTGTAATTTAGCGAGCGAGGACCGGTCGAGTCATGTTTGCTGCGGAGAGATGCCGGCGTATATCAATATACGAAAAACGAAGGCCAGCCCGCAGAAAGAATCTGTCGAAACACAATGATCAGACACAACCAGCTCTTGCGTTTATGTGTGTGAGCGCGCCTGCGGGGGTGCGTTTCTGCGGTGCCTCTGCGTGTATGTGATGCGATGTGTGGAAGCTTCACGAATGTTGCTTTGGGTTCAGTTGGATTGGTGCAAGTTCCCTCGATGCAATCCGCGGGTGGGTGATGGTTTCCAGTTGTGACTTTGTGGATGGTTCAGGTGTCACCGGGACCGGGGGGCGGGTGCCCTGCCTGTGAAGTCAAGTCTGCCCTGTTGGGTTAGGGGTTAGGGTAGGTGTTACGGGGGTCGGGGTACCGATCGCGATGACAACCTGGAACCACGCCACGCCCACCGGCGAAGGGAGGTCGACCACTGGGCGTCCAGCTCCGGGCATGCTGCGCCCCCATCGGCCGAAACCTTACCCCACCAGAATGCCGAAACACGGGCAGAGACAGGGCAGGCACGGCCGTCGGCACGTTAGCCTGGCCCTCGTTGGTTCGGTCCCTGACTTTTCTGCGATAAGCTACTGGGCTTCGCGATAACTAGCCGTGTGTGGGATTGTGGGTCGGTATTTGGAGAAGAACGATGGATTCGACTCCAACCAATGGGATCACGGATGTGATGCAACTTCGATAAAGCCACGCCCCTACGTGAGCGGCGTGGTCTTTGCATGGACCGGTCTAGATCCTTAGAGCCTCTTCCCAACGACACACGATGTAAGTTCACCCAACCGTCCAAGTTGCTCCATGTACAGAGCTCGGAAACCGGCACACCCAGCATGATGGACTGGGAAAGGGTTGAGATACTCTGAGACATGACCGGATGGTATCACAACGTCTGCCGGTAGAATATTCTACAACCAGTCTGGTCTTACAGACTACACCAGTGCCGCCATGACGGGTGCGATGGTTTTCCTAGTGCTGTCAGACCACCCACTACACGACGTTCGCTTTTGATGAGCGAAACTTTGGAGTGTACTGCTTTTCTCACCAAACTTTGGAACTCCCTATGCTTCTCTTCTTTTCCATGTTTCATTTCTCCTATCGTTAGACTCAATGTGGGGGAAACATGTAAACAAACAGTGGAGTGACCCAGCATCCATGGCATAGGGGCTCAGGGGCAGCAACTTGAACATATTTCGTTGAAGTCCTATGTCCAAACCCCTACAGTACATGTAGCTTGACGCGATATCTCCTTGGAGCTTCGATCAAACGTACTTGTAATGATACCTTGAATATGCCTCCCCCCGGTAACCCCATCAAATGATCTGACACTGATTTCTGGCGACTACAATAGCCTGTATTGTGAGGACACTCGCGTCTCAATTTTCTTCCGAAAACGGATGTCTTCTGGAAACCAGTGGAGTAGTAGTATTGCTTGTGACTTGTTGGATCAATCAGAGTTTTTGTGGTTTAGTAAAGTTATATAGCCAGTGATTTTAGTAAATATACGATGGTCTACGAGGTGTCACAGCCCTGGGTGTCTATGTTCCAACAGCTTTTCGATGGTGGAGGAAAGACCTTCCGAACATTACTCGGTGAGTGATATCATGAGCTCGAGCATTGAAATCTGCCAGGAGTTCTTTGTAAACAAGAAGCTGCGTTGACCAACGTTCGTCCATGTCCACTGCATATGACGTCCATCGAACTGAATTCCCCTAGACAATCTATTTAAACTCGAAGATTTCTGTGTTTGTATCTTGTGTTAACGCATCCTACGTACCTTACTTGCTCGAGATCCATATCCGATGGATCAACATGTTCATTCAGACGACTTCAGGACACAGCCAAGATGTTGAGACTGGCAAGGAACCATGGGAAGTCTCAGCCCAGGCCATCCAGTGCTCTGTCTCTATGTTGCCGTTCTAAGGGCGCAGTTCTTTGTAATGGTGCGTTTCGTCATGGTCCGCTATGTCTCCATCAAGGCTGGCGTGTGAATGTTTACAATGAGCAACACCACTATCTGACCTTTATGTCTGTTTTGCACCACCCACATCCTGCTCATTGGTGTCCCCCCTTTTCCAAGTTTACTCCAGCTTTGAGGCATCCTTCTTATTACGGATTGAATCTCCAGCTTGACTGTGGCCCCAAGTGAACCGCGCAAATAGTAAGTCTTACCCTACCATCGCATGAATGTGATCAAGACAAAAACCGCCAGCCTGTCCCCCTGCATGCAGCCAACGGACGACCTTCAACTAACGCTCAGTTGCGACAAGATGAAAGGTCGAGGAACCCCATCGTGGCCCGTCAGAGGGGACTCGCGGATCGCACCTTCCTCCTCTTCGCAGCTTTGGCAGCGCGCGCCTTCCATCGTTCGCTGTTCCCAGCGCGTCCAGCCCTAACGCGCCGACCTAACCCGCGCTCCTTCCTTCTCAGAGCACCCTTCCAGGTTTTGCAACGCGCCTTCCCAAAATTCCTACAAAAAATTAGTTCGGTCCCGAGCCAGAGAGCAGTGCCCAAGGTCTTCCCCCAGGTCTGGTCCTCTTCTCCCAACTCTTCCACTTTACAACCACTTCGCAAGAACGACTCATCGTCAACTGCAACGCATTTTTGTCTGTACCAACGCTTTCAACCATCGCAAGAACCATCCAAGCACGCTGCAAAGCATTTTCTGCACAAACTCTATTTTCAAACCATCATCTGCATTCATGTTCTTGACTCTTCGAACTTGCTCAAACATCATCCATTCGATCATCACCATGACGACCTCTACCAACTTTGGCGCTTTCACCAGCCTCTCCATCGGCAACCATCACATCAACGAGCCTTCCGCTTCTACCATCAACAACATGCCTGCTTCAGTCAAGTCTGCAGGCTCGACCGGGTCGTCGCTGCCCAGAGAGCGCTCCATCACTCCGAGACATGTCTTCACCAGTCTCGACGAGGCCCACCAGGCCATCACCACCAAAGCTGCGAAGCAGGCCGCACACACCACGGACAACGGCGCTCACTCTGCCTCCATCCCGTGCGAGTCATCAGCTGGCTCTTCTGTCAATGCCGTCTACTCCAAGTCAACCACCGACACCGACGAGCATCCTGCCACCGAGTCGCACCGCTGCCCGACTCATGATGGCTTCTCCCGCGGACGTCGCATCAGTCCTACTCACTTGCGTCGCCGTTCATCCAGTGTTCCTGACTTCAGGACTCGTACCCCTCCCTACCCTGACTGGGACGAGATGACTCCGGCTGCTCGCGCCAGTTGCCACGCCGCAAAGGATCCTGTTGACAACAACACTCCTGACAACTCCACCAACACACCTCGCGAGACTGGAAGCACCGTCGAAAACATCGTGGATCAGTACCTCCCTTCGACCACCATCGACTCTTCACCCTCAGCTGATGGCCCGCACAACCATTCCACCAAGAATGCAACAGTCCACCACACCTTGGACAACGGAGAGACCATTGAGCCTCCTCAGACCAGAGAAAACACCACCTCTGTCCCCTTTGGTCGTACTTCAAAGTTTTTCCGCAGCCATGGACCCCCTCCTCGGATTCCTCAGCCGCCGATCCCGGCAATCCATCCCTCAACGGCCCCGGCACCCTCAGTGATCCGTACCAACCTCCCAGAGGACCACACCAGCACCCCAGATTGTCATCTCAACATCTCTCGGGAGCACTCCTGGTCAACCATGTCATCCGCGAGCTCTGTTGACATCAAAGAGCTTCTTGACATTTGCGACGAAAACAATGTCGGAACGTCCGCCGGCTCCAGCAAGGGCAACCAATACCTCGAAGCCAACCACCACGAGTCGACCAACAACCAAGCGGCTCGTGAGAGCACCACCGGCAGCGGCGCGTTGTCCCGTGCAGCCTTCTCAACAGGTGGTCTTACAACAGATTCTGACGAAGATCCATTCAAGTACGACCGCGGATCATACACGGTCTTCCTCCAGCCATCTCGGGAACGAGAAGTCAGTGCTGCGCTTCACCGTGTCAGTGGCGCCAGCACCACTTATACCAACGAGATCGACCACACTGGCCATGCATCAACCACGCGTGGCCCAGTTGGCTCTGCGGCACCTCCTAGGCCTCCTTCAAATGGGCTCACTTATCACAACACCGCTCAGAGAAACAACAACAATCCCAACAGGCCTATCATGAAGAAACTCGCTCTGCGATCTTATCCGGCCCAACACCTTGCATGGGACGAGTTTGATGAGGAGTTCGATGAGGAGTTTGACGAGGTAAGGGCTTCTGTCCAGTCACATATTGGATTTGATCCTTCGTCTCATCAGTTTGCTAACCCTGCTCTTCAACAGAACCTCGATGCTGTTAAGACCGACGGAGGTGATTGGGAGACAGTCGGGTCGAACCTCGATGCTGTTAAGAGCGATGGAGGGGAGTGGGAGACAGTCGGTTCCAGTGTTGGCCAGTTCAACAGCCATCGAGCTTATGCGTCCGGGACTGGCTTCGGCACTCGTTTCGGTTTAAGGGCCACAGGGAGCAGCATTGCAGACTACTCCGACACCTCAAGCCTTGCCGCCGAAAGCTTTGGCGCTTTTGCATCAACCGAAAAGATCATGCAACATCCGATGAACGGGAAGTACAACAACTATGTCGTTCGGACACTCAAGAGTGACAACCGCCCGGTCTTCCTTCCCCAACCAAGAATCCATCGAGTCAACGGTTATCCCCAAGATTCATGCCGACTGTTTGACCAAGCCACGACATCAAGCAGCCAGGGCTCATCTACAAGAGCATACTTGGCGGAGAAACTCACTGCCCCGTTCCGTTCTCTGACCTCCAACAAGAACACCGATCGGAGACATCCCTATGGGAGCAGCCAATCCGGCCCGGACAACGGCAACCAACAAAGAGACCATGGTTTGAGAACAGCTGGACTCTCACCGCAGACTCCCCGAGCCCACGATTCGTTTCAAGCCGATACATCAATCGGCCCGGAATCACCAGTCCAGTTCAGCTTCCCGTTGATCCCTCTGGAAGAGGCTGCAAGGCTGCAGGCGTTGAAGCGACGAAGCGACGCGAACGACCACACCTTTCAGAGCAGTCCTCGGACACGAAAGAACAGCCTTGTGTCTTGCCTTTCGTGGAAGGCCTCCAACAAGTTGGCGAAGAAAACGGCGCCCTCCACTCCGCATACTCTGCCGAGAAAGCCATTGCCCACTCACTGTCGCGAGCCAGTCTCCAACCACCACATCTCAATCCGTATGTATGACCCTGGCTCAACATATCAGTTCCATGTGCTAACATTTTCGCAGAAAACCAAGTTACCAGCAACGGGCAGGAGGCAACTCGTTTGTCAACCTTGAGCAGCGCAAGCCCACCAGCCCCTGGTAGACCAGTGTTCCCGCGGTCTTGCCGAAACCCCTTCAGCTCTGCCCACGGCTCAGCACGGAGCAGCTCGAGCTACAGACGTTCATGGGGCATCCCTTTCGAACGTCCTCACCTTTGGGGAAAAGATAAAAGAACTTCGCGTGTTGATGGTGAAGGTTCATATCTCCACCAAATCGCCAATTTGAATGTAACTGACCCTTTCAGACTTGACGAAGAAGACGGTTACCTCTCCTGGGAAGCACGACGCCGCCGAAAACAATTCTTCTGGTTTTTGTGTTTCCTCTGCGTCTTTCCGTTCATGGCGCCCCTCGTCTATAGAGGCACGTTTGACACGACACTGGCGTGGTTCACCAAAGGAGAAGTCGGCAGCCTAAACCGTCGACAACGCCGAAAAGTCTTGCTTCTCGGGAGCGTCATCTCAATGCTTTGGCTGTGTGGTATTGCAGTCCTCGCAACGCTCTTAGCCATCCGCGGGAAGAACGATCATCCATGAAAACACCCATCTTATGCATTCTGCGAGTCCGATATCAAACCGCCACTCTTTCTTTTTTCGCGAATCTCGCAGCCATACCACTGTCATCCAAACAACAAGCTTTTCTCGTGGAATCTTTTGCAATGAAAGTTGAAGGATGAATGGAAAAGCAGGGATTGCTCAATCTGTCACTCGTTTGAAGGGATCTGGAGTTTGGTGTTTTGGCGCTAGAGAGAAAAACATTTTCTAGACTTGGGGTCTGTGGTAGTATTTGTCGTGGCCTTGGGGTTTTGGTTAAAGTTTGGTTTTGTTTTTGGTTCTGTTCTGTCTGTTCTGGTTTTGTTGGAGTTTTTGATGTTGGTTTTTGGTGTTGATCTTGTTATGATTTTGTCTGGTTCAGTCTCGTTTGGTCTCATTTTGCGTGGAAAGAGAAGTCGGCATAGGGTACTTGGTCAGTATTGATTTCGGCGTTTGCGTTGAAGTATGGATACAGATGGTTTTGTTGGAGTTTTGGTCTTGCTTTTTGGCGTTCATGTTGTGCTGTTTGGTCTTGTTCTGGTCTTATTTCGATTTTGTCTGGTTTTGCGTGGAAAATAGAGTTCGGCATAAATGGATGAAGATTGTTTTTATTGGGAGTTGAAGGGAAAGGGGCGCCGGGTGAGCAATATCAAAGGTAGCTGTTGGGATAAACGAGGACACAAGTTAGAAACGGTGTCTGGAGTTTTGAAATGAAACGTGTGCTTTGTCTTACGTGTGAACAGCTTTTGAGCGACCTAGTTGTTCTCTTAATCCGTGCGCAACACACCATCCACATGCTCTCCAGATGAAGTTTGATGAAAATGGTGAAAAAGTGAACCTTAATTTCTCGCCCTGTGGTACAGAAATGCTTGCAGCGTTCGACGAGCTCCGGATGCGGCAACTGAGGTACAATGTTAGGGAAACTGTACAGTACTAGGTGAGAAGCCTAACACTTGGCTTTCTGTGTGCTGCATCATGCAGTTGGCGCTTCGCGAACCAGTCATGCAGGCACGGGTACATGCAGATCGCGGGGACTGTCTAGGAGGGGGCGCCACAAAGCGCGCCAACTTACATTTTGAGATTTCTTCACAGGGCCGGTCGGGCAATGGCGCCATTGCACATGTTAGACGGACACGGATTTATGCTCACCGGCTTCAGTCGTACGGGTCCGACTTGTAATACCTAACATATATAACCTCTCTCCTCCTCTTTTCATCAGTCGAGGCTCTCGATGCCAATGGATGATCTTCTCCCCTTCTCTGTGACCAGATATTCCCCGCCACCCGCATTTGATAATGGAGGACATAGAAGCTAGCAGCAAAACTGCCCCAACGGCTCTTGAGACTGTACCGAAATCTGAGCACAAAACAACCGTTGACCTGAGTGACGATGATGCTATCATACCTCAGGGGCAGATCGACCCCGTATTTGAAGCAAAAGCCAGGGTCCTAAATCATGCGGTTCGTTCCCCTTCTTACCCAGTTCCATGGCAAAGTTGGCCAGCTGACCTCTCTTCTAGATCCAAGATATCGGCATGGGATGGTACCAATGGCAGCTCTTCGTCGTCGTCGGATTTGGCTGGGCATCGGACAATCTCTGGCCCATAGTCACCTCGCTCATCTTCACGCCCATCGCGAACGAGTTCCATCCCAGCAGACCGCCACTGCTCTCCCTCAGTCAGAATATCGGCCTCCTGGCTGGCGCCATCTTCTGGGGATTCGGGTGTGACATTTTTGGCCGGAAGCTGGCATTCACCCTGACGCTCGGCGTCACGGCCGTCTTCGGGATGGCGGCCGCCGGAGCTCCCAACTTTGCCGGCATCGGCGTCTTTGCCGCCCTCTGGTCCTTTGGCGTGGGCGGAAACCTGCCCGTGGACTCGGCCATCTTCCTCGAGTTCCTTCCGGCATCGCATCAATTCTTGCTCACCATCTTGTCCATCGACTGGGCCCTTGCCCAGTTGATCGCGACCCTCATCGCCTGGCCGCTGCTCGGGAACCTGACGTGCCAGCAGGACACGGTTTGCAGGAAAGGCGATAATATGGGATGGCGATATTTCGTGATCACCATGGGCGGCCTGACTCTGATCATGTTCCTCATTCGGTTCCTCTGCTTCACCATCTTCGAGTCGCCCAAGTACCTGATGGGGAAGGGCAACGACGAGGAAGCCGTGCGGGTCGTCCACGAGGTGGCGCGAAGGAACGGAAAGACGTCCAGCCTGACGGTTGCGGATCTGAAGGCGTGCGAGCCCGAGGGCTACGTCCACAAGGCCAACGTTGCGGATGCCGTCAAGCGGCGTCTCGAGGACGTCAAGTTCGACAGAGTCCGCACTCTCTTTTCCACTAAGCGACTTGCGCTTTCGACGGGCATGATCATGGCCGTCTGGGCTTTTATCGGTCTCGGGTATCCACTGTACAACGCCTTTATTCCGTACATCCAGGCGATCAAAGGCGCGGAGTTCGGAGACGGGTCAACGCACCTGACGTACAGGAACTCGCTCATTATAGCGGCGATTGGCGTGCCCGGGGCTCTGCTGGGTGGTTATCTGGTTGAACTTCCTCGGCTGGGGCGCAAGGGAACGCTCTCGTTGTCCACGATCCTCACTGGCGTTTTCCTCTACTGCTCAACCACGGCGCTGAATTCAGCGGCTCTTCTTGGTTGGCAATGTGCCTTTAACTTTTGCAGCAATATCATGTACGCGGTGCTGTACAGCTTCACGCCGGAGCTGTTTCCGACGCCGCAACGGGGGACGGGGAATGCGCTGACTGCCACGTGCAATCGAATCTTCGGGATTATAGCGGTATGTTCAATGTCTTCTGTGAACCCCCGCGGACTGCTTGCTGTTGCTAACGTATATTGACTGTAGCCGATTATTGCCATGTTTGCGGATCTTCGAACTTCTGCACCGGTTTATACGAGTGGTGCTTTGTTCATATTTTCTGGCCTCCTCGTACTCGCCTTGCCGTTCGAATCAAGGGGGAAGGCTGCGCTGTGATGCGGCGGCTGTTTTTCGATATCGGCTTTAAAGAATATAAACCAAAGTGAATTTAGCTTACCTATGACCTAAACATCAATACCTGACTGTGATTGATGTGCCAAGGCGAACCCGAAAAACAAAATCAATAAAAAAAAATACTTACTCCGCTGGGAAACCGCTTGGTGAAAACCCAGATGCCCGCTTGGGATAGATATGCTCGCTGTGGGTTAGTATATTCGCTGTGGGTTAGTATTCTCGCTGATATTCGCTGAGGATAAGGATGCTCGCTGGATGGTCGCTGAGGATAAGGATATTCGCTGGAGGATAAATATATTCGCTATGGATAGGTACGCTAAGGTGAACTCACCATGGGAGAGTGCCCAGGACTTGCCCGGACAGCTCTCCCATAGAGAAAGAGCTGGGGAAAAACTCCGGAAAGTTTTACCCTCGACCTGAATCGAATGGATGACGTTGCGGTTGTGAACCCAAGGTAGGAGCCACTCAGCCACTAGACCACGTTGGGACATTGGTACCCACTTGACACAAACACTAAGCCTATATAGACATCTCCGAATTCCCCTCACAAGCGGTTGGAGCCCACAGCGAACACAGCACCGAACGAGCAACTTACCTTGCGATGCAACATGCTAACCCAATTAGGCAAAATGTAAACAAAGCCCCTTTCTGTGCTGGTGACTTCAGCTGAGGCCACTCCCTCACGTTAACTTTCACAACATTTGTTGCTCTTGATAGCATCGTTTGGGATGTTTGACGATGCGGCGCGAGAGAAAAGAGAAATGAGTGTGATGACATAATATGCGGGGAATGCTAATTGGAAGACTTCAGTTAAGAAACATCATAAGTCGATCATATTTCTGCATTTTATTTCTTCTAAGCTTCCGTAGAAGGTGCGCACCCCGCACTTCGCTTCGACGGCAGCGATGATCATTTTCTCGTTGGAGTCGACTCGCGCTAGCGAACGGGACAGGGGTCATGGCGCTAACATTGAGATTCCCAGCACCTTATCAGCTAGGTCACGGTATCACCTCCGCTCCTCGTAACCAACAAACACCACCGACGACACCCAAAACCTGATTCGCGACCTTCCTGGCGACGGTAACACGGGCGAGGTACTAAGGGACTGTCATTGTCGCGCTGACAACATCCTCGCCGATTCCAATGCTTAGTCTACCTCAGCAGACTCACCTCGACTTACACCGAGCCGGTTCACCGCATAACACCCACTACTTGCTACCTACCTACATTCAAACGGACCGAGAATTTCGCAATCACAAGCTCTAGAAAGCCTCACCATCTTCTCGATCAAACTCCTCAAAACCACCACCACCACCTTTTGACCAGCCGCAACCAACCAACCCACCATGTCTTTCATCCCGGTCTCACCACCACCGACCCCCTCCGGCCCCGCCAACCCCGGCACCCTCGCCCCCTCGGCCCTCATAGCAACCCTCTCCGCCCTCCTCTCCCCGCAAACCGGCTCCCTAACCCACTTAGTCCAATCCCTCTCCGTGCTCCTCTCCGCCTCCGCTTCGGGAGCCTCCCTCTCCCTCTCCTTCTTCCTCGTCCCGCGCCTGCTCGAGTCGCCCACACCGCTCATGCTCACCCAATGGCGGCGCGTCTACGAGCAGACTTTTTCGACTTTGAACCGGGCCGGCGCCGCTGCGGCGCTGGGGTATTTTTTGTTGGCTTGGCGGTTTGGAGTCAGGTATACGAGTGAAGTGGTGAAGGGCGGTGGATTGCAGGGGTTGAAGTTGGTGAAGAGGGGGAGGATGTACGCGGTTGCTGGAGCGCTGTTGGTTTTGGGCATGGCGCCGTATGGGTGGGTGGTGCTGGGTGGGGTGGAGAGACGGTTGGTGGCGAGGGCGGAGGCGGTGGAGAGGGCGATGAGGCAGAAGGGGGTGGATGTGGAGGTTGGGGAGTTGGGTGCGGGCGGGAATGGTGGTGGATTGAGCAGGAAGCATTCGGTTAGGAGGAAGAATTCGACGAAGGAGAGGGGTGGGGAGAGGGAGAGGGAGAAGGGTAAGGAGAGGGAGAAGGAGAAGGAGAGGGAAAGAGAGGCGGAGGAGGATCAGGATTCTTCGAGAGACGGTGATGTTGAGGCTGGCTTGGGCGAGAAGGTGGATATGAAGGCTGTGGAAGTCGGGGCAAAGTACTGGGTTGATGAATGGGGTGTGTTGAATCTGGGCAGGGCGGCGATGATTGCTGCTTCTGCGGTTATGGGATTGAGTGCTTCGCTATGGAACTAGGACCGGGCTGGAGAATGATCCGTAGCGGTTTGGTTGGCGCAAAGACGTGAAAGAGGACTGAACATACGGGATTTGATGCGTTACTTGGAAGTACGATTTGGATGGATAAATTCACAAGCTTGGAGGACAACGGGACAAGCAGGATAGCGAAATTGGGTTTTCATTTGGGGTTCATGTCAAAAACAAATCAGATGCTATGCCTCTCTCTCATGCGACGAAGCTGGCTCTCAAAACGGCCATGGTCCTGTCAACCCTCTCTAATCCCCATCTTGCCTAGCGAATATCACCGGATAATCTTCCCTCGCTTCCAACCGTCACCATTCAGACGGCATTCTCCCTGACATCTCACTTGGAGTTTCCAGAAGAGCCGGAGCCGGAGCCGGAGCTACCAGAGCCCGAGCTCGAGTAGGAGTTACCACTGGGCGAGGTGTACGTGGACGAGCCACTGCCGCTGTTGTAGTAAGTGCTACCGTTGGGGTTGGAGTAGTAGTAGGATCCGTTACTGTCAAGTCGTTGGCCAAATGATTAGTCGTTCCACTTCCCTAGAGAGATAGTCAGGGTCTTTCTTACGTGTTGGAGTAGTGGTACGAGTTGGATCCGTTGCCGTAGTCACGGGCGCTGTAGTGGTTGCCCTACAGCAAGTTGGCGTGTCAGCATTGTCGGTTGCCTCTACACTGGGCTTGATATGGCCAAGCCAGCGTAATGAGATCTTTCCGGGGAAGAGGAGACGAGAGCAACGGTGAAAAAGTATCTACACCATACCTGGCTGTTGGTGCCGTGGCCCTTGTAGCTGTATCCGTTTCCGCTAGGCATTTTGGAGGAGGATGTGATTACTGATTAAGTGGGAAGAGTGGGAAGATTGAGTAGTTGCTGGTCTTTGCTTGTTCAGCGTCTGCCGGTTAAGGTCAGTTGGGAAGTTGGTGTTCGCGATAGAGAACGAGAAGAAGAAGAAGAGGTAGAGGAACAGAGGGAAGAAGCCTTCTTTAAATAGTTGTAGTCAGACCTCCAAGCACAAGTGAAGGGAAGGGCCTGCCATCTTTCCTCAGGGTGGATGAATGCCCGAACAGCTTCCTGCCTGTTCTAACAAACGCCTACATAAACTTGTTCGCATTGCTTCACGACTGAAGGAAGGTGATGCCAGTCAAACCAAGCAAGTGGAATCCTACGCTTTCACCTGTACTTAGACCACGCTAAGGCAGGAGGCCCAGGTGTGGATATGGATGCACTGGGTTCAACGCTAATTCCCATCATCGCATGCATACAGCGCCAATTTAGATGAATTGATAGCAGAACAGATAAAAGTCTCTTGGGTTTGACGGCTATTCCTACTTCGTCCGGACAATCTGATGTGAAGGGATCAAAGATGTGAGTCACAATGCTATGCGTGACTTCCTTGTTGAGGTTATTAGTTTTTTTTTTTTTTGTTTACTTGGGAAAGGGGTTCGTAGCTCCACAAAGTAAGTTAGGCCAACCCTTGTTCGCTGGTGTTTTGGGTATGTACATAACGAACTTCCCGAAACGGACACTGACATCGCGAGAAAGCAACGAAAACGCCCATTCATTGCTTATCTTCCAAGGCACATCTAGGCTCTCAAGCATTCAAAACTGCCGGCTAGACTCCGGGTATCATTCCTCTATTTTAGAACCAACTTTTTACGCGAAACGCTGTCTATCCAAGAAATCAACTTTAAAGGTTGCCCTGCACGGCGGGGGTCTCCTCGTGCTCCGACAAGAACTTCTCGGCATCGAGGGCAGCCATGCAGCCGGTACCTATGGATAACGGATTGGTAAGTTTTCCAGACCATTTTCAGAAAGGGGGGGGAATGGGTTTACGTACCGGCGCTGGTAATAGCCTGTCTGTACCTCTTATCCTGAACATCGCCAGCAGCAAAGACACCCTCAACGCTGGTGAGGGTAGTACCAGGCTTGGTAACAACATAACCATCGGCGTCAGTCTCAAGCTGACCCTTGACGAGGGCGGTAGCGGGATCGTGGCCGATGGCATAGAAGAGACCGTTGGCCTCAAGAGTCTCCTCCTTGCCAGTGGTGACATCCTTGACGACAAGGTGGCTCATGAGACCCTTCTCGTCGCCCTTGACCTCGACACCGACGGTGTTGAACCTGACAGTGACCTTCTCGTGGTTCAACAACCTGTGGGCCATGATGTGGCTGGCCCTCAACTTGTCCTTGCGAACCAACACCGTGACGTGGCTGCCGTACTTGGTAAGGTACATGGCCTCCTCGGCAGCGGAGTCGCCGCCACCGATGACAACGAGGTGCTTGTTGCGGAAGATGGGCACGGCACCGTCGCAAACGGCGCAGGCCGAGATACCGTTCTGCCAGTACTTCTCCTCACCGGGGAGGTGGAGTCTGCGGGCAGAGGCGCCGGTGGCCAGGATGATGGCGTCGGCAGTGTGGTACTCCTCGGGGGACCACTCGGTAGCGTACTTGAAGGGGCGCGCGGAGAGGTCGACCTTGGCAACGGTCTCGCTGACAATGGTGGTGCCGAAACGCTCAGACTGAGCCTTCATCCTGTCCATCAGCTCCTGGCCCATAATGCCATCGGGGAAACCGGGGAAGTTTTCGATCTCGGTCGTGGTGGTGAGCTGGCCACCGGCGGCGATGCCATTGGCCATGAAGCCCTCGTAGAGAACGGCTGTATAGATGGGAAGGGAGGGTTAGCGCATTGGTCTTTGTATCCTGATGACGACAACCGCAATGGCGTAGGACTCACGCTTGAGCTCGGCGCGGCCCAGGTAGACGGCGGCAGTGTGGGCGGCCGGCCCAGAGCCGATGATGACTACTTTGCTGTGCATGTTTCTTTTTGTGATGGCCTGAAGTTCGGCAGGTTGAACCGTAGTGTTTTTCTTGAAGGCGGTTGCGGCAGCAGCGACTGTGAGACCAGATGCGCTGGATCGGAGAGTTCTTCTAAAGGTTGAGGAAAACAGTTTGGCGGTTGGTGGGGTTTCTCTCGGGAAACGGATCTAACAAGAGAACAAGATGCAAGTGGCGGAAACAGAGCCGGGGATGGTCACTGAATGGAGAGGAATAATCTGCGATCTAGTCAGACAGCCCAGGTGATTCCAGACTAGGCGCGTTGTCCCGGCGCCATTTTTCAATGAGTCGCGATTTCTAATCCACATCCCGGCCGCCGGCCTGGATTTGCCTGGGGGCGGACTCGGAGGGACACCGAGGAAACGTCTGAACGCCCAGGGTCCAGGGCCATGCCCCTCTGACGTGCTCGGCCAATTCCCACTTCAAAGATCCAGCGGGGTCGTCCCGCTGCAGGGGCACCCAAGTCCCGTTGCAGAGCCAGAAGACAAGAGGGATGGCCTAATGTGGGTTAGGGTTATTGGTGAAAGTACTTAAATTTCAAACAGATTTGGATTTGAGATTTTGTAGTTGACAACAACCGACACGACAATGGAAGTGAAGCTATCTATACAACCTACAACCTGCTCTTCCCCTCCTGTTGCGGGACCTGGACCACCACCTTGCCCCAGGTCTCACGGCCTCCCAGAGCGATCAACGCATCCGGAATCTTTTCAAGACCGACGAACTCCTTGTCGCTGAACACAGTCGGCTTGAACTTGCCCTCGGCAATCAATTTCATGATGCCCTGCCACACGGCCACAACCGTCTCCTTCTCGTGAACGGCATACTGGCCCCAATGGATACCAACGAGGCTGATGTTCTTGAGAAGAACCTTGTTCATCGCCACCTTCTCGATCTTGCCGGCAGCGAAACCGACAATTAAGATACGGCCATTCCACGCAGTGCACTTAGTGCTCAGATCTACCAAGCCGACGGGATCGTAGACAATGTCGACACCCTTGCCTTTAGGGGTCAACTTCTTCACGACCTCGGGCCACTTAGGGTCCGCGTAGTCGACAACGTGGTCCGCGCCAAAGGACTTGGCGACTTCGAGCTTGTGCTTGGTTCCGGCCGTAGCAATGACAGTTGCTCCAAACGCCTTCGCAACTATTTATGGGATCAGCAAGTGGTTCACCCTATGGAGATAGATATGTCACTAACTCTGGACTGCGGCTAAGCCGACACCACCGGCCGCAGCGTGAACAAGGACGCAGTCGCCCTTCTTCACGCCGGCTCGGACAACGAGGGCTCCATAACTCGTTGGTGCCGTCACGAAGAGACCGGCAGCATCCACAAGCGACCAGCCTTCAGGAGCTGGGAGGAGTGTCGTCTCCTTGGCCTTCACTTTGGTAGCGTAGGCACCCTGGCTAGCTCCAAACACACGGGAGCCAACAGGGAACTTGGGGTTCTTGGAGCCGGAAGGTGTGGCGAGAACCACGCCGGCGAACTCGGCACCTGATACCCAGGGAAATGCTAAGAGGGAAGGTTAGTATAAGAAATGCGATGTGAACGGGGATGAGCAAACAAGCCATACGTGGTTGATGCTGGTATTTGCCCTGAATCTGAAGAATGTCGAAGAAGTTGGTTGCCGCAGCGTGAACTTCGATCAAGTACTCATCTGAAGCAGGCGCTGGGTCTGGAAGATCCGTGACCTTGAGCTCTTGAGGGCCCTGGGTTAAAGGTGATGTTAGAACCATAAAGCGGAAAGATGTCCCGGATGATCGAGATAGGACATACATACCTTAACATACTGTGCCACCTGAATGCCTCTCATCTTGGAAGGGTATGTGGAGTAATAGGATGCTTGACTAAATCAAGTGGAAGCCAACGCAGAAACACAAGTGAGATATACAAAAAGTGAAAGAATAACAGACTTTTATTAATTGACGGTATGGTTAAACGATGCCGAATACAACTAGGTAGGATGCCGATGGCCATCGCGGGGGTGGCCCAGTGTAAGGGAAGCCGAGGTAGCCCAGACCGGGGTGGATGATGATCTCTGATTGGCCACTCACCTTGGATCTCGGTGAGCCCACGTCTTATCGATTTCCAACAATCAATTCGCGACTTGCATCTTTCACCCATTCAATTCACCACTCCCAAACACAACTTGCTTCAATTTTGACGGCGCAAACCGCTGTGCGTCATTTCGCCCAGCCTAATCTCAACACGAAGTCACGAATCCGTAGCAAAGGACCCGACACTTGGTTCAGCGTGCACAATCACGAGCCGCGCATTCTCTAGGCAAAATCCATTACCAATCGTCGCCGAACTACGTACCTCTACGAAACGATCGCGACAAATCAAGCCTACCAACCTCGAAACCCAAACCGCGCCGGCGAACCACCTTCACTCCCCCCTCACACACCCGCCACAATGGCGACAACAACACAAACAACAACCTCCGCAGAGGCAGGAGGACCGCAACAACTAATCACCCAAATGCTCACCCACACCGCACCACGCTACGCCTTCTCCTTCACGCCCTTCCTCCAGCGCACCTACCAACACTCTCTCCCCGCCGACCGACCCATCTGCAAAGCCTACGCATCCGGCAACTGCCCGCTCAAATCCCACTGTCCCGAGCGCCACGTCACCTCTTCCAACAACCCCTCCCACGGAGGCGGAGGCGGCGGTAACACCTTCAGCGGCGGCTTTGGCTCGCTAGTCTGCAAGCACTGGCTCCGCGGCCTCTGCAAAAAGGGCGAGTCGTGCGAGTTCCTGCACGAGTACAACCTGCGCAAGATGCCCGAGTGCAATTTCTTCGTCAGGAACGGGTACTGCAGCAACGGGGACGAGTGTCTGTACTTGCACATTGATCCGCTGTCAAGATTGCCTCCCTGTCCGCACTATGAGAGGGGGTTCTGTCCGCTGGGACCGAGGTGCGACAAGAAGCATTTTAGGAGGAAGCTGTGTTTGTACTATTTGGCCGGGTTTTGTCCGGATGGGAAGGGCTGTAAGGAGGGCGCGCATCCGAGGTGGACGGCGGATAAGGATATGGAGAAGCCGAAGGCCAAGGGCGAGGCGGATCAGATGCTGCTGCAGCAACAGCAGCAACAGGGTATGGGCGATGCTAATGGCATGGGTGGTCACGGTGGAGGAATGGCACAGGCGACGGGCGCGAATGAGTATATGGACCGAGAGAGGGAGCGGGATAGGGATAATAGGGAGAGGGAGATGATGATGCAGGGACGCGACAGGGACGGCGGTCCACATGATCGTCATAAAGATCGCTTTGGAGGAGGAGGAGGAGGCAGAGGTAGAGGAGGATGGAGGGGAAGAGGAAGGGGAGGGTTCAGGGGTAAAGGTCATTAGGAGAGCTTCCACCCCAGAGTCGCCAGAGAAGCCGATCAAAAGCTACATGAAAAAGAGGACATACTCAAGCTCAAGCTTGAGTATGATAAAGAGGCCCAAGAAGTTGGCATCAAGGATCAGGTATGCATTAGGGAATAGGGAATGGGACAAACGGCGCAAGGCAGGGAGGGTTATATCCATTGACTGTAGGTTAAGATTCGAGTCACAAACTTGTATGATTATTGTAAGGGATTGCTAGCTTAAGATTATTGAGCAGCTATGATCTGTATGTTCTTCCAAAATAGACCAAGAGAGAGGGGATCCAAAAACAATAACGCCGTCCCCTACCTAGTGTACCCATAACCAAATGATATTTAACCCACCGTCTGAAATGCTATGGCACCTGTCTGACTAAATAGACATCGCCTTCTTTTGTATCCATCCCACCATGCGCGTGTGACCAATTTTACTCCATCGGCACCGCAACAAACGACTCATTCGACGTGCGGGCCCCAGTCCCCACCTCCTCCTCATCCCCATTCTCGCTTCCCATAGACCTCACCGAGCCACCCGACCGTGGGCTGTTAAACGAGCTATGACTCGACTGCCACGCCGCCAACTCGTCCACCTTCCGGATCCCCATCATCCACGCCACCAGACCGCGCGGCACCCAGCGTCCCACGAAGCCATACACGCTCGCGCCGAGGCCGACGCGAACGGTACCCTTGGTGATGGACCCATCAATCACGTCAAAAACAGCATTATGCAGCTCCCGCAACGAGCTGCCGCGCATCCCGCGGATGCGGCCCGCGCTGATGGCCGAGCTCGACTGGCTGACAAAGTTCTTGCCGTACGCGTGGCGGGCCGAGTCGGGCCAGGGCAGGAGGGACTCGGCGTCCTGGGGGTTCGCTTCGAGCGCGCGCAGCGGGACACCCGAAGGGTTGCGCTCCTGCCACTGCTCGCGCACGGTCGAGGCGGGCGTGAAGCCGGCAAAGTCGAAGGTGCCGAGCTGGATGTGGGTGACGGGGATGGCGAGCGGGCGGAGCTCGGCGGTCAGGACTTCGGTGAATGCGGAGAGGGCAGAGCACACGGTTGCTTCGGGGGCGTGGAAGGGGGGGTTGATGGAGGAGATGATGGAGGGCGTGCAGACGATGATCTTGGGGCTGTCCTTCTTCTTGTCGGTTCCGGATGATGGGGATTCGGCTGAGGGGGTAGGACCCAGGCGAGCGGTAAGTAGGGGGAGGAAGGCCTGGAGTGTTATAATAGGGTGTAGCAGGTGTGTGTTGAATAGATTCGCGAAGCCTGAGGGAGGGATGGTAGCGATGGGCGAGGTCTGGTAGTTCAAAGATGGAATGAGGATGACGGCCTTAAGGTGCAACCGATGTCGCTTGCTGTTGGGCACTGCCGCGTGGGGTGACTGAAGGTATGTCGTGAAACGCTCAATGGAAGCGCTGGCACTGAGAGGATCGGTGGTGTCGACGCCCAGAGGTCGGATATCGGGGCGTGCTAGATTCTGGATAGCAATATCATCCTCCGGCCCGCTGGATACGATAAAGACGATGAAGCCTTTCCTTTCCAGATCCAGCGCAACCGACCGGGTCAACGGTAGGTTGGGGGATCCCGCAATAACAACGACATCCATACGTCCTCCGCTGCGCGCCCGCCTTGCCCGCCTAGTCTTCCTTGCGTAGGCGTTGACTGTGTATGACCGATATAGAATGGTGCCGGTGGCCAGGACGATGGCAGTGGTAAGGACTTTGTTCCTCAACACCCAGCTCTCAACTCTGTCGTAGAGCGAAATCGACAGCTCGGCTGAAGGCGCTGGCGGCGGCAGCCGAGGGCGGATCTGTTCTGGTACCCATTGCGAAGTCGCGAGGGTGTTTCTGACGGTCTCGGCAATCTTGTCGACGTTCTCGTTTACGATGTTGGCGACATCTTCAGAGTATCGCTTGATATCGCCGGGTAGGGACGATAACTATAACCGAACCGGGCCGTTGTTAGTGGGGTTCCATGCGGGGATCGAGTGGCATTGTGTATGTTTCCTTACCACGTCCAGAAAAGCCTGGTCGTCCGCAGACATGTTGTTTTGATTGTGTATTTCTCAGGGTCTTGTGAAGTGGTGATAGTGTGATCTTCGGCAGCTCAGTGAACAGGAAACGCGGGGTGATGAGTCGGCAGAATTACTGGGGGTCGCAATACGTGAATCGCGCCGGACTTCACAGTGTTCCAATAATGACGGGGAGAAGGTTTCTTTTATCGCTTTTATCGGACCCTTGCGCACCTTATCAAGCGGAGCTAATGCGCCCTGAGCTCAAGGTACCCCAGCCTTTACCCCGGCGACTCTCCACCACCAACGTCATTCCCGTGACACGCTGAGAAAGCATAAGTCTTTAAGAATATCAAATTTGAAGATGACCTATCCGTCTAGCCTAGACCTGGTTGTTTTCTTTGCCCATCACCACATCAACATCTCGCAAGAGAAGCTTCAACATGCCTCCAGCTCTGATACTAATATCTGAATAGCCCCAAGATCTGGCCTCACAACTTCCTAGCCAGCACCCTCAACCTTACATAACTATACATATGCCCACCCCCCGGCTTAGCACAAACAATCTCCAGCACATCCACCACCTCCCTGACCACCTCCTCCCTCTCCTCCTCGCTCCCCAATGCCTGCAAGAACTGAGCACCCATCAATCTCACCCATCCCTCAACCCCACCAACATCCGCGTTCGTAGGCCGCCACTCCCTCTCTACTTTTTCCACCTTCCACCCGCCGACCGTCTCCTCCATCATTTGTTTAATCCACTCCTCGTCGGGAAAAAACCAGGGGTCGACCTCCTGCGCGCGCTTCAGACCGACTCGCCTTCCCACAGCAGCCAAAAGCGTGGCCCGGATCTCCGAGACATTGCCCAGTCCGCCCATCTCAAAGGCGAAGACACCCCCCGGGGCAAGCACGTTGCGGACGCCCTGAAAGAAGACTTGTCGCTTGTCTTCGGGACGCAGGATCCAGTGGAGGGCGGCGTTGGAGAAGGCTTTGTTGAAGCGGACGTAGTGGAGGTGGGTTTTGCTGATGAGGGCGGTTGCGTCGAGGACTGTACACAATGTCAGCCTAAGAACCAGTGATTTTGACATGCTTTGATGCCGGCAGGCAGGTACAATCACTTCACTTACCCTCAAAGGTGCAAGTAGCCTTCAAATGCGCATCATCCGCCGCCTTCTTTTGGGCAGCTTCAATCATGGCTTTGGAGCTGTCTACGCCGTGCAAGCGGCCTCTGCCTCCCTCAAAGACTTGGGCAATCTCAAAATCGAGGACGCCGTCTGTGAGAGAGAAAATTTCCAGTTTGTCAGTGACGCCTTGTTCGAAAGTGTCCTTTTTTGGGCGGAGGAAAAAAACTCACCACCACAACCAATGTCAAGAATCACATCGTCTTTCTGGGGATCAAGCCATTGGACAATCTTTGTTGCCAGCTTGGGGACGAAGGAGGCTGCGGATTGATATGCCTGTTCGTTTCTCGTTTGATCAGTCATCTATCCCCATCAAAACAGAAATAGTAAAGAGGAAAGGTCTGTGGTTGTCCAGTGACTAGCCCATTACCTCTGAGGACCAGTTGTCCTTGTTCTGCTGGGATGCCATTGTCAAGTGATGGTGGTTGTCGATGTGGGTTTAGGGAAGAAACGGGAAGGGGGAAAGCCGAAAAGATCAAGTGGAAACGGCCAGAGCTTTATACCCGACCACTTGGTCTCGTATCATCTCAACACCACACACTTCTGCTTGGGAAAGATTACTGCCATAGGCCAAGATTGGATGAGAGAGGCAGCAAGACTGGGGGAAAGGAGTCCGATGTCGGCGACTGCCCTCACATCTCTCTACGAATGGAGGTAGGCTGCAGGTGGGAAACTGCATGGAAGAAACGTTCCCTCGCCTCAAAGTAGAAGGTCAAATCGAAGATGAATCTCCCATATACCGGTGAAAGCCATGAGGTTGGATGGAAGTCCGTATCTGTTGAAATTTCTGACAGTTTACGCTAGTCGGTCAAGTTGGAAACTCTTGCTTGTGTCCAATCCTAAAAGTCCCCCCCCAACCCCCCATCACCTCCAACGCTCTTATATGTATATGTACACGCGCTGACTATGTCATAGCTAACTCCGTTTGTGCACAAGCTGATCAGTGTAGGACATCATATCGTCCATCTTTGCGTCAACAGTCTTTCGGGTCTCGGCCAACCGATCTTCCATAGATTGCAGTTCAGCTATCACTTCGTCCAGTTCAGTCAAGCCGGATCGCCTGATCAACATGTTTCTTTTGCAGGCTTCCTAATCCACCACGTTGTCCAACAGCTTTGGGTCAAACAGCTTGTACTTGTCTTCCCCAAGCGCATCCTCAACTCTCTTCATTACCGCCAGGACCTTCTCTTCTTCCAACCGGCGGCCAATGACCTGCACACCGACGGGAAGACCGTGCATGCGTTCGGCGTCATAGTATTTGTAAGCTCTGGCCGCGACACCGTTCAGCTTCCTGTGATTGAAGGTGCTTGGGAGCTTGTCGAGGGCGCTATCGACATGCGTGACGGGGACGACGCCGGCTGTGTAGTCGAGCTGTTGAGGAGAGTGGATTTATGTCAGTGAGGCTCTTTGCTTCGGAAGGAAAGACACTGTGGAAGAACTAACCAAGTTGAAAAGAAAGCAATATCCGCAATTGCTGAAGGTATCCTTCGAGGCATCGTGCGGAATGGCAGGCAGCGCATTCGGCGGTGAAATAAGCACATCGAACTGCTTCCTGTTCCAGTACTCGAACCACTCGGCCCTGTAGGCCTCTCTCTTCTTGACCTCACCCCAGTTTTCCGCTGCCGAGATAGGCCTCGTCTGCTTCACCAGCTCTGCCCAAAGGGTATCCCTCCGAAGGTACCTTACCCACAGGTACGACAGATACCGGACGATGCTCGGCCACTTGCCAAACGACAACAAGCTGGCTCCAGTATCCAACCACTCCCCGAACCTCCTGTACGAATTAAACCACCACCCACCATCCGCGTTCAGCAACAACGCCCCCATCCTCAACGCCTCAAACATATCCGGCGCATCATCCATCTCCACAATCTCATGCCCTTCCCTCCTCAACGCCTCCTCCACCGTCTCCAGCGCCCGCTTGCACGCCGGACTTGGATCAACCACCCTATCGGTCCGCAACACGCCTACCCTCAGTTTCCTCCCATTATCCCCAAACTCCTCCACCACTTCATCCCTCCACGCAAGCGGGTGAACAGAGTGATCATACTTCCACGGCTTCATCCCAATGACCGCCCTAGTAAAGTAGCTCAAATCATCCAGCGTCCTCGCCATAGGCGAGTAAACACTAGGCACGCCTTCCTGGCCGGGCATGCTGGTCAGGATGCCCGCCTTGGGCCAGCGCCCTGTCGCGCACCTCAGGGAATAACACCCGCTGAAGTGGGCCGGCGCCCTGACGCTGCCCGCCACGTCGCTACCGATGCCGATGCGTCCGCCACAAGCCAGGAGCGCCGACTCGCCGCCCGTCGAGCCGCCGGGCGAGTACGCCTTGTTGTACGGGTTCGTGCAGCGGCCCCACACGTCGTTGGTGCTCTCGTAGCTCAGCAGGGAGATGGGCAGGTTGGTCTTGACGTAAGGGACGGCGCCGGCGTTTTTGAGGAGACGCACCATCGGCCCATCTCGCGGGTTGTCGGCCTTGTTCCCGACGAAGGAGGAGTACCCGACCGTCGTGTCGAAGCCGCCTACGATGATGGTGTCCTTCAGGCTGACGGGGATTCCGGCCAGGGAACCCTGGAGGTTGATATCTTTGGAGTTTTTGAGGGAGTCCTCGGCGGCGGAGATCAGGATCTCGGTCAGGCAGTTGGTCTTGAAGTGGGCTCTGACGGCAACCTTGCCGTAGGTTCGGAGGACGGAGAGTGGCGAGATGGCATTGGACTGGATGCCGGACACGAGATCGACGATGGGCTTGTTGATGGTGTCAAGGTCTTTGTCGGACAACGCCGTGTGGTATTCCGGGTCGAGCGTCGAGATGCGCTCTTGACGCTCAGCTCGCTTGGATTGACTGTTTAGAGTTGTCTGAGGTTAGCAAAAAGTACTACATCCACTTTGACTTCAGACAACTAAAGAGGGGCAAGGCTTCTTCTGAGGGTGGTTAGTTAGGATGGATACTACTCACCAGTCCCGCTTGTGGCGGAGGTAATCCGAAAGGAAACTCATCGTGTCAACGTGATTTCTCGCTGCTCACTGAGCTTCCGTGAGTATACACAGGCTCTTCCAGAAAAATTCAAGTCAATGCCCAACGATCTTTGTGTGTATCGGTGCGGTGGACGTTGCCGGTGTTAATTTGTCTCTTGGGCGAGGTCGACTTGAAGACGCGCGGATTGATATATGGGAGGTAGAGATCGTTCGAAGCTATTCAGACTCGATTCAAGGTACTACGACACCGTTCCTGACGAAGAAGTGAGACGAAATGAGGCCGGTGCATATAATTCGGGTTACATGTAACAGAAGTGAAGTGTAAGTTAGGTGACAAAAGGAAGCCCAACACTTCCCCCCTCACACGGGGGTTGACTGCTCTTAGTTGTATAAGTGATAACAGCCAAGCCAATGGCGGGTAACTTGGAGCTGCCCGTGCTTGGTGAGAAATGGGAAGCTGCAAGGGGACCCGAGGTCCTACCTATCCGAGACAGGTACAGTAAAGTCCCCTGAAACTGCATGTAATTCGGACACTATGGGGGACCGCCAAATCTTATGCACTAACTAGCGTATATGCAGAAGGGGGAGCTGGCTTTTGGTGGGAGACAGGGATTTGTGACCGCGCCTGGGTATGCACTAAGTAGGGAACTTTTGGTGTATATGCAGTTTCTGGTGTATGCACTTGCAGGGGTCAATACTGTAGCGTCCAGGGTAAGGTAGTTACACTTCTTTAATTGGACTAAGCTTTATCTCCCTATCGGCGTTCTTGGTTAAGCGTGGACAAAGAGGGCCATTCAGACATTGTTCTTGTCAATCTTCCCCGCGTTTGGGATCGCACGTGTGGTACGTTCGGTTACCGGTCACCGGCCTATCCAAGAAGTCTTGAGCCGGCCCCGTCCATCAAGGTTCCTCCGGCGTACCTTCCGCTCCCCAGAATCCTAGCTCCTGCCGAATTGTTTCACTACGAAAGTGGGGTGAAAGCAGACCAGGGAGCATCGTACTTACCTCAGGATAGTATAATAGAAAAAGTCAGATGATCCCTTGACCTCAGAAATGGCTGGTTTTAGTTGATATCGTGAATTATCATGTAACCGTCAACGTGGGTGAATGTGCTTAAGCCGTCCCAAGCCGAGACCTCCTCAGTTGGCGGGCTTGTAAGCAGACGGATACCAGGTATAATATTACTGTCGTAGCCCAGTCAACCAACCTCCTGGGTTCTTTAGCATGACGATAACAAGAAGACTCCATACCGCTCATCTGTGCATGGTTGAAGCCCCAGAAACCGTAAAGTAGCTGACATCTCAGTCTGCTCAAAATAGCACCCACCACCAAACGGATCCAAACCACCATCAAAACTGTAGCTTCCGTAGTTAAACGTTCTGTATTCTTCACCCAATATGAGCCCTCCCAACACCACTGTAGATGCAATAACAAATTAACCCGGCCGCTGTTGCCTTAACGAGATGAAGAAATGTGAAGAGAACCAAGAGCCCAAGGCGCAAATTCTCCCACACTGGGCAGCGAAACGACAAAGAAGTAGGACCGAAAATCTCAAGCCCTCAAGACATCCCCCCTTTTCGTTCTCCTCCTCTTGCATGCTTTTCTATCTTCCATCCAACGCCTAGCCATGAAGGACATGCCCTGTCTCAGCACATGTCATAGATACCTATTTGTGAAAAGATCCGCGGTTTGTGCTAGATCCTTGCGACAACAAACGCCTGGCGACCTACGCCTTAGGCACGTCACTGCTGCTGGACCCGTTGGCCGTAGACGATGCTCCTCCGCTGACCAAGGTAGGCGCGATGCGTCTCCGTTTGGGTTGCTGGCTATTCTCCGCGTTATTCGCCTCGCGGGAATTGCTTGACTCCCTCTTCAAGCTAGTGGAACCAGCACCACCGCTCGAACTCTGCGGCGTCTCGGGAGGGGTCACAACGGGCAAACCCGTAACCTTGCCCGAATTGGTGGCAGCGATGCTTGGCACTTGGCCAGAAATAAGCGGTGGGTTGCTCATAACCCCGCCTTGTGATGTAGAAGCTTGAGTAATGGCAGAACTAGTCGAGTTGGATCGTGCCGGTGAAGGAGGTGGCGGATTGACGAACGAAGCAGCCGCAGGTGGTGAAGGCGCCGTAAAGGAGCTCGCGGAGTCCCTATGGCGATGGTTGGTACCGTTATGAAACGGGGACGGGGGCGCAAATACCCCCGAGGGATTGGGAAGAGGCGTGTTCTGGTTCGATGAGGCTCCTCCAGAGGACACTGAATGTCGTCGACCAATTTCTCCAGTATACGGTGTACCCAGCTCTCCAGGCAAGAATGACAGGGTGGAACAGAACCCATCCGACGAAGATATCAGCAACGTCAAGCCATCAGTCGACCTGTAACGTATGTTAGTTCACAGAGGCTCGAGGAAGCAAAGGGAATAACTTACCAGGTAAGGTCCGTAAAAGTGGCGCAGTGCAAGTTGCTCACAACGCAGATAGGTGTGTGTTGCTGGGTGTCGTACAGAAGCACTGAGTCTTGGGTGGCTACAGCGTAGACCATCCGATACGGGAGCGCGAACGCCGACTTTGGTCCAGGGCTCTGCACGGGAGCCTCCGTCGATCCTGAAGCCGAACTTTCGGTGGGTACTGGAGGAGGTGGTGGCTCCATCACTGACGGGGCTGTTGAGGGCTTCGCTAGTGGTTCAGGAAGTGAAGGTATCGGCTCCTCGGCTGATGAAGTATCAATGGTGATGTGTTTGGTGACGGGCGGTGACTGTCTCAGGGTGTAGATGATCGGGGAGCATCTGACGGCGACAGACGGCTTCTTGTGCCCGGGTAAATGGGCAATGGGTGGCTTGTTGATGCCACCTCGCGTGTATATGTAGACCGTGTTGATGACCTCGTACGAAGGTTTCCCGCCATCCACCTGATGCTGAGTCTGATACTGACCAGCAGGTGTCAAGAGCAGACTTCCGTCAGGTGTGAAGGTGAGTCTCCGAAAAAAGGAAGTTAGAGTCTCATTGGCATAAAGGCTCGCATTCTTCATGCCCAGGCCGTAGCTCGAAGAGTGCGGTTTGGGAGAAGCCTCGATAGGCATAACAGCTGGCAAAGGCATGGACGGTGCGGGCGAGACTGATCGCCTGGACGAGAACGACGATCTCCGGCTATGGCTGATGACACTGGGAGGGTTCATAGGCAGGGCCATCGAGGTGGGAGTACCTGGGATGGAAGGGTTTGGGGATCCAGCAACAGCACTGGGATCCAGGGATGTGAAAGCGGACCGGTTACCGAACTCTGGCGGAGCTGGGCTGTGAGAGGATATCCTGCGAGGAGGGAGATCTGTTTTGGCGTGGCTGGCAATCTTTGGTGGCTTGTCGTCGTGGTTGTTGGCGAGGGTATACTGGCCATCCTTTGTCCTGAGCGAGTAGATATGTACCGATCGATCGGAAGATTGTGTTGCGATGTACTCGTTCAGAGGATCCCATGTAACGCCCTGGACGTAATGGCTATGTTCGGCGATCTGGCGCACGAGGGTACCCGTCGAAGCGTTGTAGATGCGCGCAACGTTGTCCATGCTGCCAATGATGAAAAAGGCAGCATCCGGGGACCAGGCAAGATCATAGATCTCTGTGCCCAGGGACCGGCACATGTGCTTTGTCCTCCATGTTTCCTTGTCTTCGAGGCCTTCGTTTCCGAACGTCGCGTGGTGAGTGTCTGATGGAACCCACAAGATGACATTGCCGTCGTCGCCAGCAGAGGCAAGGAGTTCACCTGAAGAAGGCCTTGTTAGTACGCGAAGAGGCGAGCTAAGGGATCCGGAGAGCTGGTGGCATGTAAAAGTGAGAGCCATGGGGGCAAAGGAAACGTACCTTTGGGAGCCCAGCGAACGACGTTGACTGCTTGTGTATGTTTGGAAAGGGTTGCCAGGTACTCGACCCTACGATCCTCGCCATCCTCCTCTATTCTCCATAGCTGTCGCAATCATAACAATTAGTATGGGTCCAAAGACCTGAACGCGAGGGCGGGGCAGGGCAGATTGCATACTCGAACATTGTTGTCTCCGGCGGCGGTAGCTAGGCGGCCCTTGCCTCCGGGTTCGAAATGGGCAGAGTAGATGGGGTACGGGTTGTTTTCGTGGTGCCAGTTGATGATTAACGGAGTGGCTTTCATTGTAGCATATAGTCGGCTGGAGCACGAGACGGGTTGAAATAAGGTGAAGGACGAAAAGTGGTGTTGAGAAAGGCGCAAAGTGTTGCCGGGTCAGGTGGAATTTATTTCAATCGGCAACGGCACCACTGTCTGGGGAAGGTCTGGGGTTTTCTGATCGGTCTGGGGTTCTGTCCCGTCGTTCGTTGGCTCGGCGATGGAATGCGTGTCGTGTGAAGTGCGGCAGCCGTGCAAGTGCCCTGCGCTGTGGGCTCGAGGATAGCAGGTCTAGCAGGGAGGTATAGCAGCTGCAGGTGAGGCGGCTGAAAGGCAGCTGGGGACAGCAACCAGAAGGCTTCGATTTTCCGATGGGTGAGGAGCCTGGCAACTCAATCGATTGATCTTTGGTCAACTGAATGGGTCGGAGAAATCAATTGCCGTAATTCTGATGAATGGAATCGCAAGAGGACATAAGGATGCGGGATAAGCAAGTTCTTTTCAAGAAAGAATTCGAGGTTTGGGTGGTAAGGTAGGCGGAGGTGGGTGGAATAGCTCCCGTTGAGGTTGTTCCACGAGGCCTGTGCGGAGCGAGCTCAGGGCGTTGATATTGGTTGGATTGGATGTCAGGCAGGCAGTGTAAGAAACAAGCCCTGGCGGGACGGGACTGGGCAAAGAGGAAGCTAAAATTGCTAGTGCATGTCGGGTAGTCGAGGTAGTCGATCTTGGCAGGTACTTCTCCTGATGAAGGGCAATGAGTTGTCCGGAATTGATGCCATTCACAGTACGTTGGACAAAGTAGAGCACTTTGTTCAAGAGACTCAGGTTGGGATGTTACTACGAAGTGATTAATTGGCGAATAAGGTGAGGAGCACCTCCTGGAAGAGAAGAGGTGAAGGAGCCCCATGAACCTTCCTTGTCTGTGACCTGAGTGCAGCAGCTGCATTGCACTTGCCCGACAGTTGACGCCGGCATTGACAACTCGCCTTGAAGTTCTAGCGAGCAATGGCCCCACCTTGCACGATCCCTTTCACTTCGCGGGAAAAGAGGTGCACTGGCGGTCATCTGCCCTGTCCATGTCATCGCGTCGAACAAATCGACAAGTTTTCAACCACAATAACCTGGAACCGTGTTCAGCCCGCTCCTACACCTGCTCCTGCATGCCTCAATCAGCTGTACACAACACTCTTGTCGACAGCCTCAGGGCTAACCTCTTCCACGCCCAGCCAATTAAATGGAGATTGCTTCTTCCCGGCACCGGGACATTGACCTCGAACCGCGACACTGTCATGAACGGGAGGCAAGACCTGAGCGGATGATACCTCGACTGAGTTTCTACCAGAGTTCTGGGTGTTCAGTCCTTCTTGTCCCCTAAAAGTCACACCAGATCTCGATCTTCCAGGGTTCAATCAATCAAGTGAGCACAACCACGGGCAAGTTATGAGCTGAATAACCCAATTCTGGAAAGAGCAAGAGATCCGCTTACAGGTTCCAGTTCGTCTCCCATCTAGATGAGCTGGGCTCACCGCGACAGCCCGTTATCTCATCGGCATCTCGACGATTTCTTGCAAACACTCTCAGGCAAATCCACCAAAGGAAACCAGAGGAAGTAATATCGATGGAAAAGACCGTGCAACCATACCGACCCAAGCTGGTGCTTTACAGCAAGCCACAAAGCCCCCATCAGCAACCACAATGGATAAGAAGGTGGCGATGGTGAGGGGAAGACGTTGAAAGAGTCACCGGCGAAGCAAAGAGGTTATCAATCCATCGGCTTACCACCTTGCCGCCTTGTTGGATGTTACTCCATGCTTACACCTCATGCAGAGAGGCTGCTCGGTCGTTCAGCTATGTCCCCCACACACACCTCCCCTTACGTAGCGTTGTAGTGCATCTATGCTTTCACATCTCGAGCCAACATGGCTCCATGGTTTGAGCTGATGCACAAGCATATCCCCCAACTTTCCGACTGTCATCGACTCTGCCTTGACTTTCATCTGTTTGGTTGAAGAGGCTATCTTGCCAGGATCATCGTCTTACTTCGAAACCAATCTCGCATGCTGTCTGACTTGATGGCTTCCTCAAGATGCTGTGGTAATCAGATGTCTCGGCTTGTTTTGCCTCAACACCACAGATAGGTATTCTCAAAACATCATATTACAAGGAGCTTGGCCAAGCTCAAAGCTGGCGCCGACTGGGAGTCAATGCGTAGGGATCTCACGAACGCCGTCGGGAATGGTTTTCTGCTTTTCCTTCGCCGCACGGCTCAGGGACCCGAGACGGCTATTTCATTGGTTTCCACAGATGCCGAATGGGGTCTGATGAGTTGTTGGCCATTAAGACTTTTGGCGCAGTCAATATCATCCGCGCCTATTCGAGAAATTCGCGACAACTGCGGCAGTTGTCAGGTGCGGACACCCAGAACTCCGAAGCTCAGGCAAGCGGGAAATTTGAAAAACACCACGGGAAAGCCACTTTACACACGGATATCACATCAGTCTTTGATACGAACAAAATGCGTATGGACGTCTCGGGCGCTGTCGCACAGCTCTTCTAGTCGGATTCAGCATTGTCAACTTCGTATCTTCACGGTTTCGAAAACCCTTGCACATAAAAGTTTATTTCCGTGGATTATGCCTACTCGTCAGGTCTACACAAACTACTAACCCCGCCGCTAGTCAGACGGTCGATTTTGTAGACCTGACGAGTATCCGTCCTTATGGACAACCTGGGCAATAGAGAGGTGAGTTGCCGGATATCCGCCAAGACAAAAGTCAGAATGTCAAGTTGCGCCGCATCGTTGCAGAATGGCGTATCGCAGCGGTACGTACCTAGCCGATCCTGCTAAGAAAATCAAGCGTCGTAGCATTTTCCGGTGGTTGAGGCTGTCTTTTGCTCCGACAGCAACAACTACGGCTGCATATCACTTGCGCTGGGCTCTTTCCACATCTCGGACAGTAAATCCAAGCTAAAATCCGGGGAGGCTTCGTTGCTGCCTTGAGTGAGTCACATCGGATATTTCTCCTGCCTTTCTAGGTAGAGGTCAGGTTCGAGTCTATACCAGGCTGGGCAATCCGCCCTCCTGTCAACGTTGCGTTGGAGGCATGATGGGATGTACGGCGTAGCAGCATCTCTATATGTATGCAGTATGGATGCATGCGGTGTACCTACATCACTACATGGATTCCCAGCGTGGGAGTAGAGGGCCCGGCTGTCAGCCTATGGGAGTGCATGAGAATGTGAGCGGTCGTCCGTTATCTCACACCTCCCCTTCAGCCCAGGTTCTCGACATGTTCGCCATGTGAGTCAAGACAACAATTTCTTTTCTGTCTCCCACCCGAACGATGACGGATGAACCCATGCTGCTGGCTGCCGTTGCACGATTGTCTTGCACCCAATACACTGCGGGGTTCGTTGCATCCAGAACGGACGGGTATGTCTCGATAATTCGAATACCCTTGTGCTGACAGGACACCAGCCAACGCTTTTCTGATGAAAGTGCAAAAGTAGGGGTTCTAAGTTTGTTCCTACCTTAGTTTTGTTTGGGTCAGCGCTTGTGTTGTCGTTGGCTGTCTTTGCTGGCTTACACAAGCAGACAACTGGTCTGAGTGGATCGCCTGTATTATTGATAAAGGATTGGGCCAATCAAAGCGTCAATTGGAGGATTCGCGCTTTCGGCAACTTTTTCAACCACACGCCCTCCCTCTTGAGAGAGGTGTCTATCTAGATAGTCGAGAAGTATCTAAGTAGCCGACCGCCTTCGTTTTTTTTCTCGAGTATCCTCTTCTCCCTTTCTGTTTTCTTTTTGCTTCCTTTCCTCTCCTTACCCAGTTCTGGTGGATGGTTGAGAATACCTCAACGTTGAGCTCAGGCCCCATCCCCATCCCATTCGACAAAATTTCGCCAGTTTGGTTGTCGGTTTTCTTTCTCTCCGACATCAAAGAAAGCGAGGGGCGCTGGTGCGAGACACAACGCGCTCCAAGATCCGGTCACAAAGCTTGTTGACCGTATCGCCAACCAGACGCGTTACCCAAGTTTGGTGTGATCTTATACAAGACCACAAAATCTAGCTGGCCATGTCACGCAATGAATCCCGTTTTGCAGTGGTCGTGACCGGTCTTGCCCTCGTTGGCCTCGGCTCTTTGCCTGCTGTGTCCGGGTTCGTCCAACGGTTCAGAAAGCGCGAGGCACGACAGGACGTTCTCTACGAAGATGCCGACGGCAAGGCGACCGTCGAGTCGCAAAGAGCCTACTCGGCCAAGGTCCCGAAGACGGTGATCTTGCTCTCTGCCGCTGCCGGTTTTGCCCTATCTATCGCCATTGCACTGCTGTCGACAAATCAGAAGGCCAGTTCGTTGAACGACTGGCTATCAACTGGAGCATGGGTACGGTCTTGTCCTTGCGCTTTTTATGTTTTGTTTCGAGGTAGCTAACTTATAATTGTAGGGTGCATTACTGTTCCAGGCTATCACGATAGCCTCTTGCAGAAAGTCGGTGCAGGCCTTTGATCTCGGCATCTACTCGTTCCTGTCCTCCGCAGTGCTGAGTGCCATTCTGTTTGTCCAGGGTGCTGATGCTTCAGAGTCTCTCTGGGACCACAATCGCACCTTGTTTGTCCTTCGTGCCGTCGAGCTGGCGCTGGCTGGATCCCTTGCAGTTTCCAGTTTGTCCATTCCAAGGAGACCCGACGTCTATATCGATGGAGAGCCGGTTGATAGGATGTTTACCGTGTCAGCCATCAGCCGCTTCACCTACGCTTGGCCCAGCAAGCTTCTGGATCTCGCGGTTAAGAAGAAGGATCTCGACTTGACCGATCTCAACCGACCCGACCATTTTTCCCGAGCTGCAGACACTTCGGCCGATTGGAAGCGCCGCAACTACCGCCATAACCTTTGGCTGTCCGTGATCCTCGCCCACAAGAAGGCGTTCTCCTTGCAGTGGGCTTTGACACTCTGCACGGCCTTTCTGAACTTCAGCCCCCAGTGGGTGATTTTGCAGCTGTTGCGCATTTTGGAGAATCCCCAGGTCGGTAGCAGCTACGGGTTCGGTGTCTGGTACTGGGTCTTCTTCCTCGGCGTGGCCATGATTGTCCAGTCATGGGTGGAAGCCTATGTCTTCTGGCTCTCGTGGTCTGACCTTGCCATCCCCATTCGCGCTCAGCTCTCTGCGCTCATCTTTGAGAAGTCAATGCGGAAGAAGGATGTCAAGGGTGCTGGAAAGGCCAAGGAAAAGGAGAAGGCTACCGAGTCGGGCGAACCCCCCGTCGCTGGACCAACAGGAGAGGGAGCCCCAGCCGATGCGCCGCCAGCCGTGCCAGAGGCCGAGGCCGAGGATGATTCTGATGAGCTCAAGAAGGGCAAGCAGAACACGGTGAACTTGATTGGTGTCGATGCGAAGCGTGTCTCGGACTTCTCCACCTACCAGAACATGTTCCCTGGCAGTCTTTTCAAGCTCATTGTTTCGCTGACCTTCTTAACGAACCTTCTGGGCTGGAAGGCTCTTCTGGCGGGCTTCTCTGCCATGGTTGCCATCATGCCAGTGAACATCCGCTTCTCCAAGAAATATTCCGCCGCTCAGGACAAACTGATGAAGGTCAGAGACGAGAAGATGGCCGTCGTTACCGAAGCCCTCCAGGGTATCAGACAAATCAAGTTCTCCGCTTTGGAGCCCGAGTGGGAAGACAAGATTGGCTCGGTCAGAGACAGGGAACTTGGTGCGGTCTGGAGTGTGTTCATGGCCGACACAGCCCTCCTTGCCTGTTGGGTCACCAGTCCTATCCTCCTTTCGGCTATTTCTTTGGCCGTCTATGCCGCTTTGAATGGTGTCTTGACGCCATCCGTCGCCTTCGTCAGTCTTGGTGTCTTTAGAGGTCTCGAAGTAACGCTGTCGGTCATTCCTGAGCTTACAACCGATCTGCTGGATGCGTGGATTTCGATCAAGCGTATGCAGGAGTATCTGGACTCTCCCGAGGTGACGGTTGTCTCGCAGGATGCTGAAGAGGTGTCGTTTCAAAACGCTTCTGTCGCCTGGCCTTCGGATGAGGATATCAACGAGGAGGACAGGTTCGTTCTCCGCAATATCAGCGTCACATTCCCCAAGGGGGAGCTATCGGTCATCTCCGGCAAGACTGGAACAGGAAAGAGCTTGATGCTGTCCGCTATCCTTGGCGAGGTCGATATCCTTGAGGGCAACTTGTTTGTACCCAGGGCACCTTCGCTGGCTGATCGCCACGATGACAAGGCCAACAAGGACAACTGGATCATCCCTTCGGCCATCGCCTACGTAGCCCAGATTCCCTGGATCGAGAACGCAACCATCAAGGAGAATATCCTCTTCGGACTTCCTTTTGACGAAGAGCGCTACAAGAAGACCATTGAGGTTTGCGCATTGAAGAAGGATCTGGAAATGCTCTCGGATGGTGAAAACACGGAAATTGGCCAAAACGGTATCAACCTAAGCGGTGGCCAGAAATGGCGTATCACTCTGGCTAGAGCCATCTACTCCCGGGCCGGTATTCTTGTCCTCGATGATATCTTCTCGGCCGTGGATGCTCACGTCGGCCGCCACATCTTTGACAAGTGCCTCAACGGTGTCCTTGCCACTGGCCGCACAAGAATTCTCGTTACTCACCATGTTGCCCTCTGCGAGCCCAAGACCAAGTACCTTGTGGAGCTTGGCGATGGCCGTGTCTTGGAGGCTGGTTCGGTTGACAAGCTGCGCGAGGCAGGGGCTTTGGACCAGATTAAGCGTCACGAAGAATCCCCTGAGGAAATCGAAGCCGACGAACAAGCCGCCACTGCTGTGAACTCGGATGACTCTGTTGATGGCGATGGCGAGCAGGCCGAGGCCGATGCTAACGCTCTGAAGAAGGTCAACTCCAAGACTGCCGCTCGTAAGTTCGTCGAGGACGAGGGACGCGAGAAGGGAGCTGTCAAGAAACAGATTTATTACCAATATCTTCTGGCCAGTGGAGGCTGGAGTTACTGGACCATTGCTCTCATGATTTTCCTTGTTGTCCAGGCGTTCAACATTGGGCGATCATGGTGGCTCAAGATTTGGACTGCAGACCACGATGAGCAAGCTCTTCACACTCAGCATTTCCTCAGTGTTTCGAGAGAGCAAGGCTTCGCCTATGGCACTCAGCAGACGTCTTTTCACACGATGTCTGCTCCATCCATCACCAGCCATAACAGCCTAACATACTACCTCAGCATCTACGTACTTCTGGCCCTCATCTCATCCATCGTCGGTACACTCAAGTTCCTCTACGTCTACATCGGCTCCATTCGCGCAAGCAGGGGCCTGTTCCAGAAACTTAACTTCACCATCCTGCGCGCGCCCATTCGCTGGCTTGATACCGTTCCTGTCGGTCGCATCCTCAACCGATTCACGTCAGACTTCAACATTATTGACTCGCAAATGGCCAACTCGGTCAGTTTCGGGCTAAATTCGTTCCTCAACCTGTTGGGCGTCATTGTTGCGGGCCTCTTTGTTTCTCCGTACATTGTCCTACTTGCTGGTGTCCTGCTGTTCATCTGCCTCTACTATGCGATCCGGTACCTCGATGGCGCTCGTCCGGTCAAGCGGCTGGAAAGCACCACCAAGTCACCTGTTTTCGAGCAGTTCGGCTCCGCGCTCTCCGGTGTCGCCACCATTCGTGGTTTCGACAAGTCTGATGGTTATATCAAGCGCATGTACCGCAAGGTGGACGAATATTCCATGGCGACATGGCATCTCTGGCTTTTCAACAGATGGATGGGTTGGAGAATGTCGCTTGTGGGCTCTTTCTTTGCCTCCTTCGTCGCTATCCTCATCTTGGTCACCCCTGGCATCGACTCGGCTCTGGCTGGCTTCGCGCTCGCTTTCGCTTTGGAATTCTCTAACTGTGTTATGTGGACGATTCGTCTGTATGCCAATGTTGAGCTGAACATGAATGCTGCCGAGAGAATTGTCGAGGTAGGTTTCGAACTCACCCGTCTTCTACCTGACCTTGATCTTTTCACTAACACAACCTGATTTAGTACGCCTCACTCCCTACCGAGTCCCTCGAGGGCATCAGCCCGCCCGCCGCGTGGCCCACCGACGGCCGCATCGAAGTCAAGGACCTCGTCGTCAGCTACGCCCCCGACCTCCCTCCCGTATTGAAGGGCCTCACCTTTAGCGTCAACCGCAACGAGCGCATCGGCGTCGTCGGCCGCACCGGAGCCGGAAAATCCTCGCTCACCCTCGCCCTCTTCCGCTTCCTCGAGGCTCGCTCCGGCAGCATCCACATTGACGGCATCGATACCTCCACCATCAAACTGCACGACCTGCGCTCTCGCCTGGCCATCATCCCGCAGGACCCCGTCCTCTTCTCGGGCACCGTGCGCTCCAACCTCGACCCGTTCAACCACCAGACCGACGCCGCGCTGCGCGAGTCGCTCGAGCGCGTCCACCTCGTCGGCGATAGTAATTCCACCTCCGGGACTGCCACCCCCGCACCAGAGGCCTCATCGTCTTCGACCACCGGCGCTGGTATCCAGAACAAGAATACCAACATCTTCAAGAACCTCGACTCCCAGATCTCTGAAGGTGGTCTCAACTTGTCTCAAGGCCAGCGTCAGCTCCTCTGCCTTGCGCGCGCCATCGTCTCTAGGCCAAGAGTCATGGTCCTGGACGAGGCTACCTCGGCGGTGGATATGCACACGGATGCGCTGATCCAGCGGTCCATTCGCGAGGAGTTTACTGATGCGACGCTGCTCGTTATTGCTCACCGTTTGAGCACGATTGCGGATTTTGATCGCATTTTGGTTCTCAGTGATGGCAAGGTTGCTGAGTATGGAACGCCGAGGGAGCTGTGGGAGAAGGATGGCGGGAGTGGAGTGTTTAGGGGGATGTGTGAGGAGAGTGGTGAGAAGGAGAAGTTGAGGGATATTGTTTTTGGGAAATAAAAGGTTTTGGGGGAGGGGTGGAAGGGAAAGGATTTATGGGTTTATGAGCGAATAACGAACGAACGAACGAAATCCGTTGGGATATTGGAACTTGGGGAAAATAGGAAAATACTGCCCCCGGGGAATATCCCTTGAGAGGGTCAAAAGCAAACAGGCTCAGCGTGTTGATATACTGGAAAATGATGCATTGTTCGAGATTTGGCACTTGATGTCTGGACCAGACGCTTGCATATCTGCAGTTGTCGTCAGTAAAAGAATCGGTCTGTATTTGGTGTCTGATACCCTGTCTATCCAGGTATCTATCTCGATCGGATATCAAGATCTCGGAAACTTCGATATCGGAAATACAATCTAATGCTGGTTTGTTTGTTAGCTTGGTACTCCTGGTATACTGGACGAGATCTATCCCGAATTGTCCCAAACCTCACAAAGATAAAGTGAATGGCTAGGTACGGATCGGAAAGGCATCAACAAGATTCAATATGGCATATCAAATTTCCAAAGAAGCATATGCAAGGTAAGATCACGCTTCAATCATAGAACGAAACGAATCAATTAGATATAAAAACGCCTAGGGAAGTTGACCTGAGGTCTTAAGCTAATAAACAAATCAGTATTGGACTGTACTTACAATCAAACATCGGAAGCGGTATGCCGAAATGGTGACCGACTCTTTTCGTGATGGTGACCTCATGACCCGCGGTTTTGAGTTGAGATAGGTCAGTTCCCACGATAGGCAGGGACCGCTGATGTTACAGGTCTAAGAGATAAGATAACGAAATAGGGCGGGGTGGCGGAGTAGCCGTCCTGCTAAGCTTCCGCTCTTTCTCCGCTCGCCGGGGACCGCTACTCGGCACGCCCCGTTGTCACCACTCGCTGGTAGTCGGTCGGATGCGCTGTCTTTTTGGCCGGTATTACCCCTGGGCTGGCTGGGAATGGTCCGGGGAAGGAAAGTATTAAACAATAGATGACCCCCGAAATACGGACGGGAAGGGATGGAGGGATGAAAGACAGTTTTGTACGATACACTACCTACTCTTGAACTTCGACAGAATTTATACCTACCGACTTGGTGGAGGCCTAAGATTACATTCAAGTGCTCTTTCTCTTCTCAAGTTCCATTTCCATCAGCAATCTTGAACCATCTTCATCACCTTGCCGACTCAGGTCGTCAACTTCCATCTCCCAATTTCCCCAAAGAAGGCCTTCCCAACCACAACCACCAACCACGACACCCTCACAACATGGCTCCTCTAACACCCCCCATCCTCGACGGCCACTCCCCCGCCGTCATCGCCCAAACCTGCCAAACCTACAACCTCACCCCCTCCGAATTCGCCCAGCTGCGCGACCGCGCCGTAGCCGCCAAAGCGACCTCGTACAGCCCCTACAGCAAGTTCAAGGTCGGCGCCGTTTTGCTGTCCAACGGCAAGGTCGACGACGCCGTCACGGGAGAGAGAACAACTACGGCTCCCGAACAGACGTATACGCCGGGCGCCAACGTGGAAAACGCCAGCTACCCGGTAACCACGTGCGCGGAGCGGGTAGCCTTTGGCCGGGCGATTACCGAGGGACACCGCGGGTTTAAGGCGGTGGCGGTGGCGACGGATATTAGTCCTCCTGCTAGTCCTTGTGGGATGTGTAGGCAGTTGTGAGTGTTCCATGTTGTTGTTCCCAAGTGTTGGCGTGGGAAGAAGGAGAGAGAGAGATCTTTTTTTTGCTGACCGGCCGGGGTGGAAATATGCGTATAGCATCCGTGAGTTTTGCGAGTTGAGCATGCCTATTCTTATGTTTGATAAGGATGAGAATTTCAGCGTTTTGAGGCTTGAGGATGTGAGTTGCAATTTCCTTTCGTTCTTGCCTGTCCTTTGACTCGAGGAGTCACACGGCTTTGCTGACACTTTTGGTATCTAGCTCCTCCCATTGTCGTTTGGCCCTGATCAGATGGGCATTGAGGGCTCTGCTTAACTGTTTTCGCATGGCTGTCTCGGGGAAAGACGCAGTAGGGTCTCACGACTATTTATGGCTTGATGACTTTGAGCAACCAACCCTGGGGTGGAGCGGAAGGTTCAGGGAGTGAGGGTCATGTAAACATAGGAGCAAAACTCGATGTACTCTCTCCATCACGCGGTTTTCGACTCACTTCTGGACGTTCCAGCTGAGGAGTAAAATGACATGATAAACCCAACATCTAATGGACACAAACAGTATCTACACCAGTACCTGGCGTACACTTGTTTCTGTCCGATATGCTGTTTTCGCTATGTGGTTCCTTCAGACTAGGGCAAGCTACTTTGACCATGGACTTGCTCAGTGACTATCCGTACTATCTTCACGACTTCCTAACTCCAGCACAACCGCCATGCAATGAATGAGACTGAAGCAACACGCAATGAATGGACCCAAAGAAAAAAACCATCCCAAGAGAATCAATATACAGCCTCCAAACAGCACCACCAAATCCCAATAAACATCCTCTTTCATTCCGCCAACAAACTGTCCACCCTTCCCTTTTCCTGGACTTGATCACCTTAGTATCCAAACCCATCATGCTGATGCATAGGACATCTCCCCGGATGTCTCTCCCACCACGCACTTATACACGCCCTGTGAAACCTGCACAGACACTCCAACCTAGCCATGGCCACCCCGGGCTCAAACTCCTCCAGACATATCGTGCACTCCGCCGAGTCCACGCAGTCCTTTTCCGTCGCTGTGTATGGGAACATGCCGGTCCGCCGTGGTGGCGCGGATGGTAGCGAACTACTACTTCCGCTGCTGCCCTCTCCGCTCTCATCAGTCGCTGCTGGACGGACACCGCCGTTGTACGCGCTGTGTGAGGCAATACATTGGTTTATGTGGGATTCACGCAGGGTCTCGAAGTTGGGAAGGGTTCGTGATGGAAGCTCCCTATGGCAGACCGGACACTCATCTTCCTCGGGAATGATGTGTTGATGATGATGGTGGTGGTTGTGTGATCGTGGAGTGGGAGGTAGACGGCGGTTGATGTCGGGGCTGGATGATGAGGACGGTCCAGCCGATGGTCCAGGCCGCTCACCGATATCAAGTAGAGACCGGTACCGTTGTTGTGATGTTGGCCCACGATACGGGTGAGAATGGGCAGAGGAGCCGGACTGGTAGTATACCGGCGGGGTGCCGGACATGATGCGGCTCTCCATCGGGGCAGTGGAGATGAAGAAGTTGTTAGATCCGGATGGCAACGTCGTGACGGTGGGTTGCTATGGGGCGATGGTTGTTAGACCTTGATCTTCGGGAACACACGATAGAAAATAGAGAAGCATTGAAATCACGGAGGGTTTCACGAACCAGAGTTACACTTCTATGTCTGGACTGCCCATCGGATGGGCTCGACGGCCCGAAATACGAGCTCCATCTGTTGTTGTATCCGGGCGAGGCGGCCTCACTGCCACTGCCCCCAGATCCACCGGCGACGTTGCTGTGAGACCTCGAATGGCTTGACCCCTGGGCTTGCGTTTGCGGCGGAGCCGTGTTGGGATCTGGAACACAGGGGTTGCATAACCTGACCCGCTCGCCGCCGCCGAGGGCACTGAAGTCTGGGGATCGCGGGTCTCCACCTAAAAACGAGCCCGGGTACCTCGGAGCTAGACGGGGTGTGCCGGCCGGCTGTACGATATACTGGTACGGGATTGTGATTCTATGGGGCGAGCACGAATTACACACGACGCGCCCGCATTTTCTGGACAAAGGTAAGTAACTGTTCTATGTTCTTAAGGCCAGTTCAACAACTTACCTGCAATGATGCTTCCTAACAAATATGCTGAACTGAGTATGGCAAATGGGACAGTAGGTCACCTCGGCATCTGGCTGCCACCGGGGCAGCACTATCTCCTCCAACACCCTGCGCTGTGCCGGAGGTGGTTGTTGAGACAGACCTCGTACCAACCTTGGTGAAAGATCTGTGGTGGGAGTTGGTGGATTTTCGAATACCTCGCGCAGTCTCGATGGTACACCGCCACGCGAGGGTCCAGGGCTCGGCGTGGTTGCCGTCCCTGACCCATACTCGTCGGTACTTGTAGCACGCTGTGCAAAATACCCAAGCAGTGGCTGGCCTCTTGTTTGCACAGGGGAATCATCGAGGGTGATTGGGTTTTCGGCCGACCCCACGAGCGGTGTTGTAGGTAAATTCCCAGTGTTGGCTGGCAATGTGTCGTCCCCCGGTTGTTCCCCCGGTATGGGAGGATAGTCTGTTCCCGCCAACGGCCCTGTTTCATGCCCGCCTCTTGCCGGGCTCGGCAAAGGTGAAACACCCCGAGAAGCATCCGGGCTGGACATGACCACACCTCCCTCATCCTCGCTCTCGCTCAGAGGAGACACATCCCCAGGTTGTGAGTGTTCCTCGTCGGATTCGTCTGGTTGATCTAGGCGTGCCCTACCTTCCTCATCATCCTCCGATTCGCCGTCCGATATCACTCGCTCCACCATGTGTGTAGGGCAGTCAAAGTAGCGGGAGCATTCCTGATCGTGAAAGGTCGAGTTCCGCCATTGGCATATTGGCAGCGGTGCGTTAACAGTAGGATGACGGCTTCGGCCATAGGGCGAATCGGAATTTGAATCGCTGCTAATGTTTATAACTGTGTCCCGGGAGGAACCGGGGGCATCACGGGTAGCCATAGCTGGGCAAGGGGTCATCGATTCGTGGTCCGTATATATCGTGCAGCGTTTGAAGGTGGACAACTGGCTATGCGGGGCTGGCTGAGATTATTACTAGTGGTATTTAGAAAGGTAGAAAAGGCACCAGGCCTAAGTGGAATATTTGGAGCGCTTGCGGTGGTGCGAGGCGAGGCGAGGCGAGATGCGAACACAAGGCTGCGGTGGGAGGATCAAGAAGCAACACAGAGAGCCATTCGAGGCATTCGTTTCTGGAATGATTCTCGGATGTCAAGATCTATCGATTGGCCCTCTCGAGAGGCGAAAACTGAAGATATCGTTCCGAGACGGTGACGGTGGTAGTAATGGTTGTTCGGGCAGATAGAGAGGTGGACGGAAGGTGGTGGTCAAGCCGCTCCGTCGTCATTCCGGGACGGGATATCAAGGGACCCGAGACGGACGAGGACGATCTCTGAAGATGGTGCGACGGTTCACTCTGAGGAGCAAAGAAACAAGAGTTGACAAAAGGGTACTTTCATACTTCGGCTACAACACCGAACCGTCGAATCCCACAAGGCAGATCGTCAGTATGCCGGCGGCGGTTTGCAAGTGGGAAGTCGGGGTGCAGTCCCTCAGTGCGTAGGTGTAGAGGCAAGGGAGCAGGCGGCAGTGGAGGTTTCTCCGCCCGCCTCGGTTCCCCCAATTGAACAGGCCTTATCACCAAACCTTATCTTGACCGCCCCACACACACAAAGTTGGAAGGACTCGGGTGCTGTCAGGTGCTGTCAGGTGCTGAAGCCAGCCTATGCAGAGGGTCAGCTAACATCTCCAGCGCCCTTCTTGGAGACCCGTCGGAACTTCAGACACTGCGTGCCTCTTTTCTCATAACGGAAACTTCGACTCTTTACTTTTTCCGTTGTGAATCGAAAAGCTACCCAAAGAGCCGACAAGTCGGTGAGACATTTATGGTGGTATTTATTGTATCCTCGACCCAAGCAAAGCTGTCAATCGTCATGTCTTTCGTCCCCCTTCAGCACTATTCACTACCTCTTAAAACCACGTGCCAAGGAACCAAGTAAACAGATCCCCCTATTCGAGCTTCATAAAAGACATACTATCATCTGTTATCCCCGTTCCTACTATGACTTTTGCGTCCACTATCTCGTATATCGGAACCTCGGCCAGCGTCGAAGCTATGTGATGCAAAGTGGGCAGCTTTTCCCAGTTGTGGCCGTCCATCTTGACAGTAGGACCTGTCCTAACTGACTCTGGCCTCGGTCTCATCACCTTTGTAACCTTCATACTCTTCGGCTTTTCCTCCCCGATGCAAGCTGGTCTGGGTATCAAACATGGATACTCGGTAGCTGTTTTCCCGGGGCTGTCGAGGGCAGGTATGTATCGGTAAAACAGAACAACTTCCTCGTCTTTGTTTTCTTCTTGCCAGGGCACACCCTCATCGTTCCTTTCAGTTTTCTCTTCGTCCTGGAGATCATCAATTGTGATATCAGCAAAGGTTGCACCCCGCCAGCTTACTGTGACCCTGGCAGAGGTGTTGTCTGTCGAAAGCTCAATATCGCAGAGTACTTTGGGAAGAAGGCCGGCCTCTTTTGTACCGAAAACAGCAGGGGACTCAAAGACCACGGACATATATGTCCCGTCAACAGCGGTTCCGTCTTTCTTGAGGTACTGCACACCATGTACGTAAAATCTCAGAGTGGTGTGCTTGCTGTTATGGGCCCGGGTTGCTGCAAAGCTTGCCGTGGCCACGGTGCTGACCTCCTTGAATCGGAACTGCGCAGTCGGGAAAAGGGTCTCAAGAAACGTGCGTGAAGTTTTGAACCGGATAATCATCGACGTGAAATCTGCCGTTGTGGGATTGGTGGGCACCTGTCGACAACAAGCATGGCGGTCTTGTTGACTCGGAGGTCCAGGAGCCGGAAGTGGCCCAAATCCGATGGGCATCCGCCAGCAAGCGTTGGGATTTCTAGACCACAGCCATTTATTGAACATGTTTCTTGAATGATCGATCTCGTCGTGGCCGAAGTTGTAGTTTGTAGCCTTGGTCAAAAGCTCAATTTCAACTTGTGGTTTTCCGTTGATCCAATCCGAGCCCGCAAGCCTCGAATAGTTTTGTATGGTGTGAGCTCGCTCATATCGGATCGCTTCGTACAGCTTCAGTCGCTCGAAAACATCAGCCGGCTTGGTCCCTCTCGGTAGCACTATGGTCAGAGCTGCTGCGTCCTCGATCGCCTGGCCGGCTCCTTGGCCTTGATCTGTGTTTTGTGTGTAAGTAACTGGGCAAAGAATTGGGCATAGTCTGAACTCACGAGGTGTAAAGGGGTGGCCGGCGTCTCCAAGTAGTACCATTTTCCCCTTTGTCAATGTTGGCAGTTTCTCCATATCCAAAAGCTGCCACACTTTTAGCGTTGAAGGGTCAACTTTCGCTATGAGCGCTTTGACGGCAGGATCAAAAGCCTCGAAGACCTTTAGCACTTGTTCGAGAGAGCCTTGTTTGTTCCATTCTATGCTTTATGGTTAGCCTGGTTTGAGCTGACGCATTGTTGTGTTGTTCTGGTCTCACCATCGCTTTTGGTAGGGTGAGATTCTGTATCCGGATGAGTACAGACAAAGTTGAGCAATTGGTTGTTATTGCATGGATACATGACTATTCGCCGGTCGTCTCCATACCATATTCTCATTGTGTTGGGGTGCTCTACTAGAGGCGCGGCGACTGGGTCTGCTTCGGCAATGTTTCTGGGAATGAGAAACCTGAATGCTGCCTTGCCAGAGCTGAACAGTTTGGCGTCCTTGATGTATTTCCTCGTTGTGGACTAAGAGAGGTCAGTCTTTCTCAGAAACAGAGCCATCCACTAGCATCATTCCAGCACTCACATAAATGCCATCAGCACCGATGATCACATCAGCAGCAACTGTCTCGCCGTTCGCCAACCTGATGATCCCTTGAGCTGTGTCAACATCCATAACCTTACTCGAAGTATGCAACTGTGTTGGTATTCCATCCCCTTCCTCCGAAGTGGCCAGTTTCTTCAGCCTTTCATGTAGGTTAACTCGGTGTACCAGGTGCCAAGGGTGCTGCCATCGCTTATTGAACTCTATGAGGTCAACGTCCTTGACGATCTGTCCGTTTGGAAGAAGTTCGATGAGCCGGTTCATTGGATTTGCTCCAAACTCCTCAGCATAGATACCCATCTCCTCAGAATGCCGTTCGAGTTTGGACTCAGGTGTACTGCGGCACCAGCCTCACTGGCGAACGCTGATTGTTCGAACAGCTACAGCTCCGTTAGTACCCAGCCATAAACACGTTGTCAAGCTGAGGAGGAGGGCTACTAACACGAACTTCGTGACCATTACGCCGCAGTCCAATGGCAGCAGACAAGCCGCCAATTCCTGCACCAACAATGACAATCTTCAAGTTTGATGGGCGATCCTCAAGGGTAAGTTTCGTCCCATGCTGATGGTAATGCCTGGTTCTATCACAGGTAGAAGCAAAGTTCCCCATGCCGGCAGGTCGATGAGTGTCTCCAATGATGGAGACAAGGGCAGAGCAGTCTCTGATTGCTGGGTAGTAGAAAAAAAGACCGTTGAAATCAGAAACGGACAGAAAATTGAATCGTCCAAGGTGGCAGGTGTTCCTCTTATGATACAGACACTTCACATCTAGGGAGGCTCAGAGTAGAAAGTATCAAAAGACAAGTTGATTAGGGCGGTAGTTGATCAGTGAGGCAACATATAATGGATAAGAAATGTGTAATGCAGGGGGTAAGCTCAACCATCAGGTCTAGGCGCCTTCTCGAGGTCGACTTGCATGTTTATATGGCACATCAACCTTGTTAGTTGGGGGACTACAGCATGGCAGCAAGGGAAAGATGTTAGCGAGTCCAGTTGACCGGCTCTGAAGGCATGCCATTACTTCCGGTGACCGGGATGCATCCGGGATAGGCCCGGATATTCATTGTGCGGTTTCTGTGCGTTAAGGGAGGACTCGGAAAGGTGGGAGGTCCTCCCGCCCGTAGAAGCAAGAGCAAGGGGGTAATGAGGGAAGCGGGAAAGGTGATTGTCTGAGGTGATTGGAAGTCATGGCTCCTGGATTAGAGATGATGTTCAGTCAATGTACCGAGTTTGTTGAGTCGAGTTCCAAACACCGTGAAAACACTGAAGACATCGGGTATAAACCTGGAAGCTGGTAGCGTACGGAAGGTGGGGGAACCACATGTCTCTCCCGAAGATATCAGGCGATCAGGGTAGGATTATAAGGGCCGGAGTGGGGGTTGTGTCGAGCAGTTATACGGAGTAGCAATGGCGCCTAGGGACTAACAGTAACCGCTCGAATAACAGTTGAGCTCTCGCTTCAAGAGGTTCGGATAGTCACAAGTAAAGCCATAGGTCGTGTACTTTGCTCGGACGGGCATGACATTGGGTTGGAGTTGTTGAAGTTCGCGAGCCAAGTTCTCCCTCAAGTTCGGATTTGTGTCTGGCCCTAGAGGTAGTTCTTTCCGACTATCTTTCAGTGATGCGGGGCAATTTCCAAGCTCAAGCTCGGCAGTGATGACTGCCTGGGAACGTCCAACAAACGATGAGGTCCCCTTCCGTTTGTAGTGGGCCATGTGGGCGTCGAACCTACTTGTAGGTCCCGTCCCAAGGCGCCTACCTTCCCTTTCCAAGAACTCCCCACCAACGCTTGATAACACACGGGTTGTCACCAGTGCCCCCAATGAGCCGAGCCGTTGATGAGCCGAGCCGAGCCCAGATATTTTGGTACGAGCCGAGCCGGGGGGATATTTGGAGTAAGCTGGAGGTCAGGCTCGGCTCGTTATGGCTCGTCAGGCTTGTATGATAAGGTTCTCCAATATTATATGGTGTATGCACCCCAATTTCTTCTGCAGAACGACGTAATTTACTATCTTTGCGCGTGTAAGAAGTGGTTACTTTTCGTTGCTAGTAGCAACAACAGAGGTCTACAATTCTCAAAACAAGCCCAACGAGCCTATAGTAAGCCGAGCCAGAGCCGAGCCGAGCTGGCCTCCATGTGGAGACGAGTCGAGTCGAGCCAGACTCTCGAGCTCGGCTCGGCTTGGCTCATTGGGAGCACTGGTTGTCACTGCCTGATATCGAGGCGAATAACCTCATCTCCATTTGTGAACCGAGACCTCGTCCATTAATTTCCCCTCGTTCCTTCACAAAATGGACTCTCCATTGGTTGCCCTAATCACCGCTGGCAGCGCTGGTCTCGGCGCCGCGACTGCACGTCTCTTTGCCCGGAACGGCATCCGTGTAGTCATCAACTACAACAACGACGACGCCAGGGCCTCAGATCTTGTGAAAGAACTCTACAAAATCTCCCCGCTGAGAACTGGCGCATATGGCCGGTTCAACTACGTTGCCCTCAAGGCTAACTTAGCTGAAAAGAACCAGATCGGCGAGCTCATCGACGATACAGTAAACTGCATGGACAGACTCGACATTGTCTTCTCCAACGGCGGTTGGACCCGTCTCCGGGACATCAACGACCTGGATGACAACGTGAACGAGGAAGACTGGGATATGTGCTTCAACATGAACGTCAAGTCCCATCTCTGGTTGATGCACGCTGCGAAACCGCATCTGGACGAAACGGAAGGTGTCTTTATCACCACTGCTTCTTTGGCAGGTGTCAAAGTCAGCGGGAGTTCGCTTGTGAGCACCCACTGTTCATATCCAAAAGAATTGTTGAAGTAACATGGTGCCCATCTCTACTACAGGCCTACTCCGTCACCAAGGCGGCGCAAATCCACCTGGCCAAAGGATTGGCACAGATTGCGGCACCCAGGATCAGAGTCAATACTGTATCTCCGGGTCTCATGCTCACGGTAAGCTGGCTCCAAACTTGGCCACCGAAAAACCATGCTGATATTCGCAGGACTGGGGTCTTCAGTTTCCACCTGAAAAGCAGAAAGAAGCGAGGGAGAGATCAAAGCTCAAGCGTTTGGCAACGGTAGAGGTACGTTTTCCCCTCTCCTATATAAACAAGAATATCTCTCTGATACGTTTCGTAACCCTTGAAATAGGATGTCGCAGAGCAGGTACTCTGTTTCGTCAAGTCCAAAAGTGTAACAGGAGTGAATGTCATTATCGATGGAGGAATGGTACTCTGATGACGACCGCTCATGGACGACACCAACTGGTTTCATTCAAGAAAAAAAAGAAAGGGAGGAAGGAGAAATGAGGAAAAGGCCCAAGAGAAACCAGAAAGGCGAAGAAAGAAAAAAAATATTGTGACTCGGATACCGGGAGTCGAACCCGGGGCTGTTGAGAGAGCAGTCACTCCTAAGAAGTGAGAGTCAACGATGTTACCGCTACACCATACCCGATCAGGAATGGTTCCGATTGTTGAATATCCGAGCTGAGCAATGACTTATATGTAAGTGACAGAGGTGGAAAGGCGACGACAGGAAAAGGGCTTGATTCTATCATTCTTCAGTGGTAACGGAAGAGGATAAACGGAAACCAGAGCAACCTAGAAATACTGGGAGGCAGTGCGGTTGAATGAGAAGTCCATTGAAGGGAACCCAGGGCACGGACTTCAAACAATAACTTCCAAGTGACTCTTCAAGAAAAACCAAGAAACCGAGGTAGTAATATTTCGTGTTTGCCCGAGTTGGCACAGACCTGATGAAACAGTGCAAAGATTCAGGTGCACAAGCGAGACAAGCGAGCGAAACAAGGTAGACATTTCCTACTCGCCAACCTCCCGATCCGCATGCCAGTGAATGTACGAAATAACCGACCACTGCCAACTAACATGGCGTATCTGCTTGCCCCAGACATAGAGCGGCGCCCCCATCAGGAGGACAGCAGCCGAAAGTGCCGCCATCGTGCCGTAGGCATTCTGGTACCCGGACTTGCTGACCCAGGGATTCGTGTAGAACGAGAGCAAGAACCCGAAAAGCGCCTTGAATCCCATTACTGCGAGCGTAATCTCGCCGGCCACAGGTCGGTAGGCATCGATGAAGTAGACCAGGCAGATGTTGGTGGCTTGTGTGATGGAGAAGTTCACTGCAAGAAAAGTGTTCGTTAGCCTGACAGTCATGGATGGGATTTGTAGGGGGTTTGTGAGCTGGTGTAGTTGTGAACTGGTGTAATAATGAACTTACACAACCCAAGACCAACAGTAGGAACGATCCAATGCAGCTTGTGCTGTATACCCACGCCATAAAGAACAAGTGCAAGGGGAGTGGTAATAAGCGAAGGAAGCATAGCAGGAAGACGCATCTCGGGATCGCGAACGCCGCCGTTGCGCTTGGTAAACCAGTCTGCAACTTTGTCGCCTAGCTGACCTCCGGCAGGAATGCCCAAGAGAGCACCGATGATGCCGCTAATAAAGCACAGGCCGACTTGCCATGATTCAAAGACGTAGGTCTCGTTGAAGGCGACGTCGACGTTGGAAGTCACTGCTACCAGAAATCCAATGGTGACGGCTTGGACGAGGGCGGCCCAAAGCACGGGGGGGAGACAGATCAAGCCCATGGGTCGGAAGATACAGTGCTTATACAAGAAGCCAGTCGCATGAACACTTCAAAAAAGACGACGGAGTACCACATAAGGTAGGGTGTTAGGAGACGCAGCGTTGCTGGATGTGGTATCCGTGTGCAACATTATTGCCGTAGTATCTGGATTGGATTAAGCTGAGGGATCTTTGAACGGACCGTACCGAGTGGTTAAACGGAGTGATAGGGTAACCATCCGGACACATGTGCTGTCGACCAGTCGATGTTGCTTCTCTTTTGCTGAGTGCACAAAGCTCGACACCGATACAAACGGCGATGTCCAAACGAGCTTGAACTGTACACTAGAGGCAGTAAGCTGTTAGTAGGGCTTAGCGGGGATCGACACGGCTGGTCAGAATTACCAGAAGCTGTTACTTCAGATGTCGCATTTACCGCCAATTTCAGAATCGCCTGACTCGGGGATAACTGAGCTACCTCGGAGTTTTGGCGGGACTCGTTGGATACGAGTCTGATGTGATCAAATTCTGGGATTAACATGACTAGGGGTAAGCCAGCGGGAATGTAGTATATAAACGACGGAATTCCCACGTAAGAAGGCTGAATCAACTGCGTATCACGCATTGTTTGGAGTAAGCATCCGTCCGTCAGTGGTCTTGGGTTGAGGCAATGGAAATCTTAAGGCATTACACCTTAGCCAGAGACTTGACAACTCCCATATTGACTCCGGGTCTGTATCGACAGTGAAAGGTGGAGGTGGAGGGAGGAAGTCACGGGCCGGGTCATGGTGGGAGGTTACAGTCGGTGGGTGATCCCCTCGTGAGAATGGGACGGAAGATCGGAGGGTGAAGGGTGAGTGAAGAGGAGTGCGTGGAATGCTAAGAAGTATGGCGGTGCACACTTAATTAGTATTCGAATATTGTGGCTAAAGTTACGGATGTGGCTGGAGCTTTAGGAAGCTGCAGTTGTTATGCGGTCCTGCTATTGGCCAGGAGCGGTGAATTGGGGTTTATACAATCTCCACTCGTTATGGATCACACTAGTGTTTACATCACTCGTTGTGCACCGCAACAAACCATCGGCAATCTTCACGACACGCCTCACTAACAGCAAAGACATTCATTCAGGTTGAGAATCAACACCTATCACCTCTGGCGCAATCTTGATCACGTCGAATCTAGCGTCGCCTGATCAGCCACATTTTATTGGTTCTTTTATTCATTTTCAACTTACTCGCCGCTGCACTCGCAACTCGCTCTACCTCGCGCTTTCTTGGATCAAAAATCCATCAAAATCAACAACGTCGCTCCGTAATTCACCACGCGCATACACCGCTGCGAGGAATTATAGCAAAATATAATTACCATTCAAGATGCCTTTTCTTTCCGACGCCGAGCTCGAGGACGACGGTCTTGTTCGCATTGAGAGTGACCTCTTCGAGTAAGTATATTTTCCATGAACTAGACCTCTATACAGTCGCACATTCCCAGTTTATGATAGCTCCTTCTTATGGAAGCTCATGAGCCCCGCCGACCTTTCCGTCATCTTGTTGTATTGCGATCCACCTCTTTACAGAACTTAACCGGCTAATCAAACCGCCAGTAAGTACAATGAGCCTCGTCAGGTCTCCGAAGATATCGCACCTAGTGTACCCGCCGGCGTCACCGTTGTCAGTATGGATGATAAATTGGAGCTGAACGCCCCTGTTGCCGACATGGAGGGTGAAACCCCCGCGCAGTCTGCTTCGAAAACCCCCAAGTCAGCAAAGAGCACGAGCTCCCGCACGCCCAAGAGTGCTCTGAAGAGCGCTGAGAAGAGCAGCGGGCGCAAGCGCAAGGCCGTGGAGATCGAGGAGCCCAACTCTGAAAGTGAGGAGGATGTTGAGGATGTCACTCCTGCAAAGCGTGGTCGCAAACCCGCCGCCGCTCCTAGCGCCCGTCTTGCTGCCAAGGCTGCCAAAAAGAAGGGACCCGGTCATCCTGCATCCACCAATGGCACAGCTGTAAGTTCACATTATTAAACCCTAGTGACATGTTAATTCTAACCATTCGAACAGAGCAAAGCGAAGCCCAAGGGCAAGGGTGGTCGCCCCAAGAAGGATGCCGCTTCTGATGTCGTTCCTAAGGGAGAATACGAGGTCGAGACCATCGTCGACTCGATGATCGATGCCGAGACGATGGAGCACTTGTACTTTGTGAAGTGGAAGGGTTACCCGTCCAGCGACAACACCTGGGAGCCTAAGCAGAATCTCCAAGGTGCTACTGAGCTATTGCGCAAGTTCAATGCCGACAAGAAGGCCAAGAAGTCCGAGGAGGCTTCCGAGAAGAAGGCCAAGAAGGCAAAGACCTCTCATAAGGCCGAGAAGGCGGACGAGACTGACAAGGCAGAGAAGAAGGCGGAGAAGGCCGCAAAGGCCCCCAAGGCCAAGCCCGCTGAGAAGCAACAGGCGAAGCCCAGAGGAAGACCCGGTAGACCCCCAAAGGCTGGCAAGGACGCTAAGAGCGCGAAGGAAACCAAGGCTCCTGCCAAAGCCGCCAAGAAGACGAAAGAGGTGAAGGCACCTAAGGCAGGCACGCGCGTTTCGAGCAGGACGAAGTCGGCCTAGGGATCTGCAACGCAATTCAAGGGCTAATCGGGGCTGCTTTGGTTTTCATTTTCTACGCACCAAGCGCAATCACTTGGTTAAACACTCCACTGCTTTGAGTACCATTGGGCACCGCGGGCATTCGACGCTTCACTCGGAGGGCGCGCAAAGGAGCAGCCAGTGGGCACGCAAAGGAACTTGGAATGGGCCGCCGGCTGGTTGCCACTTTCACTCTATCTGTATAGGTATCCGGGCATTCGTAGGCTGCTTTATTTCATTTCAGCATTTGTGATGGCGAACTACGGGGATGATGTTGTTAGCGACGCCTTGATACCCGCCAAGGCATGCCCGGAGGAGGAGATCAGTCTGCTTTGGTACACGAACAAAATAGCGGATTTGGAGAAAGGCTAATGGAATTTACTCATCTTTACTTTAAAAGGGAATCTTAGTCGGAAACTTGACTATGATTGAGTGATGGTGCTGTGGCTCTGCAGTCAGGTCGTCAGGGTAGGTGAGACAACTAACAAAAGTTCGTTAAGGTACCATTAGATACACTGCAGCCACTGCAGTACGTTTTCGTCGCGTGAGTTGCCCGCCGGCGAACCAACCGTGCCGGAGCGGCACGGGCCATTAGGACCTCCGATTGTTAAATGGTCACACTTTGACAACTTCGAGTGCCTTGTGAGAGCCAAAACTGCGGCCACATCAATTCATCCTCCTGTCAATCGGTATCGAACGATAGGCCCCGCCCCCACGCACCCTCACAAATCGCCGACAAAATGGACGCGCTTCGGTCGGCTTTGCAGCCTGTCACCCACAACCTTCCGGGTCCGATCCGGGATATCGGCCTCTCCCTCATCGGAGACTCGTGTTACAAGAAGCTGATCCTCGATATCGACCTCGAGAACAACCCCGAATGCGTTAAGCTCGGCATCAGCAAGGCCCTCGGCATTGGCATCGTCGCTGCCTCCTCCATAGTCAAGGTGCCCCAGATCCTCAAGCTCGTCAACTCCAAGTCGGCCAGCGGCGTCTCTTTCCTGTCGTACCTCCTCGAGACTAGCAGCTTGCTTACGTCGCTCGCCTACAATGTCCGCAACGGATTCCCCTTCAGCACCTTTGGCGAGACGGCCTTGATCCTCGGTCAGAACGTCATCATCACGGTGCTCGTGCTCAAGTACAGCGGCAGGGCTGGCATCGCGGCCTTGTTCGTCGCGGCGCTGGCTGTCAGCGTTGCTACTCTCTTCAGCGAGCAGCTTCTCAACATGCAGCAGTTGAGCTACCTCCAGGCCGGCGCTGGCGTTCTGGGTGTCGCCAGCAAGGTTCCCCAGATCGTGGCTATTCTGCAGGAGGGTGGAACTGGACAGCTGAGTGCATTTGCTGTAAGGACATTCCTTGCCCCCAAGTCCGAATACATCCTCTTCTTGTGCTTATCATGATACTGACGCTGTGTTTCTTCTACCTTTCAGGTCTTCAACTACCTCGCCGGATCCCTCTCGCGCATCTTTACCACTCTCCAGGAGGTCGACGACAAGCTCATTCTCTACGGATTCATTGCCGGTTTCGCGCTGAACCTGGTCCTCGCTCTGCAGATGGTATACTACTGGAACGCGCCCTCAGCCAAGGCACGGGGCAAGCAGAAGGTGCCTGCTGGCCCGATTCCTGCTGCGGCGTCGTCGGCTACCGCTACTGGCGCTTCCACCTCCTCCGAGCCGAGAGCAAAGAGCAAAGGTCCCACGACCCGTCGCCGCGGTTAGACAGACCAGCGTGTATTTCTCTTTCTGGCTGGGCTAGTTTGAGGATGATATTGTGCGGGGTATTTCTAGTTGCTTTTTCTGGTATATGAACATTTTGAAAGACATGAGCTTCCGATGAATCTTTGGTGTGAGCTGACTTTCCGTCCTGCGTACATATGCTCCAAAAGAGTTATCCAGGAGCCTTTTGAAGATATCTAATACTGCGTTCACGGAAACTGGAGGGCGTTTGAATGATTTGGCGTCTTCAGATCAAACCACTGTCCTGGTCCGATAACTTGCATTGGTTCACCAAGAGACCGATCGAGACTTGATCTTGGTCCTAGGTCTAGGCTTCAGAAGTGACACATGACCACGAATTTAGAAAATGTTGAGATGGCAATGGCGGTGACTGTTCAGACGTCAAAACAAACGAACCAACCAAGCTGCTCAGAGGCTCTCAACTACATATCCTGCTGTCCAGATTCGGCCTTCCGAGCTGTCATGTGTCAACAGAAAGACTATTCATCCCACCAGTAAAAAGGGCCAATCGCTCTAGCCCAACCAATCTTTGGACCCTGCAGAAACGCTGCTAAAAAAAAAAAAAAAAAAAAAAAAAAAAAAAAAAGTTCCTCGTTCACCACGAAATGAGAAGACAATGAAAAGACAATGATAAGTGGCTTGCGTTTTGAAATCCTTCTTCGGAAATAATAAGGTACGTAATGGCCTTCTTGGCCTTTACCATTGTTACACACATAACCCCAACCCTTATTAATGTCTTCAGCTGATATGGATGTTAATTCCGATGACGGACTCAAGTTGTCAAGTGAATTGTCTGCCGCTCTGACAGTATTTCGCAATCCTCATCTTTTATGGGCAAATCCTCACGGAGCTATCCCTCCCGGAATGTTCCCGGGATCTTCCCGTTGAGTTTATCTTCGAGCAAGTGTTCTGGAATCTGGACAGTCTCCATCACGCCTTTTATGCGCCACTAGTCGTGGACTCCTTTCACTTCCCTGATCGACGGCTCCTCGGATTCACACAGATCACTCCGGCAGTCCATCGGCATCGTCTTCACGCGACCAGGGAAGACGTTAGTTGCGCTTCATGCGCTCAGGTCTGCGGCGGTCTCGGTCGCGCTATCCTGCGCCCAAATTTTGCACACGCCCCGCTAGTGTCTGCAGCGTTGGCGCCTCTCTTTCCCTCCGTACCCGCCTCAAGCGCTTCCCGCTGGGTTGTCCTGTTTGTTCCGGGGTGTTGATGCCGATGTCCAAGTGGAACATGTCGATGCCCGTTCGCGCGATGGAAACCCCCGGTGAGGATCAGGGTCTAGTCCGTATCTGGTGCATCCCTACGCGGAGGGCCGGTTATCGGTTGATGGGATAAGAGAGGGGAAAAAGCTGCGATGATAAATGGTGTGCATTGCCCCTCGTGCAGTGCCAGAAGTGCCTTTCATCCCGTCTCTCGATTGCGCCATTGCTCGATAAAGGCTGTGTATGCGGTTGAGCGATTGCGTGCTCAGGTCTGCCCCGATTTTCTTAACGTTCTGACGTGGTCACCACCAAATCACATCGGCCATATCATCTGGTCTCAGACGTCGATATTATCCACCATCACCTCCTTCGTCGGACCCGTTGATCACACCTCCAACCGCTGCCCCGGATTCTGACCCCAGGTCGGCTTCCTCCAGCTTCCCTTATAAGTGGGGTGTTCGGCTTCTCTAAGTTTTGTTCAAGCCTCACTGACCGGCCTCAGTTGTCTTGCTCACCTTACTGAGGACTATATCCTACATCTCGTCTCATCACGTATAAGTCAAAACCCCCGTCCTTGACGACAGACGACCATGCCGGCAGCTCTCAACTCCCAACCGGCCTCTCCGGAGCGTGCGCCTGTGAACGGTGTCAGTAATGGCATTGGCTATACCAACGGCAATGGTCATACCAACGGCAATGGTCATACCAACGGCAATGGTCATACCAACGGCAACGGGATTGCTCCAGGGCAGGACAAGGAGAAGCAGCTGAACATCCTATACATCATGGCAGATCAGCTTGCCGCCCCTGTGATGAAGATTTACAATCCGGAATCCATAGTCCAGACGCCCAACATTGACGCCTTGGCCGCAAAATCTGTTCAGTTTGACTCGGCATACTGCCCGTCGCCACTCTGCGGTCCTTCACGGATGAGCATGATCACGGGTCAGCTCCCCATGAAGATCGGAGCGTATGACAACGCGGCCCAGATCTTGAGCGACACCCCTACTTACGCCCATTACCTCCGTCGTGATGGCTACCAGACAGTCTTGGCTGGAAAGATGCATTTCGTGATGGACCAGAAGCACGGGTACGAGAAGCGTCTCACCACTGATATCTACCCCGGCGACTTTGGCTGGGCAGCCAACTGGGACGCGGACATCGAGGAGCCCGACCAAAGGCTAGAGTGGTACCACAATGCGAGCTCGATCGAACAGGCTGGTGTCTGTGTTCGCAGCAACCAGCTTGATTACGACGAGGAGGTCATGTATAAGTCAACGCAGTTTCTCCATAACTACGCTCGCAAAGGAGACTCGAGGCGCCCGTTCTGTTTGACGGTACGTACTGGATCTTTCTTGTCATCTTCTCAGCCTCATGGGGCTGCAGATGTATCTTTTAGCATGGGGAAGACATCCATCCGGACCCGAAAAGGGTCATGGTGTGCCCATAATTGGCTAGCCGCCGGCTGGAAAGGAAGGTTGAATATGCTAACAGAATCATGCCATAGGTCTCCCTTACTCACCCCCACGATCCCTACACCATCGAAGAGGAGTATTGGGATAAATACGAGAAAGTGGGGATTGATCTCCCCAAGGTTCCCAGGATTCCGAACGAGGAGCAGGATCCCCACAGCAAGAGACTGCTCAAGGTCTGCGACTTGTGGGACAAGAACTTCACTGATGATCAGATCAAGCGTGCGCGCAGGGCCTACTATGGCGCTGTTAGCTATGTTGATGACTGTGTTGGGAAGCTACTCAAGGTCTTGGAGAAGTGCAGACTTGCCGAAGACACTATCATTGTCTTCAGTGGTGACCACGGAGATATGCTTGGTGAGCGTGGACTCTGGTAAGTTTTGCTACTCGATCTTTGAGTCTTTCCTTCCCCCAAATATGTCGCTAACCCACTCTTTCACCGATTCCAGGTACAAGATGAGCTACTTCGAGTCATCTGTTCGCGTCCCTCTTCTGATTTCTTATCCCAAGAAGTACACGCCTCATCGTGTGACTAACAACGTGTCCACCCTGGACATCCTGCCGACCATGGTCGACCTGATCGGCAAGAAGTTGGTTCCTGGTCTGCCGATGGACGGTCGCTCGCTTCTTCCATTCCTGGAGGGACGCGACTCGGAAGGCCACGATACCGCCATCGCCGAGTACACGGGCGAGGGCACCGTTAGCCCCATCATGATGATCAAGCGTGGCAACTGGAAGTTCACCATCTGCCCCGCGGATGGCGTTCAGTTGTTTGACCTAGAACGGGATCCGCTTGAACTCGAGGACCTCGCCAAGGTTCTTGCGGACCCAGAGTCAGAGATGCTCGATCCCGAGTACAGAGAGACAGCGGAAATCATTTTGAGAGGATTCGCGGCCGAGGCGAAGCAGCGATGGGACTTTGAAAGTATCACCGAGCAAGTCCTTCTCTCGCAAAGGAAACGGAAATTTGTGTGGAGCGCCTTTACGGCGAAGGACTCAGAGCGTGAGAAATGGGACTTCAATCCCATTGATGATGGTCGGGAGAAGTCAGTAAACCCCTTGTCACCCACCCCTCGTCTTGCAAGTGAAGATATGCTAACACATGTAGTTTTTAGATACATCCGCTCACACATGCCACTCGACGATCTTGAGCGTATGGCTCGCTTCCCGCCTGTTGACGCCAATGGCAATGAGCTACCCAAGGGGGCGCCCATCAAGGTTGATCAAGCAGGCTCCCACGGGGAGTAATAAGCTTGATGATCTCGGAGGATAAAACGGCGTTTAAGACAATGGAGAAGATGCAGTTTGTTTGTTTCTTCTTTTTCCCGCATTTGTCATCGCGGGAACTCGGACAAGGAAGATGAAGTGGTTGATGCGAATGCTACCTACCTACTTTCTGCCAGATGCCCTGCGCTCAAAGAGGGGTAGCGTTTGGCAAATGATTCGCGAGTATCTACGGTATGCGGACCTCCGAGGTTGGATGGGGGAGAGCGTTCTTTTGGGATGATAATTCACTGGTTGACAGTGACAAGATAGATACCCTGGTTTTTCAAAAAAAGTCATGGGTCAGGATGGGCATCAGCAACGGGCATCAGCGACGGGCATCAGCGACGGCGAGCAAGCATGGGCGCAAAGCGTCCTCGTTCTTTTCATTTTCGGTATCAATAAGCAGGGATAGCAACGCTAGCATTCAATGTGTATCAATTTCATGTACACATGACATGACCAGTGAATCGTGATGGTCTGTAGATTTCATTCTCGTGATGCATAAAGAGGAAGAGCGGGTTTAAGAGAGGAAGGAACGAGGTACGTCGTACCTCTGCTGGCTGCGGCTCTGCTCTGGGCTGGAGTGGAAGGCACGCAAGCTTGGGAGCTTCCTCGGTTTCTTCGTCTGGTCTTTTGCTCTTGCCGGTTCAGTCAGCTGAAGTCTTCCCTTCAGTTCCCTCAGCTGCTTTCACTTCATTGATCAGTTGCAAACCCAAACCACCAGTTCGAGTGAGGAGTTCAAACAGAATGGAAACGATATCAAGCATCTGCTATGGGATTCTAGACCCTGCCGCTCTGCCAAGGTCAGGGGTCGCTTCACTGAGTTCGTGCGGCCTTGTTAGCGATCGTGCAGTGGGGCTACAGTGGGGCTACACCAAAAGGTCCAACGTCACTGCATGTCCCCTCTTCGCGGTTGTTGATGGAACTTTTTGACCTTTCACGCGTCGATCTGTTTACTTTGAATCCCCTTACCTCTACAGCCCGACCTCCCAACACCAAGCACGATTATAAGTACGAGATAAGAGTCACCAAGATATTCAATCGCCTTGAGAATCGAAGCGCGACACAATCTCCTCGCAGTATCCCACAAACAATTCGTCAACATGGCCGACGGCAAAGATTCCCTCCGCCTAGCTCCCGATGAGTTCAAGCAGCTCGAGGTTCTCCGAAACCGATTCCATCAGCTCACTCACAGTTTGAACAGCCTTTTTAATGATATCCAGAGAAGCCAGCCTCTCCCCAGCCAGTAAGTCATCGCTCGGTTCCGCCCATCTTCCTTCCTCGAAGCCGAACGCGTGCTCATGCGCATTTGTTCTCCCACAGAGAGTCCCTCACAGCCTCAGCAGCCATCCTCCAAAAGAGTCTCGAAACCATCCAAAAGCTCGCCGACGAGAATTCCGAGTTATTTCAACGCATCGTCGTCCACCCATCGACAAACTTCCCTGGCCGCACCCAGGAACACATCCTTCTGCAACTACTGAGAAAGAAACTCGAGCCGGAAGTCGAGAGCTGGGTCGAAGATGCGCGTAGCGTAGCAAGGGCCTCCGGCTTGGACCCGAGCAAACTGGCCAGCTCCCAACAGAGGACCAACGGCTACGACGATGACGACGACGACTACCGAGACGAAGAGGAGGACGCGCCCTCGGATCCGTTCAACGAACAGTGGGCCGACATGTTCCAGGTCAGCATGGACAGTATCAGAGACTACCTCATGAACCAAGCGAACGAGCCCTACACGGTCGCCGAGCGCGAAATGGGCATTGAGAATGTACGCACCGGTCTGAAGCGATCACTGGAGGAGGAGGAGAGCGAAGAAGAAGACGAAGACGAAGATGAGGATGAAGACAGACCGCTTGCTGCCGCTGGGCTCGGCAACGTCAATGCGGCGAATCTGTTCCATCCAGAGCATGTCCTCTGGCTTGCTTCGAGGGGCAATATGAAGTTGCCGAAGAATGTTGACCTGGAGGCTATACGCAAGAGAGAGAAGCCTAGGGGACGCCCGGCCCCCGCACAATGAGCGAAAAGAACAATATCGTGCCAGTTCCTTGTAGGATCCAGGACACACCAACGGCAATTTGTGCGATCCGCTGCCTTCCATGGGCTGGGAGCAACAAAGTCATTGCGTAGATCACGTTCAAGTGACATTTCTTTGGCAGGAGACTCAGGTGCTGGGAAAAGCGGTTTACGGGGTCTTCGGGCCTGGCCGATGAGCTGGTTTTGAGACTGGTTTTGCTTCTGTCGTGGTTATCATGCCACAGTCCAGAAGGCAATTGTTTCCCAATTGGTTGGTAGCATCCAAGCCCCGGAAGACACTTCCAGTATGGTGATGGCGGGGTCATGGTGTTGTTGGTTGGCAGCAACCGCTGACTCCCCCGCACCCACTGCAACAGCTCTCGGCCGCTCGTGCAGCCTGACTGTGTCCTCTGTGACCCGATCATCTCTTCAGCCGCTTGATGAAACCCGCCTATCACATGTCGGGTTACAGTCTCATTGACGTTTGTGTCTCTGGGGGACTGCATCAATACGCGGGAAGGTCCTAACTAAGCTTACGGGAACCATTTGACACACGTCGATCAATGACAGACGACACCTCGAGCAAGCTTTGAAAAGAGGGTTGAAAACTCAACCCAACCTACCGGCTCCAGTTTCCTGGCTGCTACGCTGGAGAAACATTCAGAAGAGCCAGCCTGGGAGGTTAGGTGTAACTATCGGCCTAGCTTACTTTAGGAAAAGCATTGCGATGTCTACGGAGCAAAGGATTCACATTGACTTGGCGTCCAATAGTGGTTGTGCTCGGCCTTTTGATCACACAATAGTGTATGCTTGCTAACTGGAACCCACCTCCACAAAGGCCAGTACCAACAGCATCCAAGATGGTGATGGCATCCGTCATTGCTCTTGGCTTGACAACATAGTGTACTGTGTTAGCCCAACATGCATGCCACCACGCCGATTTGGGATTTGAGTTCAGCTCTTGGTGTGTTTCGGGCAGGCTCGCATGCTGTTTGCGGGCTATCCCGAGCTACCAAAGCCAATGGAAAGCGTGATCAAAGCATGTAAGCCAGGTTAAAGGGGCAGTCATGATGACGATGTTTGCCAAACTTAACCTAACCGCCGGCCCGCCGCAGGTTTAGTTGAAGATTTCTTACGCTTTTCTTCAGACGATAGTGATGGTTGTTATAAGTGGTGGCTAACTGGACGTTTGAACTTTACCTTTCCTCGCTCGACCTCCGGATCACTTCCTACCTAGTCTTTGGAACAGAAACCTGTCTACAGTTGAGCTTTTTCCCCATAATCGAGACTGGACAATTTATTGCTTAGTTATTCATAACTACACCGCTGTCAAATACCACACCGCCGAGCTGTGAACTTGGTTATACTGGAATGGCACCATCGCCAACGCCGAGATTCTTTCAAAAGAGTGAATCAATGACATTTCCCAAACAGCTCGATTCTGTGGGGCACAAAGATAGCCAAGTCGTCGACCATGGGAAGGAGGAAGATAGGCGAAGGATCGGCTTCATGGACCTGGCCGTCGAAATCGGCTTACGAATTTACGACTACGTCTACGACTCACACAGCGTTCGGCACTCCAAGCCGCCACTATGGTATCTGACCCAAGGCAGCGGCCGTCATGTCCTTAAGCCCGTTACGTCGCAGGCTACCATCAAGCCCAGTCCACTGCCCTACGAGGAAACTCCAGACGGCAACGACACCATCAGCCATGCTCCCACCCGCGAACTCCTATCCGCCCACCGTCCGATGAACTACATCCCAACCGCCCTCCTCTTAGCCTGTCGCCAGATCTATTACGAAGCCCGCACCATCCCCTTCTACGAAAATGAATTCGTCTTCCCATCGTGGCACGACGTCGACAGCGTACAAGCGGCGCGGAACTTTCTTAACGATCGGCTCTGTGCAGACTGGCAGCGCCAGAGCATGCGATACGTGAGAATCGAGCTGGATCTCTCGGAAGACAAAAGCGACAAGAACAACAACGACAGTAGCAGCAAGAAGGCAGAAGCGTGGGAGGAGCTATGTTCCGCCGCCAACTGGGGAGCGGGGCTTCGCGGGATGAGGTTATGCATCGACTGCAAAGAGAAGGATCTGATAAAGGGTTCTTTCGCGGCGATGCTTGACAGGGCTGAAAGGCCCGGCCTAGGCGGAGATGGAGATCAATCTGGACCAGAAGAGGAGGAGCTATCATCCTTCGCTTGGATCTTCCGTGGTCTGGTTCAGTTGAGCAGCCTAAGGAAACTGGATGTGGAAATCAAAAGGGGACGGAGATATATGACAGATGACGAGAAGGTCGGGTGGTGTCGGTTGCTGGAGGAGCTACTCAACATGAACTGTGAGAGGGACGAAGAAGAAGAAGAGGAGGAACGGGAACGGGAACGGGATCAAAAGGTTTCGGTCATGTGCGCGCAGACGTCGTATGATCCGTACAATTTGGAGCAGGTGTTTGGTAAGATCTCTTATCCTATGATGATGTGGCCGTTATATGCTGGCTTTTGAGAGTTGAAGCTTCAGCCAGATGTTGGAGTTGTGTTGGTGGTGGCAGTGCGTTTTCGGTTAGATGAACCGTGATGGGTTGAAGTTGCGAGAAAGGAAGTGGAAGAACAGAGATCATGTGTAGGCGGGAGGTTACCAAGATTGTCCTGCTAACAGAAATTGGTTCTGTGTACGGCTAGTCCCTGTTAAGGACGCTAACATTAGGTAATATCTCATTTCCCTTGCTCAGGGAGATTAACACGAACATCGCTGACCGGTTACCCCTGGTGCCACTGATCAACAATTTGACAACTCGCAAGAGAGACTGATCAACGATTTGGCAACTCGAAAGAGAGACCGAACAACCACAACTGCTCGCGACATCTGTAACAGCGAGTTCGACGCCGGGAACACTCAACTTACCTGTTCTTATTCACAACGGAAGCTTCCGGTGGACGCTTGTGAGGCCTAGAACGAAGCAGATCTCGGCAGAGGTTTTAGTGCCCGAAGCCCTGCCTCGAACCGAGAGTTCCCAAAGCAGCTCAGGGACCGACCCGACATTTCGAACCATTGAGAAACCATACCTTCTCATTGCTCTGACCAAAGTTCTGGGGTAATAAGCTTTCGCCCACGGGAGCCAAGTGAACACCAAAAGCTTGTTCCTCTCCGGCCCTGACGGCCTGGACAACGCCCGATTACGAGGGGGCCTCTGGGGGCAAGACCTGGAGGTGGTGCTGCCCCGCACAGACCCACCATCAGCCTTGGCGCTTTACCGATCGGCAACCCCTGAAAGATAATTTGGGACCGACCTTTCCCCAGCCAGGCTTTGCAATTCCCGAGATCTTCTAGAGCTTCCTTTCCAGGTTCCTTTTACACTTTCTTTCCCTGTTCTCCTATCATTCTCGTGCTCGCGTTCAACTATTGCTTCGATAGTCCCGAATGGCTGATTGGTTCTCCTTTTTAAGGAAAGGCCCGGATGGGAAGTGGGACGTTATGACACCATTATTGAATCTTGGATATCGAACTCAAGTGTCCCTGGTGACAGCTTCCAGCAGCTAACAGGCACAGGCATAGTCTGGAGGTTACATACCTTACTCGCCTCATCAAGAAAAGGAGATTGCTAGGCGCGAGATGTTCAAATTGGACCGATGGCTCACATACGCCACGCTGGTGTAGAGGTATGATCAGTTTCTTTTCTCAGCTTAGAGCTGTCACGGAGGGAGGGTGCAGCCCCTGGCAGCCTATCAAAAGAGCAAATCGATAAATCGCCCGTTCAAGCTGAACCCGGTGAAGGATAGGGGACGCCTTGACGCCCTGGGGCTGACGGGATAGGAAACACTGTTCGCATGCAACCGTTTCATAAGGGGTCGAAGAGGAGAGAGGAGGATCATCCAGGAAAAGCAAGGCCTATTCCATTCAGGGGATATCCTGCCTCAGGTTGTTGAGGGGGACTGGGATGGTGGGCTTGAAATAGGGACGTTCTACTGTTCCTGGACGATCGGTGGGGCGTCTCATAGACTCCTTGACCTTGAGACCGTTTTCTCTGGCTCTTATTCCCTTTTTTTCGAAGTCTGTCTGGTCTTTCACTCACTCATCTTCCTTTTGACTCTCCTCTCAGTGCTTTTGCGGGTTGTGTATCGGCTTTGCATGTTGTTTTGTTGTTGCTTTTAAGTCTCTCTCTGTTGTCGTGGACGAGGCGGGATCACCGCTCAAGTATCAGACTGCCAGTATTCTTTGGCGGTGGATATAATAATTGGTAGGTGCCATGTTTCATATTTCGAGCATGAATATCCTAAACATCATGAAACCATATGGTTACGATCAAGTTGACTGGTGGCGGTTCCCTCGCTTTCTTGTGTTTGATATACAGCTCATCCAATCTAGCGTCATCACGCAGCTATGTCGATGCTTCTCCTGTCCGGTGGTCTATTCTCGACGTACCTCTACACTTTGTTGCCATCTTCAAACAAAAAGAAAACGAACCCACCGCTAACTCCGAATACTGCAGACACACTTGCCTCTGACTTTCGTTATCAGAAACTCACCAATGCCCCTTCCTGCTGTGTCGACAAGAGAGATCTGAGTTGACGTAAGGCGGTATAACGAACTTACCGTCACTACGAACATAAGACTATTGATAATACCACGATGCTCCGCCATCAAATAAACCCATTATCATGGGCCGACACTTTCCTCCGGGCTCTCATCCCGAGCTTCATAGCCGACGCCATCTTCTCCGATCATAGGAAACCGACCCGACTGCACCCAACCTCGTATCTCGACGGCCTGCGTGGCATAGCCTCCGTAATCGTCTTCTTCTGCCACTACACCGAGGACAACTACAACTCTCTAACACGCTCCTACAACATCGCCGACAATGACCACCCAGAAACGGCCACGACAGGATGGATCCAGCTCCCGTTTCTACGCATCATCTTCTCCGGGCGGCCCATGGTGCACATCTTCTTCGTCATCTCCGGCTTCGTGCTCTCGTACAAACCCATCAAGGCCATCCACGCCCGCGACCTCGACAAATGCTACACTGCTCTCAGCTCGTCCACCTTCCGCCGAGCCTTTCGGCTCTTCGGCCCCTGCGTGGCCTCGACCTTCATGATCATGTGTCTGCAGCAGATGGACCTCTACCCGTTCCGGAACCCGCGCGCCACGTGGACCGAGCAGTTGATGACCTGGAAGCGCGTCGTCTTCACGCAGATCACCTGGCCGTGGGCCTGGGACAAGGACATGATGCCCGGCTACGACATCCACCTGTGGACGATCCCCATTGAGTTTGCGCACTCAATGCTGCTGTTCATGGTGATCCTCATGCTGGCGCGCACCAAGCTGCGCATCAGGCAGATGGCGGTTTTGGGCTTGATGGGGTACTGCCTCAGCTGCGGCAAGTGGGCCGGGTTTGAGTTCCTGGCTGGCTTGTTCCTCGCGGAGGTGCATGTGCTCAAGAGCGCGAGGGAGCAGCAATCCAAGGAGTGGGAGTCGGTGGCGCAGGAGGAGGATGATGATGATTTGAACAAGTACGGCCATCGGGAGGTCAGGCAGGGCGGCGGGCTTGTTAGTCTGTCGACGCTGAAGACCGTGTTTTGCATCTCGCTTGTCATTCTGGGACTGTTTGTCGGCGGCTGGCCAAACCACTATGCGGACAAGACGCCAGGGATCCGGTGGTTCTTTGCAAAGACGCCTATGCCGTTTGCAAAGATGGACCATCTCGCCCCGCAAAAGTTCTGGTTCGGTCTTTGCGCGGTAGGAACTGTCTGGGCTGTCGGAGAGCTTCCGCTCCTCAAACGGTTCTTCGAAGGTTCGCTTGCGCAGTACTGTGGACGCATCAGCTATGCGATCTACATCTGCCATGGACCGGTTCTAGGACTCTTCCAAACCTATGTCTTTGGCAGCCCGTTTGTGCCTGCTCAGGGCGAACCTGGCCAGGATGGTTACAAGGTGGCTGTTGAGGCGCACGGGATCAAGGGGATGATGGGCATGGAGAATACGACGCAGAAAACGATGGGCTGGTTTTTGGGATTGTGTGTGCTTGGGCCCGTTGTTGTGTGGGCGGCTGATGTCTTCATGAGAGCGATTGACGAGCCTATCGTTCGGATAGCAAGGAAGATGGAAAACGTTTGTTTGGACAGGGAAGCTCAGCCGGATCAGCGACCGGGCGGGAGACGACTGGAGCCGGGATATTCGCAGGCTGCATGAAGTGCTGGATGTTTTGTATAGCCATGTTTTGAGTGTGTTCTCTGTCGGTCAGGGCGGTCTTTTGGAAAGCGTCGTGATGATGTAGATGGCGTTCCGGTGACATTCGGAAATTAGGGGTTCAGACAGGATCTGATATCTACCCTTAGAGCATTGATATGGGAATATTTGTCACTAATACCAACATGATTACTTTCACCTATATATTGCTCTTTGGAAACGATCATCCCTTGCCCGTCTGTTGCGGTATGGTTCAACTCGACTGTCAAAAGTTCAACAGGGGCCGCAATGCATGTTGGATATGATGAGTCACTGACCATGAGTGGTCTACAAGTATGACTCTTTCAATGATTGGCGAACTGCGTAAGAAGTGGCTTCAGAGTACAAGGCAATGTGAACAATGATTCTCTGTCCAACGTCCAAATATTCACGGAAGAGTTGTAGAGGTGATTGGCTCCCCGTATTACCTATCTGACTATCTCAACCCCGCCAAGGCTTACGGGTACAACACCATTTCTATTTCCTTGTTCTTCTCGAAGGTTACTTCATTTTACGAACTTCATCTTGGACTCTACTATTAATGAGACATTGGTTACCAGTGAAGTCATCCTAACCTTACGCCAATCCTTGCGACAAATTCGAGACTGAGGTTAACCGAAAGCCATCGACCATGGATGCAAGCTGTCAGTGTGGTGCCGTGACTTTCAAGACACCTCTCCGGCACCCTCTCGCCCTTTATATCTGCCACTGCGCCGAATGTCGGCGGCAGACGAGCTCGGCCTTTGGGGCATCGGCCATCTTTCCTCGGTTTCCTTTGCCTAGTGAGGCGCTTCTGAGCTGCTACAAGTACGTGATAGCCACACCGTTGCCGGATTATAGGTCTTTCAACGCCAAGACCCAAGGGTATCGTTATACTAACTCTTTGTTTGTGTCTGAAGGAGACCAAACCCCAATGGTGAATTTCTAGAATGGTGTGTTTCCGTTCCTCTCTGGTTTCAGCGTGTAACGTCGAAGATGAGTAAAGCGACTGTTACTGACCATGATACAGTTATTTCTGCAAGCAATGCGGGACTCGACTCATTCATTCCACGGCTGTGAGTATCATCCCCGAAGACAAGCCGCTTGTTGGATCAGATGTTAACGCCATTTCCTTGGTGCAATAAGGGTAAGAACTTCGTCTCCGTCAAAGGCGGATGCATCGAGGGACTGGACTGGTCTAAGGCAATCCACATCTGGACCAAGAGTGCCATGGTGCCCATACCGGAAAACGCAACGAGTTCGGAAGAGGAATGTTCCGTGTTTGATGCGTTCAGTTCGTCGCAGGAAACGCTGGATCAGCCAGATATTGTATGTGGGACCACAGGAGAAAGGTTCTCAAGCAAATACAATGGGTAACAGGGCATCTTGGGACACTGTAATGGTAAAGTTAGAAGTAATTTGAATGAGCGGTTGAGACTCGAGAAAGCCTTTGGAGAAAACGAGGCATCGGGAAAGCAATGTCTTGCAGATGAAGAAACCCGAAAAGTCACGATGGCGTTTAGTGAGCACTTCGTTGGGTCAACAATGTGACCATCCAGGTCTCAGAAGGAAAGAAAAAAAAGAAAAAAAAAATTTCAAAAAAGGAAGATGAAAACGGGCGACATGCAATCATGATGCCACCAGCAAAAGAATAATAAAAAAGAAAAAAATGCAACTGGGAGGATGAGGACTGAACGCGATTTGAACGCGTGACCGTTCGGACTGCAGCCGAACGCTCTACCCCTGAGCTACCGGTCCAATTCCCAGTTATTATATGCTGTCAAGCTTTTGACCTATATTACCTAAACCCCGGCCTTGGCGGCCGACACTTGTTAGACTCGATTCTTTTCCATCCTCCCCGCATTCTTAACTTCTTTGCATCGACGATTCAAGACCTCAGGACACAATGCGACGAACGACGTATTGACAGCCCCCTTTGCTTGAATGAGCAATCACGGGCTAGAGGTACACTCAACTCCTTGCTCAATAGTCCTCACTCACAATGGCCAACCCGCGACGACAGAGTGGTGGCGGCTTCGAATCGGCTGGACAGTCCCGACCCCCCGTCCCGATACCATCGCGCCGGCTTTTCCAATCCCAACAACTGCGCACATTGGACGCCCGCTGATGTTTTTCGTCTCTTGGTAGTGTCGGGGTCCTTCTTCTCTTCTGTCCCCCTTCCATCGCTTCCCTCGCTCGATGATCCTTCATCCGGGTTCCTCTCCCCGGCCATGCACATATCCAACATCATCCAGGGCATTAGTCACCACCAAGGGATAACTATCACAAAGTCTTTCCCTTCGACTACAAAGTACCTCACATGGCTGTTGCGTATCGTACTCCTCTATTACTTGGCACCATTACATTTCCACTTTTACTTTTTCGCCTCCTTCAGCTCCGGTCTGCGGAATCAACTTTGACAACTTCTGGCTCATAAGACGGACAGAGTGTAGGATATAATGAGGGGGAGTCGTGGGAGGGGGAAAAAGCGAGAGAAATAAAAAGAAGGTTTCATATTGAAAAATGGAAGCTTCCATACACAACAGGAGGCCTTCAGCAGCAGCAAGAGAACGAAACGCCGAATCCGGGGACACGGGAATATACACTTGTGGCAGGGTCGGTCTAGCACTTCAACACTCTTTGGAATGCCCTCGTTCAAAGTTTCCATTTATTCAAGTCAGTAATTTTATGGCAAAATCCTTCGCTAGGAATGCGAGATGGAGGCTGAGTTGAGGCGACACTTGGGAGTTCGAGTCTCGCCAATCAAGCAAAAAGCCCGAAGCGGTGTGAGGAGGTGAACTTGATCGACATGAAAGGGAACGTTGCGTTGTTGTAACATCATGTCCTTTTCTGAATGAAAAGGGATGCGTCGTTAGGTAGTAAGGACCGTCTTCGATACGAATTGATATGAGCTAGGAAGGGTCAGTTATTATTGGAAACGACAGTTCCAGGCTGGCTTGGTTTTGGTGCCGGCCAAAGATGAGGGTGATAAAGGAGGGTCGACCGTCTACCGGCGTGTCGGTGCCTTTAGGACGGGCGAGTTGTTAGATTGTCTTGTTAATGCATTCGACGGGAGTGAAGTAGAGGAGGTATTGCGTATTTGCTAAGGTCGACTTCAATTCAACGAAAAGGAGATTTCGGTCTTGCCGGTCTTCCAGCTATTGCTCCTATTCACACCGTCATCTTTTCCACGCCCAAGTCTTGGCTTACCCACCCAAAGCGGAACGGAGGCCGCCATCGTATCCTCAGATCTCGTGTAGACCCTAGCACAAGCAAAACCTCCACAGCGCGATGTAGATCATCGTCAGTTTCCATTCGTGACAGTTTCCAGACATTTTCCATATGATGCCTTTATGCAGCCCAGAAAGATGATCAGCTCTTTCCCTGGTCATCACGGCCAATGAACGCAACCCTTGGGCGTTTACAAGAGAGCTGGAGACGTACTTAGCAAAGCCGGGTTCCGAAGCCCAGAACGCCGGTACGGCTTGGCCCGCTTGGCCTGCCACCCAACTTCAAAGCCGAGCCCTGGACATCGGTCAGGAGGACCTGAAATCGTATCGCGCTTCGCTTGGAGTATACGGAGTTGATTGAAGGCTGCAGAAGCTAGCTACGAGCTACTCGAAGACGTCGAGGCTGGAGACGACGGGTGTCGGCCGTCGGCGGGCGGCTGCATGTATATATTAACAGCATGTCCAAGCTACAACGGCTTCCTTTTGCTCCTCACTCCTCGCAATATCATCACAATCGCTACTCGCCTCTTAATACATCCATCTTAATCATCCCAACTACCCACATTCGCTATCAACGCACCCTCACAACCACCACCCACCCAACCATCACCATGCAGTTCACCACCCTTGCCCTCAGCGCCCTCTCGGCCGCCACCGGCGTCTTCGGCGCCCCCACCCCCCAGGAGGCCGGCACCCCCAACCCGGACATTGTCATCTTCGGCGTCATGTCGATCCGGTCCGCCAGCCCCGTGCACCTGACGCCCTGGGGCGCCATGAACAAGGGCATCTTCACCAACCTGTCCACGCAGGACGCCCAGTGCTACAACGGCCCGGCCCAGGACAGCGCCACCTTTGTGCTCAACAAGGCCGACGGCACGCTGTCGCTCTACACGGACGGCAAGCCGTGGCAGCAGCTCTTCGTCGACCGCTCCGGCATGGGCCAGGGCATCATGCAGTACACGACGGGCGCCGAGCCGGCCCCGCGCAACGCCGAGCGCGACGGCTGGGCCATCGACGAGGCCTCGCAGCACCTCACCTTCGCCGGCAGCGACGCCTTCCTCGCCTGCCCCAGCCACGCCGACTCGTACCGCATCCTGCCCTACGTCGGCATCGAGAACCCCGCCGGCTACACCGACTGCCTCAGCATCGCCGCCCGCGTCGTCGTTGCCGAGCACCCCGTCAAGTGCCTGTACTCGCAGAACTAGACGCGGACGCCTCCAGACGACAGACCACCTACGACTACGACATGCTATAATGGGACATTGGCATCGGCGCAATCATGATTGTGACGGGGCGACTTCGCCTTGGATATATATAGACTAGTATTTTTACCCACAAATAAAAGTACAATGGCAATCCAAACAAATCTCTAGACTTGTGACTCTCCTTGTGTCTGTCGTCCATCTTCATCCCGTCTCGCGTGTCGCTGTTACCCCGAGGCGTCACCCCCTTTCTCACTTCAAGGCCGTAACGTCAGCGACCAACTAAGAATGGGGAGACATACAAACCTAATAAGGTTGAAGACCAATCTTCGATATCGATATAAAGGTAGTACTTTGACCTACATAGATGAAGCAAAAACCTGGGACTTGTTGAGCATATCCGACCTCCCGAGCACTTACACCCAAAAGGGTAATTACCCGTTGGTGAGGTGGTCAGTGCCCTGTCTGTTTCCCCAACTGTGACAGGCGCAACCGACACCATTTTTCCTGTATTTAAGCCAGACTGCGGGGCATTCTCCCTCTTCTTCTCTTGAACCAATCCAATTCTACCACTTTGGTTGGTTCGCCTTGTTGGTGTTTTTACCAACTAAAGGACCAAACACTTTGAGGAGCGCGCCGTTCAACAAGCGGACGAGGACCGGATCTTGTATTGAAACAGACAACCCGCGGCAACCACCTGAATCGCATTCTCCTTGGCTGTATTCCCGCCGTCCGCCCACTCATCACGGCGCTTTACCGCCGTGACAACCACACACGGGAGAAAACAACACGGAAAGCATGATGTTTCCTACACAATTCGATATCGGACGATTTTTACGAGAAGGAAATTTGAAGGTTACGTACCGAATTTATTAACAATAGTACCCTGTCGGCCTTGGCTGCTCATTGGTCTCTTCTGCTTCGGTCTCGCTTGGACCGATCTCAAACACGAGTCGTCAGGTGTCGGTCTCATCCGCACCCCCTTCGTCACCCCACATCAGCCTCAACCACACAGAAGTCCACGACTGTCGGGATCTTTGCAACCAAAATTCATACAGGAAAACCCTGTAATGGTCTAGACCAAGAACCTCCTTGACGTCTTCATACCTACTGCTTGCATCCCTTCTCATATCCCGACTTTTTCTCACGGCCATACTTCGCGCCCCTGGCGCTTCTTGGAGCAGTTCTTCCAAGCCAAAACCCCCTGGCTCGAAATCTCTATGCCTTAAACCATGGTATAGTAGCGTCGTGAAAAGATGAAAGAAATGCTCGCTCCCCCTGTTCTCCTCTCTGTCCCGGGACGTCCCATCTCCGCGTCTGAATTTGCCTTCCACGATGCAATGACCTTCCACACCTGACGTTCATTCACCTCTTCCCTCCACCGAGTGTCTTCAATTCGTTCATTCCCACCTTTGGTACAAGCTGATCCTGTTTTGTCTCTTTCCCCGTGTCTCTTCACTTTGTCCTTCTTTTAGGTTGTTTTCACTCCCTGTCAAGTTTACGCCATCCGGCTTTGAGGCAAAGGGACGTGCTGTTTTGTTTTTCTGCTGGTCACCGACTCGAAAAGTAGCGGGATTGCCACCTAAGGCTTCTCGCCACCCATATTGGCGTCGCTCGCTTCATCACCTCACGTTATCAAAAGCTCTTGAAGAGTATCTTTGACAGGTCCGGTCGTTACACAAGTACCTACTACCACAATCCATGTCGGGTTGATCCCACATCGACACTCAATATCCAACGGCTGGCCTGTTGTTATAATTTTCGAACATTCTCGACCTTGAACGTCACGTTATTTTTTGAAGGGGATCCACCGCTAAAGAAGGACTCGAACGCCCTCTGGCGTCTATACAAACATCACAATGAGCAAAAGATATGTGCGACTATTGGTACTGATCTTGAGCTACCTGTCACTGGTACAGGTAGGAACCAACTATTGAAGACATGGACCAAATCCACGAAATGACTGACATGGGAATGTTTAGGCTGCCGCATATGACAGAGAAGGAATTGCTGGACGAAGGTTAGCGAAGACCGGGAACAAACATAAAGGACAGAAAGGGCGGAAAGGACAGGCCAAGGGGCAATTGCAAGGATCGGTTCTGATAGTTACCGAGACTGTCAGAGAGACGGTGACGGCGGGCAGTGGTGCTGGCGTCAACGGAACGATCGCGGCTGGGACCGTGACGGAGACGGTCACCGTGACCCAAAAGGAAGCTGCTGGGGCACTACCTGGGTAAGAAACATCATCCCGGAAAAGTACGTTGACAACACCGCTAACCCAGACGAAAAGCACCGGGAACTTGCAGCTCTCTTTCGTGACAACAACAGTTTTCGGCACCGGCTCGCCTTCAACCGTCACCATCACAGCTTTGCCCCAGATCATCACCCAGACGATAGCCCAAACCATTACCCAGATCCAGTCGGTACCAGCAGCATGTTCTTCCAGCCAAGTACCAGGAGTGGTTGCGGGAGCACCCGCCGCCACCGATCCTGCCAATGACGGACTACCGCGCGCCAGCGGTGGAGTGGGAGTGACGACGGTTTCGATCCCAGCTGCTTTACGCACTTCGACTTTGGAGGTGCCCCCGGCTGCTACTGCCCCCTCGACCTCGATCTCGGTATCCTCAGTTGAAGCAACCTCCACGACGAGCGCGGAATTAGTAGCTAGCAGCACATCCTCTGCTTTGGAGCTCTCTACCACTTCAACTGCGGAGGCCATTATTACCACTTCTTCAACGAACGCCATCACCACCTCCACATCCAGCACCGCCCCCGCCGTAGCAATCACCTCAGTAGTCTCCGTCGAATCCCCCTCCTCGACCTCGACCTCGACCCGCAGCAGCAGCAGCAGCAGCACCGCGGTGGCCGTTGGAGGAGGAACAGAGCCGACCTCAGTCCTCGTTCTCCCGGCCGTTTCGGCAGCCAACCCGACAACCACCGCAGTGGCACCGGGTGTTGCGAATGGAGGCATCCAGCTCCCCCCTGATGTTTCGGGACTGAGCTTGACGAATGTGTTGAATTTGGGGAATTTGGTGCCGCCTACGGCTGCGGCGCGGCCGTGAGCGAGAGGGATGAAGATGGTTGGAAGTTGGGGGATGGTGATGACTGGTAGGAGGGAGTTAGTTGGGGGAGAAAGGGAGGGGGACGGGAGTGTGGTCCATGTTTTCTTGAAGTTGTTTCGCTTCGACGTAGCGGTTGTGTTGAGAGTTGTCTATACCCGGGCGTAGAGCGCTGTTGCCGGTGACGACTGATATAATGTGTATAAATATTCGTTTCTCCCATCAAAGACCGCCATTGTACTCGGCGCTAGACAGGCACGTTAAACCGATCAAGTTTAGAGACGCTTGACGATTACCAGAGTGCCCTGTTCAACTTGTTGCTCCCTCAACTATGCAAACCGACATATTCAACGGCGTGATCTTTTACCAAACCATAACTCCTGTACCCATCCAAGCCCATGCCCCGTGTTATAGTTCCCATTCGTTCTAAATAGGTGGGTATCGTGATATGTTCGTCAGACGTGATGACATGGTGTATGAACAAAATAGGGGGAAAAAAAATCCTAACGCCCTGCCACCTAAGTGGCCTCTGACACACAAGAGTCAAGGCCTAACCGCTCATCAGACGGGCGTCCAGAGACACTCGTTCTTCGGCTACTTCGCCTGTTTCTTCTGCTGCCCACCACCATCCGTACCGCCACCACTGCTCTCTTCACTCTTACGCTTTTGGCCTCGGCCTTGCTGCCCTCCCTGCTTCTGCCCCTGTTGCTGCTGTTGCTTCTGTCCCTGCTGTTGTTTCTGCTGCAACTTCCTCTGATTCTTACTCAACTTCTCTCCCCCTTCCGCACCATCCTCCTCCTCGCTTCTCACTTTACCCCCAGGAGCAGCCTGCACAATATCCACCACCCCTCTGAACCCCCGCCTCTTGACACCCTCATTGACCACCACCGCCCTCGGTCCCGTCCCCAGCGCCTCCGTCCCCTTCTCCGGTCCCAGCCCCCACACAGCCAACAGATTAACCACGTCCGCGGGGCCCCTGAGCCCTAACGCGCTCTTGGCCTCGCTTGAGACGATTATCCCGCGGCCCTTGGTCGCCCGCAACAGGCCCAGTACGTTGCCGATGAAATTGCTCCTCGCCCTCTGCGCATCCACGGTGTTTCCTGACGAAAACGCCTGGCTGTAGCAGATCTCGAAGCGCGTGCCGCGATGCACGGCCGCCATGGCGGTGCGGTGGTGGATGTGGAAGCCCAAGAACTGGGTCAGGTCGAGGCTGATGATCGCCGGCGGCTCCGTGGTGCTCAGGCACGCCCAGCTGAAGGCTTTGTCGTTTGTCGGGCGAAGGGCGAGCAGGTCGTAGGAGCGGGCGAAGTCGGCGAGGCGGTAGTTGGTTGTCGAGGGGTCGGTGACGGTTAGGGTTACGCGGCGGAGGACGGTGGGGAGGGAGGAGGAGGAGGAGGAGGGTGGGACCGCTGAGGAGGCGGTTGTTGAGAGGTTTGTTGTCGTTCTTGCTGCTGTTCGTGCGGTTGCTGTGGATGTGGTATTTGTTGAACTGCCGCCACCGGGGAATGATGGGTGCGGAGGTGTGAGTTGTGGGATCGGGTTGCTGATCGGATGCGGTTGTGTTGGGATGTTGCCCGTGATGGTCTGGTTCAAGGCGACGACATCGTAACCTAGATTTTTGGCAAACTTGAGTGTACGTTCGAGCTCGGAGACTAAGGTCGTCGGCGACCAGGCGATGTTGAGGTCGTAGAGCATGCCTGCGGTGTTGTCTGCTCTTCTGCTCTTGGAAGTTGGAATTTCGCGACAAGCCAAAGCTCGTGCTGTCGCGTCTCGTTTCGGTCGGTGGGATTTCGCGATAGAGACTGTTCTGTCGTGTAAATTTGGATATTGCGGTCGTATATACCCTTGTAGATTCACAAATGGTTCTTATCCGTTTCTGTGGCCGTGATGTCGGTTAAGTTGGACTGCAGAAGTCGTTGTCAAAAAGTCTCTCTCGAATATTTTTTGAAGATTTGGAAGCTCCGAATCCACATGTCTCGACCAGGGGTCAAAGTTTGGATGGATCCAGCCTGGAATCCGATGCAACAGCCGCCGTACAGAACGTTTGTTAGCGCGGTTCTTGTGACAGGGGTCCGCAAAACAACACAGAAAAATAACGGGACAACCACATTTGAAGAAAAAAAATTCGAGAGAGCATATAAAGCTCTTAAAACGCATTGGGTTGATACCAATTTTTTGCATGAGAATTGGTTGAGTGATGGTTGCGTTTCGCAAAGTGCGCAGTGAAGTCTCGAGCTAACGAACGTTCCAGGGCAAGAGTGTATGCTTTTAGTGGGGCCATTGTGCGCTTTGACCACCTGTAGCTCAGGGCAGTTCTGGGGCAGTTCTGGGGCAGCTTAGCGCGTCGCGGGGAAAGTGCATTTCCAGATGCCCCGCCGTCGAGCCTGTTCCCACCTGATCGCTCATTCCAACTCCCGAATCGAAGTGTGCGATGAATCCCGTCCCACGCACAGGGGCATCGCATTCGCATTCCCGCTCATCTCCGGCGGGCAGGTGCTGCCTACATACCTCTAGCAGAAGATCACTGTCAGAGGACGGCATTGCAGCGTCGCATTTACTCATTCGTCTGGTTGCACCGTGAGTCCTTCGGCCAACTGGTGCAAAGGACAACGCGCAAATCCGCCTCCTTTGACGGCTACCCAAGATTCCAGCTTACTTTTTGTCATCGCCGAAAGGAAGACCAGACGGGAACTTCTTTGGACACAATTTTAGGCGTCTTCTTTCTCTCAACAACCAGAGGCCAAACGAGCCAAGTACCGACATCCACTTCCTAACCTAGATCGGTTATCAACCCCATACCAGTAATCGATAGCGCGTCGAGAGTTACATACCCTTCTATTAACTACCCATTTCATTCATCAATCATTTACTGCCCCTGCTTGCTTGATACCTACGGATTCTGGTTCGCATTGTCACTCAAACATCGTCAAACTCTCGCCAATTCTCGTGCGTTAGCTCCACAAGACTGTCGAGAATTCCATCAAGACCTTCGACATCATGTGCTTGATTTTCACGTGCGGCGAGCACACTTTCCGCAAGGAAGTGGAAGGATATGAAGGACTCGTGTGCCGGTGCTACAACTGCGGCAACTATTCTGGCAGTGTCATCAAGAGCCATCCATGGTTCACTTTCTGCTTCATTGTACGTGGTGTTGCGTGTGTTGCGGCGAAATCTTGTGTGTATTTCTTTGCTGAGCTGAAAGCTAACGTTGAACAACATTTACAGCCCGTCATTCCTCTCTCGATCAAGGGGTACGAAGACATCTCGTGCCGCATTTGCAACTTTCAACAACCACTCGAGCACAGACAGGACGTCCAAGCAATGCGCCGGGGAGCAGACGGTACCCCAGGAGTGCCGTTACAACAGCAACCATCCGGGGTACCACCTCAAGGACCGCCTCAAGGCTGGGGACAGAAGGCTCCTGAACCGAATCAACCAATGCAATATCGCTAGAGGCATGATTCGAGAGCGAGGAATTGACACGGCGCGAGGACGGCGAGTTCGGCAACGATGATAATGTGCAGTTTTGAAGTTGACGAGAAGAAGTCATGACCTGGATGACGGATTTACGTGGACGGCCCCGGAGGAAGACACATATACGGCAGGGCGTCGGTTGGAGCCTGAGTTTGATATCCCCATTTGCATTTCGCCCATATTGTTTTATTTCATCAAAATATTATCGCCAGAGAGCAGGATCTAGGGGGGAGGCGTATGGTGGTCTTCTTATGCTCTGGAAATGCAGGTACTTATGTATAATCGTCTGTATTTTAATCAGATGGAGTGCTGGGTTGGGATGAAACGCAGCCGGTGCGTTTGACATTCTGCACCTTCAAGTCGCTGCCAGATATGCCTTACCTATGGCGCACCGTTAAGTCTAACAGCTTTCTGTGAACTTTTCGGACGTTACGTTCTTCTCGCATGCAACGGCCTACACTGAGCCATAGAGGTGCACAAGCCATAGGCATGTGATCCAGAGACGATGGTGTTTCTTGACGGTCCTGCAATAATATTTCATGCATCTAACAAGAATCTAAAGTCTCTTGCATATGGAGAAGTGATAGTGATGACATACCGGTCCCTATAGACACCTAGAACACCAAAATCAGATAGCAGTGCCGTCTCAGGCGCACTGAGTCAGAAAACAAATGATGGTCTCTCTAGAGGTTGTAGATGACCTCGAAGCATTTGAGTGTTCCCTTGCGTGTCACTGAGGTGACAATAACATCCAACACCACATGTTTTCTACAGGGCAGTTTCCAGGCGAGAGCAGCCCAAGTAACCTACCCAGAGAATCCGCTTGTAACAGGTATTCCAAAGATCGAGTAAGAAACGTTCCATACAGAGCCATCGAAAAGATTCAGAAGAATGAACAATTCCACTTGAACCCATCCCATCCCATCAACGGCATCTTGTACGGACAGCCTGGAGGAACTTTGGCTGCAGAAGTGCTGTAGTTTGCGGGGTTATGTACCCTACGGGTTGTGGGGTTACTGCGGACAACGGCGATGACGTCGGGCGGCTCTGGCCCCATTGTTTTAGCGTCTTCAGAACGTCCACTGGATGGGGAAAGATTCCACCGTTTGTTTTCCACTTACGAAACATCGTGTCAACCCATCACCAGTCAACAACGACAGACAAATCTGAAAGTCGGATCCAGACGATACGGGACGGACCCCGATCCGGCTTCCAGTTCTTCAACACGACATCCAAATATTTTCCGACGACCAGTCCGACGCCGTGTCTCTCTTTCTCGACCCATCGCATTTTTATAGCCAGCAGACACCGCCAGTCCGCCGTCGAGCAGAAACTGGTCACCGTTGACCTGTCGTTCCACAAATCCGAATTCATACACCGAAAGAGACGATCCAAGACAATTCCCAACAATTGGGACGGTCTGAGACAGAGTCTCGAACTTACAACCTTCAGCCTCGAGCGCGGTACTATCTAGAACCCTGAGCCGCCACCAACCATGGCGTCTGCAAAGCGTGGCCCGTCTGTTTTGGTACGTTGACTCCTTGGTTATTACTGGACAATTGGCTGACAACCATCGCAACACAGGTGACAGACGCTCGCCAACGACCTTCACCCCCCAGTGCACCCCGGCGCATGGGCTCTACGGGTGGCCCCGGCCGCCTCTTGAATGGACGCTCCTTCACCGTCGACAACGTTTTGCAGTACTCATCAGATATCCCATCCGGCCTACCCAGGCTGCCGCCCGGCCAGCGGCCAACACGAGCTGCCATCCGCAGGAGTAGCCACGGAACAGGACTTCCGAATGTTTCTGCCCGAACTGGTCAACAGATCGTGCCTTCTAGGACTACTAAGGTTAGCGAGAAGCTCGTTCTTCTCCCTGAAGCCCCCGACAACGAGGATGCACTGGGCGATGAAGAACTGGAGCGGCGCGCCTCCATCCTGCGCGCATCCGAAGATGACAACCGGCCATTAAAGGACGAAGAGTTGGATGTGCTGAGGAAGAGAGGAGGACTCCGTGGCAAAAGCTATGCCGAGCGTTTACCCAAGGTGCAGCGAGGCGAGAAGGTTTCCCGACTTACTGCCTATTGCACAGCACAAGCCTACAAGATGCAAGCGACAGCCGAGTTCCTGAAGAAAAAGCACGAAGCCAAGACGAAGCTCTACGACGACTGCCTTTACACAGTTTATCACCTGCCTCTGCTTCCTGGTGTAGATGGCTACCGGCTACGGAGTCGACCTATCTTGAAGACTCCAGGCACGGGAAAGACGGTGTTGGATCTTGAAATCGAACGCAGCGAGCGAAGAGATGAGCACGAGGGCTACTGGGACGAATACCCATTCAATATGCACGGCTCAGCACATAGCCCGAGCAATGAGGCTACATTGCTACAGCATGCTCACAGTGGCGTTGACGAGACAGGTGCTCACTCATCAGACCATGATCAGAAGGCACTGGACCATCCTCCTATCAGCCCCATCAACCGCCTGGCACCAGATGCTAAAAATTTTGGCGAGATGTTCGTCTTCTCGTATGGCGTTGTAGTGTTTTGGAACTTTACAGAGCACCAAGAGAAGGATATCCTGGCAGACTTGACCTTTGCCGAGAACGAGACCGGTGTTTCGCTCGCTACTCGGCCCCTTGATCAGAACGATTTTGAGACTGAGGAGTTCCACTTCGAGTACAGCGCCGACGTGGACCGCCCTCGCGTCTTCAACGATATGATCACACTTCTTCCTCGGTCCGACCACATGGTCAAGCTAACCATCAGCCATGCTATTGCGCAGAGCACCAAACTCTGCTTCTTCGAGGAGCGCATGTCGGAGACGATGGAAGGTGCTCAAGACGTGCCGAAGAGACTTGCACTTACGGGTAAATTGGACATGGATAGGACCGAAGTTCTCAAAATCCTGGGGCAGCTCTTCAAGAGTCGCGTAGACATCAATCTTTGTACGTTAACCCTTTGCTTTCCGGTATGAAGTCCAACCAAGGTACCTTGACTAATCCGGCGCACTCGTAGCATCGAACATTCTCGAAAAGCCCAACTTCTTCTGGGACGCGGAACCCACACTCGGCCCGTTATACGAAGCTATCAGAGACTACCTCGAGATCGAAACACGCACCAGGGTTCTCAACGAGCGTTGCCAGGTCTTCCTTGATCTGGCAAGCATTCTTTCCGACCACGTGGCCGACGCAAAGATGAGTTACATCACTTGGATCATCATCATCCTCATTGTGATCAGTATCATGGTCACTGTTACGGAGGTGCTGCTGCGGTTTGCCATTTTGTCCAACGAGAAAGCAAAAGATGGTGCAAATAGCCCCGCAAATGTGATCGGTGGCGGTGACTTGTTGACCGCTCACAACCGGATCGATCTTCGGAGTTTGGAATCAAAATTGGCGAATGCGAACCTTACGCTGGACGACCTAAGGCTGTGGAGCGCGGCCATGAACGAGCAGGAGAAAAAGGCGATTTGCGGTGCAGAGATCGTGGGTACGACGTTCAAGGGATTGTGAGCTGGTGAATGAGGCAGAGACGGCCGTTCTCTTATCATGGATTACGAAGGGCGGGAAGGGAGGAAAACAGATTGAGGCTCCCTTCTAGTATGATGGTCTACATAGCGATGGCGTTGCTTTTCATGGTATGAGTTACTTTTGCATTCTGGTTATCGATGGGCTTGTAACTGAGATCAGGACCCATCCTGCTTTAAAACTGACACGGTCTCGGATCTGAGCATCCAAAGTATGAAGATGGGAACGAGAACTCTTTGTATGTGTACGGTCAGGGTTAGGTAGCGAGGGTAAACAAATAAGGGATCAAATAAGGTGCTTGCAGGAAGGAGATGTCGTAATAATCGTAACTCCTGAGATTTCGCAAGTAACGTTCCCATCATTTCCCATCAACAGTCAGGTATTCAGTTTTAACGCCGTCAACGCCCAGCATGCTTTCACTTAATCCAAGAGAACACTCCTCCTATTCATGTCAAGGCAGGCATACGCCCTCCATACATATACAGACAACAATTCATCTTGCTCAAACATCCAAAAAAAAGACCAACAGACCCCAAAAGGAGAGAAACAACATGCACACATCACACTCACTGCCACGACCGCCCCAACAACCCCTCCCCACTCTCCCACTTAACCCCCCTCCCCGCCTCATCGTCCGCAATCTTCACTATCAACTCCCCAAACAACCCATTCGCCCACCCAAACCAGCTCCTCGTCCAATCCTTCTCATTCCACGCATTCACCGTCTCATGCACGACCCCCGTCCCGCTCGTCGAGTCCAGAATCATTCTTAGTTGTTGCTCCACCGTCTTTTCTTGTTCTTTTGCCCCCGAAGACAAGCCCGACAGCTCCGAGTTGTAGGCGGTTAAAGCGGCGACCGTGGCGGCCATCGGCCAACCCTTTCCGGGACCGAGGTGGGGGCCGCCGACGGCGGAGAGGGCCGGGCCGGCGGCGAAGTAAGGGTTGGAGAGGGAGAGGATGAAGCGGCGGGTGTTTTGGTAGATGTGGGAGTAATTGTGGGAGGGGGGTGGGGTGGTGGTGTAGGGTTTGGAGTTGGGAGGGGGGGGCGAGGGGGGTGAGAGTTCGTCGTCGAGGGATGGTTGGTCTTGGTCTGATTCCGAGCGGTTGGGGGTTTGAGTGTTGCTGTCACGGCTGCCGCCGTGGGTTGTCTTGACGATTGTCTTCTGGTCGAGAAGCGAATAGGTATAATTCCACAAAGGAAACGCCAAAAGCGACGGGACGTTAGCGTCATCCATCAAATTCGCGCTTCCATACCCATCCACCTCATACGCAAACATCTCGCCGAACTCGCGATGAGTGACCACCGCGTCCTTGGCGATACCATGCCTAGTCCCCCTGGCAAGATCACGCATCTGCACCGTCATATTCTTCGCCATCGCCTTCTTTTTTTGGTCGAGCCCATCCAATCCAGCCAACCCCTCCATGATCACCGACGCCTGCTCCAGATACGCCGCAAACATCATGTTACTCGGCGTCAACAACTGGAAAATACAAGCATCATCACTTGGCCTGAACCCGCTCCTGACCATCCCGTTTTCTTTGACCGGGTTTCCCAACCCATCATTCGTCAGCGTCTCGCTGCCTCTATTCGTCCAACCCGTAAACGTCCACGCGGAAGGCAACACTTTTCCTTCCTCATCATACGTCCCAAGTCTCATCGCGGCCGCGGCGTCTACGGCGGCTTGCACGGCCTCGATCCACCTGTACTTCCCAAAGAAGTGCAAGTCTTCGGGCACGCGAGCGTGGTACGCGCTGCTGATCTGCAGGAAAGAAGCCAGGCTGTCGAGCTCCCACTTGCAGTCGAACACCTTTTGCGGGTCGTAGGGCGGTTGCGGGTTGTTCTGGCTGTAAGCGCCGTTGCGGGTGGGCGGGATGCCGGATTCGGGGGGTGGTTGGAAGGAGTGGCAGTAGGGCGAGATGACGATGTAGCGGGCGTGCGAGTTGATGAGGCCGCGCCAGAGGCTGGCGAGCGAGGATTTTTCGGGGGAGGGGGTGAGGAAGGGGAGGTAGGAGTAGAGTTGCGAGGCGGAGTCGCGGAGCCACATGGCGTCGATGTCGCCGGTGATGATGTAGGTTAGTTCTTCGTCGGTTTCGGGATTGGATTCTTCTTCTTCTTCTGGGTCCTGAGCTTCGTCGGGAGTGGCTAGGAAGGAGGCGAGGGACTTGGATGTGCCACCATTGTTCGTGTCCCAGGGGGAGCTGTTCCTGGCATAGCCGTGCCACTTGATCATGGTATCGAGAGTGTTGGGGTAGCTGTTCTCGAAGAGGCGGAAGAGATCCGGGTCTTTGATCACGGTCCTCATGCGCTCGATGAGCTTCTCGAGAGCTGGAAGCTGGAAGGTCCGACAGTGTGGTGGCGGGCGCACGTAGGGGAACTGGCGCTTGCCGGCGGATAGGGGACCGGGTTTCATGCGCTGGAGCCGTTCGAAGCTTACACACTCCTCCTCGGCTGGAGTCGACGAAGCAGTCGGAGAGACCTCCTGAGTCTCGTCCGGACTGTTGGGCTCCTCGCCCACTTCGATAGTCCCTATTCCTAAGCCCAAATCGATGTCTTCTTTTCCAGAAGGTGTCGTTGGAGGAGAGACATCTTCGTGGTTGGCGGGGATGCCGGTGTTTCCTTCGTGATGGTTCCATGTCTCCAACGGTGGCGGTGTCAAATCATGACTCTCTTCATCCGTCTCCTGGTGTTCATGACCAATGCCCTGTTCATGTTCAGGTTGCTTAAGAACGACCGGGTCCTGCCGGTAGATAGACAGTGGTGACGCCGTCTGATATCCCACGAGAAGGATGACAAGAGCCAAGAAGGCCGTGAGGGCAAAAATACGCCCACGCCGTGAGCTGAAAGCTTGTGATAACCCCATGTTTTCAGAAGTCTTCGATCCGGAGCTTTTTGTCTGGCGGCGGTCCGATTCTGCCAAGTTGCGGCCCGCGATAATCTTTGAAGACTGATCTTCAAGCGGTAAGAGGTAGTTTGGAGTAGATTGGAGGAAGTGCAGCTCAGTGCAAGGACTTGCATGAAAATAAGGTTTTTGACCCGAACGCAACACGAGGGCAATAAGGCAGTATGCTTACTGCGACCCGAATACTGCAAAGACTACTGCACTACCGCGGACCCGAACGCGCCCTAAGCATCAGATGCTCCTTTCCCATCAACCGGTTGTTCACCGCCGAAGAGATTAGGACGAAAGACCTATGTCCGTGGTACCATCTGGAACTGGTGAACTCGAAGGGAGGACGGAATAACCGCAAATCGAGGTCGTCGCCAAACAACGCAGTGTTGTTGTTGAACAGAACGTTAAAGAAGAGGAGGCTCTTGTGTGACTGAGTCCATCCCTCGTCAACTTAACCAGCAGAGCAGAGTAGAGCAGATGATGGAGTGTCTCACTGTTATGCGCAGCTCCCTTTCTGTCTCAAACTTTTATGATTCTTTCCATCCCTCTCTTTCCTTCCCCTCCTCCCCTCCCAGGAAAGAACGGAGGAAGTCACGACCGAAATATGGATCTGTCGTGTGCCCCATGTGGCCTTCTTGGCAATCATTTTTACTTCCTATAGAAGACTAGCGGTATAGTATTTCCCATCATTCGAGCTGCGCATTGGTTGACTTCAGTTGTAATAGGATTAACCCAAATAAGTTATCGGGTTTCGGCATCCGCTGGTCCGTTGCTGCTTGAAAAAGTGAGGTTACAACTCCTGTGTTGCCAAGATGGCTCTCGGATAATGTATTGTTCCTGAAATCAGTTCTCGTGGTTGGCTTCTTGTGTGACTGATGTCTTGGTGCGAATTGTCTCCTAACTGTCCGATATTCAGTCTTCTGCATTGTCCAGGAACACCTGTTTCACCCCCGAGTCACCTTCACATGCATTCTTTGCGAGATCTCGAAGTGTTCCTGCACTAGGCTCGTCCCGTTCAGATCTTGCCGTCTGATGCCCCGCAACCAAGCGGCCAGAACCCCAAAGTCACGAACGATACCTTGGTGTTTGATTAAGTAATGTATACTGATTAAGCAGATCTTATCTATCCTGGCCCCGTGTATAAGCCATACGCATCCTATAACTCCTATCCCTTTCCCGAATCCAAAGTCGACGCAAAACATCCCATTGGTTTTGCATCACCGCCCACTGACAGTAACCAATCCTCCAGGGTATCATATAACCACCTGACAGTAACTTGAACAGGTCCCCAGTCTACGAAGACTCATCCTCATCGCCACTGCTGGAATTTGAATCCGACTCCATCCCATCATCATCGTCCTCTTTTTTGGTATCTTCGTTTCCGGCCGGATCCCAGGCCGGTACATCCTCGCAACCCTCGGGAACACGGCACAGATCTCTGGCGTTGCAGGTCTTCCACAACACCTCCCTGATCTCCTTGAACACCTGGTCCACGGCATCCATCGCCCAGATGACGTCCAGATGCTCATACTCCTCGATGACCTTCTTGTGGACCACCTTCACATGCGGCTCACGTCCGCGATCAAACCTCCTGAGGAGTTTGGTCCCGTCCACCAGAGCGTCGTTTCCGCACACCCAAAGGGCGAACGGCGGTGCTTGGTGGTTGTACCAAGCCCTTGAGCCCTTGGGCCTCATCCTGCGAGCCGCTTGCTTCGACTTCTCCGACTCTTTATTGCCCTCCATATCGCGCTCTGCCGCCTTGAGAATCTTGTCGGCCTTCTTCTCGTTCCGACTTCTCTCCTCCTTATCAAGCTTATCCAGCTCCCGATCCTCCTTCTCCTCTGCCCTCCATTCCTCCTTGGTGGCCAGGATACACTTGTGCTTAGCAAAGCACTCCCTACCCAACCACCATCGCATCGACTCGGCACTGACGTAGACGGGCGCGAACTGGAACATCCTGTTCTTGAGGTCCCGGTCCCAGCGGCGATCGGTCCAGTTGAACAGGAACGAGAAGACCTTGTACCCAAGCCAGCCGTAGACGTGCGGGTGGAGCAGCGAGTGCATCGTCATCATGAAGGGGATGAAGGCGTGGATGCCGAACAGCATGCGGAACATGGCGGGGGTGATGACGCGCATGAACTTGAAATACATCTTGCCGATCAAGGGGCCCGCATACGCCGCCGGCGCGAGGGCGCAAAAGACGGTGAGCTTTTCACCCAGATCCGGTCGCTGTTCTTTGGCTAGGGCAACAAATGTTTGGGTGGTGCCCTGAGAGTGTGCAATCAGTCCGATCTTTTTGAAGCCGGTCTCGTACAAGACACGCGAGGTCAGGGCGGGCAGGTCAAAGACGCCCATCTGACGAATATTCCAGCACCACATGCGCGGATCCGAGTACTCGAGCAAGACGTGGCGCGGCTTGAAGCCGCATCGGTTGTTGCCAAGCCAGACGTCGTAGCCGGACTTGCAGAGGAAGAAGGCAAGCGAGTCTTCGTCGTTGACGCAGTAGGCGCCCGAGGATTGGAGGAGGCCATGCATAAGAAGGACGGGGAACTTGGGTTTCTTGTCGTTCTTGGTTTGGCCTGGTTCCCTCCTGGCTTTGCCTGTGAACAGGTCGGGGCCCTTGTGTCGCCGCTCCTCCTCGGGTAGTGGAGTGTACTCTTCGGGATCGTACACATGCCAAAGCTCGATGATGAACCCATCTTCGGTTTCGACAAGATGAGTCTCAACATCAAGCCCGACACGGCGGGCATAGAAGCCTATGTCGCACACGATGGGGTCGGGACCCACGGCCTTGACGTCACTATCGCCTTCGTCGTTATCTTCACTGTCTTCGTGGTCGAGGTGGCTCGCCGACCTCCTGCGCCTCCACCGGCGGACTTGTTGCTCTCGCAATTGCTTCCGTCGAATCTCCTCCTTGTAAAATGGTCGGTCGGCATCTGGATCTTTGGAATTCAGCCGCTTCCATATGTACTGGAATGCGGGTGGTATGCTGGTGAAGAGGGAGCCTAGGACAATGACGCCCAGGAATGCCAGACTGAGGAAGAAGGAGGTGAAGCGAAACAGCAGACAGTGGATGTCTCGCCAGCGCGATGACGGGCCGTAGAGCGGCAAGGGCGGGAACAGAGGGTGCGTAGAGGAAGGAGGCATCGACCTCTTGAGGTTGCCGTCGGTCGAGTCCGAGCGCTTCTTCTCATCCTTTTCGCGGGGAAAACTGAGGACTCTGTCTCCTTCTGAATCTTCTGTTTCCTTGACCGTATCGCGCGGCCGACTGGCTTCCCTAACATGTACCCTAACTCCATCGTGTCTTTCGGCTTCGTGCCTCAACACGTTAAGCTTGTAGGCTTCGGTCGCCGGCACGGCGGGTAATCGGTTTCCATCCGACGTGACGATAACGGGGTCTTGGGGTGCGACAAAGATGGCTTCGACGGCGACACCTTTGTTGTCCGGGCTACCTGGCGGCTGGTAGGACAGCTTTTCTGATTGATGGGTAAACTCGACCACTGCTTCTTCGGATGAGCCCTCACAGGGCAGCTTGTTTACCCCGACGGACATGGCGGTTGAGGATGTTCCTTTCGATATTCGACCAAATATTGCTGAAGTTGTTCACTTGTCCAAAAGTTCTTTAAAGATAAGAGAAAGGTATAATGGCATGGTGCTGCACCGAATATGTGTTGGGCGCTCAACAATATAAAGACACGATACTCTGAAGGGATCGCAATAAAAGGAAGAAAAAAAGCCTGAAGATGGTCTTGGGTTTAGACCAGACAAGGAAAGATTGTTGTTGAAGAGGTAAACAGACAACTCAAATATTTCTAGTGTAACCGCAGAAGGAGTACTTCCTCCGTGTCGCGCCGTCCGAGTGTTGCGCCATCAACGTCATGATGGAAACCTGCCATGGTTCGCCTGGAAGGGGGAAGCTTTGAGGCGATGCACAGTGTAAGTGATGGAGAGGGTTGGGGTTCAGGGAGTAAGTTGTACTATGTATGAGTGCATAGCTGGGACACAAAGCCGGTTTTGCTTGGCAGGAGTGTCCATCGTTTTGGGAAAGTTGAAACGATGCAACTGAAGATGGCCCATCACTGCAATTCCGTCACATCACTCACAGATGCTTGATAGAAAACCCGAAGCGAATACATAATCGAGTGAAGAGAACCTTGGACCAATCTGTCGTCCTTTAGAGATGCCACTAGGTATTTGGTAGGTCATTAGCCATCCAATTGGGCCACCAGTATGGAAAAAGAAACACTTTAGGAGTGATGTTATGCTTCTGTCTGTTGAAGCAAAACATCCAATTGATCCCCGAAGTTCTTGTTCCCAATTCAAAGTCCGGAAAGTCTGGAAAGTGCCCAAATGTTGAAAAGTGCGTCACACTGCAGCTGTGGGCGGCCATGTGGGGTTGACAAGGGAGAGACATGTGAGAAGTGTGGAGATCCAGCTTGCTGGGAACGCCATGCTATTTCACGCCAAGTGAACCCTGACAAGTCCAAGGCACCTGAACTTATCAACGCTTTGGTCTTCAACTTGGAGACATTTAAAAAGCTTAGGAGTAACGTGTGGTTTAGAGACCCCTAACGACTCGTCTGCTGTGAGAACGACTGGGAGGATTTCCAAAATAGAGATGAAACAAGAGGAAAATTGAATGTGGATCCCCATACACTGGAATTGGAGTTGGGCCGCTTTCATCCAATGCTTCAGCTGAGAATGGACTTTCCGGTCTTCAGAATCCAGAGTCACTCCCATGATGTTACCGCAAACAAACATCCAAATCGAAGCAGTGATACTGGTTTACTAATACTTAGAGATTGCTACGGTCTCCAGATACTCACCCAACCCTAACCCTTGTTTTACGTAACAGCTCCTTACCGCTGTGCGGGCCGCCGGCCATATGCCTCGGCCAAAGAGGAGGGAGGAGCCGCAGCTGAAGACGGGGAATGGCCGGGGAGTGGCCGGGGAGACAGCGTCCAGCGAATGACCGCGCTGGCCATTTTGGGTTCAACCGAACCGAACATGTAGCGAACGGAACAGCATCTCCTCTCTCCAGACCACGCGCTGCTGGTCCGGATAATTCTTTTGGTGTTTGCGACGCCATCTTTTCCATAATCGACTGTACTCCGAATCGCAATTCCCCTTTCAAGCCACTCACTTCCGGGTTGCCACACGCCCCTGGCTTCTGCTCGGCATCGTCTCCGCCGTGTTTCGTTGCAGCTGAACTCCAAATCACTTCCGCGGTGTACACGGCAGTCTACAGTGTCACTAGTTGTGGGGGACTTCGACCGGCATGGGCCGTAAATAATAATTATACCTTACTACCGAACCGAACCACAACACCTCACTCTCAGGAGCCGACCACTTTGCGCCGACCGACCGATCACTCCATCTTCGATCCCAAGTCTTGAGCACCGGCTCCGATTTGCTGCCGTGCCTCTGTCTTACACCAACACCGACACACCTCTGCAATGACCGTCCCCAACTCCACCCCTGCCTCGAGCAGGAAAAGGGTCCGAAGACGCAGACAGGACAAGCCCGCCTTGACGGCCAAATTGGTCCTCGATGCTCATGTCAAGGGCGACGTTGGTGTTATTGCTACCGACCTCTTCGCCGACCTCTTCCCCCATCTCTGGGCTAGTATGTAACCTGTTTACCCCTATTGCGGTTTGTTTTGCCTGGTATCATGACCTCTGACTAACTGGCCATTCTGGCTTAACAGATGGAGACAGCCAGGACACCGTTCATGTCGCAATCGCTCCCTGGGCACCGAGCCAAACCCCCGAGGCCAACAACTGGTCTATTATACCCGTCACACGATCCTCCACCGTTGCGCCGTCCACCGTACAGTTCTCGCCCTCATCGCTCGCCCTCCAGTCTTTCGCGACACACCTCCAGCAGGTTGCGCCCTCGAAGCTCTCCAGCAACAACAAGGGTGGCATTGAGATCTTGATCTTGGATGTTTCGGCCATTGAGCTGGATACCGTCTTCGTGAGCCTTGATGGAGAATTGGCCAAGAGACTGGAAAATGGGGAGGGGACCTTCTTCCGCGAACACCCAGTTAACGGCAAGGGCAAGGCTCGTGCCGATGCTACCCCTGAGGAACACTTGACAGCTGCTTTGCGCACTGCCCTCGGTACCTTAAAGATTGTCCATTCTGGCGATCTCTTCCCGTTGCCACTACCACCTCACCCAGTTACCCACCAACCTCCAAACCCAGGAAGGATAACGCTTTGCGAACCTGTGGCTCAGGGTATTCTCGCCCCTACTACAAAGATCATTGTGTCGAGAACGCGCACAAGCAAGAGCAAACGTAACTCTGCGCCAGTACAAAAACAGGGCCGTAAACTGAACGGGGTGGCCGAAGACGACGAAGATGCCTACTACTCGGCGGCCGAGGAAGATCGCGACAGCAAGACCGATGCCCAAACGGCCGAAACAGACGCAGACGATACCGAGTTCGAGCCACAGGCTGGGGAAGAGGATGACAACCTGTCGGACGATTCCATGGACGAAATAATATCCCTTCAAGTCCCTTCTCTGCCCACTACGGTCACCGGCCAATCTACAATAGGAACGGGTACCCCTATGACCGTCAGGGGCAGGAAGATCAATGGTCCTGGGTCAGTTATCTCAAGTTATACTGCCACAACCGCCAGACCAGACCGACCTCGTGGCCGGCTCTTCAAGGCGCAAGGATTGATGAAGCCTATCCCACCTGAGCTGCTCCACCCTAAACCTACGCCCGAAGACGACGAAGAAGCGCGCATCTATGTGGATATGAGAGACCTTACCAGGGTGGGCTGCTTCTCCGGAGACTGGGTACGAGTTGAGGCGGCCTCTGAACCGCCCTCTAACGGGCTCGGCGCGTTTGGACTGGGAAGCTTTGTGGAACAGGAAGCAGAAGAGATCAACTGGCGACCCGCGAGGGTTTTCGGCCTGCCTGAGGGCTATTCGAGCCGCTCAGCGACCAGGATACACCACTCTAGGCATGACAGCCGGAACTCGTCCTTCTTTGAGGCGCAGTCACAGAAGGCGAGCCCACCGGCTTATACTTCTCCTATTCTGCTCGCAAACTTGGACAACCCTCCGTATATTCGTCTATCACCGATCAAGCGCCCTTCGAGCTCGATCATGAAGGGCGTCGCAGCCCAATCCAAGACGAGCTCATCCTTGAAGCCGCCATTTGCTCGCGAGGTGATCCTGCAACATGTGAGGACACCTACAGCGGTCGAGAGGGACGTGCAGTCTGCGGTTATGGCTGGCCTGAAACACTACTTTGAGAGAAGGTTGCGAGTTCTCAAGACTGGAGATCTCATTGCTGTGCCCATTGACACCCAGTTGGGCAAGGCTCTTCAGGAGAGTACAATTCCTGGCGAGGATTCTGCCATCGATGAGGTTTTGGGTCTAATTGCTGCAACACGACCTGGACAGAGCCTGCATTACGATGATGTTGCCTGGTTCAGGGTTGGTCACGTCCAAGCAATGAAGCAAGACGTCACAGAGACCGTCGACGGCGAGGAGGAAGAGGACCCATGGGGCGGAATTGCCTGCGTAGACATCTCCCTCACCCATCTGGAACAAACAGGATCCGTTACAGGCCGCGTCCCGGGCACGATATCAAACAGCTGGCAGTATTACCTGGGTATCAAGAAGCTTCCCAAGCACCAACAAAACCCCGGGTCACCTGCTCAACTGCAAACACTAGAGCCCGAGAAGCAGTATGTCTCATCGCTCAGAAGGAAACTTCGCGAGCTCATGGCTGCCGCCACCAGTAAACCCGCGCTTCATCTCAATCTGCCACCACTGGCCATCCTCCTTGTCTCGACGCAAAGGCATATCGGCAAGGCAGCCACAGCCATGCAAGCGTGTTCAGATATCGGTCTACACACGTTCGCTATAGACGCCTATGACATTGTGAACGATGGCGGCGGCGGAGGTGGCAGCGATGTCAAGACAGCCGGGTTCCTTACATCGCGCGCTGAACGTGCTATGAGCTGTGGTCCCGAATCATGCGTCCTTCTGGTCCGCCATATTGAAGCCCTTACTGCCGACCGCATGGTGTCTTCCATCAAGGAGATCTTGGCCGACGCTAGAGTTTTGATTGCCACCACCACCGAGGTTGAGAAGGTCCCTGACGGTATTCGTGCCCTCTTCACGCATGAGTTGGAGATGAATGCCCCCGACGAGCGAGAGAGAGAGGGTATCCTCAGCTCCATCCTCGCCGACCGCGGCATCGGTCTTGACCCCGAGGTGGATCTCAGTGGCATCGCTCTCAAGACCGCCGCCCTCGTAGCAGGCGATCTCGTCGACGTTGTTGACCGTGCCTTGGTTGCTCAGCGATCCCGCCTCGAGAAGCTCACCGCCAAGTCAACTGGCAGCATCACCTTCCGTGACGTCCAGCTCGCAGGTGGGCCTGCCGCCTCTGGCCTGACCAAGCAGGATTTCGAACTCGCCGTCGATGCCGCCCGCAAGAACTTTGCCGATTCCATCGGCGCACCCAAGATTCCCAACGTCACATGGGACGACGTCGGTGGTCTAGGCAACGTCAAGGACGCCATCACCGAGACCATCCAGCTGCCGCTCGAGCGCCCCGAGCTGTTCGCCAAGGGCATGAAGAAGCGCTCCGGTATCCTGTTCTACGGACCCCCCGGTACCGGCAAGACGCTCCTGGCCAAGGCCATCGCCACCGAGTACAGCCTCAACTTCTTCAGCGTCAAGGGTCCCGAGCTGCTGAACATGTACATTGGTGAGTCCGAAGCCAACGTGCGGAGGGTGTTCCAGCGTGCCAGAGATGCCCGGCCTTGCGTCGTCTTCTTCGACGAGTTGGATTCCGTCGCTCCCAAGAGAGGTAACCAGGGCGACAGCGGTGGCGTGATGGATCGTATCGTGTCGCAGTTGTTGGCGGAGCTCGACGGCATGTCGGGCGGCGAAGGTGGAGGTGTGTTCGTCATTGGTGCGACCAACAGACCTGATCTGCTTGATCAGGCGCTGCTGAGACCCGGTCGCTTCGATAAGATGTTGTACCTGGGTGTCTCGGACACGCACGACAAGCAGGTGACTATCATGGAGGCTTTGACTAGGAAGTACGTATTTTTTTTTTCCCTCTCCCCCTTCCCCTTTTCCCCTCTTACATCAAAAACTAACAAATACCCCCCCTTCCCAACAGATTCACCCTCCACCCAACCGTCTCCCTCCGCTCCGTCGCCGAGCGTCTCCCCTTCACCTACACCGGCGCCGACTTCTACGCCCTCTGCTCCGACGCCATGCTGAAAGCCGTCACCCGCCAAGCCACGCTGGTCGACACCAAGATCAAGGAACTCAACGCCGCCGCCGGTCCTGAGGGAAAACAGGTCTCCACCGCTTACTTCTTCGACCACTACGCCACCAAGGAGGACATCAGCGTCATGGTCACCGAAGAAGACTTTTTGGATGCGCACAGGGAACTGGTGCCCTCCGTTAGTGCGGGCGAGTTGGAGCATTATGAGCAGGTTAGGGCTATGTTTGAGGGGGCTAAGGATAAGGATAAGAAGAAGGAGGGTGCTGAGGTTACCAATGGGGTGAATGGACACGGGGAGAACGGAAACGGTATGCTGGCTATTACGATGGGTGATGACGGCGCGGACCGCAAGGGAAAGGGAAAGGCGGTTGACAATGAAAAGGGCAAGGAAGCCGTTTCGCCTTTCCAGGAGGCGGGTGGAGATGAGGATGAGGGGTTGTATGATTAGGAGGTTGGTGGTATGATTTTGGATAGCATGGGAGGAGGGAAAGGGGTGTGATAATGCGGTTCGTTGTCACGCTGCGCCGTATGTACGTAATTGAGAGACGGGATGGGGACTACACTACCTTTTGGATATGTCTATAGAAATCCGGGGGGTGCATTAAAGGAGAGGAATAAGTAAATAATTAAGCAACATAGACGATGATGGAGAACATGAAGTTGGCGTGGCGACTACTCAGATCAGGAGTATGTAATAGATGGGTATGGTTTCTTGATTATGTCTGAGCTACCTCCTGGATATCAACAGAATATTATACTTGCTTTAATTACCACCTTACAATCCTTCCCCTTCCCGTTTAGTCACCCCATAAGTACACTATTCCTCAACCTCCTCATCAGGAACCTCCTTAATAGTCTGCGCCCTCTCAATCTCCTTGATCTCCTCCTCCGACGCACTGGCTATCAGAGCGCCCTGCAAAGAGGTAATCGGCGCGTCCACGTCCGTCGGCTGCCACGTCGTCGACGTAGGCGACTGCACCGTTCGCGACGCCCCGCTGTCGTCCTTCCACCCGCCTGAGGTGGGTGATTGGAGACCAAAGCCTGCTGCCTCTGCTGCTGAAGATGGGTGAGGTTGAGCGGGGGAACTGGGGGTTGGGATCGGGACTGGGTTGGTTGTTGTGACTGGGGATTCTGTTGTTGGTTTCGTTGTCGTCGCCGCGGGCTCTTCTGGCTTTGTTTCTGTTGTCGTCGTCGTTGTAGTCGTCATCTTTCCAGCCTCTGCGTCCTCTTCGTCCTCTACAGTCGCCGCTTTGGGGGTCTTGCTTGCAGCGGCAGCGGGCTCGATAGTCGCGGATGGTGCTAGTGCCGCCGTCTTCTCAGCTTCTGCCTTATCCTCATCCACCTTCTTGTTGTCTTCTTCCTTCTGCTCTTCCTTCTTCTCCAGTTTTGGCTCCACGGCACTGCTAACGGCCTTTGTCGCAGCCTGTACCTTCTCCTTAGCCTTTGCGGCGGCTTCTTCGGCTAGGGTGCGGATCGGCAGCGCCATCTGAGCGGCGGCAGACTCTGTCGCGCTCTTGACTTGTGATGCGACGCCGCTCGCTGCTGTACCGCTCGGGCTGGCGCCGGCGGCGGAAGGTTCGGCAGCAGGCTTCTTCTTCTTGCCGTACTTTGGCTTAGGCGGAACGGAACCGATGGGCGGCTGGGTGAATTCGTCTTGGAAGATGGTGACGTGCTGCTTGAGCTCGCCGTATTCGTTCCATTCTTCGATTTCGACGATGTCCTGTACGTATTGAAAGTTAGTTTCGAAATTGTTTAAAAAAGAAGACAGAGGTCTAGTGGGAAGAAAACGGTGGTGGTGGTGGTGGTGGTGTGACAACAACTTACACCCACGACGAAACCCTCCTGGACCAGAGCCGGCAGCTTTCGCACACGGCCGTTAGGGTCCTTGCCGGCACGGCGACCCCAGAGCATGCGCGCCTTGTCGTTTGTGGCCATGTCGACGGCCTTGAAAGGGATGCGGTTGGCTCGAAGGATGGTCTCGAGTCGGGAGGTGGCCGTCACGATGTGCGACGAGCCGGCCGTCAGGGAGGTATAGATGTAGAGGGCCGGATCGGCCTCGAGCTCTCTCAGCGATGACGCCATGGTTTCGGGTTCGAGATGGTGGAGGGCTGAGAGGTGGTTTGCGTATATGGAGATTGTTTGTCTTGGGTATGGATGAAGTTGGGCTCGTGATGTTCTGAGCTTCTCGTGCTGTTGTTTACAAGTGAGAGGTAAGGTAGCAACGAGGAGGATGGACTACAGTAATAACAACCCCTTTGCGGTGCCGGGTCCGGTGTAATAAGAAGCGTACGGGGTGCCCGGTGGACAGGCAATTAAGGTAAGGAGGTGAGACGAGGGTTGGCCTGCTAACGGCTTACTCCACTGGTGACCACGGCAGCGTTGGGTACAGCTCATTCCAGTTCGCGTACAGTTGACCGTGGGCGTGATTGCGGGGTAGGTATCAGATGGCGGTAGCTAAAGTAGGTATTAGCGACGGGAACAGCGGAAGGAGGGGGGCATCTGGCCGATCGCAACCTAGAGGTATTTTGCTCTTGAGAAGGAATGATAACATTCCAGTGTATGTCAAAATAATGATGGTCCTGCGAGGTGTTGTTCATCACAACTACACCATTCAAGTGTGGGGGTCAATGGAATGGAATGCGTGGACCGGGTTGAACAGATGGCTTTCTCTGAAGATATATCAAAGGAGTCTAGAGTCTATAACGGGACTTGATTCGAAACAGCAAGCTTCACACAACCAACATATTGTCCTGTTCAAACACTGTCGTTCTATTTGTTCGTAGGTAATGGACGGTGTCCGTATGTATCCCCCGCTCTCAACCGGAGCTGACCGGAGGTATGATAGCCACCTCGTCCCCTTCTTGTATAACAACAGCGTTATCCTCGCCGTCTTCATCCTCACTGCTCGGCATCTCCACGTAACTCAAGTTTATCGTGACCAGGCTGTGATCAAGCACCGTTTCCCGAATGCCCTGGTACCGCTCCTCGAGTGTGTCGAAGAGTTTCCGCAAGGGCAGCGGCGCTGGCAGAGCTTCCATATCCTTGCCCGTGTGGGAGCTAGCACTTGCGAAGTAAAGGATGTTGAAGTGACCCTTTGGGGGTTTCGGCGCGCTCATTGTTATTTGTGGATCAGAACCTGCCAAAACTGTGTCTTGTTAGCCTTCTTGAACGCAAAGGGATCATGAAGATGTAAGACGAAGTGATTGGTGGCTGGATAGTCAGAGATCTTGGTGATTATTGAGACATCAATGTACTTCAGAGTAGCAAATAATTTAATGCATCATCCGAGCCGTGGTGTAGGAAACCCAATTGGGCGTGTTGGGATGAAGACTTACCAATTGAGGATTTGCTGGTGGTTGTTTCGTTAGGAAATGCGTCATCTCGCTCAGAAATTCTGGGCTTCAAGACCGGCGCATCGTCGAATTGTCTCCGTCACGTGCAGATCGCACTAGTGACGAGAGCAGCTGCTCAAAGCATAATAACAGCTTTGCAGGATCCCATTGGATCTCGGCAGTAACAGTCTTCACGAGGCCATCGTGATATTCCACTTGGAGAAACTAAAGCCAGGCGTTGAGGAGTCGCTGCCAGAGAGCCTGGGAATGAGTGTGCAAGAGGAAAAATTTCTGCTGATTGCAGAACTCAACCTTTTATCGAAGAACGTGAATGGGTCCAAGCGTCGCTGGAGGACCCACCTGATTGGTTATTGAGTGGGCCTGCAATTGAAGATGGAAGCTCCACGAAACCTTGGAGCTTTGAGTCGTCAGGGTTCTCATCTCGGAGAAGTACCAATTGGTAACTTGAATACTCGACTTTCTGCAATTGTGTAGGTATGTATAGATTTACCAATGGTGTTTAAATCTAGACGTCTCAGCCTCAAATTTCAACACACCGGAATATCTCACAGAAAATTACGTAGTGATGTGTCCGTTCAGTTGGAATCTCGCAGTGACAAGTAACATGGAGTATGTGATAGCCATTTCACCTAGACTTGGGTATGATACTTGGACACAACAAACATGGCGTTCAGTTCAACTTGGCCATCTTCGCCTCCAGCTCCTTGATCCATCCCGACATTACGTCCATGTTCTTGAGCATAGCAGCGTCTCCATCCTTCATGGCTGTCTCAACCTTTTCCAGGCCCTCTCTCCACTGTTGAATATCACCTGCCATATCAGCCTGCTTTGCTTCTAGACGTGCCAGCGTCTCAGATGCCGTGGCGGCATCGGCATGAATCACCCTGAGAGACCTTAGACGGTCCAGCAGAGGGGGTAATAGAGGTGTCAGGTTCTCGATCGTTGGGATGGTCCCGTAGAGGGCGTTGATCTTGGTCGTCAGCTCCGAGTCTTCGGCCGCAGTTGGATCAACTACTGGCGTCGCGCCTGTCGATGCAAGTGCTTCCTGAGCTGCCTTTGCATTCTTGCGCGCTTTCTCGAGACTTTCGGCCTCCTGTGCCAAGGTTCGAACTCTGCGAGTGATGCTGTCCAATGAGGATGTTGAGGCCTCAGACAAGGTCTTGACCTGACTATGGAGAGTCTCGAGAATGGGTAGTATCGCTCTCGGCAGGCCGTTTGAATCGAACTCGGGCATCTCTGGAGACCCAACCCCTAGGGCCTTCTCAAGGATGACGAGCCGTTGGTCAAAGTCGGCTGCCTTTGCTAGCGCATGTGTTTCCTCGTAGGTCGGTGCATAGGTAACGGTGTAACTCGCGAAGCCTTCTGTCGTTTCCGACGGTCCCTCATCGATGCGAACAGACTTGGTTGGTCCTGCGACGGTAGCTCTAGGCGCAAGCAAGTCATCGAGCTTTGACATCTCATCCAAGGTCCTGCTCAGGGATTCGATTTCCTCCTCGTCCTGGCCCACCGTCTCTGCTTTGGGCTGCTCTGCCGCTGCCTTCTGCCTCTCGTACTCCTCCTTGGCTTCCTCGATTTCGCGCTTTAGCCGTGCAAGCTTTCTCGCCAGGTTTTCTGCGTCATCCTCATCGCTTAGGTCGCCCAGCTCCTCGGTGCCATCCTCTAGAATCCGTTGCCGCCGACTTGCAGTCTTGTAGGATTTCCTCTTGCTGTTGAGCCGGTCTGAGAAGTCGACGTCGCTGGCGTCTACCGCAGCAGGCATGAACCTCGAACGGGCCGCATCGATCCGGAGACGCGATCGGGAGATGGCGGCAGAATCATCCTCTTCCTCATCGAACTCGTCATCGGAGGGTGACCTCACAGTTGTAGGCTTAGGACATGGTCAGTTTTGGACCGAATGGAATAGCTGCGAGTCAGCTCACCGGAACTGTGGAATTGTCGTCTGTTAGTTCTGGTGTTTCGTAGATATCTGGCGCGGAATCCTGGGTTGCGGTGTGGTTAGCCACCAGTTCGTTTGCAGAGTTCCAGAGCATGCGGGCTTACCAGGTCCGGCAGGGCAGCATACTTTCGACTGGACGCCATCTGTGTCGATTGGTCTATGCGCCACAAGTCCCGAGGTTATCGAAAGTTGATCTTGCTACTCAGAGAAGTTGACGTAAATCGACGTCGGATCAAGTTGTCGTTCTCGTGCGCGAATGTGGTTATGGCTTTTGTTGTTCTGGAGCTACGAAGTCAAGTCGGATGTGATGTGCTGGAGCTATAGTGCTGTTTGCGCCGCCTATCATGCACGTTGACAGGGGGGGCAGGAGCGCCCCGCGGCCCCGCCAATTACACGACGGGAGAGAGGGGACGCGTCCCCGTCCTGTCCTGGAGTTGTCCTACTTTCAAACTGCATCTAGTACTCACCCTATGCTTGGATTCGTGGCTCACCGTCGCGTTTTCCCTTCGAAAAACATAAAATGAGATGAAAGTGAACGACTCGGGATTTCCCTAGTTCGGTATGTAGGTATTTGACTTGTTCATGACACTCCACTACACCAGTCATCTTAAAACTAACGACCACGGCGCAGGTTATATGCAGGGCCATTCCTGCATTCACTCAGAAAACGTCCGGCATTTATTCAGAAAACATCCGGCATCCAGGTTCTCTGCTATCCGCCGCAAAACTTTTAGCATTTTCCCAGGCCAGTTCTACGCTGAACGATATAGCACCGGTCTTGATTGATCTTCAACTCACGTGGGAGTTATTCGCCTTATCTGCAAAATTCAGTTTCCAGTCTTGAACAAGCCTTCCCAAGAACCAGCAAGACACCGATTTTCCCACGATCGTTATAGTTCGTATGAACGACACCCAAGACCAACGCGCCCGAGTCGTTGGATTGAATAAGAATCAACAACTTAAACCACTTCTATCGACTTTTAGAAGGCCTGTGGTTTCCGAGAACGGCCCAATGTTTTCCGAAGACACATTTGCCGCGGACGTACCAGTCCCCAAGTTCAGAGCGTCAGTCAACGACATCGGCAGTTCAGGACCCAAGCAAAGTAACGATATGTATATTCCCAAGTTCCCGGGAATCGACCGCGACGATGAGGATGGTCCGGTAGTGAAGAAGCCTCAGGATATGTCTGTTCCCAGGTTCAAGTCAGCTAGCGACAATGGTCACGATCCAATCACCAGGAAAGATGATGTTTGGCTTGCCACGGAAGTTCCCAAATTCAACGACTTCCCAAAAAGTACCGGCGGTGGCAGGGACATCGCAAAGTCTGAAAAGACCGTTAACGTCGATGACCCTCCTGTGAGCAGCAGTGACGACGACGACGACGACCCATTTTCCAATAGGGGAGGCATTCAACCGACATTTATCCGAGGCCAACAGATAAAGAAGCCTGCTTTGTCACCTCTCGATGGTGATAAGCTCACCACGACTGAGGACGAGGCTGTATCCGGTACGACACTAGATGGATCTGGCTATGGCAAAAGGAACACGCGTGCGTCGGCTAGTAGGAAGCGAACATTGGGTCCCCTGAGCGACGATGACATCGAGGACGACCAACCTCAGAAGAAGGCGAAGACACAGACACATAAGAGTGAGGAGTTGGGTAGCCACTTGAAGGCCAATATAGACGCTATAATGCGATGGGGGGCTCCTAGGAAAACGGCAGGATACGGAGGCAAGACAGCATATGGAAGCAAGGCCAAAGCATCAGCAGCGAAAAGCAATGCCCTGGTTTCGAATAAGAAGCATATTGCAGCCCAAAAGCAACAAACTCGCACCCCATCGACTAAATCACGCACAACATTGCAACTGCCGACAAAAGTCGAGATACTGGAGCGTCCCAGTCCCAAACTCCGTATTCCACGTTTATTCGATGCGCTATCAGGAGACCAGGTCTCGCCCATCAAGAAGCCCATGGAGAAGCGCAAGATAAGGCGGGCGAAGCCACCACGCAAGCGCTCTCAGGAGACGGGGGATATGTCATCTGGCTATGACTTGGAGGACGATGAAACATCGGACCGTGCAGCAGCAGATACCACGATGCCCGGATCGCCAGGTTCACCTCTTTCGAGCCTCGACTCTACATTCAAAAGCTCGCGAGTTGTCCTCTGCCCAATGTGTGACGAGGAAGTCGATAAGTCCTTCTTCGAAGGGTTTAAAGCGAAGCATCCCAGAATGACTCTTCACCAAGAACAACAGTTCTGCCAGTCTCACAAGAGGGATTCGGCCAATAAGGAATGGCTGGAGAAGGGATATCCCGACATCGATTGGACCGTGATGGACAAGCGGATAAAGAAGCACTATGACTTTCTTCGCTCCGTTCTCAACGGCGGGGAATCCTATTACGCCACCGTGTTTAGCAACAAGATCAAGTCGGGCCAAAACAAGACTCTACTGAAATCCGATGGGAATCTGACTCCTGGATACTACGGCATGCGCGGTCTGCGAATTATGTCAGAACATCTAGTCAACAATTTCTCGTCAGAGCTACGGAACAGAGCAGTACAAGATCGCTTGGTGTCGAAGCGTGGCTATATGGTATACGTACAATCCGTGTTGGTCCCAGAGTTGGCAGTGCGGCTGATTATGGAGGATCGAATTCAGCAAGCGAATCAGGAAGTGACAGAGGAAGAGGCGAGGAATATCATGAAGGATAGCGTATGGGTGGGAGAGCTTCTGAACGAAGAAGATGCAGACCACGTCTTGTATGAGGACGAAGAAGACGAGGAAAGTCAGAATGATGAGATGGGGCTCAGAGATGAAGATGAGGCTCATCTCAGGTACGAGTATGAGAGCAAGTTGAAACACGAGGATGGGGATAAGCTCAAGTACGAGGACCAGGGCAGCGCAAAGCAGGAGGACGAAGATGTTAAGTCCAATGGCAATGTTATCATTCACATCGAGGACGATGATAAGGTCAAGTCCAAGGATCAGGATGATGCAAAGCAGCAGGGCGAAAACATCAAGTCGAATGGAAATGGTATCAACCAAATCAAGGACGAGGAGGATGACGACAAGCTCTCAATTTCTTCACTAACCAGTCTATCGGATCTCGAGGAGCTTTGATGATCAACGCCCGTTCCTCTGGGAGCCCGCTTGAAAATAATCCCCGAGTCACTAGATCCTTAGCCTGGAGGGTTTTGTTCGTCGGAAGTATTACCGACGGGGCTCAAGCGCGCCGATTTTCACACGAACGGCATGTACTGGGAGGAGCAGACAGAACATCTGTGAACTGGACAATTTTTTTTCCTTTTTTTTTTCTTCCTCTTCGATGCTTCATGGGGCTTTCTCCTGTCCATGGGCTTACATCGGTGTTTTATCCCCAAGGCCTTTTTCGCTTCGCAAAACATACTCGGTTTCTGCCGGGTCGCCATGTAATCCGCTGGTTAGAAGGGAGTTGGAAGAAACGGCTTCTGTTTGTAGATGTTTCCATTTGTTTCAGGATAGAAACATGCGAAGTCACATATCAGATTCACTGCTCCGCAATTGCGGCACTACCACTTTATGAAACTAAATGAAGCTACGACTCTTCAAAACATGATCTGCGAACGTTAACTGTCGCAACCCATTCGTCCCTCATGCACTCGAGACGGCCAGACTTTGTTTCCCCTCAGCTCGGTAGGTGTTCCGAGTCATTGCCAGCTGCTGTCTTCGTGGAGTTGTTGCGGGCATATGAGCTGCTCTTTACCCAAAGACTTGAGACATGTTCACAAACCCCTCCTCTCCTACAGCTGTCTTCCTGTAGACCCATTCTGACGAACGTGGCTACCTGTGGCGAGACACGGGAAGGGAACCCATTCATCGGGTCCATCGTCAGATCGAATCACGGGATGCCAAGGCAAAAAGCCCCCCTCTCTCTGTATAAAAAGCGTGTAGTGTAGATGTCCAGGAACTGGCGCAAAGCTACGGATCGGCTCGGATTCACTGTGTATGTGAGCAACCCTCAGCTTTTTGATGAGCAGATGAATAAGATGGAAAGTCAACGAAAAAGATGGGATGGGGTACATCGTGGAAATGGTCAATCCCGCTACCCAACAACGGAAAGCCTGGCTACTTTATTAAACTACCCCGTCACTACACGTGTTCGGGTAGCTATTTTGAACCGCGGGCTAATGATAAGGCAAGGTCCCTTATTTTACGGGGTAGAGGTACCAAGCGACGGCGAACGGGGCGCCGGGAACCATGAAGCTACACAGCACAGAGGTACATGTCATGCAGTTCTCACGTTGAGACCCTCGAGGCATTGCATGGTCCCTACAGCTGTCGAGTAACAGTCTAGGCATTAAGTAGGCCTTTTCAAGCGTTAATACTGCGACATTCACCGATTTTAGACGCCCGTCGACTGGACGTTGGCGACTTGAACAAACTTTAAAACAGGAACATCGTGAGCTTCACAAGGGCAAGATGAGCCCTTGAGACGCCGACAGGGTTGCGGGGCACACCCCCCAAGCGGAGTTGATGCTGCCCGGCCTGGCCCCTGCAAAGCGATGTACACTGCGGCTCACCGATGTGCCCACCATCCGTGCCCTGACACTGGCATCCGAACCGACTTGACATGGATAATTTTGGGGTGCTTTGGCGCACAGCAACCTCTCTGATGCACCTCACTGGCGATGGGAACTGCCCAATGTTCTGTTTTGTCACCGAGATAATTCGAGCGGTACCGCTAGAGGGCTGAGATGGCGTATGGGGGTGGTAGTACAAGCCCGAACCGGCAGGTTCTGTATCTTGTGTCTTCTTTGTTTGATACTCTAAACATATCTATCAAATGAAAGTCATATTCAACCACACGAGAAAATGTGTGCTAAAAAGCAATTGGGGGTTTCCTTAAAGCGGCTCTGATAGTCGAAAGTTGAATGAAACCCAGCCAACTTTCTTACCTTATCAACCCGCAGCCCCGAAAGGCTTTGGGCCCTGGAAACCGACTGAGGTTGACCAACAACCAGAGAACCAGAGGGACAGTGTAAACTCTCTTCATGTTCACACTTGCTGGTCAGCCCCCATTTCTTTCTCATGTCTGCAATGGGCAATATTACCGCCCGGGGACCTTTCGGACCCAGCCCGGCTTGTTATCTTAACGCGGCTCACACACACGCTCGGTACCTCATGGAAGAGGGCAGTGTTTGTGATGCTGTCCAGGACCGTTACACGACCATAGCGACTCGGTCAAGAAACCCGAGTACCTCTGGCTCTTTTTGAGGCACTTTACAGACTTTGCCATGGGGCCAATCGCTCGTCAAATCTTTTGCCAAAGTACTGACGGAGCCCCAAATTCCGACCACTAGTGTCTAGTGATGACCGGACACATATTGTCGAGTTTCTGATGGTGGACCATCTGGAGCATTTTCTCACCCACCACCCCCGGTCCGCCGTCCACCCACCCATGCTCTCCATTACCTTTCCCCGTACGCCAGTGACCTACCACCCTACCTCTACGCCCACTACTCACCTGCTGGTGAACATCGACATCTGATCCATTTCCGATTCGCTGCAAAAAAGACGGTTGAATCACTTTGCCGGCCCAGCAAAGAGAGCAGCCGCGGACCTAGCCACCCACAAGATTAGCAGCTGAACATCTCAACAACACACCAGCATATCGCCAGCAACGTCTCGGGCTGTCGGGATTCAACGTCCCCATCCTTGGTTGTTGCAGACACGTCCGCCATCTTAGCATCGGGCAAGGCCATGACCTGAAAACACTGGCCATCCCCATTCTCACGTGGAATGGCTGTGGTCTCCTAGTAGTCGGCACCTTTGTTCCGCTCGCCTCCCGCCGGTGACAATGACGAGAAATGAGGGCGGCTCCCGCTTCGGCTCCATGACGGGCTCCAGCACCGACAGCGCACGATCCAGCATCACGGCGAAGCCATTTCCCTTGACGCCGACCAGCAGCTCGACGACACGACCGCCGTCCCCGCCGCCGCAAGCGGGCAGCAGTAGCAGCAGCCAAAACGACCAAAATGTATCTCGGTCCGCCTCACAGGGTTCGCGCAGGCCCGCGCCGACGCGTTTGATGACGGATGACGGCACCCAATTTGCGAGGTGAGTTGAAGCGAGAGGCAGTCTGTTTTCCTGGTGGGGTTCGTGAGGGGGGGGGGGGGGGGGGAGTCGTGTACGCCGCAGCGTGATGCCGACGACGACCCCGAGCGGTTCTGTGATACGGATACCTACCCAGTCTTGCTTGCACAGTCCTGTCCTGTCACCGCAACTATCCGGAAACCCCGTCCTTCTTTGCCGCCCCGTCCCTTCCGCGCGCCCATTTGCATGTCAAGCCTGTTCTTGCCCTATCTTCCTGTAGCTCAAACTAACGGGTGCATGCGTCGGCCGCCCATCTACAGCAGGTCATCGAGAGATTTCGAGTCGCCGCATTCGCAGGCGCGGTCGCACTCAGTGTCACAGGCCACGCTTCAATCGTATCAATCGCAGCAGACGCCGACGCAGCAACAACCACAGCAACAAGTATCGCCCACGGGGGGCTCGGGGGGATCGCGCCTGACCCAGTCGCCCACTACACCGTCCAATGCGTCAATCCGCGAGCACAGAATGAGCGAGCTGGGGGGATATCGCCGTGAAATGGCGGCCATGTTGGATACCACGGGCGGCGGAAGTCGAACGTCATCATCGCACAGTCAGCAGCAGCAACAGCAACAGCAGCAACAGCAACAGCAGGGGGGCGCCTTTAGCAACCTCGGCCAGTACGCGCCGTATCTGGGGGGCAACAACGGCGGCGGCATGTCCATGGGCAGCTTCTTCAATGACTCTACGGATAATCTATCGGTAATATCGCAGCTGTCGCCGGGGGTCCGGCCCATGACGGCGCGGCCATCGCAGGCGTCGACGGGCAGCATGGAGTTTCCGGATTCGGCATACTACGACGACGAGCGGCGGCCGTCGATTGCTTCCATCACGACGACGGCGAGCAGCCAAGGGTCGCGGACTTCCAAGACCCGGGGCGGGCTACAGAAGCTCCAGCAGTTTTTTGGCGATCGGGACGATTGGCCTGGCCGAGATTCGTCGGAAATTAGCCTGCCCCAGCCGAGTCACTCGGGCCCCATGTCCACGGGGAAGGAACACCGATCGCACTCTTACAGCCTAGGCAGCGGTCGCTCCCACCGGGACCGCAACTACTCCAATGCCACCGATCATCAGTTTGGCTCCGTCTCGACTGCTGGCGGGCGAGATAGGGATGCCTCGCCCGTGCCCTCGAGACCGCGAACCCCAGTGCCTGCGCCCGAGGTTGTGCCGTTTCTGTACCAAGAAGCCGACGTATGTATAGCCTCTCTCGCTCTTTCTCTCTCTATTTTTGTCTCCTTTTGTAATTTACTCCTCCATCCCCTCTTCGATGAAAAAGTGGTATTCTGGTGATACAGTACTAGTAGTACTAGTATCCCTAGACCTAGGTACCCATTCCCACGCCTCGCCAAATCTTATCTTTGGCCTTCTCTTTCTTATCCATCTCCACCCCCGAGCTATCCCGTTTAGGAATCGCGAATTGGATGAGTGGCAGTGGGATCAGCATTGGCAATGGCCGCCGTCCGTCTAGTTCACTCTTTGCTCCAAACGCAACGCTCGTTTGACGCTTCCTGCAACATGTCGGCGGTGAGATGATCCCTCCTGCCATCTTCCGTCGCTAAGTTCACAACAACCACATCAAACCTGGCAATGACTGCGGATTCTTCTATACCACAATAACAACGACAGCCTGCCAGTGAGGTGTCATTGTTGCCCAGCTCCAATCCCGAGAAATCCGCTCTTTCCTGCTATTCTCCTGTCTGGACTCCTCCTGCCTGAAAAAAAAACCAATCCGTGTAATAATCACACGAGTAATCGCTTTCGTCGTAACTAACCATTGCACGAATCACAGGACATCGCTCGCTATGGCGAAGCACCCGTTCGAACAAGTCTCACTGGCCCCGATCGCGATCGTTACATCGACAGCTCCCAGAACCCACCAAAGACATCGTCTTCCGCCCGGTCAGGTCACTCCATCGTGCACCTACCGGGTCATCATAAACACAACAAGAGTAACGAGGATCCAAGGACATTGAGGCCAACGCTTAGCAGGGAGGATTCGGCAGCCACTTTCGCTAGGGATCACCGCAACGGTTCCAGCTCTATGATGGGCACCCGATCTCGCGCACAGAGTCCTGCTCCTAGTTGGACAGGGCCGTCGCGGGGACTCAAAGGCACCAGTATTTCCGATGGAACATCATCTCCAGCTCCGTCGCACAAAAAGGGTCTCTTGGGTCGCTTCCGCCGGCACAACAAAGACAAGGAAGATGGCTCCAGCCTTAGGAGTGGCTCGAGCCACACTCTTGTACACCGCCCGTCGAGACAGGACCTTTCCCGCGCCGCCGAATCCACCTACCCAGCATCTGTCAACGGTTCGGACCCTAGCGAGCAACGAGAGGTCCCTGTTCCTGTCCGCCCTGGCTTTGTGCGCCAGACGACGGCGCCGGGATTCACCACGAAACTCTTCACCTCCAAGAAAACGAGCTCCGTCAAACAGCCCCAAGACGATATGGACGAGGAGATTGGGCCCACTGACACGCACATGGGAGGTGGAACTGTCTATCATCTCGATACGAACCTCAATGATATGGAGGGCATTTTGACCAAGCCTCAGCCCATGACACCCCTGGACAACAGCTTTTCCACGCGGCGCGAATCAGAAAAGATGATCGTCCCGATCACGACAGAGCCGGAGGGCGCATGGGCTGCCCCGGACAGTTGGGCAGTGCGCGACAACAAAAAGTCTCTCGCCCCTCAGGCCGTCGAAAATGAAGACTTGAGCTCACGTCAACCTACCGAGGAAAAGGAGAAGAAAAGCAATTATTACATTCGTGTCTTCAGGTCAGATAGCACCTGGACTACGCTCACCCTGCCCTTGACTGCGACAGCTGAGGATGTTATCATGGGAGTGGCGAGAAAGACTTATCTCCCTCCGGGTGCTCAGGACAGCTACTCTCTCCTTATCAAGAAGCACGATTTGTTCAGGGTCTTGAATAGCGCCGAACAACCCTTGAGAATACAAAAACGACTATTCCAGCAGATAGGTTACCAAGAAAAGGATGGCATTGACGAAATCGGTCGCGAAGACAACAGTTACATCTGTCGATGGGTTTTCCTCAAGGAGAAGGAGGCCGACATGCATCTGCTCTCACAGGACATCAACTTCAGGAACCAGAAGCTCAATCATGTTGACCTGTCTGGGCGCAACCTAATAACCATACCGGTACCGTTATATCGCAAGGCAGCAGAGATCGTATCCCTCAATCTGTCCAGAAACCTATCTTTAGATGTCCCTAGAGACTTCATACAAGCTTGCACTTCTCTTCGGGACATCAAGTACAACAACAATGAAGCGCAGGCCTTACCCAAGAGCTTCGCCACGGCCAGCAAGCTTACCTATCTAGATGTGTCAAACAATCGCCTCCAGGATCTGGATCATAGCGAACTGAGCAAGCTAACAGGCCTGCTCAAGCTGAACCTCGCCAACAACTGTCTGCGCAGTATACCCCCTACGCTTGGAGCCTATAAATCGCTGCGGACACTTAATATATCTTCCAACTTCCTCGACGTCTTCCCATCGTTCATCTGTGAGCTGGAAACCATCGTCGACCTCGACCTGAGCTTCAATTCAATCAACAACCTTCCAGGTAACTTGGAGAAGTTGAGAAACCTTGAGAAGTTCGTTATCACCAACAACCGACTGTCCGGGCCCATATCCGAGAGCGTGAGGGACCTAGTCAGCCTTCGGGAGTTGGACATCAGATACAACCAGATCAGTACCATCGACGTCCTTTCTGACCTACCTCGGTTGGAGATCTTATCGGCCGATCACAACCAGATCTCCAAATTTAGTGGGTCATTTGAGAGACTTCGAAGCTTAAAACTCAACTCGAATCCGATCGTCAAGTTTGAAGTCAAAGCACCTGTTCCCACCCTCAAGATCCTCAACCTGTCCAATGCCCAGTTAGCGAGCATTGACGAATCAATCGACAACCTAATGAACCTTGAGAGGTTGATACTCGATTCTAATTACTTCGTCTCCTTGCCAAACCAAATCGGTAACCTTAAGAGACTTGACCACCTCAGCATGGCGAACAACCACCTAGGAGAGCTTCCTCCCGAAATCGGCTGCCTAACGGAGCTCCGCACGTTAGACGTCCACGGAAATAACATACGCAAACTTCCGAACGAGATTTGGTGGGCGAACAAGCTCGAACATCTTAATGCATCCTCCAACATCTTGACAGAGTTCCCCAAGCCCGCCTCGCGCGCGCCACAAGCGCCAGGAGAAGCTAGCCCATCTCCGGGTGCGTATCCCTTCCCGAATGGCAACAAGAACGGGCTCCTTTCGCGGACACCCAGTACGGACGACCTTAATGGGGATGCGTCGCGGCGCCCTAGTCAGGCTTCTAGTACACTCCTCGGCGTTGCCGTTTCACCCGTGCCATCAGGACCCGACAATAGGAAGAGCTCCATGGTATCGCTGTATGGCAAGGGAGGGCGCAAGACCTCCGTAGTGTCACGAACTACGACGCAGAGCAGCACTGGAGTAATAACCCCGATCAACGGTCCTAGGAAAGACTCCAGTCTGTCTTACCGATTTACCCACACGTTTTCGGGATCTTTGAAGAACCTCTATCTTGCGGACAACCAGCTAGATGACGACGTCTTTGAGGAGCTCAAGCACCTCCCTGAACTTCGGGTTCTGAACCTTTCCATCAACGATTTGAGCGACATGCCCCAAGGGACAATCAGGTCTTGGCCTCAGCTCGTGGAGTTGTATCTTTCTGGCAATGAACTTACTAGTTTGCCTGCAGAGGACTTCCTTGAGGAGCACTGTCTCTTGCAGACTTTGCATATCAACGGCAACAAGTTTATCAACCTACCGGCTGAAATATCGAGGGCGAGGAAGCTTCAGGTTCTGGATTGTAGTAGCAATAACCTGAAGTACAACGTTACCAACGTGCCCTACGATTGGAACTGGAATTTCAACCGCGATCTGCGGTACCTGAACCTTTCTGGCAACAAGCGATTGGAGATCAAGAACAATTACCGTCAACCACAGAGCTATAGAGACGATGATTTTGCCGATACAGACTTCTCGAAGCTGATGAATCTTCGTGTGCTTGGGTTGATGGAAGTAACCCATACCTTACCCAACATCCCTGACCAAACCGAAGACCGCCGTGTCAGAACCTCCGAAATGAAGGCCGGTGCTTATCTACCGTACGGTATGGCCGACACGCTGGGCAAAAATGAGCATTTGTCTCTTTTCGACCTCGTCGTGCCTCGCTTGGGTTCTGTGGAAACCGATACGCTCGTGGCCTTGTTCGATGGCAAGGAGCTCAGCACTGGTGGTTCGAAGATTGCCAAATTTCTGTATGAAGAGTTTAGCAGACTTTTCATACTGGAGCTTGAGAAGGTCAAGGGGAAGCCGAACGAGACTCCGGTGGATGCCTTGAGACGCACTTTCTTGTCGGTCAACAAGCTTTTGATGAGCCTCTCTAACAGCGCAGACGAAAGGGGGCTTGACTCGCACCCTGGCAGGAATTACGCTCATACGGTTCTGACCAAAGAAGACCTTAATTCGGGCTGTGTGGCCACCGTTGCTTATTTGAGCGAGCTGAAACTGTACGTTGCCAACGTTGGCGATGTGCAGGGAATGCTCATCCAGGCCAACGGTTCCTTCAAGATGCTGACCAAAAAGCATGACCCGGCGGATCCAGTTGAGCGCAGTCGCATTCGAAATGCCGGAGGCTGGGTTTCGCGCAATGGACGACTAAACGATGCTCTCAACGTGTCTCGTGCTTTCGGTTATACCGAGCTGTTACCAGCGGTGCAGGCAGCGCCTGACATCACCGAGCACACCATTGACGACAAAGATGAGACGGTGCTCATTGCCAGCAAAGAGTTATGGGAGTATCTTCGGCCAGAGCTCATCGTGGACGTGGCGCGTGAGTGTCGCAGCGATTTGATGCAGGCGTCTCAGAAGCTTCGCGACCTCGCGATAGCCTATGGGTCAACCAACAAGCTCTTGATCATGATGATTGGCGTCGCAAACCTAAAGCAACGACAAGCGCAGCGATTCAAGGGACAGTTTAATTCTGCTTTCTCGATGCCGCAAGATGATCCTAGTCATGCGCCGCCGAGCGGGAACAAGAGAAGGAAGGTGAGGGCCGAAGGACCCCTGGACTCTAATCTCATACGCCTTGATGCGGAAGTCAAGCCTCCAACAGGCCAGCTCTCCATCGTGTTCACCGACATCAAGAACTCGACGCAGCTATGGGAAAACCATCCCGAAGCCATGAGGTTGGCGATCAAGCTACACAACGATGTGATGCGTCGACAGCTCAGGATGATTGGTGGCTTCGAAGTCAAGACGGAAGGAGACGCATTTATGGTTTCTTTCCCCACGGCTACGTCTGCCTTGTTGTGGTGCTTTGCCGTGCAAATGAAACTGCTAACAGTGGATTGGCCTCCTGAAGTACTAAGTAACAGCAGCTGTCAGCCCACCTATGACCGAAACAACAATCTCATCACCAGAGGTCTCTCAGTTCGGATGGGTGCTCATTGGGGCGAGCCCCTAGCTGAGCCAGATCCGGTCACAAGACGAATGGATTACTATGGGCCCATGGTGAACAAGGCTAGTCGTATCTCCGCTGTCGCTGACGGAGGGCAGATTACTGTGTCGTCGGATTTCATTACGGAGATTCATCGATGCCTTGAAACCTACAAGGAGCCGGTTGATGTTGATGAGGACTACTTTGAGGATGATCCTACTGCAAGGGCCATCCGGGCTGAGCTCCGGGCGTTGAGCAGTCAAGGGTTCGAAGTCAAGGACATGGGCGAGAAGAAGCTCAAGGGTCTTGAGAATCCTGAGCTCGTATACTCAGTATATCCTCATGCTCTTGTGGGCAGAACGGAACAACACCTTGCCCATGCGGAGAGTACCCAGGACCCGGCCGCAGTGCAGCCCCCTGGCGCCCTTGCAGCGCCCAAGCCGGCGACTATGCATCCCGACAGCGAGATACAGTTCGAGCCGGAGACGATCTGGGGGTTGTGGCGTGTTGCACTGCGCCTTGAAATGTTGTGCAGCACGCTCGAGGAGCCTAATGCCCGCGGACTTCAGGCACCAGAGACCGAGCTATTGGAGCGCATGAAGCAAAGGGCGGGAGAGGTTACGGACCACTTTCTTCTTAACTTTATGGAGCACCAAATCAGCCGGATCGAGGTATGTTAAGCCCAAGCAGAGAGACCCTCCCGATAGCTTCAAAGACTAATGTTTCTATTCACAGACATGCATCACTTCGCTCGCTGTTCGCCACATAGCAATCGGCAGCGGACCAATCACCAAGCTGAACGATCTTCGGGCGCCGATGAACGATGTTCTCAGCACTCTCAAGGGACAAATGGACGAGCTCGCGCGGTACAAGGCGATGTACGGGTCTTTGGACCAAGCTGACACCGATGGTGCCACTGACAACACCTCTAACGGTGACGTTGACACGCTGGATGGAAGTGATACAGAGCAAGAATAATCAATCGCGCATCATCCGCTCGCTGCCTGGATAAGAAGAAAGCAATAAATAAACACGCTCCTCGACTACCTATTACAACCTACCTACATAGCATAATCACAACACGGCACGGCCCTGGTCACAGCCAACTGTTTTTCTCATCCAAATTTGGCAATCCTACTACTACCATCACGCATCGCTACTTGGATATATCGTCAGGTGGCATCGCTTCTAACTCTCCCTGGGACGGTAGACACACCAGAGGCAGGCAACGTGCACTTTGTTTTCAAGTTCTCTGTTATCATCAGTATTCTTTTTCTTTCATACTGTACTCATGAAGGCTTGGATTAGGACGGGCTAGGTTGGGATAGGATAGTATTTGTTACGTTCCCAACGGCTCAGTTCGACCTATTCTTTTTGTTGTTCGTCTCTCTATTACTAGCGTAAATACCCAATTATCCTCTTCATCCGTCTTTTTTTTTTTTCGTTGTTCATCGCTTTTAGTCTTGGACTTGTTCTGCTTCCTGCATTGTTATTGTCGTTAAGAATGAGATGAGATTAGGTTGGGTGAAGTGTCGAAGTTGGAAAAGGAGGAAGGTCAAATGGGGACGTTATGGCCGGTTAAGTTTGTTTTTGTTTTGTTCTGTTGTCTGTTTAAGTAAGTGAGTGAGAACCTGTAATCATGGCAGGCGCTCTGCGTGTTTCAAAACTTTAACTTGTAGTATATATCTTTCTTATTGGTGCAGTGGTAGTCAGTTGGTTGGATTGGACTTGGGAGGGTCGGTCTTCTCTCTTTTGGTCTAATCACATCGGTCAATAAAGGGTTGGTGTTGAGGAAGGAAACTGGGAATGGAAGAGGAGGAGGAGGAGTGTTTGGATATTGTTACTTGAGTAGTATAGGAGAGGTGAGATGATAGTGTTAGTGGGAGGGAGAATGAGAAGAGGTAGTTTTCAAGTCGATAATGCACATTCGTGACCATTGTCTTTTCTGAACTTGAAAAAGGACATGATGGTGTGATAACATTATACTTGTAGTACGTAGGTAGAGTGAGCCTCGTGGCTATGTCGAGAATAGGGGCTTACACCAACCCACCCCCTCTTCTGATTGGCCAGCCATCGAAGGAAAGTACGTTACCACCCCTTGCCTACCGTGCCTGCCCAAAACCCTCGAGTTCATGACAGACTGCTCCACAGTGACATGACAGCTTGAGTGTTGCCCGCCAACCCGCCGAGCCCGCCTGCAACCAAAGCTCCCTGTCCGGTCATCACTCCTGGCACGGCATAGGCAACGCACGTCTGCGACACCTCACTGCACACAACTACCAATACAACGACGACAGTTTTGACCACGCACGACGAACAGGAGAGCCGGAGGTCGCAGATAATACCTCTACGCCCGCCCATCGACGGATTAAGGTCCATTGAAGTGGACTTCCACTTATCGAGTCCCGCTTCCAGTTCATTCCATCGAGACACACGGCCGATTGCCCTGCCACTTCGAAATAATCCAAAACCGACCGACCGACCGATTGCGCGCGCGCGCCGACGAAAGACTACACTACTAGCTAGTATTTCCGACCGGCCAGCTGACCGGCGACTCCGTCCATCAAAATGTTGATCTTCGGAAACCTGATCTATGTCTCCTGCCTGTTGATCAACGCTATTGCCATCCTCTCTGAGGATAGGTTTCTTGCTAGGAGTATGTAGCCCTATGCCCCTACGTCCTTTGCTTGCTTGCTTTGTCGCGCTGCTGTTCTGCTGCTGTTCTTCTGCTCTGGGGCTGTGGTGGGGTTCCGTCGAGGGGAGATGGGTGGGATGTGGTGTTTGCTTGGTGATGGAGATGGGATGGGATGCGCGGATGGAGAGATGAGAAGAAGATAGGTTGGGGGGGAGGGGAGGGGAGGGGAAGGTCAGGCGGTTCCAAGCTTTCTGACTTGGTTCGACTGGGCTGGACTGGGTTGGACTGGATAAATCGCCAGCCAGCCAGCCAGCAGACATACGGACAAATACACAGATTGGGGCCGGTGAGCGGGCGAGCAAGGCGAGGACATACATACCGTACCTGTTCGGTTCATGATGCCCCAGGGCACACTGGGACTGACAGAGAAGGAGGAACAACCACGACCATTCATTCCCCCCTCCAACCATAAACCACACCCAAAACAGCAGACAAGCAAGCGCACAAGCGCACAAGCAAGCAAGCAACCTTGCAGACCCGATCACCAGCTAACCTTCTCCTCTCTCTCTCTCTCAACAGTTAACTTCTCCCCTTCCTCCTACGACCCAGCCTTCGGCCAAAGCGCAGATGCCTCCGTCCAGGCCAAAATTATGAACCTGATTGCGAGCGTACGGATGTTGATGAGGGGTACGTTTACACCCTAACGATGGTTAACAACCCAGCAAATACACCATTACTGACTTAAGCTTTTGTCATGTTTAGTACCGCTGATTATCGTCAACACACTGATAATAATATACGAGCTGGTGCTTGGTTAAGCAAATCTTCTTTTGGTTGAAGTCGAACATCACACCAAGAAAAGGGAAGCTGGGTGTCGACAAGATTTGGGGATAGGGAGAGAGGCCAGACAGAAGAGGGGAAGAGGAAAACGAGGGGAGAGTCAGGAACTGAAAGGGGCTGTAGAGCAGTTGGAGTCGAATTATACATATCTTAGGGAGGTCCTTTGGTTCGATCGAAACTACAGTACCTCGTGGGCTGGCTGACAAGAACAGAAAGAAAGGAGGATGATAATGCACCGGATAGATCATGATATATAAATAAGTAACGTAATTTGATATCACCGCCGGGGTATGATGGGTGATGAAGACTGGAAACTTTCTGAAAGGGGCGGGAGAGACGGTTGTGTGATATCCGATGATCAGAATTGCGAGGCAGGATTGCGTAATTCATTCTATCAGAGTGGTACAATCACTCTGCTTTCCGTCCTGTGAATGGATGTAGGTCTACAAGTACCGGTAGACATTCCATCACTGCACAGTACTAGCTTTGTGGTTTGTTGACAGAACATTTAAACCAGCTCGCTATATTAACTCAAGAAGCAGAATAGCGACACTATATTGTACTATTATATATGACTTATCTTCATCAAAATATCCAACACACCGAATAAATGATTAGTACAGTACAGTATCTCATTGCATAGCCAACCGCTTTGAGACAGAACTGAACTATGGATGGCTCTTATCATAGCAGTCGGCCACCTGCATATGTTCTCTCCTGAACGGAACTTGAAGGCTTAGAGGACTGGACGATGAATCAGTAAGGAAGGAGCGAAGGTTCGCAGAAGGAGCAGATGTACCTCTGTTAGTGAAGCACATGCTTAGGTATGTAAGAATTCAACGAACGCTCTACTACCGCTTCTAACAGATGTCCCGCCCGTGTACCTGTCATGGAAAGGGTTCCTGCCGAATCGGGGATTTACGGTTGTTGAGGCGTCAACGGTATCTTGCAGTGCTTCTAACCGTCCGGCAACCGCAAGTCCCTAGCTGCCGATTGTATTTAATTGACTCGGAGTGCAGTGCTCACAACGAAGTTCAGGGAACATGTTGTTCGTTTCAGTAACTTTGCTTTCTACTTTTGTTCATTTCCGCTCCCCTAGACCTGCATATATACACCAACCACGACCAGAAAAGAATCGAATAAGGGCGCGGCGGTTTTGAACAACTCCTCTCACACCTCGACCATGCAATGTAGGTTTTACACACAACTCCATCAGCAAGCAAGCAAGCAGTGTGCATCTATACAACGATGTTGTCCATCCCTCCCTCACCCCTCTACACTGCATCTACTCCCCACGCTAGATCGACTTCTAGCACTACAATTGGAGCACTCCTCCACCGCCTCGAGACCGCCACCACCATTTCCAGATAGACATCCAAAAGGCCTATCGCACTACGACAGAAACCGCGAACTCTTCTTCCTCCCTATGCTGAAGCTGAACCGGTCTCGCAGCGGTGGCTTCTCGAACCTCTCCGGGGGCGTAGGGGGTGGGCCGGGTATGGAGGACGTCGAAGCCGACCTAGACGCTCTCACGTCTCTCTTGATACCCTCTGTCGTGGTCATGGATCTCATCGGCGAGCTCGGCAGGTAGTGATTATGGGGATGGATGCCGTTCGGTCCTCGTGACGTGGGCGATAACGGTGACGAGGTCGGTCCTCGTGATGTGGGCGATAACGGCGACGAGGGCGAGAACCCGCCGAAGTTGTGGCCGCCGCCATAGCCATCACCAGTAGTCGCGCGGCTACTGGCGTTGCTCTCAGCCACGCCGCTGCTGGTCATGCTGCCGTTGCTCCTCTGCTCGGTGCTGCTGCTTCCTGCCCTGTCACTCTTATCCTTATCGCTGCTCTTCTCGGACTTGTCGCTGCCACCACCGCCGCCGGTCTTTCCCAGAAAAGAAAAGCTCTTGCGTGAGAGAGACTTGCTACCCAGACCGGCGCGGTTGAACAGCCTGGGACTGCTGGGGACACTCTTAGGGCCTGCTTCAGCAGCTGCCGCCTCCTTCTTGCGCCTCTTCTCTTCCTCGGCGGCCAGCTGTTTGCTCTCGCGCATGACCTTTGCTAACTGCTCCTGCTCTTTCTGCTGTGCTTCGCGCTTCTTTGCGAGCTTTTCGAGACGCTCCTTTTCTGCGAGCCTTGCTGCCTCTTTCTCGGCGGTTTTTCGAGCCTTTTCCTGTGCTTTCTCTTGGGCTTTCTGTTCCTTCTTCTCCTTGGCAAGTTCTTCCTTGGATTTCGGTGGCACCGTGGCTGCCTCGTCCGCCTTCGTCATGACGGCAGGGGCCGGAGGAGGTGCAGCAGCTAGTGGATGAGAGAAAGGCTCGGGTCCGGGGGCCTGGGTCGGCGTCGAAGATTGTAAGATACTGGCAATTCCGCCTGGAGCTGTTTGGGCGTGAGCAAGGCTTACCGATGGGTCAAGGTCCTCGACTGGTACTGTCGGCTGACTGTTGATTTTCGTCAAGGGGTTCTTTTCGGTCCCGTTCACCTGTTCCACACCGGCTGCCAGGTCGGCTGCTTGAGTGGCTAACCTCATCTCTTCCAGTCCTTCGGCATCCAACTCTTCCCTCATCTTCTCGAAGGTGACTTCCTGGTAAAATAGTACGTAGGCGCAAGCCATGCCTGGCTTGTCGCCGAAGAAATTGGCCACAAAATTCTTGTCTACGGGCTCAACCATCTCATCATCGAACAAAAGCCAGCCTCGGTCCTTGGTCTTGATGATTGATACGTAGTGTCCGTGGTAGGCATTACCTCCAATATGAACAATAACTGCGTATAATTCGTAAATCCTGTCCGGGTCTTCGGCATCATCCGTCGTGTTGAACATGCGAAGATAATATGGATAGGCGACTCGATGAAAGAGCTTTTGGAGTCGGCTGTAGTCCTCGGTATACTTGAACCTCTTCAGATGTAACGCCAGAACCTTCGGTAGCTTCTTAATCTTCATCCTCTTCTCGGCCTCTTGCAAGCCGCCACAATGATCGCAGTGAAACTTGTTTCTCTCGCAAAGCATCTCCTCTGCGGAGAATTTCCGTAGGCATGACGTTACCGATGAATGCTCTTCCAGATCGATCGAGAGATCCAAAAACGTCTCGTCTCGTTGTGATGCTGTCTCGCAAGTCAAGCACCTGGTTTCGGAAACTAGGACGCCTTCGAATATGTCGTGGACCCAGCTTGTCTCCGGCATCCTGAAATTAGATGCCATCATGCTCCTCATGAGGCTTGGGGATGATGATAGTTGGTTCAATGGAGACTGTATCGTTCCGTTCTCCTTCCCGCTCTCCTGCATCCGCCTAGCGTATGCCTCCACATTTGATATAACATCGTTTAAAACAAGGCCGTAGAATTCGTGTGCGTCTTGGTGCATAGAATTGCGGAACATCTCGTTATCGCGCTTGAAAATATCCAGAAAGCGCTGTGGGCTGATGACGCCGGTCCTGGAGTTGCTCTGAATAAGAGCAGTAAAGATATCCTTGAGCCCAGTAAAGGTGCATTCCTCCATGCCGTACGCATCTGGGTTTTCCTGTGCCAACTCCAACACGGGTCCTTTGATCATGGCCTGCTTTTTCTTGTATTCTGGGGCTTCAGGCCTGTCTTCGGGTCGTATGGGTTGCGTTATTGGCATCGGTATCGGTCCAGGAGTAAACCCTTGCCGCGGTTTGGGAAATTGCTTGCCGGGCGCCGCCGCATTTCCGTTGACCTGTACCGGGGGCCGTATCGAGACTTTGACCTTGCTCGTCTTGCCTTCTGATGTGTTATCCAAAGGCGGGTAGTTAACGACATTCTCTCGGAAAGGTTCTGAGTAGTATAGCGCTTGAAGGATCGAGTTGCAATAGCTGTTTTCCTAGGGTTAGCATCGTCTTTTACTGTCATCGGCCGGGTTGCGCATACCATGTGTTGCCAAACTGCGAAAGTCATTTGTGTTAGCGACATCATCCACACAGCAGGGTCCCAGAATGCGGTCCTACATTTTCCAAGCCAAAGTACTTGTCGCTTCCATCTTCCCGAAGAGGCCCAGCGTTCTGCAGTATCCTCTCAAGGGGAGTCAATTCCACCGCCGGCTCGTCCTTTTTGTTTTTGGAGGAGGCATTGTTGTCGGTTTTGGAGCTTCCCTGCAGGACAGTGTTAGCGATCCCAAAGATCATGTCAACACCCGTCCATTGGGAGGACAAAAGTTGAAAGGAGTCGTCAGACATACTGCACCTGCGCCTTTCAGTTTGTTGAAGAACCCTGCCATAATGCTATGGGTAGAAGGTAAACTGGAGGAGCGAGTAGGTAGTTTGAGGCCGAGGCAAAGTGTTGGCTACAGCTGCGCAGCATAAGCTCGGACGGGCGACGACAGCAAGTAGCGCTGTATCTGTAACCATTCGCAAAAGACCGAACTGCAGTGGTATGTCCGAGGAAGAGAATAGCAAAGGTCGCTTCGAGATTGAAGAGAGTGCGGAGGCACGGGCGGCCGGGGCGCAATGGGAGAATCGTCTTGGGGGCCGGCTCGTTGTCGCTCAATGCGATGCTGCGATGCGTATGCAGCTACCAGCTGGCAGTGGCCAGTCAGGCGAAGGAGTTGTTGAGTGCGCTTCGGATCAGGATCCTGTCTAACAACTCGTTGGGCTTGTTGCAAGATACGGTTTACGACTTTGGATCGCAGGATTGAGGCCAATATCCCGTCGAAGCAGTGGAAGACAGATAGGGCGACGACTGGAGATACGGCAGAGACGGAGAATGGGAGTGGAGCGGACGTCTTCGAGGTTGGACGGATGACGGACGGCGGGACGGGGGATACTTCTAGACATGCAGCGGAAGTTTAATAAGGGGTCCAGGAGCCGGCATGCACGCTGTAAGCAAGCAGGCCGAGTAGGTAGCCTTCCTTGGACAACTTGGTAGCCGAGCTAGTCAAGTATCGAGAACAAGCCCGTGAACGATGGGCTCTATAGAGCTATGATTTGTTGCCAAGGTATAGAGTAGAGTTGAGGACCGCAGGATGGGAATTGGCTTGCCGCGATTTGTAGCGTATACTGTATAGTGGAGAGATATCAACCAGACTCGGATCTGGGGACGGGAGACGGGAAGAGAAACTCGCTTTGCGGGATGGTGATGGGCTGACTGGTGGTGCAGCAGGTGCCGTGGTGCCCTGACTCTGAGGCTGGCCAAGTGGTACTTCTTGGTTATCTCGGCATCTCTTCACTGATCTTGTTGTAGCCGGCTCGCAGTGGCCGTTGCAACTTCCAGCATTCTCGCGTCGGTTCTGCCTTCTGCTTGGTGAACAGTGCGCGAGTCTTGTGGAATGGGGAGGAATGGTGGCATTCCCTCTGTTTTTAGTGGTGCGAGACTGGCGAGACTGGGGGACTGGAACAAGTCATTGAGAGGTGGATTTCCGGAGTCGAAGTGGAAGTGGAAAGCCGGGGGCCCGGATTGCGCTGCAGGGTATCCACGCGGGTTGGCTTCTCACACAGCGGACAGGCGCTCTGGCGGGCACTTCAGAGTCCACTTCACCACTTGTCACTGCCCGCTCACTGCCTCTTCCCCCCACTCGCTTCTCAAGCAATGATCGGTCTTGCTACAGCCCGGCAAAATGACGTTGAACAATGATCAGGTACCGCCTGTTGATCTTGGCACTCAATTCTCTCCCCCTTTCTCCAACATGGCCGATCGGATCCGAGTTCAGCACAGCCTACAGTACTTGACCTTGTGATCAGCTTGGCTTCATGAGAACTCTCAGAGCATCAAGTACAAGAGTATTCATAAAGAGAATCTGTCATTTACTCGGTTCTTTTCTGGCCGAGAACTCGGCGACCACGACAGCAAGTCTCGCGTGATGGGGGAGGTTACGAGGGCGCGTGCCATACATGTACGTCTACGTATTCGTCTTCTGGCTCTTGTTTCTCAAATGTTGGGTATTCGGACTTGATATGCAACCTTACCTGCCCCGTTGGGTAAAGTGTCTCTAGGGGCCACAACGGCGAAACGGCACCAATGGGGGGAGCAGTGGAGGATTCGACTATCCCCGGACGTTTAACACTTCGATATTCTCCACTTGCCGACCTCAACCGAAAAACGCTCGTCATCACGTCAGTCGGGATCCTCCTTCATCAAGTGAGTGAATCTCCAAACGAGGACGGCTGGTGATGGCCACAATAATGAAAAATCGCAGAGCTGGCTATGAAGCTATGGTCTACCGTCTGAGCTTCGCGGCGGCCGGCGGCTCTCCCACTCTTCACACCATCGCGGTTAAAACAATTGGGTAGGAGACTCCCCAGACCACTTTTCCCATAGCAGCAGACGTTACCTCTACAAAAGGTGTGGTTGCAATATAGGGTCATAGCAACCACATCGAAACGGCAGCACCGGCCGGATGGGTTCCTCGGTTCTAGGCGTCCATTCAATTTCACGCAAAAAGAGGCACCTGTGTTCCCATGGGACCACGTTGCTGGTGATCAGAACTCGAATGGCTGGCGGACAACCCCGCTACCAAGCAGCTAAGGGAGCACCAACCGAAACTTATGCGGCATGTTGGGGATGGCTCAGGATGAGGATGATGGATGGTAAACTATATCAGGGCCGTCATTATGCTCATGGACGCCACGCTGCTAACCGATTACCCTATAACGTTCGCCGTCCCTTGCCATAATGGTTGTCGATATTGCAGTCACATCCAAGACCAGAGCAGACTCGTCAAAGATATCCATACGGTTGGTTGCAGCTCTTTAGGAATTTGTCACGACACATGTACTTGCCGCCTATACTTTCCCTCCCAGTCCTCCTCCAAGACGAAGATGACGAAGTGCATACACATGGCTTTGGGATCATCCACCACTCAGGGACACGGAAACAGCTGGATCGCCCGCGATGCAGGGCCGCCATCGCGGGAACGATACCAGCCAAAGCAAGGCACAAGCGGGGAGGGGGGGTTCTTGGCCGGTTGGCCATGGGGAAGGCATAAGCCGTTTTCACAGCGAGCATAATCTGATAAATACCCACTGCGCGCAGTATCTACACCCAGACACCCAGGTCTTGCCCGCTGAATGGGCGTATTTACACCACATAAAGTCCGCAGTTGATCGTTCGTGGAACCTACCAAGTGGGATGTGATGCGCATGGCTTACTCGCATTAGCGCTGCCGGTGCTGTTTTGCGTGGATGTGCGACCATGGGAGCATGGGACAACATGAAGTTCTAGAAATATTCCGGCTCTATCAACTGTTATACCTCTGTATATGTATGCAGGTTTACTGATTTAAAGAGTTCGTTACAATGTCTTCGATTCAACCTATCTATCAAGTCTCATTACACGTCTGCTATGGTGTGGTGTAGTACATATTTTCCTCGAGTTATGACTGTGCTCGATGTTTCGAGGCCGATGTTTTCTTACAACTTGGCTCAGAGCACAATACATAAGGCAGTTGAGTAGAGAAACATGAACAGGTCTTACAAGCCACTGTCTCTCTCGTATTAACCCTCTTAGCAACTATGACTGAGGGCAACAACTGGTACAAACCACCAACCAACCGCTCGTCTACTTGTGCCGTTCAATGCCTCAACTTACACGACTGCGTCAGAGAGGCATGCATGTATATGGGAGGGGGAAAAACCTCGACGTGACACAGCATCAGCGCTTTAACAACAAGGCTGCTGCATCTGATACCGTCTTATCGTCTAATCCTATACTATCCGTCGTTATTCTTCTGGAAAAGTCAGCTGATTTTTGAGCGAGCACCCGTTTAGATCTGCCGGTGTTTCTATATAGTAGAAGTGACTGTGTATAGTTGGTTGGGCGAGGTTTAACGAATAAAGTGTCACTCTGTGAACTTCACTGCCTACTTTTCCTCGTTTCCCTTTCATACTACCTACCTAAATAGTGACATACACAGTCGGCAACGATGAAAGTAGGTAAGCTACCACTTATAACATCAAGAGTCGACGGAGCATTCAACCTTCAACACATATCTCCTAAAGCAACATCGCTCCCCGCCAGTCCTTTCCCATATTGAGAGACATCATGCTGGGCAGAAAGCTAAAAACACACGTTCTTCTACACGAACCTGAACGATCAAAATTGCCCCTCAGAGGACCAAAGGCAAGTCCGGACGGAGTACATACACCAGCACGGATATCACCTTGAAACCGAACAGCGCTTTTTGGGTAATTGTGGCTTAGGATCTGTCACAATCGCAGAAAGTGGACAATCAACATACACCCACAAGCAGGTAGATAGAAGTTAGCTGTATAGGTGAGGAGACCTCGGCGTAGTCTGAGATGGACGATGAGGCGTCAGATCTTCGTTTTCGAGAAATCGGTTGACAAGACACACGCAAGGTGTGTATCACTCAAACAAGTAGCGTCATCGTGAAGTTGTGGGAAACCCAGGGTGTGGGTAAAGAGACCAGGAAGAGTCTCTGTTCATGTCCCCTTGGGACTATGATCCAGATTGAGACGAAAATTCATCCGACCACGAAGGAAGAAGACACTCACAGAGAACGGATGGAAGACACAAGCCTGATTTGTAGCGAGAAGACTCGTCCTCTATCCCTTAAATTTTCCCAGAAAAAAGAGGAAATCGATTGTCATCGTACAAGCCAAGTACATAGTTTAAACAAACAGAAAAAAAAAACGGTAACCATTTCCCCACCAAATTCATCATCCCCTTAAACTGTGAAAACCGCTGGCGGATATCTTATGCGCCCCAGGAGACATAAAAGGTTTGCATGGGTTTCGTCATTTTCTCTAACCCTTTCATGCGCGGTTTCCTTTTTGGTTGATGTTTTCCGCCAGTGCCCAGTTCCCCAAACGCGCCCACCCCGCCCATCCCTTGATATCCTTCCCTTCTGTTATTATGCACGAAACAACCCACCCCAGCGAGCTCAGAGATGCCTACTACCGGCACCACCACATCTCCTTAAATAGTTATTGTGTTCTTGGGTAGATGAGACAGATCGTTGAATGGGATTCGTTTCCTGTCAAGATCGCAGCAGCAAGGAGGTCGCTTCTGTGCCATTGTGTTTCGTGTGAATATGGTATAGTTGTTATATGTCGCCGTCATTCATCGTTTTTGGTTCGTCCTAACCACTCAATGGAGAGTGCCGCCGCGGCTGAAAGAGAAACCAGATCGCTTCGGATAAGCATTGTTGTTTTGCTGATGTTCAGCTCGTTTAGCTGGAGAACTTGCGGGTGATCTTGGCGATGACTAGAAAAGAGAGGTATGTTAGCCATGTTCATTGCTGTTTATCTGTCTAGGGAACCCCGTGGACAAGAAAACCGCAGGGCGTTCCCCAAGAGATGAGACGGGCTAAACGTACTGTGAAGAGCAACAACGCTGAAGATGAAGACCAGCGACAGGACCAGGACGACAACGGGGTCGACCTTGAGGCCGGGGCTCTCATCGGTGTAGAGACGGAGCATGGTGCTGCTGGAGCCACCGGCGCCAGCGGCGCGCGTGCTGTTGGGGCGAGCATTGGCAATCTTCTCCTTCTGGTCGGCAGCGGCACGGCGACGGATGGCGGTACGGGCACCGCCCGGGGGAGGAGGCGAGGAGGGGCGCGCAGAGCTAACACCGGCAGGGCCAGCGGGCGCGGAGGAGGGGGAGGAGGCACGAGGAGAAGACTGTTTTAAGATGCATCGTTAGTTATGTTGTCACTTATTTCCCCAAACGACCAGCAAGCAACAGAATATGGTTGAAAGCTGATGGTATGATGCCGTTGTGATCACAATAGCATAATAGCAGGGAAGCTAGCTGTTGTAGACTTGAAGAACGTACCATTGTGACAGAAGATATTAAAAGAGGATTAAGGTGCAAAGAGCAGAAAAGAGAATGGAGTGGTGAAGGAGGGTATCTAAAGTGTCCTTCACGCTATAAATCGTCGTCGCGTAGATAGTGGTGGTGGTGATGATCGTGGCCGTAATTCAATGGTGGAAGCTTTGGGAGATGCGTACCTTGTAGTTCCACGGGTCCCCCTAATAATCAAGAGCTTGGTCTGTGCTTCCAATTGAGGCCACGGTTTGGAAAGATCGCTTGCCCGCCCGGACCAAGCGAGCCAAGCTCCAAGGCTGGGTTCGCCGCTCGCCAGGGCAGGCAAGTGAGAGCTTGGGCCGCAATTTCATTCCGCCGTCTGCCGAACACGCACAATTTGGTGGGTCCCAGGTGGAAGCTGCGCTTTTGTGCACCTTCTGGGGCAAGTTCGCAAGGTACACGGTACCTGAGTGGCTCCCTTGTCGCTCCTGCAGGGTTGAGACGGACGGATCTGGGCCCAAGATGAACTGTGGGGGCGTTCTTCAAATCCCCGGATTTCGGGTGCAAATGCCAAGCAACGTTGTCAGGGTCCCCTGCCCCTTGCATTGCTGCAGTGGTCGTGGTCCCCATCGCCATCAGCTCAACATGAGGTTCCTGCTTCAACAAGGTGCATGCGAGCGATGGAGCGGTATATATATTATATATGAGGCTCTACCTCAAGTCGAAGAGAATGATGCTTATGAGGACGGATATTTACTTCTGCTACCTAAGAAACCGGACCCAGAGGGATATGCAAAAAGCGGCTTTAACCGGGCAAGTCACCATTGCGAATTGAGAAGACTATACGAGGAGGCTTTGCGGGCTGACTTGACGGGAGCTCTACTGCATAGCACTTTGGTCGCGTTAACCTTCCATTTTCGCTTTCGATTGCTCTGTCTCTCTCTCAGGAGTTTGTTAACAGGACTCTTCACTACACGGGAATGCCGATGTCGATCTTTTCTTTAAGTAGATTTTTTGATACTGGTACTTCTTTGATGGTAACTTGGGGTGTAAGTTCTAACAGTTGAGGTGGGCGGAACGACACCATTCACCCGCAATGGGTGCGATGCTTCCTGCCGAAGAAAGGCGTCGCCCAGTTTCTCCATGCTCTTGTCTGCACCTTTGATCCAAACCACTGCCACATAAATCCTGGCGGCCAATTGATAACGCATCGGTCTATCCACTGAGAAGCGAATCATGAAGAGAGTCGGTAACTGGTTCGATCAATTGAGTAGCGTGGGTATTTCTGAGGCATAACGGGATGCCAGATGCTGTTGTCTTTTTTATCCCTCCGAGCCAGCAAGGAGCGAGCAATCGAAACACCCATTGATATACATGTTATGACAAAGAACAGTGTGCCTATGAGTAAGGGGGAATTAGAAGAGAAGCCCGATGGGAGAAGAAGAAGATGAGAAACGGGGAGGACACATGATAAGAGGACAAAAAGCTGACAAAAGAAAACAACACTATAAACACCCTACAAGTACTCGGGTGTATGTGCGCGCTAAGCAAGAACTTTGCGCCCGCTGACAGGCAAGACAAACCAACCACAGTACAACACCGTTCCTCCGCTGGCAGCTCGGAACAAGAAATAATGGTACTGGGTGATGCTCCATCCATCTCTTCCCTTCCCCCTTCCCCCTCCCGCTCGATAATGGAAGCCCGTCGTTCTGACAGGGACGTCGCTGTGTATGGATGGCTTTTACGCTTCACACTGGGCCGCACCAAGCCGGCAATCCTCAAAGCCCGTTCTTTTCAGATTGATTCTCGAATTATGCCGGACCCATCAGCACTTTCTCCCGCCCTTTTCGGTTCACGGAGCCCGGAGTGACCAGGCACAAGAGCGATAATGCTGTGCATATCCCTTCATATGCAACGGGCCGCCATTTGGATCGGCCGCAACCTCTTGGATCTGGAAGGCGGGGTCGTAACCAAACAGTTATGTCTGTGAAACCCGCCATGCCATATTTAGATGATTAGACAGTATGACGCATTTGCGCCTTTTTGCTTGAGACAAATATGAACCAAAACACCCCGCAATCAGTTGGCTTTGGGCCATACATCCACGAGGTGTTGTATGATCAAAACGGAAAGCAGTCAAGTTGAACACTTCAAAGAGTGACGTCCAAGACCATGCTAACGTCTTGCACGTTGGCACCGGCAAGGTCTTCCAGAACGGGAATGAGGTCCAATAGCTCGTTGTCATGTGCATCCGAAAACCAACTGCTGATTGGCACGGCGTGCTGGGGGTGGAAGATATACGAGGTTGGCGAGTTATCGATGATAATGGTGTCTTTGAGGTCGCGTCCAACCTGGGACAGGTCTTTGACGTAGTTTCCTTGATGGTTGTAGCAACTCTCGCGGAAAAGACGATGGTGGACAACGTTGTGGATGTCCAACTGGTCCAGCAGCGGATCACCGTACTGAGCATCATTAGTATTTGAGTTGCCAAAAGCTTTCAGAGGATTCCATTTCACGTACCTTGGAAACCGATGCAGTGAAGACAACAACTTCGTAAAGCTCGCCAACTCTCTTCATGAACTGATCTACACCTGGCCGCTTGATGACATAGACATTATGGTAGTTGCCTTCGATTTCAACGGGTATCGTGAAGTCGGCCTGATGGAGGATCTGTAATTCAATCAGTCAACAAGCGAACTAGGAAACAGGGAGATGGGTGCAGAACTAACCTTGAAGGAGCTGTGCACGAGGGTTTCATCCAAATCAAGAACAAGGCACTTCTTGCCCTTGAACTCAGGTGCTTGAGGGGGGAGTAGGAACTTCTGAGGTTGGTCGGGAGGAAATACGGGAGGGCTCTCAATTAGCGCGCCGCTTGTTGGTGCAGTTGGAACTGCGGGAATCGGGCCCGGAGGTGGAGGAGGGAGGTTGGTGTACGATTCCTCAGTCGTGGCATCGGCCGCATGTGAAGCCTGTTGTGATTCTTCGGCAGCATCAGGCATTTGCACGTCCCCTTTCTCATCCTTCTCATTGACCACCTCCTCAACCACCTCCACTTCCTTGTTGGTCTGCTGTGGCGGCTCTACCGATGCCAGCGGGCTACTTGAGCCGGGGCCAACGATTGTTGTCTGCTTTGACTCTCCATCCCTTTCGCCAACTGTCGACTGATCCTGAGTACTCGTTCCTGATACCCGCTTCCCGTTCTTCGACTGTTCTTGGGTCGGCTGCGATTGCTGAACTGGTTCCTTCTCAAACAACTGACTCTTGCTCGCAGTGGGTTGCTCGGATGGGGTTGCTGTTCTCCTGCTCGCGGTCGCCGGCCTAGGGGGAATCTTGTCGAGCTTATGGCTTGGCACTGGGGTATCGAGGCCGTTCGCATCATCAGGCACGCCGCAGCAGCCAAAGATGGCGAGGAAGCCACCCTTCTTCTTCTTGGGCGCTACCGGGTTCGAGTTGCTCATGGCTGCGGTTGCTCGTGTTCCTGTACATAACTGGTTAATAAATGGGTTGCGATCCTGGGTTAGTCCTAACATACTGCTTCTTGAATTTCTCGAGTGTCCACCGATACTATCACGGTCGCCTGTGAAGCCGCCAATTAGCCCATTTGTACTGTATGAGAATTGAAAGTCTCCTTCATCATGAATGTGAATCGCAAGGTCACAAGTAGGCGGTCGCTACCTCTTTTGGTTGCCACTGCATCGTCGTGGGTCCGCATTTCCTTTGAACTGCCAGGGGCTGATAGGGTTGTGTCGTCCGCGCTCAATGCCATCTTGAAGGGTATCTTTTATTTCGGATAGAAAATGAACGTCTGAACACCCAACGCAAAGCTATCAGCGCGTGGTCTTGGTAATTGCGTCGTAGTAGGAGCTGAAGTTTGCGGCTGGTTGGGTTTGGATAGTGAGGCAGACGAGACCCGTTGACAGCCTTGCAGCACCAATCAATTGGGGATTGGGGGCAGTGCGATGCGATCAGTGGCAACGTGGAGGGCAAGCAGCGACGGAGGCAGCCAGCGAGACAGGAACAACAATGTGAAACGAACTGTCCGGAACCTTGGATTGCAATGGGAATTGTAGAAAGTGAAAAAGTCACCAACCTCTAGTTTGCAACTGAATCCAGCTTTCGCCAATCTAAGGCCCAACCCCTATCCTACCCTTCGGTCGGCAGAGTAGGTATTAGCCCTTGGAGGCTCTGAACGTTGTCGAGTGGCAGCCAACTCCTTAACGGGTCTGAAACGTCTGGTCGGTAGGTAGGCGACAGGCTTTCGAAGTTCGGCAAAAAGTAAAAAATAATAATCGCGACAACGCTGATTCCGGCCGCGACTGTCGTTGCAGGTGGGAAAATTGGCGCGCGGAGGCCGAAAGGGTCGGGGGTGTGTCGGCAGCGAGGTGGTCGACCAGAAAGACGGACACACACGGGCACGTCTTGCGTGCTTGATTAGCCAGAAACCTCAAGGACCCGGAACCTAGAAGGGCAGAAAAATAATCAAGAAGGGATATCGAGGAATCGAGGACCAAAACGGGCGGGCCAAAGAAGGAGAAACGGCGGCGACGTGGTGGACGGGCCGGAGGTCGGGCAGATGCAGAAAAGAGGGAAAGAAGGGCGTATCAAAAGCTGGAGGTTGTGAGAGCGCAAGCGAGATGATTGACTTTAAAGGTGATGGGGTCGCTTCTGGGATTGTTCACGGCGCAGAGAGGACGATGGGGAGCGGATGCGACGAGAGAGGATTAGTGGATTGCCCCGAAGAGATTAGCCAGCGACCGAGTGACCACCAGGCGACGCCGGTACGGCCCTGCGCAGTGCGGCAGGATAGGATGGGATAGCTGGCCATGCAATTTTAGTGGTGGACATTGGCATGGAACAAGAAATGCGCTAACACAGTCCATCGGCTCTCTGCACCCACAAAGTACCCACAACGACCTGCAGCCGCTAAATTCATGCAGTCCCGCTGCTGCACGTCGTACGGATGGAGGGTCCCTCGTTATGTTTGCTGCTGCCCACCCACCTCACTCTCCTTTTTTTTTTTCTGTTACAGTTGGTTTTGGTTTCTTGGTTTCGTCTTTCTCATTCGACGTTCTTTCTTGGATCTAGAAGCCTTTGGGCTTAACGGGGGCTTTTATTGTCCCAAGCTGGGCCGTGGGGAGTCAACTTTCAACATGGTGATATCTCCATAGAGTATCGATATATGAAGGTAGTAGAAGTGGAAGTGCCCAGCACCCAATTTCCGTCGGATCATGTTCAAAGGAATTCAGCATGGCCCCGTCTGAAAGTCAACATGCCCCGGCAGAGCTCCCGCGCATACGCTAACCTCTGTATTGGACGACACCTTGTGTCTTCACGCTGACTTCTCTCACCCAAGGCTCCGAGCTCACCTATCAACGGTTCAATTGAAGTCGATAATAGCTACCTCTATGATGGCGGAACGTGCTGACTGTCAGACATCGGTGGAACCCAAGGAACCCAATGGACTCCCGTCCCGTTCCTTGAGGCTGTCAATTGTTCCCCCCGAAAGGCTCATCTCATCCATGGGCGCCTTATCTCCCATCAATGCTAGGCATAGCTAGGTTGTCAGTCAAGCAGTCCCGTCAAATTTCCGCGACATACCCTGTTCACCTCCATGGCCGTGCGACTGTGTCCTCTGCTCCCCTGCCCTGGCCTGGAGCTACCACCTGGCAACGTTACTGGCAGCCTGGAGCAAAGGTCAGCTTTCCACATTGTTGTTGACCGCCCTCAAATGTCTTGTGTGCTTTGACCTGTTGGTGACTTTTGAGCAGTTACGCGGGCCCTGTTACGTCTGTATACACTGAGCAGTTGTTACAACCTCAAAGACGTTGGAGGACGGGATCTCTTCAATTGGCGAGAAGAGAAGAGTATCCACCCAGGTTGTCGCGCACTCAAAGCTTTATAGCAAGTAATAAGAGAATCGACCTGGTTCTGGTCTCAAATCTCTCTAGCCAGTGAGGCTCCTTAATAAGGATGGTAGGGGTAAAGAGGCAGGCTCCATTCTTTTTTTCCACGGATCCAATGCCAGGGCACCGCTTTATGAGTGCATCTCCATAAGAAACACAAGGCTAACAAGGAAGCGCACGTATCGGAAATGCTTCATGAACGAGTGGTATTTCTGCTGACATTTTGCCATATAGACATTGCATAGAGGGCCCAATCTCCATTGCCCCTGTCATCAGATTCAAAAACAAGCTCTCCACCACCGAATAACTCCCTTCGATGTCGACACTCAACTCGCTGGCTCTCACGATGCTCTCCAGGGCAACCCAGGTGTCAGAGTCCACAGTAGCCTCCACGGCTCCATCAACAGACAAATCAACCCACACTCGCCTTGCAGCATGCTGGGTGCCCCTTCTGTCATCCGCATTCCTCGGCCCGGGGATGCTGGACCTCGCCCAGCCCTGAGCAGCCCCAGTTGGCAGCGACCGTTCCAGAGCCAAAAGAGCTTGGGAGCTGCAACTGGGCCTCGTGATTGGCCATGTTGGCGCCCGTTACAGTGATGGGTTGGATCCGGGACCATGCGCTGTGGTGATCCGTGACCACTCACATCGGCCGCCGTCTAGCTCGTCACAGTCTTGTCCACTTTAATAAAGAGCTTCTATGCACAGTAGTCCACGCCGAAGACCGCAGGGAGCTTTTGGATCCGCTATGAATTCGAGCTGTTGGAGGATTGACGAGTGCGGATTGTCGGATGGCCAATTCATACAAAGGAGAATCAAAGGCGCTTTGCTTTGGAGTCCTGTTGCTCGCCAACTCGTTCCATTGCCCCAACAAGTCTTAAAAATCAAAGCAGCCAAGGAGTCTCGAAGCCGTGTGCGCATCTTCACCCCCTTTCTGCATGCGTACCTGACCTTCGGTACCTGACGCGGAGAGCGCGGGTTGAAACCATAAGCTCTTGCGAGATCCGCCTACGGGAATCGATACCGTCCCCGTCCAGCACTCCAAATAGAAGCCGCAACAACGTGAGCATGAGGTCAAACGCAGGGCCATGGTCCGCAAATAGGGCGCTGGTTACCCAAGCAAGCTGCGTACTCCCGGTCCCAAGCAAGCAGTGACGGCAAGCAAGCCAGGCCAGAAAAAGAGGCCAAAAACCAAGTCCTTGGAACCGATGGTGATGTCCTATCATCGTGGGGTTGGAAGCTCCTCCACTGCTTCTCTCGAACTTCCATCTCAAGTTCTTTGGCTCTTGTTAGGGTTGCCCCGTCTTCGCTCAAGTAACACGGAAACACTCAGAGACGTGATGTTGGAGCGAATTTGTCAAGATGGACTCTTTGATATATCGGACCTAACTAACCGTGGGTGTGAGCTTGTTGTTTTGTTGCAACACCCACTCTCTGGCAGAAAAGTTCATTTCAAGTGACAAGTGGGAGAAGACAGGAGAACCAGATTAGGAGAAACTCAACACAGGGCGAAGATTGCCGACGAACCTTTGACAGCTCGTGCCTGGACAATGGAGAACCCGGGGAGATGGCCCGTGCTCCAGGAGTCCAGAGGGCTTCCCCAGCTTTCCCCAGGACAACAGTGGGACTTTGAAACCGATGCAGGTGATGACGTTGCTCTTTGCTGGTGGAATGACCGCCTCTCATTGGCTCACTGGAGACTTTTGGCCTCGGAATGTTCGCAGTCGAAACACCGCCTGGGGGGTCATTCAGTGTATCGATCACATGCCACCCGACGGCCATGCTACTGTCGGCCGCCATGCTAACCATCATTTGCCTGGACACGGCATTCAACCAGTTTTCGGATCCGTCATCATCCTGTCGGCATCGTATCAGTCTGTACAGTAGTGTAATCAACCGTTCCTTCTCGCCTTCAGGTCCCCATTGATTATTCGTTCTTCCACATCCAAGCCCAACCTCAACAACACGCGATCCCCCGCCGTCACCATATCGCTGAAGCGAATTTCCCTCGATACCACACGAAGCGCAATCATCGCATCGCCTATATCATATTGCGCCCATATCATATTGCGCCCAGCCGCGCGTGATTTGTTTTGACCCGGATGCTAAGGGCAAGTGTTGGCTGTTGATCCCCGAGGATCGATCGGGACAGATAAGACCTGAAGTGGAAGCCGGCGACGCCTGGCGACGCCCAGCGACATCATGGCGGCGCAATCAACCCTACGAGGCTCCGCGGCCGAAGAGGCCATCGCGTCCTTCATCAACAAATACACCGAACTCATCCGCTCCAAACTGAAGACGACAACCAGGACGACACGTCTTCTCGCGACCCTTGCACTTGCGACATCCATCATATTATCTGGCGAGGGTACGCGGAGATGGTGGAAGCGCAGACGCGAGGATAGGGAGCAAGGCCGGAAACTGGTGCGCACCAACTCATGGTTGCACAACAAGGACGGATCGAGGACTATTTATGTCCCCTACAAGGACGGCACTTCCAAGGTCGTTATCCATAGCACGAAGCCGCTCACCTTCGAGGCCCACAGACGTCTGTTCCTGAACCCCCCAAGGGTCTCAGGTCTCGGCGACGGTCATGTCCCTTCGGCTCAGACGAAACCCGGCCTTAATCTTGCCTTCCTCCATCAGTTCCTTAGCCTGATGAGCATCATGGTTCCACGATGGAAAAGCAAGGAGGCTGGTTTGCTTGTTAGCCACGGAATTTTCCTCATGCTCCGTACTTACCTTTCCCTAGTCGTTGCCCGCCTAGATGGTGAGATTGTGCGTGATCTAGTGGCTGGAAATGGCAAGCAGTTCCTCTTGGGTATTGTCAAGTGGTGCGGACTGGGCGGTTTTGCTTCCTATGTCAACGCTACCATCAAATACCTCGAGTCCAAGGTGTCGATTGCTTTCCGAACCCGTCTTACTCGGTACATCCACGACCTGTATTTGAACGATAACCTCAACTATTACAAACTGTCCAACTTGGACGGTGGAGTCGGGCAGGGAGCGGACCAGTTCATCACTCAGGATCTGACTCTGTTCTGTGCTGCTGCCGCTAATCTTTACTCCTCTCTCGGAAAGCCATTTGTCGATATCTGCGTGTTCAACTATCAACTCTACCGCTCGCTCGGCCCACTAGCTCTCACAGGTCTCCTGAGCAACTACTTCCTGACGGCTAGCATCCTGCGTCGACTCTCGCCACCTTTCGGCAAACTCAAGGCTGTGGAAGGACGAAAGGAGGGTGACTTTAGAGGTCTGCATGCGCGCCTAATCGCAAACGCAGAGGAGATTGCCTTCTATGGTGGCGCCGAGATGGAGAAGACCTTCCTGAACAGGGAATTCAAGTCTCTCAAGAACTGGATGGAGGGTATTTACATGCTCAAGATCAGATACAATATTCTTGAAGACTTCATCCTCAAGTACAGCTGGAGCGCCTACGGCTATCTTCTCTCTTCCCTTCCAGTCTTCCTGCCAGCTTGGGGAGGTCTTGGAGGGGCAAGCGAGCAACAGGCAGAGCACGCCGAGAAGGGCGGTCGGGAACGCACCCGCATGAAGGACTTCATTACCAACAAGCGTCTCATGCTCTCACTTGCCGATGCTGGTGGTCGTATGATGTACTCCATCAAAGACCTTTCAGAGTTGGCCGGTTACACCAGTCGCGTGTATACACTCATCTCCACTCTTCACAGAGCCCACGCGGACGCGTACTACGTCAGAGGTCGCGAAAACGAACTCTACTCGTTGTCGGACGTACAGGGTACCATCCAAAAGGGCTTTGACGGTGTCCGCCTGGAGAACGTGCCCATTGTAGCTCCTGCGCTGTGGCCACAAGGAGGCGAGGAGCTTCTCGAATCACTTTCCATGGTTGTCCGTCGCGGCGAGCATCTCCTGGTACGTTTTGGTCCCGCGATTAGACCCCAATATTGCTGTAGCTAACATATCGTGCACCACAGATATCGGGTCCTAACGGCGTGGGTAAGAGTGCGATTGCGCGAGTGATCGCCGGGCTTTGGCCAGTGTATAGAGGTCTTGTGAGCCGACCGAAGAACAACGGCGAGGATGGCATCATGTTCCTCCCGCAACGGCCATACCTTAGCATCGGTACGCTACGTGATCAGGTTATCTACCCTGATGGCGAGGCCGACATGCGCGAGAAGCGCAAGAACGAGTACGACTTGAAGCGCGCCCTCGATCAAGCACGTCTTGGATACCTGCCTGAACGTGAAGGTGGCTGGGACACCCGCAAGGAATGGAAGGACGTTCTGAGTGGTGGTGAGAAGCAGAGACTTGCCATTGCGCGCCTGCTGTACCACGAGCCACAGTATGCCTTCATTGATGAGGGCACAAGCGCAGTTTCCAGCGATGTTGAGGGACTGCTCTACGAGACTTGCAAAGAAAAGGGAATCAGTAAGTACTCACGCCTGCCTTGATAACAGGACTTCCCGCTAACCCTCATTCACAGCTTTGATTACCATCTCGACTCGCGCCTCTCTCAAGAAATACCACATGTACAACCTGGTCCTCGGCATGGGTGAGCGGGGCGACGAGTGGGAGCTGCAGCGCATCGGTACTGAAAGCGAGAAGATGCACGTTGAGCGCGAACTGCACGATCTTCGCGAACGTCTTGCGCAGGTCGAGAAGTGGAAGGCACGCCGTGAGGAGATCGAGAAGGAGCTCAACAAGGTGTGGGTTGAGGGCGGCGAGAATCTTGCCCCGCCCCCTTATGCGGAAAAGGAGGCAGAGGGACAGGCCACACAGACAGAGTCCGAAAATACCCTTGAGCAACGCTCGATCGGCGACTCGACGGTCGAGATTGTTCGCCCCGAGGAGGAAACCGATCAGACCGAGTACGAGGAGGCTAATCAGGGCGACCACACGGAGACGGAGGCGGAGTATGAGGATGCGACCGAGACGGAGAACTGAGCGTGATGGCGGGTACTGGGCGAGGTGAGGGCCCAACTCGTGTATGACTTATGGTGATGTTGTTTTTGGCTCCGAGACACAAACTCGATGAACGTTGGATTGTTGGATTTTTTGGTCTTTGAGGAGGGCGATCAGGTTTTGAATAGATATCATCAAGTACTGACGCGTATATATATCTATCTACCATTTCTCAGCATATACACATCTTTGTATTCTGATCTTGAAGTTCTCGTTATCCCATTCGGCTACTATTTCAGTCTCTACCTATGTATTCTTTCCCTTTGTTCCTTCCGATCGTACGGCACAGGTATCAGAGGACTCGATATTCCAAGGTAACATGGTCTCTCATGAACTTCGCTAGTCTCCTCGACATTCTGCCTGAAGACGTTCTGGTCCCATGCCCACACCATGGGGGAATTTCAATAGCGCCCTGACTCCTGCATCGCTAGCCAACGGCCGATTGCAGCCCACTCTTCATCAATCAATTCATCATCCAGAATGCAAGCTACTGCCGCCCTATGCCACTTTCAGCAGAGCGCCTCCCCGCGATCCTCATTTCAGCTCTAGCTAATCATTTTGGCCAATAGCTCGGCCATGTAACCTGCATTCAGCTTCTCTCCGGGGTTGGAGCTCGACTTCAGGGGTTTGTGTGCCGGCCAGCCACGCAGCAGCAGGACCAGCAACGTCAATGATTTATGCGACCAGAACACCGGATTGAGCACTTCATGTGCCCCGTGATCTCTGTGCGAATGGAACAGCGGACAGTATGGTATATCCGAGGGGTTTAGGTGAGTGTCCCTCTGGGGAACAGCCAGGCTTATAATGTGAGCTGGCTGGAAGAATAGGTGAGGGTCGATGGAAGGTCGGGGGGAGGACACCGAAAGTCTTGTGTTGCAACCTCAGGAGCCTTGTCAATGGCCGGTAAACAGAGAAAGAAGAAAGGCAACTGATGATTCCCAATCCTACTCTCTCTTGTCCAGGAATATGAGATAGGTAGGCCCAGTGACGTAACGAGGACCTCTGTTCTTCACCAAAAACTGCTGGCGCGCGCATCCCCGACGCGAGTCCCGTCCGGGAAGAAGAATATCACAGCTCATCTTAAATTGCGCCCCGTGTGGCTTTCTGACAACCTCAAGTATTGCTCATCACATCGCCAATTCATCTCTCAGAACTTCCCTCTCCGGTCTCTTTGGCCCCCCGGCCAAGCAACCAGGTTCATTGACCAGCAAGCCGACCAGCCTTTCCATTCATTCATCCCAGGACCACCACTCAGCTACGCCTGGACCTCGGCAGTAGCAACAACAGGATCAAGATCGCCCATGCATAAATGATCGACAATGTTGTTTGTGCCTTTTGGAAAGAGAGAACATACATAGCTAGGCTGGGCAAGTCAGATCATATCATAAAACAAGGTCGCAGAAGAAAAGAAAGAAGAGTGAAAGATCGGGGTTATACAAATTAGCTGGCGGCCAAGCCCGATGTGATCAAAGACGTGCCCGAAAAAGTCATCATCAGAGAACCTTTTACCACCCAATCTTAATATCCTTCTATTATCCTTTTACGCCAATTTCGGTCTTTGACGCCATCACGAAAACTGGCAAACACTAGATCCAGCCCGCTTCCTATCGATACGATACCTACACCTCTAAGTACTTACGGCCCCCTTCTCGGATACATAACAAGAAAGGGATGGTGATGATGAGGAGGAGGAGCTAACAACTCACATCTCTCCTTTCTCGCACCTTGCTCTCAGAGGGACCTTTCTTCCTAGCTCTCTTCGGAGCTTCTTCATATCTCGTTGCCCTGGCCTGGCCATCCTACACACCAATTCCACCCGAATGCTACTGGAAAACTTGCTGGGACAGCAGTTTGGCGACCAGCGGAAGCAACTTATATCTTCATACGCCTTGACCCTCGCAGGATGGTATATACTGCGAACTTAATGACAGGAAACACTCGAATCAGAACCCACAGAAACAGGAACAACAAAAGCAGCATAAGAAGAGGAAAGGGCCCAAAACAAATTCTTTTTTTTTAAAAAAAATGGCCCCCGGAAGCCGTCGCTCAATCCGCTCCTCCACACCCATCCCCATGCCCGTCATCGCCGAGGACGAGAACGCAGCGGATCCACGACGACATGGAGCAACGACACCAACAGTACCACCTCGATCGCCGCACCGACGACCACCATCTACAAGGAGTACGAGGAGCAGTGGAGTTTTGGGTAGTGCGAACAACAACAGCTTATACACACCCAGCACAACGAGACCGGCATTGTCCAGAGCAAGCAGTGTACCACAATATGTACCGAAGCGAGTACCGGGGATAAGAGCAGTAGGGGGGGAAGTGGGAAGTGTAAGGTCTATACCGCTTAATAGTAATGGGAGTGAGCGGTGGGTGATACTGCCGACGACGGAGAGGGATCGGGAGGGGACGTCTGAGGCAGATGGTAGTCCCAGGCCAGCTAAAGGGAAGAGTGAGGATGGGAGAGGGGTACACGGAGGGAAAGATAAAGATATGGCATTAGGGGGGTGGGTGAGAAGACGGGGTAGATGGTATAAGGTGGTGGTTTTGGGGATTTTGGTAATTGGTCTGATTGTGGGATTGGCGGTTGGTTTGACGATTGGGTTGAGGAAAAGGTATATCTTGCTCTCTTTTTTCCCTGAGAAGGGGTGCTGTTGTCCTCGCCCCCCACCGCAAGTGATTCCCTTCTTGCAGATAACACTGACATATAACCTTCCTCCAGACACCACTCCTCCGACCCCGACCCCCCATTACCCACCGACCTCTTCCCCGCCAGCTCCTACACCTTCACCGCCGCTCTAACCAACCTCTCAGCCTCCTGCGCACCCCAACGGAATCCTGCCCTCTGGCGATGCTATCCCTACACTCTTTACTCTCCGTCAGCGAACGAAAGCACCTCTGCTGCGTCCTTCCGCTGGATCATCCGACCCATAACCACCTACTCCTACGTCATCTCCTCTTCCGACGACCCCTTCTCGCCGACGGGCACCTTCCGAGACGTCAACCTCACCATGATCGATGCGAATCAACCGAGCGAGCGGTTCACATTTAGTTTTACTATGGCGAAGGCGGTGGTGCCGGATGTTACTACGGGCAGCACGGCCTCGACTGTGTCTTTGACACCAACAACGACGACGACGATTGCTGTATCATCATCTTCGGCTTCGGCTTCGAAGACTGCTTCTAACGGAGGGGAGGAAGCCAACGGGACTTCTAGACGCAGATGGTCAAGAGCAGGGGCGGCGAAGAGGGCACAAGCAGATAACAGCACAATCTCGCGACATACACCGACACCAGCGCCCGCAATATGCTGGTATAATCAGACGGTAGTCAGGGGCACAATCTGGACGCGCATGAGGGCGAGTTACCCGGCTAATATCAGCGATGTGTCGACACCACTACTCAACGCAACGAACGTGTTTGCGCCGTGGCCGTTTGCGGTTGAGTTGACGTTGGAACAGACTTATGAGGAGGACGAAAGGGGGAATGGGAAGAAAGCGCCGGATTGCAGGGATGCTGAGGGAAAGCCTGTGGTGTTTAATGATAATGTGAAGGTGTCGGTTGGGGCGAGGGACATGGAGGCTGTGGACGTTGTGGATGAAGCAGATATCTGCAGGTGTTCGTATGCGAACTATGGCCTGGACACTACTACCTCTAGTAATAGTTCTGGTACCTCTAACCCACAAGGGCAGAGTCGAGGTCTCGGCTAGAATCATGAGAAAAAGGTTCAAGCAGTACTGGGTACCACCTACCTTAGCGACGGAACTGGCGAGTGAGTGTTCTGGAATCTGGAATGATGATACCAGAGTGGGGCGTGATGGGCAGAATATCGTTCCGTAGGGCTGAAAGCTGCCGTTAGGTGAACCAGACATCGCCGACCCTCCTTTAGTGTAAAAGCAACAACCTCGGATACTCCCATGCTTAAACGGCATAAGAGACAAGCTTGGCAGGCACGTCGACGACCGTCGACGACTGGCAGCCAGTCAACAAGCAGGAACAATGTTTGTTCTCCCTTGTCGGTCGATGTTGCTGGCCCGACTGGAGGTACTCCATCGGTAGCCCAGGAAGCCTGTCCCCGATCTAAACCCTTTGAGAGGGGAGGAAGCGAGAAAAAGAAGCTTTTCGTGTGCCGGATTAGCTTCCGTGGGACCAGCTCCACCGTGGTTTTGATGCTTTCTTTGCGGGTCCTTGCAGTCATCATCAGCATGCTTCCTCCTCAGGCTAGCTGCATCGAGTTCCGGGGTCGGTGGCATGGTGGCACCGCCGTTTTGGGGTAGCACGAACGGTAGCAGTGATCCATGGTTTGATGTGCGACGGATCGTGTACATCAGCTTCTGTATACCCAAAGTGAGGGATACGTGTAGAGGGTAAAATAACTGTCAACCGCCAACGGTGCCTCATACGTACCTGAAGTCAACCTGTCGTTGACAGCAAGAATTGAGACATCTGAGGGCGAAGTTCTCCAACAAAGTCCCAGCTGGTACCTATGGGTCCCGTAGCTATACTCCACCATTATCACAGCAACCCTGATGTTATTGGGTAGAAATGTCAACTGTTCCCTTATGAGACCTTGAACCGGAGAATGTCCAGTCAGCCGGTGCTCATGCTGGGTACAGCTTCCGGGGTTTGGTAGCAAGTCGGGCTGTAGTCTGATACATGGATAGATTGGTTGTTGGAAGTTGTCTTGCCTCAGCAGGGTTTCCAGAAAGGTCAAATGGCAACAGCTCGATAGGAAAAGTGTCGTGGGGGAAACAGTCAAAAACAGAAAAGAGAAACAAGCGGAAGGTACACGGTGGGTGTGTATGTCGTTGGCTCCTTCTCTTCTTCCCGCTGAAAGGAAGACTTGGTCGACAACTGCTGAAAGTCACGCGGAAGATTCGACGCTGAGGCTCTCAAGATAAAAATGAACCAAAGTAAACCTTCTACGGCCCCGACCAAAGCTGTTTTCCTTCCCCAGCATCTGTTGACTTTAACTGCAAACAGCAAACAACAGCATGACGACCGACACTCGATGATATGTGAACTTTCTTGCATTTTCGGTATCTTATTTTTGTCACATAGAAAGAGACGGAAATAGACTTCAGGAACATGAAGGAAAGTAGTTCGTATGGAATGTTGTCCATGTTCCCTTGTCATGATCAAGTTGAAGTTTGGAAAGTTGAACTGACGTTGATTCCTCGGTGACCCACTCCTCACCGTGGTATGCATCAATGGGGGCCTTTGTGCCTTTTTGCCAAATATCCTAGCGCTGCCCCGCCAACCCCATGCTCCAAGACAACAAAGGTGGAGATATCTGTCAAACCCACTCCCCATATTAGCCGCGGTCTCTGGTTGGCTCCGGTTAAATAGGTTAAATGGCAACTTAAAGGCGGGCTACCGGGTCTTATCCAGATCCACCACCCGCAGCTCGCGGGCTCCAGCGGCTCCAACAATTGTTCGAAACACGACTTCGATGTGTTGACAGAATTGAAGATTTTCAAGGTCAGCTGAGACAGGCCTTGGGTAAAGGCGTTCTGCCCGGGAAAATCTCTCCGCAGATAAACCGAGAAGTTGGAGAGACCGAGAGGGAAAACGTTCCTTGCGAGTTGTGACCAGTCCGGTCCGAGTTCAAAGCTACCATCAAGGTACAAGCAAACGGTTAGGCAGGCCGCTCTGGCGCCATGTACAACATAATGTCCATGTGGATGCAGTGACGCTGTTCGACCGTCGGATGAACCCAGTACCCACCCCTTCTCCAACTTCTTTTAAACCGCGCAAATGGGCGTCGAGATATCCAGTACCCACTACCTTGGCCCTGCGCCGGCTGACAAGGCTTCGGGCCATTATCCATGCCAATCAGGGCCCGTTTCCGGAAAGGCAGCCGTCCCTGGGCTTCCTTACCCTTCCCTGGGCATCTCGAGCATCGCTGGCGACCAGTCAAGTCATGGGATTCCGCACAGCATCCGAGAACCACACCTCGACATGCAACCTTGGCATCCCGTCAGGCCAGATGAGGGTCCATGGAAAATGGGGAGGGAGGTGGAGGGAGGCAGTGAGGGGACAGCATGAGCCGAACCCCATCACCATCATAGCTCTGCTCTCCAACCGGCATAGCATTCGTCCGTGGATGGGCCGGGAAAGATTGGAGTAGGCCAAACATCGGGGTATGTACATACACACTTCTACATACGACGGTACGAGTGACCGGGAAAGTTCTAGCGTGGACACCTACGGACAAGAGCAAATATAAATACCATCGTGGCCGCTCTGCCACCTAGCCTGGCTTGTTTGATCTCTTTCCGTCTCACACACACCTCTACATCCCACCAACAGACAAAATGGTTCCTGCTATCAAGCTCAACTCCGGCTTCGACATGCCCCAGGTCGGCTTCGGCCTCTGGAAGGTCGACGGCTCCATCGCCTCCGATGTCGTCTACAACGCCATCAAGGCCGGCTACCGCCTCTTCGATGGTGCCTGCGGTACGTTCAAGACTTCCCGCTTCCGGTTATACATCGTATAATACCCATTGTAAACACAGTGTCTCTCCTCGCCTGGTCATCTCTCGTGGTGTTCCTTTTTTTTTTTAAAGGACCATGACGAGCAGTAGCACCATCGCGGGGCATGGAACACTTACACGACTACCCCACATCATCCCCTGTCACTTCAGCCCACCCTGCTTGCAGGTGAAAGAGACATTATCCGTCGAATTCACCCGAAACAACATCGCCATCAAAGACATAGTATGCGCAATGGCATAGTTCGTGTTGGCTGACTCAATATGGCTTGGTTACAGACTACGGCAACGAGGTTGAGTGCGGCCAGGGTGTTGCCCGCGCCATCAAGGAGGGCATCGTCAAGCGCGAGGAGCTCTTCATCGTCTCCAAGCTCTGGAACACCTTCCACGACGGCGACCGCGTCGAGCCCATTGTCCGCAAGCAGCTTGCCGACTGGGGTCTCGAGTACTTTGATCTCTACCTGATCCACTTCCCCGTCGCCCTCGAGTACGTCGACCCCTCGGTCCGCTACCCTCCCGGCTGGCACTTTGACGGCAAGAGCGAGATCCGCCCTTCCAAGGCCACCATCCAGGAGACCTGGACGGCCATGGAGTCGCTCGTCGAGAAGGGTCTCTCCAAGAGCATCGGCGTCTCCAACTTCCAGGCCCAGCTCCTGTACGACCTCCTCCGCTACGCCAAGATCCGCCCTGCCACCCTCCAGATCGAGCACCACCCCTACCTCGTCCAGCAGAACCTCCTCAACCTCGCCAAGGCCGAGGGCATCGCCGTGACCGCCTACTCCTCCTTCGGCCCTGCCTCCTTCCGCGAGTTCAACATGGAGCACGCCCAGAAGCTCCAGCCCCTCCTCGAGGACCCCACCATCAAGGCCATCGGCGACAAGTACAACAAGGACCCCGCCCAGGTCCTCCTCCGCTGGGCCACCCAGCGCGGCCTGGCCATCATCCCCAAGTCCAGCCGCGAGGCCACCATGAAGTCCAACCTCAACTCGCTCGATTTCGATCTCTCCGAGGAGGACATCAAGACCATCTCTGGTTTCGACCGCGGCATCCGCTTCAACCAGCCCACCAACGTAAGTTTTTATAACTTTCTCATCGGCGCCCAAACTTGGCCTCCGACGGATATGATACATGATATGAAATGGGGTATATACTAACAATCACAACTTACAGTACTTCTCCGCCGAGAACCTCTGGATCTTTGGTTAAATTAACCTCTCCCGCAACTGAGGGGGGAAAGCTCGCTTCTCCCCCTCAAAAATTCTCTTACCCCGGTTGAGTGTGTATTATACCCATATCGCACTGGTGTAGGCGGAAGGAAGGGATTGGTTGCCTAAATCGCTTCCACTCACCAACCCCCCGCGTGCCATGCATCGCACACACTCTCATCCAACAACCCACATACCCGACCATCAGAGACACCGAGAAGGAGAGACGGCTGGTCACCGTGGTTAGCGACGGAATGTGTACATATGATGGGCCATCCCGTCGTTACTGCTGACGCCCAGAAAAAAGGGTGTTGGCAGATCAACTCTCCCGGCTCCAGGCCATTTTTTGTTTGCTTGATATCCTGTCTGCCATGAAATAGGCGGTGGGTTACTTGCTATAGAAATAAAGATTTCACAATTTTTTTTTGAACTTGATTCTTGTTCATCTCCTGCTCTGTGACATGTGCTGATACTCTGAACTTCTTGTTGGTCGTCGTTGTTTATCTTATTAGCATCGTCATGCGAAGAGATCCCCGTGGTCGGGGTAAAGAGGGCATGTATGTAAAGTGGGTGCGAAAGTGGGAGCGAAGAATACCGGTCGAAACGAGGGAAGTAATCGGATCTACTGGAAATCCATCAAGTTGTCGATTGTCTTGCTTCAACAATCCATCTAACGCCGTAGCACCATGAACGCCAGTGCCATGCTGCATGAACTTTTGACTGCACAATTATCATGCTTTGCAAACCGCCAAAATCGCCATCCATCTCTTTGCTCCTTTTTTGGATAAGGTATCACCTGTCTAAAGGGGGAAAAAAAGACCCAAAACAGAATGGAATGACAGATGTGCAACGTTCTAATAATCCCTAAAGATCATACGCGGACGAAAGCTGCGTGGTTTTGGTGTTAGCAAGTCTTCTGAATTGCACCAAATATTGCACGTTCAACTTACTAGCATCAATCTGCTGCACCTGCGGTAGCGCCAACCGGACCTTGTTCCTGTACAACGCCGGCGCCCTGAGCTGTAAAGGGTTCCCCTCAAAGTACACCGTTGTCAGGTTCTTCTTCTCCTTCAGTTCTCGCTCCACCTCGGCGAAGTCGCCGACCATGTTATAGCTCGCCCACAACTCCTCCAGCTCCGCGAGGGGACCGATGCCCTTCAGGCTGGCGATCTTGTTGTTGGAAATGTCCAGCACCCGCAGCTTGGTGTTGTGCTCCAGTCCCTCGAGTGACTCGAGCGCATTGTGCGTGATGTACAGTTCCTCGAGCTGGGGCACCTCGCGCAAGGGCGACAGGTCGCGGATCCGATTGGACTGGATGCTGAGCAGACGCAGCTTGGGAAGGCCGCCGAGGCCGGTGAGTTCGGTGATCTTGTTTTTGGCCACCCAGAGTTCTTCGAGGTTCTTGAGCGAGTCGAGGTTCTGCAGTTCGCGGATACGGTTCGAGCCCAGTTCGAGGTTGCGCAGCTTGTCGAGCCCTTCCAGACCTTCGATGCGGCTGATCTTGTTGGAAACAAAGAAGAGATCCGTCAAGTTGGTCAGGTGATTGATGTGCTTGATGTGCTTGATCTTGTTGAAGCTTAGATCCAGGCTGGTCAGATTCGTGAGGTCAGTCAGCCCGCGGCCGATGTGCGAAATGAGGTTGTCATAAAGATCGAGATCTTGAAGGGTCTCGGCGACGCCGGTGAGGCCTTCAATGTCTTGGATCAGGTTTTGGCGAAGGCAAATGCGGGCAACTTGTTTGAAGCGCTCAAGACGCAATGCCGAGATGGACTGAATGCGGGAGTGCGTGCAAATAATCTCGTCGGTGTCTAGGGGCTCGTTGTCGAGAAGATCTGTAAACCAATCGAACCGGTCATGGTTAGCCAGATCACTATCTTTCAGACATGAGCGCTCTCGAATTGCTTGCCTTCATCCGCCGCAACCTCCTCGCCGGGAACAACGTTGTCATCGTCCGAGTATTCCGGATCCGATAAGGCTTCGGGATTTGCGAGCACAGCACTCTTTGGCACCCGCAGCTTCCCGTCCCAGCCTTTACTATCCCTGAGAGCGGGACTTCCTGCTTCGCCCTCGTGTCGTGGTGAAGGATGGTCGTCGACCAGCTCGACATGGTCACCGGGCGAATGGTGACCTGGTGTCTTGCTGCCTTCTTCAATGGGGGCCGGCATGGTTGTGGTATTATGCGGGCGGTTATGTATTGGTGTCTGCTCTCGAATGTTGCGCAAAGTCGTGGAACAGTCGCAGTCGTGCTGAAAAGCGTCCAAAGGTAAAAATGATGAACTGAGCACACGGATTGATTTTATCACAGGACTCGAGGCAGTGTTGATCAGTTAATGGCGCAGTCGGAAGTGGCGGCGCGGTGGTAGTCGGTGGTGGGTAGTATTTGTTGGAGAGATGCAGTGACTGATCATTTATATGATGGGAAGTTGGAGAATCTCCAAACGTTTTTTTTTCTTGATGGAAAATCAAACGAATGGAAGTCGCATCTACAGGAAGGAGGGGCCGCTTCCTCGTGGAACATCGTCATGGTCATGGACGGGTCCAATTCCAGCCACCCGGTGGGGTGTCCCGTCATGCGCTAGTGTAGTCCCCTTGGTTGATCCCCTGAGGCGGACAAACGCGGGGATCGCATCAGTGGGTGCACCGTGCAACGCCTTGCCTCGTTGACACCTGGGCAGACCGGAAAGGGTTGGTCGTACAGGGGTTCTGTTAGTGCAGAAGCTCTATAGAGGTCGACGGGAAGGCATCACGGGCATCCCGAAGCCGTCCACCGGGCATCATCATCATTCATCGGTTTTCAGTTGGAGGACCCCGACCTCAACCGACATCGTCTCTCATAAAAATCAACGAACTTCACCGCCATTGCCATTTCGATTTGGTACCTTTGAATCACATCGGTCACTTTTTCAAGTGGACTCCCAGCACCGAGCTCTATCACCCAGAAGGTTGAAGGCTTTCAAGAAGCCTCGGAAGGCCTGGAACCACTCTTGCGAACAAATCACATTCTTCTGTGCCGCCTCTCAGGTTCATACGGTCTACATTATCGAGGCATTTCGGACGAATTGCAGAGCATCAACGTCGGTTTGTCTGGACTCGCTACACTGGAACTCCTGTCGTCTCAAGTGCGCCACCAAACCTGGCCAACAATCTCCGACTCGAGACGCAGTTGTGGAGGTGCATGTGCAGAACACCTTGCAGGAGACTCCAAGAGCAATCGACAAGTGGCAGTTGAACACGAGATTAAGCAATGGAAACGAGCTGCGTGAAATCCTGCAGATTGCTCGGGTGAGACAAGTGCCATTGTCTCACAAGTTTTCCCCAATGGCTTCTCGCTGTCTCGTGCCCGCCTCAAGGGCCCGGTTGGGACGACTTCGTCCAATATCTTCACTTCCAAACTGTCGTCGGGGTAGCACCTACATCGGAAGTTCAGGTCTTAGGGTGACTGCTGTCAGGACTTTGACTGTTCCCCTGACATTCAAGCCATGCATATTTTCCGTTGCTGGTAGCGGCCGCACTGCAAGATGTATTCACATTCCGACAGCGCTGATGCCGCCAGTCGTGTTCGTGGGGCTTCTGGTGGCCTTGTATGTGTGGAAGTGTATGATGCTGGTTGTGTTCCAGAACAAGATCATATACATGCCCGGATTCCCTCCCAATTCACGGTGGGAGCTCATTGACAACTACGCTAACCACTGCGGTGGAATCAAGTGGACGGATGAGAGGACTCGAGCCGCAGACGGGACGGATCTAGCGATGGCCGTTACAACCGTCCCGATGCAAAAAGGCAAGTTCCCTACTGATAAGAAGGCTGCGAGGGCCCATGTATATGTCCTCTACTTTCAAGGTTCGTATTCCCATACCGAAGTGTTGGTCTGACATTCACAGCTGATATGAATAACCAGGGAACGCCGCGTCGATACCGCCGCGATTGCCGGATTTGTCATGGGTGCTTCGAAATATCAGTGACAGCCACAACCCAAATCTGGCACCTTTACAGATAACATTTGTCTGCCTGAGTTACAGAGGATATTGGACATCCCGGGGCCGACCCTCAGAAGCTGGTCTGAGGCTAGATGCTGAAGCTGGTGTGCGTTGGATCTCTCAGTATCATGAACAACTGTATGGACCAGGCAGTGAGGCTCCTGAACCCATTCTGCTGCTTTGGGGACAGAGTATCGGTTGCGGTGTGGCCACCAACCTCGCTGCGACAGGCAGAATACCAGAAAATGTGCCAATCCGGGGCTTACTCCTCGAGACCCCGTTCTTGTCGGTCAGGACCATGCTGGAGACGCTATACCCTCAAAAGTGGCTCCCGTACAAGCACCTTTGGCCGTTTTTGCGCAATCATTTGGATAGCTGGGCAAACCTGGTAACTATTGCCAACACGGCAAGGGAAAAGGGATGCCCACCACCAAATATCTTCATTCTCGAGGCCGAGAGAGACGAGCTAGTTCCCCCAGAACATGCCGAGCGTCTGCTCGAAAGATGCCAGGACCTAGGCTTGCCGGTTGAACGGGTCAAGTCTCCGGCGGCGTTTCACAGCGATGCCATTATGAGAGTCGAAGGCAAGAGGCTGGCTGCCCTTGGCATTGTGCGACTGACAAAGCAAGCATTGGATGACGGCTGAGACTGCAGGCATCAATCGCGTAGCGGCAGAAATCCACACTGGTCTGGCGAACGTGGGCCGCACAATTGCTCATTCATGGCTACGGAACTTACCATGGACAAACATGGCAGCGGCCGAGCCAGAGAGGAGAGACGGAGCACTTTGATGAGAGACAGCAAACGAAGACATCGGCCATTACCAGTGAGGTCCACTGAGGTACCGTCCAGGCGAGGCAGTTTGAGGCCAATGTCGTCCTTGCATCACATCATGGAGGCGCAGGGGCTCTGATGCTGTCGTGTTACAAAGTGTATTGCGTGCTGTATGACACGGGTAGTTGCAATAGGAACTGAGGCTCTCTTGTCGGAGCTTTCAAGCGGGTGAAGGCTGGAATATGACGAGAGTCGACAAGAGAGGTGCGTGTCGGGGCTTTACCTCAGAGGAATATGAACTCGAACGAGCCGATTCATGGCTGAAGCTGACGGCGAGATTCGGGTAGCTTTCCATCTCGTTCGATGATCTTGGTTCATTACCAGGCATCAAGCCATGCCAAGTCCAATGAAGGCAGCCTTGTGAGCTTGTGAATCGTTGAAAGCCATCATATCGCCCCAGGCTCACCGAAGTCTGAAACAGCTGCGGAAACACCACCAATCTTGGAAGTTACGGGTCAGATTGTCTCGGGCGTAAGACTCTACGCCAATCAACGATCCATTCCAGTGTTCTTACCCCTAATCGCGGTTTGTATGTGACTGCCACCATCCCACCATCCCACTCACCATCCCGCACCACCACCCCCGGCTCCCCTCGCCCTTGCATATCATCCATGATCCATCGATCCCATTCCGGGCCATTTTCGACCATGACAAGGAAAGAGGAGGGAGGCCGACCGATGTCGACCCCCAGGTCAGCGACCTCGAAATGGACTAGCGCGCCATCAGGTGATCTCGTGCGCATATCCCGTTTCCCACCTCGAACACTTAACGCGTCAAATCACGTTTGATGGTGTGAAAGATACTGCAGGTTGTGCCAGCCAAGGCTACCGCTCTATCTGCTCATCAAGGTTCAACGTACCACTCAAGACTGGTTGGAGCCTAGTGCACAAACGGAAGCGACTAGGTATTCGATTATGCGCTGCGCGTTCATATATAAGCTGGTGTATTGCCCATCAATGATTAACAAGGCTTTCCCCCTCTTTTCTGCGTAGAATCCCAGGCTCTCACTCGGCACTTTCGGCGGGTAGATGAGTGACATCTACCAGATATCACCACCCGACCGATACAGTCGATACGAACAAGTCTTCGTCGCTTTGTATCGCATTCGACCATCAAGTGCCTTCCTCGCCGACACATGACGCCCTGATATCTTTGTGTCGATACAATCGGTTGCCTGATTGTCACCTTCCACTTCGGAGAACTGCACCACTGGAAAGAGATAAAGTGATTGATAACAATCGTCTCACAATGTCCTCTCGACGCCTCGATATCCCCCAAAGCAAGAGTGGTTCAAGACCACCGAGGCTAGTCAGATCGAACTCGTCCTTGTCCCTCACTAAAGAAGCTGGTATTTCCAAGCGGCGACATGATTCCCGTCATCGCCGCCCTAATGCGACGACGGTTACCGGAATAGTGGCTCGTGCAGAGTATGTTTTAACTTTGAAATAAATTTCACTTCGACCTTCCTCTGATATCGTTGTTTTCAGTAGTAACCCCAACCCCATCTCACCCATCGTCACCCTCGTAATCGGACAAGAAACGCGAATCTTCGCCGCCCACGAAAACGTGCTATCCGCCTCTCCCTTCTTCAAGAACGTCCTCGACACTCAATTCTCCGAAGGGGAAACCAAGCGAATATTGCTCCCCAACGAGGAACCCGAGATCTTCTCCTCGGTGCTCGAATACCTCTACAAAGGCGACTACCACCCCCGCCTTGTTCAAGATAAGAGACGGAACACGTGGGAACTGGTGGAGCCAGCAGCAGCAGGGAGGAACGGAAGCGGCGGCGGCCGGGAGGCTCCTACCATCTATCATCACTCGGTGGATGGCCAAGTGTTGAAGGACACGGTGATTTACTGCGCTGGAGAGAAGTACGGGCTGGAAGAGTTGAAGAGGATTGCCCTAAGGAAGCAAGGACTTCGTAAGTCCATTTCATTTTCTTGACTTTGCTAAATACCTTACTCTCCGTTTATGTTATCGTGTCCCACCTTTTGAACTGACTCGAAAATCTGTGTGTGCATGCAGAATGCGGAATAGTGGCCAGCACCATCTTGACTTCAGCCAGATACGCCTACGCCAACACCCCCGACACTGACTCCAAGCTTCGGGCTCACTATCTTGCGCTCATCATCCGCGGCCGCGACACGTTCAAGCGCAGCGGTACCATGCAACTGGAGATGTTTCACGGTGGCAGCGATCTTTTCTTTGATTTGTTTGTGGCGTTGTGTAATCATGTTGATGACCTTTCGGTTGCCTCGTAAGTCTCCTTTCTGATGTCCCCTTTACAAAGCAAGCCCTCGTGGCAAGGGGGTAGAGGACCATGTCTCTGACTAGACTAATCCCCATTAGCAGCACCCAACAAGACACCCCCCAACAAAGCTCCGGCAACGAGAACGGCTCCCAAGCGTAGTTCTTTACTTTACTTTCTTTTCCCACTTAGGTTCCTGTTTTCACACATCTTCCGAAGGTTTGTGATTTTCAAGACGGATGGCTCTCTATCTTCAAGATCCATTTGGTCATACTTTCTACTCGTACATGTTATCACTCGGTGTTTTTCTATCACATGGCGTTGGGGAAGGTTTGTTTTCGGCTATATCACCAAAATTGAGCTTGCAATTTCCCAGTTTGGAGCAAGGACGGACGAAAGCTATCACGGCATGATGGACACGACTGGATTATGTGAACATTGTATGTACTGGTCTTTGTGGTATTTCTGGTTTCTGGACAAAATAAATCTGGAGACCGGACAAGAGTGGGAACAGAACGTGTATGTGTGTGTGTGATTGCGGGGCTTTTAGTTCTATACGCCGCTCGTTGAGCTAAGACTATACTTACCAGCACTCTTGACGGGCCGCCAATATGGCTTGATATGGGCAGAATGGAGAATCCGCGTCAGTACAGCGGGAATTTAAAACACTAAAACTGAACAGAGAGGGGAGATTCACTCCTTTGATACCCTCCACTAAACTGGTTGCAATGTGAACTATGCCGTCTGAATATTTGACATTTTGGTTAATCGATCGAAGAAAGATGTGATTCATGAACACTTCACAAATATCTCATACTGTAGTCATGGCTGTGATGCAAGCTTGTCCCAGACCTCCTGATTGTGACTGATTAGACCGAAGCCATTTGTTTGTTCCTGCGTCACCGTGAAGTTCTTCACAAACATGACCGTGAACACCACGCCAAAAGCAGGCATTTGGCGATGTCTTATTTGAAACTGTCATCCCTTGAACTCGGATTAAGTATGTATAGACGTCTGACGGCTCGTTTTTGTCTATCCGAAGGACCTTCTTACCCACCAGGCCACCAGCAGAGCAGAGCGGTACTCACCTGGTAGTAGTAGCGCAGCCTAGGAAGATGAGTACTACACGACTACCTCTCTCCATGTAAGGGTTTGGGTTGATTAAACCCGACCTCCAGAAGCGGACTTCAGATTCTACTCCCAGTCACCCTCCGTCCACTCAATGTACCGCTACTGCTGGCATTCGCCCGATCACAGTTTGGAACACTATACTCCAGTTCCGGGGAAGGCACCGCTCTTGCTAAGCACCACAAAGCCTCGCTCGCGTGCTATGTAGCCCTTCATGAGGTCCTAGAATTTTAAGTTGATTAGTGGTTATTTGAGACGAGGATAACAAATGTGTCTGGTACTCTGTGTAGTTTTCCCAGGAGTACCGTCCACTTACCTTGTAAATCATATTCGCCATCAAGCACTCAATCTCATCCGTCTCAAGCGTCTGCTTGCTCCCCAGACTTATAGCGGCAGCAAATTCGGCGACGGGGATGCGAGTGCGCCGCACCCGCGGACCGCCCTCCACCTTGGGCTCCTCGAACCCGCCAGCAATAAAGACCTTGCGCAGGAGGTTGCGCAGCGCAATGTCGCGGCCACGCTCCAGGGTCAGGTAGATGCGTCGTTTGACGAACTCATCCTCGCCTTGCTGGAGAGCCAGGTCGAATGCGTGCAGCTCGCCTTTCTTGATGCAGTTGGATAGTGGCAGGAAGAGCTTCTGGAGTCGGGGGTACGGCTCGAGGAGCTTTTGGCTTGGGAGAGTGTGTGTCGTAAGGAGGTGGCAAGGGACGAGGTAGGTGAGGATGAGCCTAATAAGCAGGAGTTAGTGTAACTTGTTCGGTTTGGGCTTGGAATTGAGGGATGTGTTAACATACTCTTTGTTCTTCATGGCATCCTTGTGGCAGAGGGACCACGCCTGTGTCAAGTGCTCCTCAGCCTGGAAATAATTCTCCTCCAAGAAGCACAGAACTCCCTCGTAGTATTTGAACGTCACTTGCTGTGACTTGGGGAAGGCGGACAGGGGCGGCATGTCACCTCGATAAGCCGACAATGTCTTGAGGATGTTTTTGGATAAACTGGCCGAACTGAGCTTAAAGTACGTCTTGAACAGAAGATTGATGATATAGTAAATACCCCATTTCCGTGACTCCTCCAAGGGTGCTCTGTAACATGGTTAGTGATGTCCATCTTGAAGCATGCAAACGGTGAGAGAAGTAGTAGTACCTGTCATTGAGACACAGCGTGAAGATCCTGTTCAACTGACGGGCGCAGTCCTCCAGTTTCTGATGTTGTTCTGATTCGGGGTCAAAGTCATCCTGGAAGATCTGGCCCGATGTGTCTCCGGCGGCTACGTTGTTGTTGCGCTCCTCATCGGCTTTCAGAGCGAAGATGCGCAGATTCTTGGCCACGACATATAGGCACGGAATTGACCACGCTTCAAACCCCTGACCGATGTAGCCTCTGTATAACGCAGAGAGTAGTTCCTTCCACGCATCGTACACTTTTGTCCATGAAGACTGCGGCGCCTGGTTTAAAGCAGGGAGAAGCTCGCCAATGGCCTTCCAGTAGGCAAGGTACACATCACTCCAGCCTTGCACCTCGTCCTTGGGCAGTTTCTCGAAGCCTGACGTGCTATTCTGAATCCCGCGCTTTATGACATTCTGGGCATCATGGTGACCGCAACTTTTCCAGATGGCCTGAAGTTGCTGCTGTGGGAGATCAGGCGATAGTGTCTGCGCAAGCTGATATCCGTCACGGCTTGTCTGCGCATTTGAGAATGTTCGAATGAGTGAATCCATTTTTGTGTCTTGATATCACCCTGAGCCACACTCTGGCAGCTAGCTGTTGGTGTCGTGGTGTGTGGGATCCGGACGCAAGGCGGTGGTGGCCTAGACTACGTAGCTTTGGAGCTTCAGGCGGCCTTGTTTGCTGAGAACAGGACCCTTCCTTGACAGACAGAAAGACCAAACTGAAGGTCGATTGGTTGTCCAACTGAGAGAAAAGTAAAAGACGGTGTCTGTTATGTAATTCGAGAGTGACCGCGTGAAGGTGAATGTCGATGGAAGCTTGCAGCTTAAAAAAGATGGGAATCTGGAATGTGATTGGTCTTTGAGCTCACTGCATCGTTGCACTTCAGTTGCTGGTCGTTCGCATTCGACGGATGCTCCCTGGCAGTCGCGGTTCAGTTGCCTGGCCAGGCGTGCCTGCCGCCCCACATGTGCACCTTCACAAGGAGGTAAACAGCGGGGGGTCGCTTGGCGCACCGCCACATTGTGGCTAAAGGTTGTGTGGCCCAGAAATTTTTGGTCCGAGCACGATGAGCCCTAACAAGCACACCCGGATTTTTTTCCTCGCGTGCCCGCTAATTCGAGACATCCTTCAGCTCAACAGAACGAAATTCTCGCGGTACCTAGCGACGAATAATCACAGTAAGTCTTTGCTCCCTGGCATTCTCACGGCTATCTGAGCATCGCTAACTTTTGAAAAGATGGGTAAGCGATTGATTCTTTTTTCTGGTCGTCCCGGCCCCTGCAAAAGTGTGAATATCGCGACAGCAATGTGACAACATCGAACAACAACCCGAACGCGAAACCGGCTGCCCAACGAGATGCGACTTTCAATATAACACGATTGGAATGGTGGATTTACTGCTGGGGACTCCTTCTGGGGCTGTCCAGACACGTTCGAAAACGAAAAGAGATGGATCTCCGTGGGGAATTGGCTGTTTCGACCGACAAAAGCTGGACAACCGAGTTCGAGTACAACCGGGCGATTTCTACAATACGACGACGACCCAGCGAAACCAATGTTCAACAGAGCCAAGCCGATATCAACTGATACTTTTGGGGCCGCGTGGGGACGGTGACGATGGTGATATTGAAGCAGCAGCTAACGTCATGCTTCAGGTCGTCTCCAGGAGTACCAGGTCATTGGGCGCCACTTGCCCACCGAGTCCAACCCGACTCCTGCCCTCTACCGCATGCGCATCTTTGCGCCCAATGCGGTCGTTGCTAAGTCCCGCTTCTGGTACTTCCTTCGCGGTCTCCGCAAGGTCAAGAAGGCCACCGGCGAGATCGTCACCTGCAACGTGGTATGTAGCAGCGTCTAATCGGCATGGATATCTTTGGGAACAACAAACTAATGAACCTGTTATCAGATCACCGAGAAGCACCCCCTGAAGGTCAAGAACTTCGGTGTTTGGATCCGCTACGACTCCCGCTCTGGCACTCACAACATGTACAAGGAGTACCGTGAGCTCTCCCGCACCGCCGCTGTCGAGGCTCTCTACTCCGACATGGCTGCCCGCCACCGTGCCCGCTTCAGGTCCATCCACGTACGTTGCGCCCATCGCCCCTGTTTCCAGGCCCCCAGCATGCTAACTCCCTATCACAGATCCTCAAGGTCGTTGAGCTCGAGAAGACCGAGGACATCAAGCGCCCCTACATCAAGCAGCTTGTTACCAAGAAGCTCTCCTTCCCTCTTCCCCACCGCGTCCCCAAGATCTCCAACAAGAAGATCTTCAGCGCCAAGCGCCCCGCTACCTTTGCTTAAGCGTTTATTATCGTGGCTGGGATTGGGAGGTTCAGGTTTTCATCACGGGAAATGGGATATCCTGCATTGCTCCCTAGAACGAGCATGAATGAATAAATGGTCAAGCATGTGGTTGGTTTTCGTTCTGCAAGTCGATGCTGCATACACCTAGACTGCGTGCTCCAGCAATGCCATTGCTCGTCTCTGTGATGGGGGAAAGCAGATGAACGCCTCAGCTGCTACGCGGACGCTGGGTAAGATCCAGTTTGGAAGATGATGCTTTTCCATATCTTGAGCGATCCAACACATCACTTCCAGGAGCCGGCCACCTCGAAAGTTCGGTTAAGCCATTGGCATAGGGGACCGTTGCAGCTACTTTGAACGTGACCAGGAATCTACTGGAAGACTTATACCCGTTGGGTGGCCTGACTCATCCGGCGAAGGCAGAAGCCAGGGGGCAGTGGATGTGCGGGTGGACATGTAATACCAGACAAAACTCGCTTCCCTTGAAAACTTTGAACTTTTCTTCCCAGCTTTCTTTTCTTGCTCTGAACGCATTTCAAGTGACTAATTATACGTAACAACTTGACCTGCTCACCTATTATCTGTTACCGCCAAATTATACCACATCGTATACCCTTCATCAAACACCATGGCAGAGGCAGCACCGGTTCCCGACTCCTTCATCACCGTTAGGTCAACACTCCCTTGCCTCCCTCTCCCGCTCATCTCGGAGCGTCCGTGGGTCACAACAGAAAGGCTGCTCATTCGGCCTCTGGCTGCCTCCGATCTAGAGGCCCTGCACGAGCTGCGCACCCAACCGGAGGTCATGATTTGGACCTCGGCCGGCAAGCCTGACAGCAGTCTTGACGAGACCAAGGTCAAGCTAGACTACTTCCTCTCGCCAGAAGGAAACAACAAATCATTCAACTACGCCATCTGCTTCAAAGAGGACCCGAGCAAGCTGATCGGCATTGGCGGCTGTCACAACTGGAGCTCAAGCCTGGGATGGCCCGAGCTAGGCTACATGTTCAGGAAAGAGGCGTGGGGGCAGGGCATCGCGACCGAGTTTTTGAAGGCTTGGTTGCCGCTGTGGAAGGCGCTGCCTAGGGAGGTGGTGGGAGTGAAGTGTGATGAGAGGACGTTGAGGGGCGGGGATGGGGTTTATGAGAATAAAGAAGAGGTGGTGGAAGAACGACTGATGGCGTTGACGACGGATGAAAATGGGAAGAGCCAGAATATCCTGAAGAAATGTGGGTTTGAACACTTTCTTACTTGGAAGGCGAGGGAGGCGAGGCCCAGTGAGGTTGCGGAAGAAACGGTTTGGATTGATTTGCCTTCTTTTAGGTACTTTCCTGGGAGGGAGTGATGGGGTCTGAGGGGGGTTAGCCTGAAGAGAGAGAATAAAGATGGATGATCGATGCCGCTCCGGAAACTTGTCGAGAGGACGTCCGTTTTGACATCCGATCCGGGCTCCACTTTGCATCCCGGATCGGGTTTGCTCTGCATCGGAGGCCGGAGCCGGGATCAGAATTACCAAGTCCCGAAGCGTGTGCTCGCATCAAGATAATGTGTGAAAATACGAAATACACATTGAGGCAGAGTTGTCAGTTCAGTGTGGGCGCTCACGGTTCCGTCATGATTCGGCTACCTTTGCTAGATAAATACAATGCTGGGTCCATGTGAAAAGTCGGGTTCATGTGTTCGTGGCGGTGGATGGGATGAGAAAGTGAGAGTGGATGAACAGCATGCAAGTGTGTGAAGATCAGATGCATCCATTACCCTAACCCTTATTTCCGTGTTCTCACCGACCACCTCAAGGTGTGATATTACTGGTAATCGATATGGGGTTCAACGTAGCTTGATTGTGTATATGTGTGTAAGACTAGCTCTACAGACTCGAAGCTCTGGCATCTGGATAAATCCTGTATATCCCAGCCCAACTGGGCACGTATATGCCTAGTAGATCCTCTAGCCTCTAATACACCCCTTTAAATCTAGTACACAAACTATGCTGGATCTACCCAAATATACCTTAAAATACCCTAAAATCCTCCTAGAACTAACTAGAAATAATATTATTCCTAAATTACTTCCTCGTCACAATAACTTTCAAACTTTTACTTGTAAGAGTCTTACTTTATTATACTTACTGTTATACTTACCGATTTATTGCCCGAATCTTCCTCTATAAAATCTTCTATACCCTTTAAGCAGCCTATAACGATATCTCTGCTACTAAATTCTCGCAATTAAATCTATAGCCGCTATAACAATATAAATCCTAACTACTCTATAAATTTTAAATATATTACAAAAAGGAAATTCTTTATAAAGCTATCCGCAATCTACTCGTTAATAAGTATGTAGACTACATTTACTAACTTCTTCTCCTACGCTTACTTTAACTAATATTTATATATATTAATATATTTAAATTTAATTACGAACCGAACTCCCTCCTTTATAACAAATTATATCTTCTACTTATTATTATAGCCTATAAATATAGCCTTTTAATCTATGAATCTTAAAAATAAACTTATTAAAGAAACGGCGGACGTAAATTACCTCCTTAACTCCTCAATTAAAGGATAGTAATTTAGACTTTATAAATAAGGTCGTAACTATATTTTATTTATTAATATATTAATTGATAATAGCGCTTAATAATTTAAATACTAATATTTATAAATTCTTTCAATTAAAAAGTTATTTATAAATAAAGAATTAATGATAACATAAAAGTTCTAATAATCTTTATTATTTAACTAAAGGGTATAATTTTAAATTATTAGAAAGTAAAGGAGTATTCTATTTATAATTGCGTAATATATTAAATTATGGTTTAAATTAAATCGAACGAATTTAGAGACCGGAAAGGCTATATCTAATCGCGACGTAATAATAATATAAAAAATCGAATTAATCTTAACTTAATATATATAAATCTTGTACAAGGCTATACTATCTTAATAAAGTAGGAGCTCCTTCTTAACTATAAGTATAGAATATAATTTCTTTATATACTTAATCTTCTCCGTAATCTTCTAAATATAATCGCGCTGTAATAACCAAATTAACTTCTTCTCTCGATCTTAAATAATTTTAATACTTAGAAACTATTTTAATAATTCTCTACCCATTAATTAGTACTTCCTCTCTATAGCGGTTACCACCGCCTTAATTATGGCGATTTCTTTATTCCTATATTTATAATCAATAATAATATTATCAATATAGAAAAAAAGGAATATATTATCTTTAATTAGGATAGTAGGCTCTATAAGGAGAAAGTTTATACTTGCAATTACGAAAGTCTTAATAAATTCCTACTATTAGAGGAGGGGAGATCTCTATAGACTATATAGCGCACGTAATAAATAAAATACTTAGCCTTTCTTAATATATTTAGGGGGAGCTCTTATAAATACTACCTTATCAAGTATAATATTAATAAAAGCGTTCTTTATATTATATTAAATTAAATCGAAATTAAAATAAATAACTATAACCATTAGGATACAAAATAACCTAATAACTAGAATCGCTACGTACGTTTTACGTACACCATTTTTAAATTATTAATCCCTACGTATAATTAAACGTACTTTATATTTAAGAAACTGGCCGTCTTAATCGAACTTATAAATATACACCTATATCGAACCGAATATTTTATTATCTCCTACTTCCTTAATATTAACCTACTTCTAAGACTTCTTATCTTTATATTCGCTTAAATATTCCTTTTCCATAACTTTAAAGAATTCTCTAAAAAAATAAGAATTAAAATTACTATAATATTCTAAAAGAGGTAGGAAATTAATTCGATAGAGGCTCTTTAACGTACCCTTTATTCTATAGTAATTAATAATCTCCCTCGTTATTTTTAATTTAAAATTATAACTGGGATTAATATTAATACCCCTCTTTCTTATCTCCTCCAAGAAGGTTCAGTCTATAACCTTATTTTCTTAAAATCCTACCAGTCGATTACCCTTTATAAATAAAAACGATGCAACCTAATAAAGGTATTAATTTATAATTAACTATAAATTTTCGTTAGAACGCGAGAAGTCGGTTATTAAAAACGTAGTTAGGCTTTTAGGAAGTATAAAGAAATAGCCCTCTTTTTTATCCTTTAAATTTAAAACTGTATTTTAAAAATCTAACGACAATTATATAAGTAATAATAATAAAGGGTCTAAAAATCCTTACAATATTTCTAAACCTATTTATAATTATATTTCTAGTAATTACAAGACCTCTAAAGATCTAGATTGTATCTATATTTCTAAAGACCTTAATTCCTCCTCTTCCTCTAATATATTCTCAGTCTCAATAAAAAAATCTTAAACAACGGAACTAAAAACTCCGTCATCTATAATAGGCATAACCTCGACCTATAGGACGTTTAATTATACAATATTTACTTAATAAAGATCTCTTAATTATATAGCCAACTCTTTAAAAGAAATATTAAAAGCATTATAAATTTCTTTAACGTTATTACTAAAAAAGAATTCATTTTTATTAAATACAACGTCTTATATAATAATAATAAAATTCATATAAGGATTCTAAATCCTATAAATATTCGTTAATTAGTATCTAATTAAATAGCCGACCCAGGTACAGTCCTTAAATTTTATTAATTTATTTTATTCTTTTATAATTTCTATTATAAAAATAAAGGCCTTATAACTATATACTTTAAAGTATACGATAGTAAGGGAGGAGTCTAATAGAGGAACGATACTATCTCTAAATTAGTAATATATTTCGAATCGGTTTTTGGGAAATTTCTAATAATATTCTACCTTAGGGATTAAATTATATAAATATATAATTACTCCAATAATCTCTATTTACAGTTCGTAAAGAAAATTTATACCTAATCGCATTACTATACCTTTAATTTTAATTATACCCCTTAAATACTCTACGCTGCCGTTTTAAATTTACGTATAAAGCGCTAAGGGCTCAACACTAGTTCCCTTTATAATAAATTAGGTAGTAATTTTCTTATTACTAATTATTTCGTTATCGTATTCGACTACCCGAGGTACAATTTAGTATTAAATTTACAACCTTATATAGAAAGATTTTAAATACGCAATAATAAATTCGACTTTTCTATTATTTAAATAATATACCTAAATGAATCCAAGCTACCAATTTATAATTACTATTAGATTTGAATATTTCCAACCTCCTATCTTCACTTCTTTATAAAAAAAGAAGTCGATGGCTAATCGTAACCTAAGGCCCTTTAAGTAGTTACGAATTTCTCTACGTACTTAATGTTTCAATTTAATTTTAATATATAATTCGTAATGTACTATATCTAATCCCTTAAATCGCACGCTATACTCTTACTCCGTTAATTTAATTAAAATCTCGGATCCTGGGTAGCTAAATTAAAAATACTAACGAAGAGGCTTACCCTCTTAAGGCTTTCGCTTGATATAATTTATATACTGTATAATAAAAGAAAATTCGTTAACGCTATTTTATAAAAGGATATACTTTAAAACAAATTATTTATATTTAGAGAAAATATAATAAATAAGGGAATGCGTAAAGTAGGAGTATAAGTAATTATTTTTATAGTCCTAATAGATTTATTTATCTTCGAATTATTTTAAAGAGATGAAGTTACAAATTATACCCGGTACTAGAACGACGTTAGAAAATTAGAACTCTCTATTTCCATCGTCGTTCTAAACTATAATTATAATAATACTATACCCCTCTATAAAAGTCCGCTTGTCTCCCGCCCATACGTAACTACTAGTATTTAAAGGGGTAAAATCTTTAAAGTAATTAACCTTATTAAAAATATATATTATTATACTTAAATCGAAAATTATAGAATCTCTCAATAAATATACAACGCTACATTTCACTATAAGCACTAAAAAACTACTTTTACCTACCCAGCAACTATAGAATTAATTATCTTAATCCTCATTATTCTACTACGTTCGCAAATAATTACTAGCCTCTTTAAATATTTTATCCTTCTTTAAATTAATATACGCGCATTTTTTAATAGTAAGATTTTCAATCTAACCTTTATAGGCTAACTATAACCTAGCATAATAATATTTATCCAAATTATAATCCGGCTACTTATAGAACCTATATAAAAATCGACGCAATCGTTTATTTACTAATAAAGACGAGGAGGAAATATACTTATTTTTATTAATATTTTTTCTAAACTTACTATTCTTACCTACAACCTCTCCCCGTCCCTTTATTTCCAGGCCAAAATTTTATTCGTTATTAAGAGCGTCCTCCTTAATAAATTTACCGCTTAATATAACTACGAATATAATACCCTTAAATAGAGGGGCACAACCCTTTCCCTAAATAATACTCGCAATTATTACTTTATAAAAATCTTTAACTACAATATAGAAGGAAATTTTAAAATTAAAGTTTCTCTCAATCTCCTTATTATACTAAAGCTAATAATTATCTGCCCAAATAGTATAAGAATTCGACCTTATAACTATATAGAATTCTAAGAACTATAGGTCTAGTTTATCTACTCTAATAATTCTTCTAGTAATATAGAAAACTATAGCCGCCTCCTAATAAAAGGTCCAATTATACTAATTATAATTAATTCTACTAAAGAACTTAAGAATATTAATAAATCTAATTCGGGCGAGCTT